TGGGGAAAAACCAGGAGACCAGGGGGATCAGAAATTGTTTCATGACTACAACAAAAATCTGCACCAAAATTCACAAGGATCCATCTGTCTATGAATTCCTGACCCACCATCATACAGCTATAAGTTATTACAGGTGCAATAGTTTGCATGTTGTACAACTCTGACATAAAGAAGCTCCTGAGTCCCTATAAAAGCTTGGAATTCAATTTTGTATCATGTTTTTTCATAAAGGAAGCTTCAGCATGTCAGTGTTAATGTTTGTAGAGCAGCAGAACTTAGCGAGCCGTTCACCACACATTTGAATACCACTGGTGGCAACAAACAGGAGGTCCTGATGCTCCACATTTCAACACATTGTAAGGATTGTTTTAATCCTTAAAAAGAAACCACAGAAGAGCAGAGAGGCTTACAGGAAAACCATCAGCTCCAAAAATGCAGACACAAAAAGATGCATCTGAGCTTCAAAATAGCCTCACCATGTTCAGATTAATTATGCCACTGTGGATGGTATTTTTCCCAGGCCCTATGAGCCCTCTGCACAACCTTTACCCCCCTCACCAGAGAGGTAAACAAAGTGAGAGAGAGGGTGCGATGGTTTCAGCATTGCAGCTCTTTGAATGGATATTGAAGAATCTGACAGCTCCTGATGTGCAAACATGGTTTTGTTAAAGTTCTCTGAAAAGTATTTGAAGTCAGAAAATCTGCACGAGATCAGACGACTAATCAGGGATCTGCGGAGCAGAAGGTGATCAGATGCATGGTGTGCGTCTGCCTCCTGTTTGTGGTCAGTAAACATACAGAGGCTGACAGAAGGGAAACATATGCTGTGGACAAAGCAGACATTAGGAAATAATCATTTCTTTACTACACTCACATGTTTCCCTGATTAATTTGAATGCAAACTGACAACTGATGTTTTTAAGAGATTCAGAAAGAACAATCCTTCCTGCTTGTTACCACCGCTTATGTCTTTAAGTTGATGATCAAAACTCCTCAATTTTCACATTCTTGACTTGATTTTGCAGTCATAAAACTGCAGAAACCACAGATCCTGATTAATTATTCAGTGCAAGTTACACATCTGGAGTTACATAAGTTCATTTGGTTCTTGAGGTTATTGAGAGTAGTTTTTAGAAATCACACCCTGGGTCTCTCAATCAGAACAACAATAAAATAAAGTTATCTAATTATGTCATGAAGTAGTTTTGGATCATGGGAGCTGCTGTTGTCATTGTTTGTGCTCGTACTCAGGGTGGGGAGATTAATCGCTGCCTCAGTGCTTCGTTGTTATGCTGTACTCCTCTGTTATGGTTCATTGGTAGCATAGATGAAGTGTATCTGAAAGTTGTTACCATTACATCACGTACAGTCTAATGAGCTATTGATAAAACAGTTAGTAATGCTGGGTCTCTGTGCCATGTTGTGATAATAATACAGCATATTTGGAAAATTGTTAGGTAACAGCTAACCAAGGCCTTCAAACTCGTCTGAGCTTATCTCATGTTTACATCAAGTAACTACGTAATTAATTAGGGGTGTCCTGATCTGATATTGATATTAGTCCAATATCAGCAAAATAACAAATTTTAGATTATATCAGCCTGCATCTAAAATCTCCAATATCAGCACTCTGATACAAGCAGTCCATTCCAGACTCCGCTCCAGCACCCGGATCTAGCATGCAGAGCCTACATAATCACAACAACAGTGTGTACTAAGGTACAAACAAAGTAGGAGCAGGGAGTACGAGTGATGTCGGCCACGTGGCAGTATTTTTCGTTAAAGTCCAAAAAAGACGTTACAGCTGAGTGCAAAACTTGTATTGGATATCGGATCAATATCGGCCAATACTGAAGGCTACAATATCGGTATCGTATTGGAGTTAAAAAAAAAAAAAAAAAAAAGTCGTATCACGACACCCCTTTAATCAAAATAAGAATTTACACCTCCACTGTTATACAACTGTTATTAGATATGTTGCATCAGTTAATGTTAATCAAAAAGACCAAACCCTTTCAAAATGATCATTAAAATCCAGTTTAACGATATTAGCCAATACCTTACAGTATAACCCATAAGAAGTAAGCTTGACACCATAATGAATGAAATTAGAAAAGGTAAGTGGTTGTTATTAAAAGAAGAATATCTTAATTAAACTTTGTATTTTTGTTGCTTGTTGTTTTAGTTCATAAAACCCCTATTTTTGATTCATATACAAACTAACTATAAGCCACTTCAGGAGGTATCAGTATTGTTTTCCTTCAATCAAAGTGGAGATTTTTTTTCCTTAAACTATAAAAGCCAGTTTAATCAAAAGCAGGGATAGCAGAGACATTGATCTGAACCCGTAAAACAACACAACAAAATCATTACAAAATACAGTTTTATTAGGGACTCACACTTCTACAGCTGAACCACATGAGTCTCTCACACTATTTTAAGTTGTTTATCTACATTTTTTGTTTATGCCCTGTCAGAAACAATGGTGTTGTTGCTGCCTTTGTCTACTGGGTTTGGCCACCCCAAAATGGTGAACCAAGCTGAAAAATTATAATTTGGAGGAAAGTTTGCAACCAAAAAGCAGTTTTTAGTCATGGTATCCATTTTTTAGATGTTGTATTTTCTTGATGCTATTCCACCCAAGTTTACCAACCCATTTACCAATTTGACTCTCACACAATTAAACTGTATTAAACTGAGACTGATATGATGTCAGTTTCTATTCTTTAACATTTGACCCACAGCCATTATTGTAGACTTTTCTTTATTTAGCTGTATGTGTTGTTGCTCAGTCTTTTACTCTGCTTGTCAAAGGCTAGAGTTTGGTATTTTAAGGGGACGGTATCCGGCTCATTGTTGTACATGTAGGTGAGAGACGCGGATGTGGCCGACCCTCCATTCACCTTGTTGGGCAGGGGTCTGGGAAAAGCATTGTGAGGTGGTTTAAACGAGACGGGGAGGGGGGGGAAACCTTTGTACCCAATCAGTGTATGATTGGATTTCAAGCTGCACAGATTCAGCTGGATCACGGATGTTTTTTGGAGTAATTTCCGAGGCTCTCTGGATTAATGAACGCCCGTTTGATAATGATTGGAGTGTTTCTGCAGCTCTGTTTGCTTTGGGACGAAGCTGTGGAAGTGTGCGAGCAGGGAGAGGTCATTTTAATGAATTCAATTGTCATGTAAAGGTGAAAAAACAGACTGCAGTGGGTGTGGAACTTAAACCAAACACAGCTTTTCTGATCATTAGGATTAAAGGTTTTCCCCTCTTTTGTTTTCTGTCTATTTTTCTTTTTTGTTGAACCTGAGGCTAGAGATATTTTGCACCACATGTTTTATAGAAGTCTTATAGAACTTTAGTTTGAGCCAAAACACTTCATACTATTTTCTCATTTCTTTGACTCATATCCTGTGCTCCTGCTGCGGATGACAGATTTATGTTTCACGTGTATAACCTGTGATACTTCTGATCACAGAACAATACCGAGGAGTTTTCTGGGTCACACTATCATCATTTCAAAAATTTTATTGTTGACTTCTCTTTCCCACACTTAGTGACTGTCTTTTTTATTACTCAATAGAGGATAGATTCACATTTTCTTCATGTCTCTCTTGAAACAATGTTGTCATGCTCAGATGCAGTGTTAGAGACAGCATGCAGATCATTTACTTCAACACTGTAGCTCCTAAAAGACTGTCAGTGTAATGTATTCATTCATATTTTTCACTTACAAGTAACGTAACTTTTAACAAAGACAACCATGGAAGTATAGGAGCTTAATAATTGTAGAATAGGATTTCAGATTTGAATGTAGAGGAGTATCTTTTATTTTTTATTTTAGTTTTACCTTAATTTAACCAGGTAAGAACCCAAAAGATCGAGATTTCTTCTACGCGGGTGGCCTGGCAAAGAAGTCAGCAGCACATGTCTTAATAAATATTATATGAATAGAACACAGATTACAGACAATAGATGTAAACAAGTTAAAAGGTTCAAATAAAGTGCACAAACAGCAGGCATGGATAATAATTAAAAACTAAAGCAAAATCTCTGCAAGTTTAATGAACTCTGTGAATTTGTACATTATTGTTTTAATTTTTTCATTCAAAAATATTATTTTGATATAGCTTTTGTTGTTGTTGTTGTGTTATCTTCAACCTGATCCTCTTTTGTTGAATGCTTTGGGCTGCATCTTTACATGAAAGTGGGTACAGAAACAAAGTCAGAGTAGTTGTCAATTAAAAGTAATAGAAAATTCAGCGCAGGAGTCGGTATGCATGTCAAGTCTGTCGTTATTCATATGAATTCTTATTTTGGATTTCTTCTGCCTTACAAAATAGAAACAGTGATGCTTAAACTGCTTTATTTGATGTCGAATAAAGTGGAAATATTGAAGTAGTGCTTGTCCTTTAATGCTGTCGTATACTTGATTACAACTTAGAGAAAATTTGACCTGAGCAAATCAGCTGTTTAACAGAGCAGTATCACGATTAGGCACAATATTTTTAAGGGTAAAGAGACACACTTTTATATATGGGTATATTTGCCCGTATGGAAAAATACTGAGTATATTTAAAGACACACAAACCTGTTTATTACCAGAAGTAAAGAAAAGATAGTCACAGCCCCCCTCTCCTCCTACATCCTTCCCTTGTTTGTTTGTATCTGGTATTCTGGAAACAGTCAGAGGTTGTTGATGCGTGTTTCAGTGTGACATTGCCTACTCACCTTACAGTAAACAGTTAATTCTCTGAGGACAAGCGGAGACAGTGGAGTCCAACCTGTCCTCTGGCCTCCTCTGACACACCTAGTGTGCCGGTAAGTGGGGGGTTGGAGGGAGGGGGTGCATGGCGCCCTCAGAGGAAACCCTGTGTGTGGCGTCCTCCGGTCTTGACCAGGATGATTAAGAGTTCCTTCCTCTCCTGTTCAGAGGGGCTTTGTCCCTCAGAAACAGACCGGCTGCCAACACCTCGTCCTGGATGGGAAGTGAGTCTTTCACTGTCAGAGGAGCCCAACAGTGACTGGCCAGTGCAGACCAAACACCAACCAAAATTAAGGTCAGATAATGCTAATGGGAATAATTACCAGGGATTGATCCTGCTACATCTAAGAAGAGTCTGTGGCCTGGGTTCAAACTTGCTTATCCAAGTGGTTCCCAACATGTAGGTCAGGGTCCTTAAGACTCTTCCCCATGACTGATAGGAAATCAAGAGGTAAACACACAAATCTTGTCTTCATTGAAGTCCTGTACGATTTTTCAAACATCATACCCTAAAGACAATTAAAATGCTGTTAGATCACCAGTCTTATACTTCAACAAATGCAATTTAACCCTAAGTCTCTTTTAAGATGAGATCATAGACTGTATATGCTATGGACAACTTGGTTCCACCTTCCGCCAGTATACAGATTTGAAGCCGGAAAGCTCTCGGTAATTCCGCGCTTTTTCTCCACTTCCTGAAACGGACATTGCGCAGTGGCGTTGAACGCATAGACATAGAAAAGAAAGGCTAGATGAATCGAAGCGGAGACACCGGCGTCCGTACACGGCGGCCATCTTACTTCAGTAGCTATACTATTCTGGTACATTGTATGGTAGCTGACGAAAAGTGAGTAATTTGCATGATCAAAAATACTCTTAACTCGCTGGAATCTTGACAGATTTACAAACGGTTTTGTTTATTACATATCTTCACAACGTGGCTAACAGGTAACAAGTGAAACAGTGTCACTTAGTGTTTTTACGTCATGTAAAAGAAAAAGAGTTAATGTGTTGAATTGACTGCAACTGGAATTAAAAATACATGTTTCATGTTCATCCATTAAAAATTCAGCTATGTTGAATTTCCTATAGACAGACTATCATATCTAAATAATGCAGCTGAGAATCAATTTTCTCTTGAATGCGTAGATCTTAATTAGACCCAAACTGACCTGCGTGTTACATGTGCTCCGCAGTTAGCACCAAATGTGTTTTTACCATTGGACATACAGCCTCTTACTTACATGTTTGTTAATTGTTTTGGTATATGATGTAATAGGCCAACCTGAAGACACTGTTGTTGAGAAATCAGTTCTTCTTGCTGCTTGTGCTCTGGGATAAAGACAGTTTAATCACCTACTTTGAGCTATAACTGTCACTCAACTTGACTGAAACAGTTTGCCGTACACTTTGACACTAGTCTAAAGCTGGGTGAAGTTAAGGCAGAGCCTGATTACATTACTGCAGCAAACTCAGAGTGAAAGGAGCTAATGCCCAAGTCACTCACCTTCTCACCTTTATTTTAGTGGTTTGAAAACTGCATATAAAATGAATGTAATGGACTGAATATTGTAAAGAGATTTTATTCTACACTACAAACTTGAACTTCACATGAATAAAGAGTCGGTGGGGTTTAAAATCTGCTACTGCGGACCATGACTATCTGCTCAAGCTTCTTCTGCATCGCTCCAGTTTAATATCTGAATACATTTCTCTTATTTTCAGCAATTATGAGTCAGGACTGCGAGTACTGTATAAATATAGATCTTTATTTATTTATGAACTTCATATGCTCAGTTTACAGTGTTGGGGGAACATTACTTTCATTCAAACTAACCTGTTACACTACATGATAAAAACAGAGAAAAATAAGTGGATGGTTTGAGCTGCTGCAGGTTGTATTAGTTGTGGTTATGTTTAATGACACACTATAAAATCTAAATACAGTACATTACCCTATTTTACTAATGTGAAGCAGTTACCATGAGAACTACAAACATACTTGTTACATGAAAAATGACTGAAATAAAATAACAATTACTACAAATTTTAATGTCCTATCATGTGCTATAATTAAAAGTTAAATAAAACCACGAAATACATAAAAAATATTTGTAACATGTGACCCTCAACACTGTTTAAAATAATATACCTTTAAAATACAAAATTATACTTGATATAAAGTATCAGTGCATAATCACTTCCTTCCAACGTTGACGAGAAACCGGTCAAAAATAAAACATCCTTTGGAAATTCACAGGGCTTCAATATATCCATTTAACACTATAGTCTCTCACTAACAAATACTGTTTTCCTTGCTCTCCTCAGTGGTTTCTACAAAGTCTGTAGTTAAGGTTTGGTCCATACACCAGAAAACAAATCAAATACTGACAGAAAATGGACATTTCTCATGTTAACATATAAACAGTGAACCAGCGCAAAGTGGTGCTACCTTCAAAGATATGGAGAGTTTTTTTATTTTTAAAGCCTGCTCTGCAAGCTTCACCAACACTTGTTTCTGTTTCTGCAGGAGCACAAACCACCTGACTTTACTATGAGTGAATACAGCAGCACAAACACGTGGAGCGAAAGGATGGTGACATTCGAGGTTGACTGAACTAGAAGACCTTTTGGTTAATCTGAAAATGTAAATCGAAACACACTGAAGAAGATTAATGCAATGACTGGCAGTGTTTAAAGTCTAAATAAATATGTTTTTTTTTCACTAGTGCTTTGTGTATCTCATGTTTCTAACAATTTATAACTTGATAAACAAATCCATCTCTCCTCTCACTTCAGACAAAAATCAAATAGTAGAATAATGGATCTTCTTCATCAGTAGGAGGACCCCACACAGAGCGATTCATTTACACATTTTCATGATTGATCTGTGATGTTAAATCTGACCTTGTCTGGTCTTCATTGCAGCCCCACCTCATGTCCTCCATAAACCTTCATTAACCTGCGATTTTATATAACCTGAAGAGCTTTAAAGCACATCCCCCTACCTCTGTCACTCGGGATCAACCCGAGTAATTCAAGCTGATAGTTTTATTACAGGAGCACCTCAAATGGGGAACTTTCAAAATCAGTAACTGGTTTAATTCTTTGCTTTAAGCTTCAACTAATCTTTATCCTAACAGTCATACAAGCCAAAACAAAACAAACAACAAAAAAGTTTCCCCAAAGTTACCTTCAAACATTCATTTTTTCATTTCAATCAAAACAGATAAAGCATTAGCATTTCCTCTCTTCTCTTTTTTGGATGTAGATCTTCATCTTCAGGCCTGTGGTTCAGTGGGAATCATTGTATTTTGTTTTTCACAGTAGTTGAAATAAATACCTGAGCCAGTTTTCACCTGTTCGATACATCACAGTGAATGTTGGAGGGACCAGCAGCATTAAGATCAGCCTACGTCTGAAATTTTTGGTGAGGAATCTACAGACTGCAGGCTCCTTTTACCAGGAGAGAAAATGCCCTGGAAGCTGGAAGATGCAGAAGTAACATCTGAGTGGATTGATGATCCTTTCTGAACACTTAAGAGAGAAACAACCTCGTGTTTTTCCTCTCAGACTTTGCTACATTACAGTCCAAAGATAAGAGTCAAAAACAAGAGGGGAAACAAAGCAAAGGCCTGAAGGCTGTTGGTCAGGTGCTTTAGGGGGGCGGAGTTGAGGGTTACACAGGTGGGGTGGAGTAGCGCACCACATAGTTGTAGTCAGGTGGTGGGCTGTGACACTCCAGCGCCGAGTCGTCCAGCGTTGAGTCATCCAGACTGAAGTCCAGGTTGGGGACCATGGGCAGGAACTTGTCCTTCTCAGTGTCACTCAGCACAGACTCTTTGCTCTTACTCACCGCCTTCATCCTGAAACACAAAGAGATAAAGTCATCATTATGGATGTACACACCACACACTGAGGACATCTGAGGCTGGACCTCAGGCCATCCCAGAGTTAGAACAAAACACAGTGAAGCACTGCTTCTCTGTCCTTTCAAAATGGTATGGAATACATTAGTTTAATAAGTAATTTAAAAGCAGAAAGAAACCATTATAAAGAACGTAAATCTGTCTTAAAGCTTTTCTAAACTTAATATCACATCTTCAGTATCCATTCCCAAGAAAATCAGACCCTTCTTAATATTAATCCTTTGAATAATGTTTTATTTTTAGGGGAGGTTTGCATGTTCAGAAGATAAACTCGTGCAGCTAATCATTTAAGTTGTTGTGCATTATATCAGCATCTTCTGTTTTAACATCTTGACCCTCACAATAGAGGTTCGCTCTGATATTCTTTGATGTTAGAAGTACCCTGCAGTGAAGCCATACAATCAGCCGAACCTTTCTTTATTCAAATATGATGTAATTAATCATCCCGGGATTTTCTGCTTCATTTGGCCCTCAGAATATGAGTAATTGCCTCTCATTGTCTTTGGAGGTTGCTAGGGGTTTCCAAGCACCTCTCTCAAGGCCAAGGGGTCACACCCAGCGGGAGGAAGTGACGCTGCGGTACTGGAATGTCGTCCTGGTGAATAAACTACCTGGTGAACTCGGCATCAAAATAGTCAACAATGGTACTGAGTTGCCATGCCAATGCCAGGCTCAAGGGCGGGGTTATTTATTGGCGATTGAGCCACAGGAAACAAGGAGTCAGGGTTAAATCTCTTTCATCCTGAGAGGAACAATATCGTCTTTGTTTTTTTTATGTTTTTGAAGAAGTTTGTGCGAAACGAGTCGGGTCATGTGCGACAAACAAGAAGTCATCAGGCGAGAGGAGTGCTGAGGGCGCAATAGCTGGACCTCAGTGAAAATAAAGGGGCACAGTGCTACAGCTAAAATGGGGAGGACCTTTTAAACTTTCCATAAGTCAATGATCAGCTGCCAAGAGAGGGAGTCCTTCATTCAAGATGATTTTCAACAAGCCTGGACTGACCCCTGATAATATGGGCGCATGCAACCTTCATTTAAAGTTATGAGATTTAAATAGATTTGGGATTGGAGGTTAATACGCTCCATAAACATGCTCAGTGCGTGCAAGCTTCATTTTGCCTCAATCTGTGTGTCATTTTCTGTTTTTATCCCTCAACTGATAATAAATTTGGGAAGCATAAAGATCAGCTTTAGAGAAAATGATTTCCTGATGTTTGTCCTTTTCATCTCTCGTGTAAAAGCCAGCGTATTTGGAGGGTAAATTATTAGTTGCTTCTATGCAGGAAACAGCAAAAAAAGAGAGTCAAGGTTTAAGCCCGTAAATACGCAGCCACTTTCAGACTGAAAATTGTAGAGAAATTTGACTCTATCCTCAAATAACCTCTAAAGTCGGACCAATCTGTTTCAGAGGGTTTTTTGTTATGTATGACAGGTTTATTATATATGTGTCCTGGCAGGATGTAGGATCTCGCAGCTCTCTAAAGATGATCCACAGGATTTTGAAATAAGGACTCTAGGCTGAGGTTGTTCTTTTGAGATTATGCGTGTTTGTTACACAGCAATACATTACAGCAGACAGCCATGACTCATACGCTGAATCCGTCTGGGAGGTATCTCATTCAGGGCTTGGTAAGTGAAAACAAAAGGCTTTTGGTGCTCGCTCCTAAAACAGCCAAACCTCAAGTGAAGCATCCATGCTCCTTTGTGCTCAGTCCTTCACTTTGTCACCTTCAAGCTGTTTTCCGCCCTCTATGCCTCTGTCCCTAACGCATGGCTGCACCGGACAAAAGGGAAAACTAGCCGCTGACGTCTTTTTAAGGCAGGAGAAATGTGTGTGTTTGTGTGTGAGTGTGACAGTTAAAGTGTCTACATTCCAGCACAGCGGGGAGGTTTCTAAGCAGGTATTTTGAAGACTCTCTTTGTTTGTGCGTGCTGGTTTGTCTGGTGAGAGTTGCTGAGAAGGGCACTTAAAAGAGTAGAGCACTTACGCCAGAGCCATGATGCTCAGAGGTCTGCCTGCCAGCGACTCGAGGCGCTTCAGAGTCTTCATGTTGTCGGATGAGAGGCCCATCCCGCTGTCTGATTGACCGCCCTGATGATGAAGATGATGGAACAGACAGTGTAAATCACCCCTTTCTTTATAAGAGCTGAATGAATAACTGCATAAAGTGCTTCTAAGTAAGTGGATAATACATTTAAAGGACAGTTTAAAATCAGTATGAGTAGTATTAAATGTTATCAGCATGCCATGAAGATAAAAAAACGGGAAATGATCCAGTTTGGACAAGAATATTACGCACATCATGAAATCTTTAGATAAAAGGTGAAAATAGTTGTTTTTTTAGGCTTTAACTGCACTTTATACTTCACCATCCATTTAAAACAATGCCTGTTACTGCTAAAACCTGGCAAAGTCTCTCTCTATTATCACTGTTGTAACCAAAACTGTCCTAGCAAGTTTGGCCAAGCAGATCTAATGGAAGCTTAAAAAAGCATTAAATAAATGTTATTTATTTAGTTTATTTATTTTATAAATGTATTTCAAAAAGAGAAACAAAGGGTATCAAGTCTTTAAAGGTAGCAAACCAGCAGTTCAAATACCCTTTTTTAATTTGAACCAACAGAAGTGAGGAAAACAGCAGAAACAAACTCAATGAGATGGGGCCAAATATAGCACCTCCATATAACATGATAGTAAGGAAGCTACAGTCATTGGTACCATCCAAATCAAGATTAGGTCTCATTCAGTTCAGCCGAGTCACAGAAAACAATAACTTTTATGTTCTACCATAAAGTTTCTGTTGAAGTCATCTCAGCCGCTCTGCTTCAGACAACATCCACATTTATTTGTTTCAAGTTTGTTTCTCCAGTGGATAACTGACCTCATGGCTCTCATTCGTCAGGTGCTCCATGGTCACCTCATCGAAGGTTTTCACACTGGCGGGACGAATCTTGACGTTCCTGGTGAGAAAATATTTCCAGTGTAAATCTCCAGAGCACCCTAAAATGTTTTCATTCTGTTTAGAGGTTGTGTTTGATTACACTGGAGCCCAGAGCAAAGTTCGGCAACAAAACCGCAGGAACGTAATCACTTAAATCAACAACGAGTGGCGTCTATGACATTGTTCTTTGAAAACACGCTTTGTTTACTTTGAATTTCAACACTCAGAGACTGAAACGACCGCTTAATTTAGCTTAAGGGGTAACTGTCATTACTCCTTTCAACACCTTCTCCATAAACACTCTGGTGGACCTGTGAAAACCCAAGAGCTCAATAAATATTATTTTAAGTGGACGTAAACCTTGAAGCCAGCTTTGTGGTTTTAGGTGAGAATCCTCACAGGAGCTGCAAACACTGAAAGCTCTTCGGCCATCAAGTTGGGGTGTCTATATTTCTTATCATGTGCACATCGGGACTCTCATTGTCCTCAGGTTAGATACAAATGTTCTCCAGGTTGAGTTTAGTCTGAGCGCTACAGGGACACTGAATGTTTTGGATATTATTCAACACAAAGTTGAAAAATGTTTGAGGAATTTCCTTTGCAAAACAGTCCCTGCACGGTTTGCCTCGACAGTTTGAGGACAGGTTTGCAAATCTTTCTGATAAGATGATTTATTTCATTCGAAAAGGCTAAACAAGCACACGGAGGAGTTTAACAGATACGAGCCAAAAAGGACAAGAAACCACAGCTGGGGTCATTCTTAGGGTTCAAGGGGCTAATGTTAACTTAAGTAGTAAGAGATTAATGTAGAAGGAGGAACTGACACTGTTGTGATAGAAATGAACACTCACAGAAATATTTAGGTCTCATTTCATATCAAATTTCCATTTATTTGAATTACTTAGATTTAATATTAACAAGGCAGTAAACTTTATGTGCTGCATATTTGTCAGTCAAACGTAAATAAAACAATTAAGAATTCAATTATGTAATAATACCAATAAACCCAATGTGATGAGAATAAATAATGAGGATTTATGTATTCATCATTGATAACTCCAATTTGTTTCTGTCTCATAAATTCTAACTAAATGAATCTTGGTACAGCTCATCATATTTAAACTATATTCATATGTTTTAACTGACTAAACTGAATTGTTTTCAGAATAACATATTCATGATATTTTTAAGAAATTAGAATGAATAAATTCTTAAATATTTAATAATTTAAATAAAATCAAATAGATGTAAATACCTAAAAATAAACTTTGCCCTGATACATTTTTCAGAGTGAAGAGAACTGTGTGCTTGATAGACAGTATTGAAGGTTCTGATGGGAAGGAGAATAAGATCAGTTCCTGTCCGAGACTTTTTGCCAGAAAAAACACATAAAATCTGAAGAAGAATAAAGACTTGTTTAGAAGTCATGTTAAAGCTCCTGTGAGGGACTTTCATGTGGGTTCTCCTGTTTTTGGCGCCTCTTGTGGACAAAGCATGTCTCGTTTCAGTTGTTTGTCCTATCCATGTCTATGAATACCCCCTGGCAGTGATTCCAAGCATTAAAAAACTATTGAAATAATCTGTCTAGTGTGGGTTTTTAGGCACATTATTCATTATTAATTTCATAATTTTTCAACAAAAAAAAAAAAATCTAAATCTGATTAATAACCCGCCACAAAGACCGGTCAAACTATCCACCCCTGTCCACAGACATTGTTGTCAGGTGACTTTCTTTATGTCAGCTGTTTAATAAACAATAATCCAAGTTCTTACCAAGAGTTTCCTGAGTCACGGTTGGAGACGGGTCGTGTTGGCGTCTCCTCCGACGGCACTGTGGAGGAAGGATCCCCCACTTTGGCGAGCAGAGCTGTGTTAATGGGTATGTAATGTTTCCCCTCCTAAAAAAAAACAGAGAGAGAATATTTTAGAGACCAGACTTTTGCTTCCATGATGCAGACTTTACTTAGAGATTTAAGTAGGTCAACGCTGCGTTCAGCTACACAAACACACACAGGTTGTGGCAAGCAGCCAAAGAAACTAAAGTCATGCCTAATAAATCCAACACAATGTTCATGAAGTTGATGGAGGTGGCAGAGACCATGACCAGCTTTCCTCTCCTGTAACAACAGTTTTATTTACAGTTTAAGAGTCAAACCCCTCCACTGTTCTGTGCTCAGGCTGATTCGTTTCTCATGAAGATACATTTCACAGACTCTTTACATTAGAAAGGTGCTGTTTTTCATGTGATGTGATGTGATGGGTGGACTTGTCTTTATCTCTGATTGCTTCACTGGAAAACCTGTGTCCTCTTTTTAAAAAAGAAGTGAAATATGACTCCTTTTCTTTGTGTGCTTGATGTACAACCCAACAATGAAGCCTCTCTTCCTCAGTGACTGGAGGTTTGAGGCACCTCATCAGCTTTTGAAAATCATTTTGTCGTTGATTCGCTGTCGTTTAGTACTTCTACTTTAAATTAAAATGGCTCAAAACTCCGGGTAGAGCCTTTAGGTTTGCCTATGTTGCCCACTTTAGTGGTACTAATATCAATATGACACTAATATTCAATATACTATGTGGGGGTCGTAGAAAAAAGACTTTAAAAATTAGGATACAAAAACCACCAATCTTGTCGCCGACGGTCTCATCTGCTTTGGGATGCCATGAAAAGGCATCAATATGATTTTCAGTCTATTTCAATAACGTCAAAATCTTCTGATGGGAGCTTCAACCATCACTTTGTAAATGAAGATGAATGTCCTTGAATGAGGTGTCGTTGTCTAAACTAAACTGTCTATGTGTCTTTGAATGGAGAAGTGGACTAAATATCTGATCTGAAACAGACTGAAAGAAAACCAAACAAATTTTGATTGATTACACGCAGAGCTGCTTTAATTTAATGGTTGCTGGTATTTAGTACGGCTGGCTGTTGTGCTGTTTTGTGTTTTAATATAAGTAACACCCGTGAAAAGTGAAAAGGCTGCAGTGGATTACGCCTGTTGAAATCTGTCAGATGGATAATATGTTTCGATGGTAATCAAATGCAGATTTTCCCCGACAGTGCATTTCAGTTGTCCTTGTTTGACCAAGGAGGACTTTGACTCTCTGACAGATGTAAACAATCCACACACTAAGACCATTTTTAGACACACACAGCATTCAAACCAGACATTGTTATGCTGCGTTAAACTAACAAATGCACCATGCTTTGAAGTGAAGTTCCTCTTACAAGACCGATGAGGCCTTTTCAAAGGAAATCAAATGTTTGTGTCGAGTGTTATTCCCCTCTCGGATACTCTAAGCACACCTCTGGGCAGGGAGCCGCTCTGGGTTTGTCTTTAGGCTGCAGGACTCTAACCAGCATCACTGCTTCCTGACTATTTGCAATCTTTATGAATCACGGAAAAAGTGATAATGGAAAAAGTGAGTAATTTTCTGTGGAGCCGAAGTGTCCAAAAAAATTCTTGAAATATGAGGAAATAACTTCAAACACTCATTTAGATTCAGCACTTTTCAGCTATTTCGGAAACTGTGATTAACTTTCAGTTTGAATCACGTAAAACTGAGAAATCGTGATCCTTATATAACATTAATTTATAGGAGTGCTTAGAATAAAACTCTCGTTTTATTTTTAATTGTATTATTTAAACAGTACACACTCTCTTGTCCGTCATACCTGTTGCACGCTGGCTTGTAGCAGGTCTCCCAGCCTTTCAACCAGCTCAGTGAAGGTGGGTCGCTCCTGTGGCTCCCCCTGCCAGCAATCCAACATGGTCTGATATCTAAAAGCAAGAGTACACCCATAATCAGATATAATCCTCAGAACACTGTATGGACATTTTTGGACAATTCAGGGTACACAGGTGAATCCTACAATTCCAGAATCCTAGAAAAGTCCAGCGGGAAATTTCTTCAATCTGAGATGATTCGGGGTGCTATACCATTTCTGATTTCCTACAATACAAAAACTACCACTACATGCTTTGCTGACCATATTACTGTGATGGATGGACCAGGCAACTCTCCTGACCGGAATCCCAGAGATGATCAGTGAGGTATTTGTCAAGAGGAAGATGAGAGACACCTAACTCAAAAATACAGACGAGCTGAAGGCTGCTATCAAGGTGTCTTGGTCTTCTGTGAAACACCAGCAGTGCCACGTGACATAGATTCAGTCATTTGAGGTTCAGGATCCCCAACAAGGGTTTGAGTGCAAGAAAAATCATAGTTTCAGTGGTTGGAGATGTCTGTATTTTACATCTGGAGTTCTAAATTTTGTTTAAGTTAACCTTTTTGTATTCTGTCAATGTTTGAGATTTATTTTCAGCTTCACACTCTGTCGTCTTTTATAACCACGCCTTTTAAACCGAGAGATCACATCTGCTTCCCCTTTTAAATAAACTTGTCTTAAAAAAAAAAAAAAAGTCATGCAAACCCTGTTTTCTATTTTCGGCAGATCCTGACTGAGCCTCTGGGGCTGTATCCGGTTCTCTCCTGGTCTTGGGTGAGAAGCTCACAGAGTACACATCTTTTCTCAGGTCTCTGACAAGCTGTCAGTGTCTCTGTCCATGTGCTAAGACTCAGAGCCTGCATGGGAGTTCACATCCGTCTCATTTTTTGGGGGAATTTAGAGCCCACAGCTGCTTAATAAGATTTAGTTACTAAGATATAAGAGATTGGGATTGGTTGGTGATGAATCCCAGTTTTCCAACAGAAAAACTTGGTTTTAATGTTTTCTGTAGACACATAACGGGGTCTTTGTCAATCAACGGTGGTATGTTACTCTACTCAGTGTTGCCTCGCTGAAAGAAGCCGAGCAGCTGTGATACAACCTTAATAAACATATACTGCACTCATCCAGGTGGAGGTCCTCCTAATGTAGAGGCAGGATGTAGAGAGCGCAATCACTTCCTTTATTCATATCATTGATGGGGGGTGTAAGACACATTGTATGGGTGCACAATTTAAAGCACATTTCCTGCATGATTTGTGATGAGAATAAATAGCCTTCCCTGCATGTCTCAGGACTGGAGGGAGTGTGGTGTGTCTGAGGGAGGGGGGGTATTGTAGAACTAGGCTACTTTGTCCGGTTGGTAGGATGGGAAGTGAGCATCCTTTTTATTGTCCTCCCACTCTCTGAGCAGCATCCGCTAAATTCCTCTGCAATGCATCAGGACCAGGGAAACGTATTAATGAGGGCAACATTCCTGATGAATCAGTGCACGAGTGGAGTAAACTATTTCCCCCCTAGCTGCCTGTGACCTCTTGTGCTTCTCATCCTACAAAGATTAGTAGAGTGAGGGGTCCGGGTGTCAAAACCAGACACGTGATGGAGTGCAGACCTTTGCAGGGGATCAGAGGAATTTTTCCTCTGACTGCTCCGATTTTTTATGCATCTCTTTCATACTGGTATCAGCAGGCGTTATCTTAGCATTAAATCAGGGGCAGGCCTCACAACCATAAGCAGGCAAAATACATAATCTTGCACTTCTATTTTTGTCAGCGGACTGTCCGTACAAGATGGAAAGTACAAGAGATTCTTGGCACCAGCAGGTCTGCATCTATAGATCTCCTGCTCTGATTGAAGGCTGCAGTCTGGTTTCGATTTTCTGAATCATTTCCAATCACTGTCTTTGTTGCAAAGATGATAAATTCATCCAGTTAGCTTTACTTGGCACAAGTTGCTTTAACACAAAAGACCTTTAGATACCACATCATTATTGAGCAGGAGTGCAGCTTTACGCTTTCAAAACACATTAGATTTGCGGACTATAAGAGTCACTTTAAATTAAAACCAGACACAATGTGTGCACGTACGTTGGAGAGAGACCCAAAGCTCGGACTGTGTTGGTTGGTTCTAGATCAGCTGCACATTTGACAGAAGTATTTTTATTACAGTAAAAGTTTGTCTAGCTGCATCCCTGACTGACAGCACTGTTACTAAAGAAGAGGACTCTCTGTTCTCCCACAGATATTTATGTCCAGCACCATCTACACACCCCTGCTCAAAAACACCCTGCAGTCTATGGCTCTCCTTACTGGGGGAATCTGTGCTCAACACATCCAGTTACATCTGCGCCCCTGTCAGTCAGAAAATACTTAAAAGCCTGAAGCGTGCCGCTGCAGAGCTCATCAGTGGCTAATGTTTCAGAGCTGGATTACCCACAAATCTTATCGGGCGCCCCTGATCTGCTGGTGCGATTACAAAAATGGAGAACAGCACGAGCCTCCTCTTTGCTGTATGTATATGAGAGCCCCTAACTTGCTGCCTCTGTAAGGAGAAACATACAGCCGCTTTGTGGAGGGGGAAAAAATGTAAATTTAAATCAAAAAGTTTTCTCTAAAAAAAGAAAATATTTGAACACCTTAATGCTTCTTTTGTCCGTCTTAAGGTTATACTGCAGATACAAGAACAGCCAATCAAGTAAAGGCTCCTGACAGAATTTACAACACTATTCCCTTTGAGGTGGAAAGTGTGCAGTAAATTTCTTTTTCATTTGTTGTTTAAGGGATTTCTTACATTTCAGAGGAGGAATATTCTGGTGCTCTCATCCTGGTCCCCTCCTTCAGTCTGCAGCAAAACTCCTCATCAATTTGGACACCAGGGTACGGGGAGGCACCTGTGAAAAAAAAATACACAACTTACTTATCGTAAACTCAACATCCAGCCTGTAATGTGTTCTTGGTTACTGGGGTTTGCAATGAGTTACGATCTAAATAAGACCCTAACTATTGTTAAACTTACAATCACAGTTATAGAAAGCAACTTTGATATTTTTAAACATTTCTGCATTATTTATTTGACTGTAGATTTGATTTAGTTAGTCTAAATATTTCATTGCACAATGTAAAAAATGTTTTCCTTAAAATGATCAAAACTACCATGTGCCAATGTACGCCAATTGTGTCATAAAAAAGAAAACACCCTAAATACATTTCACTTATTTAATAATTTGACTCTAATAACAGTCGTCTGGTCTTTAATAACAAACCCTCGGCAGGCCCAGTTCCCTGTCTGGCATCAACACAACACAAACAAGTGTTTGGATATCTCAGCCTCCAAAACAAAACTGACACACTTTTGGCTGGAGTGATCTGAAAAACAAACTGGGGTTACCCTGAAACTTTTGACCTCTAAACACGATCAGGTTGCAAAGCTCACTTCTCGTGCCATTTTTCTCGGTCGTTTTGTATCCTTGTTTCTTGATTTATTTTCCCGAGGCCGTGCTAACTCTACCCAGATGTGTGAGCGTTTCTTTAGGGGAAAAATGTGGTGAGAATGTGCCAAAAAGAGCGAAAAAAAGAGAGGGGAAGAAGAGAGAAAAAGAGTGTCACGATGACGTCGCGGCGCTTTACATTTACAGACCATACAATTTGACACACTTTCTTTAAACCGCAGCAGGTGACAACACTGTATGGCCATGTTTCAAAAGCAGAGCGGTCAAATGTGCGAAACAGCAATACATCCAACTTAGTCTCTCTGCTTTTATAACAAGTACTCTTATGTTTCTCCTGCTTCCCATGGTGACATTTAAACATATTTCACGTTGAGTCTCGCTATAGAAATGTGTTGCTAGCTCTGTTCCACAGTGCACAGGCCATCATGGACCGACACACAATGCTGTTTTAAAGGCTGCAGTGGTTTCACAGCAGGGAAACACTTTTACACTGAGCTGGCTGCTTGGTTACAGTGAGTTTGTGTTACAGCTGGGAAGAAACGGATAACTTAAATAGGAGGTGTTCTCTCGTTTTTATGTCCCATGCCTGCACTAAAAACCACAGTCTAACCTCACTAATGCTTCTTACACGAGTGGCATGAAAACAGTTTTTTCAGGCTGACAATGCAAGCCCAGGCCCTTTGTCCCAAAGGCACAATTTCACAGTGGAAGAAGACAGTTATTACCCCTGTGCATCTGGAGAGGCTCTGCATCGGGGGGCACCAAGTGGGTCTATCAAGTCCCACCTTCTCTTTCCCTGAACTTATCTAAAAACAGAACCACAAGCTCCTTTGACATGCCAGGCTAGAGGCAAATATGTGGATTTAAAAAGTTGCTTCTGTTCCCAGATAAAAAACTGTTTACTCTTATTTGCAGTGGTGTCATTTTGCACTTCAACGTTAGATCCATCTTATCCCTTTTTCTTAAGACCTGTCCTTTCTTCGCACCTCAGTGTGCATGCATGTTAAGTAGTGGTCGATGCTGAGGCCTGACACTCACCCAAAGAGAAGATCTCCCACATGAGAACACCAAAGGACCAAACATCACTCTGGGTTGTGTAGACTTTGTCAAAAATGGCTTCGGGGGCCATCCACTTCAGCGGCAGCCTCGCCTGTTCAGGTAAGGAGATAGAAAAATAATTTACTCCATGCACTCCTTTATCTCAGTTATGGAGACTGATCGCTCCACTACATCTGCAGAGAGCCAGCCCGTATCTACAGTTCCTAACTCAGTCTGTGGGCAGGTTCTCTCTATCTTATCTATCTTTCAAACAAACACACTGAGCTCAGTTGATTTTTGTGTCTTTTCCAGGAACTGCCAAAGTGGTTCAGTCCTCAAAATTGGTAGATGACTAAAAACGTTGCTACAATGAGAGGGGCTGTCAACACTGACCGCCTGTAGACAAGTGTAAAAACTTACATCTCCTTTGCGCACATAGTCTGGGTCTTTGTAGATGTCTCTGGCAAGTCCAAAATCGCAGATCTTCACCACATTATTCTCAGACAGCAGGATGTTTCGTGCTGCCAGATCACGGTGAATGCACTAAAACAAAGAGGAAGAAACTTCATCCTTTTGTTTGCGACATTTACATAAATAAATTCAGGTTTTTGTGCATGTTATTATCTTCAAAATGGTGCTCTGCGTGCGATAAACCTGGCGGCTCATAGAGCAGCACATGGTCAAGTCATCAGTGATATTACAATAGGAGATGATGTGTTCCATATCCAGGCTCTGCAACAGGTTATACACTACAATGACCTGGTTCTCTAATCAGTCCCGCCGGGTCTGACCTCAAAATTATGAATGACATGAAAAATGAATGGATGTTAAAAAAAAACAGTTGGAGAATAGGGTTGTTTTTACAGTAAAGCAGCTGAGTGTGTTGTGATTAAAGCAACTTGAACACATTGTTAAATGTGAGTCAAGAAAAATTTTCACTTCCAGTTTTTACTCTATGCATAAAAAAACTTGAGTGGACCAATTTTTGAGCACAAACACATCGAAATCAAACCAAACAATGTAGTAAAAGGGAAATAGAAATGCAGCACAAATGATTTTTTTAAACATTATTTCCATAGAATCAAAAATTTAGTATAAAAAATGTCATGGTATAGTATGATACAAATGTCATAGTTAAGTATGATAAAAAAAAAATAAAAATTAAGCATAAAAAAATGTCACATAGTTTGTTAAAAAAGTCACAGTAAAGTATCATGAAAATTTTAAATTTTAGTATGAAAAAATGTCACAGTATAGTATGTTAAAAAAAACTTAAATTTAGTATGAAAAATGTTTTAGTATGGTGTGATAAAAATTTGAAATTTGTTTAAAAAAAGTCATACTATAGTATGATAAAAAAATGTTGTAATTTGGGTGAAAATAATACCTTGCGTGAAGCCAGGAACTCCATGCCTTTTGCAACTTGGAAACTGTAGCAAATCAAATCCTCCAATGTCAGGACTCTCTTGTATAAATCTTCAGATTCTGTGAAACAAGAGAACACAGAGGATCCTTACTGTGGTATATTTTTCAGGTTTAAAGCAAATTCCTTTAAATTGAGCATATCAACCTTTCTCATCAAAGCAGACTAGTTTCTAAATGTAACCAGCAGGTCTCTGCTCTTGACAAATAAATCTACAAAGAGGATACAGTAAGGATACTCGAGGGGAAACTGCAAAATGTACTAAACAATCCTTCCTGTCACGTAGCCTCCTCCTCCACACTCTGTCTTTAAAACTTCCTTCATGCATGAGAAATCAAAACAAATAGCAAATCTTCCTTTTTTCAGATGTCAGGTGAAACGTGTGGGTACAGGCCGAGTGCACTGGTCGGGGGTCTGAAGGAGGAACTCATCGGGGAGTCCTTCCACTAAGCCACCTGAGTAAACAGCTAATCAAACCAGAAATAACACGTCAGGAACAACAGGGCCTGACGTGCCGTGCTCAAGCTGGAGCCTGGGAGCAGAGCTAGCTTCAGGTCAGGGCAGGAAACAAACAGACGCCTCCCCAGTCTCAGTGGGGTGACAGTGGCTCCTGCTGCAGTGATTGTACTGCTGAACAGGAGGAGGAAACGTCCCATCAGACTGGGCTGGAAAACAATCCGAGGAGAGCTTTTGGTTCCCTCATAGGCGGGGTGGAGCAGAGGTGAGAGTAGAGGGGGGGACAAAGGGTGAGGGTTGAAAGGAAGCAAGACGTTCTTGGCCTTTACCTTCTTCCTCTTCCTCTGAGTCGCAGTAGCTCTTATCTTCTATGAAGCCAGAGCTGGCAGAGCTTCCGGTGCTGGCCACACTCTCCAGGCGGCGCTTCATCAGCTCGCTCAGCTCACAGCTGGATCCTGAAGACACCACCTTACCGTCCTGACTCTGTGTGGCCAATACACATCAAATTTAATGGGATGAGGTTGAACACAGCTGTTGACATGCATGGAGCCATCCTACATGATTGTTAAAATAGACACTAAAATAGAGGTAGAATGTAGAGTGAGGGAGAGTCCTACTCCTGCATTTCCTGACCCACCTTGTAGACGATAAAATCTTCTCTCTTGCTTCTCAAATAGTTGGACAAGTTGCCATATTTGCAAAACTCCACTATCATCATCAGGGGGCCTGTTAAGAGCATATTTAACAGTGAGTTTTCCTACAAATTACAATTGTTCCAAATAAAGAAAGACAGGACAGGCAAACAGAGAAATCCACTGTTGTACCTGTTCTTTTCTAACATCATATTTCTACACTGAATTACTACAAAATAAGGTTGCGTGTGATATCCTCTCACCTCCAGGCTTGGTGCAGGCTCCCAGCAGGTTGACCACATTCAGATGATGGCCGATGTGGATCAGGATCTTTAACTCTGACATCAGAGCTTTCCGCTCATTGGATGTAGCCCCTCCTGTAACAACATAAACACATATGGAGATTCTTTAGCTAGAGCGATGTATCATTAAACATCCCGGCTCGAAGTATGCACACTTCTATTGGACTGGATTTTAATTATAGGCCTTAAATTATGTTTGTCAAGATCTCCCCATCTTATTTATGTAAGCTTTAAATCTAAACTCCTTTACAGATAAGAATCATGTTCCACATTTATGGCGTAGACATTAAACTAAGCGAGCTAGACTCATATAAAGTTTCAGTTCACATTTAAAGACAGCAGTGTAGAAAAGAAGCAAAGCGACATGATGATGGTATTTTTGCTTCCATGCAATAATGAGGACCCTGGTAGCTGGATTACTGGGGGGATCTAATCCTGAGAGTTCATTAAATATGAAGGAAAAACAAATATTGCTTTTGGCTGGTGATATGATGTCGCTCTTGCTTGTGCTGGAAATCAAACACCAGTATATAAAAAAGGGAGTTGCACACATTATGTTTTTGATCCATTTATTCTGTTTACTTAGTTCTAACCTTGAATTATGAAAATCAAGATGCAGAGGTTGTCTTACGTTGCTTCTCTGAACTAGAAATTTATGAGCTTGAAGTTAAAGCAGTGAGGGAGTCTTTAGATAAACCACGGTCAATTTGAGGAGACCTGCTGCTTTCCATTAAGTTTGACCTACGACAGCGGGAGAGTCTGTTCTTTCCAGAGAGCCGGTGAATTATGCCGAGCCGTGATTAATAGTATGACAGCGGGCGATACATCTCACCATCAGCCGTGTTTTTTGTTCCTACAGATACATGAGTTTATCATATATCAATGATAGGTCTGCAGTTTCATCGCACTGAAAAGAGCTAGATGTTTTTAAACTAGATCTCCCTCACACATGAAACTGTGGGGAATAATACAACAAAGCATCTGTCATCGCTACTCATTTGAGCTTGTTGGTTTTCCTGTTTTCATTTCGATCCAACATTCGAGTTTCTTGGAAAAAAAATCTGGAAAGATGTTGAAATGAGATTGTAAAACATTCATCTTAAAAATCAAGAGCGGAGAGGAGATAGTTTCCAAATGTTAAAGTCTCCACAGTGTGGCGAAAAATAGATGAACTTGTTGTTCCTCTTTCTTTTTCACTTGTAGCTCTCCGGCTTCTGAACTCTTCTTCACCTGCAGATCTCGCACATTCTGATCCGAGCTGTTAGATCTGTATGCACTCAATCTCTTCATCAAGGAGAGGGTTAGAGGGCTTAGCCTTTACCTCTATCTGCACTCCTAAAGGAACAGACACTGCATGCTTTTCTTTGAACTGATACGCTATACAAACATTAATTGCAGGCATATGTGGTGCTCTAGCTCATGAGTCAGTAACGTGCACACAAAATAAATCCTCTCAGGAATGGCACATAAATGTTATTCATCTGCTACCCATACAATAGTATATCTTCTCATGCTAAAGCTGGCCTCTCCATCATGACTGGTAGTGTGTCTGGAATAAAAAAACACAGTGGGCCACGTAGGCAAACTTGAGGTATGTGCGAAAAGGTCGAGTCACTGTGTTAAAAACTCCTTCCTACCTTTCAGCATTTTGACAGCCACAGTCTTGCATGTTGAGAGCTTGTCGATCCCAAAGGCAGAGGCCTCTACCACTTTCCCAAAAGCTCCGTGTCCAAGAGTTTTGCCTGGCAAAGGAAGAAGGTATTTTTAAAATGGGATGACATTAGAGCTTCCTGTCCTGCGGGGAAAATTTCAGAGTGGATTCCCTGTCAGTCAGGCGATGGCTCTGTAATTAAAACAACATGCTGGCGCGCTGATCAGCAGGCAGCTTTTCTTGAGGATTTATGGTTCGCTTAAATCTGAATGACGGCACAGGTCACTGATGAGTAATGACCCTGCACATCAGCTGGGGAGAAGGGTAACACCTATCTCATTACACAAACTGCAGCTTCACATTTCCTTACTGACTCTTAACTTTTTTTATTTTCACTAAATCATTTGACATCTGTGAAATTTCATGTATGGTTGAACCTGTTTTCTGTGAGCAGCAGAAAATAGTGTGACTCTCTCAACAAGTTTCCTTTTCGTTTATCTCACTGTGTCTCTCAAGCAGCGGTGCCAATGATAATAATCATGCATTTACCTCGAAGGCGAATTGTGGATTCTTCAGTTTATCAGGTATCATGATATGTAGTTAAATGATTGTCTTGCTATTCATTAAATCTTGCAAAATTGCTGTATCAATAACATTGTATTGTGAGTTACTCTGGGATTCCCACCACTGTGTACAATAGCAATAAAATATGCCCAAACCAGCAATGGAGGCCACAGCAGTATACAGTATAAAGAGGTTACATCAATCAATGAAGTGACAATTTATCACTGAAAGTATCGCATTAACAAGGACTGAGCACGCTGGGTTATGTGCATTCAGTAAGGTAGCCAGCAAATATTTTGATATTATATCACATGCATGAATAAAACATCATTTCAACAGCTGCATACGCTCACTCATGAATTTAAGTTTAGCACAGAAAAAGTTAGAATAAGTATGTGCATCATGTCCTCTAGAAACCATTTGGAGCCAATTTGTAATATCCTTCAAACTTGTTTGTAAAGAAGAAGAAGAAGAAGAACTTTATTGATCCCCGAAGGACAATCTCTTTATATGGGTCTCTTTTATACAAAACAAGAAAAAACACATTCTCCTTATTGGTTGGTTTGTGAAATTCTCACCCAGTCGCAGGCGGTCACGTGGAAACTCCCATTTGCTGCTGTCATACTGAAGAAGATCGTTCTGCTCGTCGAGGGGACACTCATCAGGGTCAATGATGATAGACGGACCCATTTTATAGTGTGCTGGTTGCTGAAGGTAGAGATAAGCATTAGAATTTGAGGGGCCATACTGACAATCATGGCAAAATTAAAATTTCATAAGATCTATTTTATTTTGTTTAGTTGTTTAAAATGTTAAGCTTTAAAGCCTCGCTCCACATTTCTCTTTTGAGTGAGCACATGATGTTCTCTTTTGAGGCCATAGCAAACATGCACATATGATTAGCACTTCACCATCCTCGTGAAATGTGGAAATCATAAAACACAGACTAAATTTGTCGTCAGGAAACTATATTTCACAAGAGGCTTGAATCAGTTGCCTGAGGCCTGATTTAGTCACTCCCATAAAGTCAAAACAAAAGAGGATCTGCAAACATTTCACAAAAGCACTGTCACTTGTTTGACTGTTTGAACTTTCCACATCTTGGCGAAAGCTAATCTCATGTGGTTTCTGTGAAAAAGAAATAACATAGTGCTTACCTTTCTCAGCTTGCGGATGAAGAGGATAAGCATGAGCCAAAGGAACGTGGCTGCAGCCCCTGTGCACACCAAAATGATTACCTCAACGTTTGGCTTCCCTTCGTCGCCTGGAAAGAGAAGAACTGCTATGAACTCCCAGACCACAGAGAATCGCAGCGTACTATTCATGATCTCATAAATCTTCATATTAATTTGACAGGGATTTGTGAAAAATAGATAGAAATGCAATGAAAGACCCATAAATTTAAACCTCTCTTTTTTTTCTTTTTCCTGTTTCTCTTTAAATGTACTCTGAGAAATTATACATCAGATGTAAGTGGAAACACACTCAGGTGTTTATTTCCTCGAACATGTTTATCACACTTTTTTCTTTTGTGTTTTCATCCAAACAGTTTTTTCTGACAGTCAATGTCGAAGCTCCGACAGCTAATATCCTGTGAATCTGTACTAAGTTCAAGCAAGCCTTGACTAACTCTTCAAAGCAAGATGCTGACAATCTTTGTACAATGGAAGAAACAGAATATATGAACTCTAAAGCTGGAAAAGTACATCTTAGTTCCAGCATAATAAGAACCTATGTAGCTTCATAGATGTGGAGAATATTGGCTGCATAATATAGCATCTGCAATTTCATTCCCTCCTTTACAGCTTCATTGATTTTACATGAAAATGTCCACGTAAGGTAAGAGAGCGGCTTCTACTCCAATTATCTTCTGTGTATTTCTAGTCCCTTAGCTGTTGTGGATGTCAATCTCTTCTCGCTCATTAGTGGACCTCTTAACACTTCACTGAGGTCATGTCCTCAAGGCAAGGACACTCAGCCAGAGCCTTGATCATAAAACCCAAAAAGGAATTCACTCGGCATTCCTGGCAGCTACAGATTTTCTGTCAGGGGAGACTTCACGCTAAAGTCCTGCCTGAGCTGTTTGTTGTGCGGACAGGAAAACACAAAGCTAACAGAACCTCTGAGACCTTCTGATGGGACATGCAGTTTAATCAATAAGTATGCAGGATTCGCTACTTCACACATACAGTGTCAAACTGTGGATGGTTTTGAGGGTTTGAACCTGTTAGGATGACTTACCCAGGACGGTAACGACAGCACTTGTTTTTGCCATCCCCTCCACATTACTGGCGACACACTCGTACAGACCCTCGTCATCTTTCTTCACCCTCTCAATGGTCAGCATTCCGTCTACTCCAAGTGTGATACCTGCAAACACGCAGCCTCTCAGTCAAACTTATATCATCGGGTTTAGAGTTTGAAGTGTGTATTTTGAACAAAAATAATAATATTCATAATGGATGTAAAAACTGGGGCTCAAACTAACTAACTCACATCAGTTGTCAAATAGAATATATTAAGGTGAAAGGTCATGTTTCTCAGGGTAGAGGTTGATTTTTCCTTACAATCATTGGAATAGTTAGCACTGTTGCTTGCACGTAGATGCAAATACGAAACCCTGAATACAATCTTTAAAATAGGGGTGGGAGAAAAAATTGATTCACATGAGTATTGTGATCTTTCGTTTTACAATTTTCAAATCGAATTTTATGTTCAAAAATCTTTTTTTTTTTTTTTTCAAATTTAAGAATAAATTTTCAAAACTGGCTTACATGTGATGTGTATTTTTTGGGGAAATATGGTTCCTGAAATAGTCAGTACACAATCATAATCATCATGTTAAAAATGCAGACTGAAATCAAGAAAATCGTGACAATATTGTAGAATTGCAATTTAAATCGAATCAGCATCCAAAAAAATCATAGAAGAATCGAATTGGGAGAAAAGCATATCATCCCAGCCCTACTTTATAATGCAGACCAAACCTTCAAACATTGTTGTGCAACACAAGTCATTGCAAGTGTAGTCTTACAGCACTAACTTCTTGATTTTTGTAGCACTTGTTCACCAGTACTACACTTTTGCCCAAAAATCAGGTATTACAAATAATACTTTTCCGAGATTACCTGGTCCTTCTTCCACTGGAACACCGTTTTTGAACCACAAGATGTAAGGACGAGGAACTCCAAGAGCAAAGCAGGCCAGGTTCAGGGTGCTGCTACTGTTCACATCTTGATTCGTGAGATTTTGACTCAGCCAGGGGCGCTTTCTCGCTGCACGAAACAAAACAACAAAGAGTTTAAGAGTCACTTTCCCTCTACAAGTGCATCATTTAGTCTGCAATTCTTCATGTACATGACAACACATATACACAAAACTACTTTAATGCTGCTACAACAGCTTACTGTTAGCAATGGTGTTAAAATTAGTAAAGATTACATGCTACAAAATGAAATTAGCATCTCAAAATCTCCTTAAATTTACCATCCACGGTAAGCTGAGCTGGTTTGAGTTCAACCCTCTTGTGCAGCTTTACTCCTCGGCATGTGTAACCTTTGGTGCTGTTCTTGGTCACATTGTGCAGATGGAGAGAGAGGGAGATGGAGTAGCGGCTGAGCTGCAGACTGGACACATTGGAGGTGATGGTTTGATTCTTGGAATCCAACCACTGCAGGTCTGTGTAGAGGTAGCGAGCTGCTCGACAGGTCAGATTGATGTCATCTCCAGCAATGGCTGTTTGGGGTTCGATGGTGATTTCTTCCGGTTGATCTAGTGTGATAAAGAGGAGCTTTTTTTTATAATGTTCAACATGTACGGACAGAGACATGAACCTGCTGGCTTGATATCCTATTTCCTTGATATCCTTGATATCCTATTTCGAATGATAGTTTTCGACACAAAACTGCTCGTCGCTTGGTCAGGAATGTCAAATTTGTGGTTATTTCCTGTTTCATCAGTGCTAATTGGAAGCATGTTGCCGATAGACAGCATTGCTGATGGCGCTCATGCACTCAGCCAGTATGAGGGAAGCTGTGTCTGGGCCCCAGGGGAACCAGACTGTGCTTGTTTATTCAGATTGCTGGAAAGCATTCTGTGTTCCGTAAGAGAGGACAGCTGTTATTACAATTCTGTCCTCTTTTCTCGCAGCATTCCTTCATTCTCCAGCTTCTTCACCTCTGGAAGAGAGCACACCAGTCCTCTTGGGAATCCTCCCAGTGAGAGGCAAATTTTTCAGTACTTGGCAGCCCTTCAAATATGGGTTTACCTACTTCTATCGCTCATCCAACAAAAAAGTAATCCTTCACCCTTTCAGCAAATAACATTTTGGGGAAACGGGATTCACTTAGTCCCAAAGTAAACTCTGCTCATGTGCAGTGACACCTCATCCTCACGATTATTACATAACTGTGTCGCTGGATATTCGTTTCAGAAACATTTGGAAATGCTCAGATGCACATAAAAAGTATGTTCTTATAGCAGAAGGCGCACAGAGAAGAGGAATGACCTGCTAGCACCAGAGCAGGAATGCAGTTATTCAAAGCTGTTTTTAAACGCATGCCATTATGGCTCTCCATATGGCTCAGGACATGTTTGCCTCTCTTCCGCCCCGCAGCAGTTCAGCTACAGTGGGAGATGGTTTCAATTAATGCCCCCCTCTGGTTTCTTTATTGCACAATACAATCTGCACATTCCTTCCCCGCTCTTGCAGTTCATTACAGCATGTACTGTATGCATAGATCATTTGAAAGAATCTATTGCATGGTATAGTACACTTTGCATGTCAGCAATTTTATATCCCTGTGACCTGCTTACCATCAACGTAGAAAGGGATCATCAGTGTGCTGGCGCCATCTCCATTGTAGGCCACACAGGAGTATTTCCCCGATGTACTGGCTTCTCCTATTACCAAGGTGCTCACAGTCTATTTGGGATCAAGAAAGAAGTCGTAAATAATCATCACACTGAGACAGAACAACACAAGAGCTTCACAATTACATTTCTGTGATGACTTATGATCAGAGCCCAGTAACCATAAAAGCAGTGCTCATTAACCATCAGGTGAAGAAGTCTGGACCTGGTCAGGTCTGCTTTATGCGTCCCTGAATGAAACATGAATAAAAGGATACATCTGGAGTTTAAAACCTGCTGAGTCTCCCTCTGACCTGTGCCATAGAACTGGTGCCTGGACCTCATGTTCATTTCCTGGAAAGCACTTCTTATGCCAAACTTGATTTTGTCATCACACCGGTACAACATTTTAATGGCTTAAATAGACAAAATAATAAGTGAGACCTGGCTGAGGGCCAGACTGTGTGGGGTTCTGTTTAGTGTCCAGAGTGACATGTGTTTTTGGGGGCAGTCAAGTTACATCAAAGAGAGGGAATGATGTGGGTGTATTGTCTGGGTGTTTGCAGGCCTGAACTTCCTGGGCTTGTAGGAGCTATTGTGTTCATTTTAAGACGCACAGCTGCAGCCATGAAACAATTTCAGCGTCCCTGTATTCCCAGTGTTCACCATACAAACACTCAGGGAGTTAAAGAAAGGGTGTTTAAAAGTAAAATCATATTGTCTGATCCATTTTGCCTTGACGTTTGTCAAAACATTGACTGAGTGGTGTTGTGCTATTATGTTACAGCTATTACTCACCATGATGTAACCGGAGCTCAAAAACACTCATTTAAATGGTTACACACAGTCCCATAGAGGTGACCCCACCAGACACAGTGTGACCTCTGTGCCCATGTTGTCCCCCTGTGTTTTCCTTATATTATGAACCAGGCCAGTCTGCCTTTCTACTGGGCCTTGTGGGGAACGACTCAGAGCGCTGGCCCTGACTTGTTCTTATTCACGGACCAACACGATTTATGTGGGGTGACAGAGAGGAATTCACTTCCAACAAATCCCTCTTCTTTTAAACTGCTGCTTGTTATCATTGACCCTTAAGTCTAACCCTCATAAAACACCAGCGTTCAGCTGGTACTTGTAAATAAGTGGTGCCTCCCAATTTATGTCAAAGACATATTAGACATGATGTCCAGAGGCTGAATCTATAGTGGCATGGTGATGCGATCACTGCTGAATAATCAGGGTGCAAAAGTCAATCAATCAATCACCTAGTTTATGCAGGAGAAACACAAATGAAAAAAGATGTTTAGATTGGAATTAATCACTGATTCTTTCTCCTGTTGAAAACCTTCATTACAATGAATTTGTGCCCTAATTTAACCCAGCCTGCTGTAATGGCTTTCTTTAACATAATCCTATTGACAGGCTCTTGTGAATCAAGGAGGGTCTGGTCTTAATTATGGTCAGGGTGAACAGTTTTAGTAACACATTCCCACGGGATGTTTGCAGCAATGTCTACAGTTTCCTCACTGTGTGGCATGTTTCAGTTTGCATGGCAACATGTGTTTGATGAAAAAAAGCTGGCAGACCAGTAAGTCTCATGTTAATGTTCAATAGTTGATTTTGCAGGAAACATCACTCAAGAGTAACAACACAACCAAGTCTGCAACAATCCAGAGCTGTGACAAAGACTCGCTCTCTGTGCTGAAAAACACTGCTAATAAAATCTTGACATTTTGTACAAGTTCAATAAAGTATGCTTACATAACAAAAGCACATTTCCATCTGTTTCCCAGTGTGCTGTGTATAGTGGCTCATCTACAAAGGTAATGGTGTGGAGAGTAATCTGTTGAAGTCTGTGGTCTGCCCTTGGCACATGCAAGGCTTTGGCTTCACAGTGTTTATAGCACACAGCTCTGAGACTTTCAACGTTAAAAAGATTCAGTGATGACAGAACTGAAGTTGTGTCATTGGCAAGATGGAGCTTTCTTTATGAGGACTGATGTCTATCATTTACAAGAGTGATGGATAAGACTCTTTTTCTTTATAGGAAAGCCTTTGTACCCAGTGTAAACATGTCAATATGTTAGCAATTAAGTTTATGGCACAAATGCACAGTATTCCTTAATAGCATTTTCCTTTCAGATGTAGCACATCGTATGCATGAAACCAAATTATTCCCGATTCGAAGAATAAATCAAGCTCTTTAACTGCAGGAATGAAAAACAACACCAATTTCTTCAAAAAGGAATGCTAAGGGCATTTTCATGGCTTTTGGTCACGGTTGCACAAGCTAAAGCGGATGCAGACAAAATGAATCATTCTCAGTAAAGAGAAATACTGCATTGCTGCCAATGTGAAGAAAATTATGAGGATTTATTGATTTCAGATGTTGATTGCCATTTTCAAGCCCCGGTCACAGGAGATTTCTACTTGAATTTGTCCACACTATGGAGTGTTCTGAAAATCTCTGTATCCCACTCTCATTTAAAACCTGCTGTTGAGTTAATCATTGCTTTTTGTCTACACTATTTCATGCTCAGTGAAGTATGCTTGAAGTGCATGAGTTGTTTGAAAATCATGCGGTAACAGTGCATACAAAGATGAACCACATACCTTGTTTTTGCTTTTAACCAGGTAAGGCTTGATGATTATGCTCTTGATCGGGTTGTGGGGGTAATTTTCTTTGTCATCAGCTCTGACCTCGATTGGCTTGGTGTCAATGCAACTGCAGGACAGAGGATGTGCAAGAAAAGATGTAAAAGGTGAATGTTTTTCAGAACTAAACAATACAGCACACAAAAAAGGAAACTTCATGTTCTTTCACTTAAAAGCCTTAAGATGATTTTAAATCACATCCCACTCAGATGGCATGATCATGATGTATGATATTTGATTCTATGGAAAAATATCAAGGTCTGGACTGGCCACTCAGGGTTTGAAACATACAGAAAGCCTTGATTTGACCCCACCCTCAAACCTTCACTGCCTGTGGTGGGGAACAATCAGCCTGATGAGAGGAGATGCAGAGGAGGAAACAGCGAACAGCGACAGGAAGGGCTGTGCTGTGTGTCAACTCGTGCAGGAAACCCCCCTGGGTTCTGGCCAGAGGAGATAAGGTTGATCCTGAGACCTTGGCGGTCAACAAGGGACAGCTGATAGCTTCTCAACCTGGTGATAAAGACATCTCCATATTCCTACCCGCTGCACTTCATTGCACATCTAACATAGCGAGCTGCCCTTCACCTCTAAACCTCCCGACACTCCACATTTTCCATCTTTTCCAGGCTCCTGGAGATTAAGATGAGATAAGATCTTGAAGGGCAACATGTTGGATTTACAGTGACAGGTACTTTACAGGGTCAGGGCTGTATAAAACAAACATTTTGCACAATTGGCCTCCCACCAGGCTTTAACTGTTCCCCTGTCTCATTAGCTGCCTGCCCCAGCCCAGCCACTGTTCCTAGTGCCAGCCCTGATTATCTTTAAGCCTGCAGAAAGAGCTGCTTTTACCCAACTAACACTCCGCTATTATTAATCATACATCTGGCATGTGAAAGCTGCTTTTCTTACTAAATGAATGAGCAACATAATGAAAGCACTGCTGGATAAACACCATTGAATACTTGAGATAATTCAGGCTCTTTTTGAGTAGCGGTCCACAATGTTGTTTTTGCTAATGGTGGGGAGGCCTGTTAACCCGGGGGTAATGGCCCATTGTTTCCCTGATCCTGCGACTCGCGGGTCTCCTGCTGTCAGTGAGGAGGCAGGATCTCTGAGAATGTTCATGTTGTTTACTGGCTCTCCACCAGTCTGGTACTCCTGGGTAGGCGCTCATACAATCAGTTCAGTTCAGCTTGGTAGCAGAACAAGGAATTTGAGATGAACATATTTCAATCTTTACAGCCGCTGACCACAAACCAGACTGCAGATCTCGAGGGCTGCGTTTCTTTGATTAATGTCTCATATTCTGGGCTAGACTCGATCCAGTCAATGCAAGACTGTTTTATAGTGGGATCTCCTGGCTGAAATGGTGGCTCTGGACCCTTAATCCCCTTAGTTAAGTCTACACACTTTTGAACGTTTTTGGGGTGATTTCATGAAATTTAGAGAATCATATCTCAATATTTAGAGCAGTTTTCTTCTCATTCTTTTGGACATGAGCAAACTTCAGGAACAGGGAGTCCCCTAAATTGATTTTATATTTATCAAACCTTAGCTAAAAGTGAACGTACAGTACACAGCAGGTAACTTAGTGAGACATCCTACTTATATGCCTTTAATGCCTTTTGTATCATATTTGATACATACTTTCATGACACTTCTATCAAATCAATATGAATTACTAAAAAATTACTAAAAAACACCTGAATACAGTCTGATAAATGATTAAAATTTCCTCTTGTGGTTTATCAGTTTCAAAAAACATCTGATGTATCAAACGGGATAAATATATATTTGGTAAATTTTTTTTTTTTCAGTAGTAGGTTAAATTAACATTTCAGCTGCAAAAAAATTTTGAATTTTGTGGCCATAATTGGGGTTTCAGGCATTAAAGGGATATACGTGCAAGACAACTTTGTTATAGGTAGTATGCAATTGATGAAGTATCCGATACAGTGGAAAAAAGTAACTATGCAAGTCAAATTTAAGCAATTTGGTTCATTCTGAAATGGTGACTCACTCTTTAAGAGCTGGTTCTGAGTGACAAGGTTGCCAGTACCAAGTGATCTCTGGTAAGGGCAACCCGAATGCTGTGCAGGTTAGCTGATGCTGTTTGCCAACCATGTAGGGCTGCAATTCTGCAGTGGTGAGCTCTGCCTCTAAAATGGTCGGCTTCACTGAGAGAGAAAAGGGGGATAAAGAGAAAAGACACACAGACAAGAGTTAAATCAACCATCCCCGGCCCAGCCCACTGAGGAATCTCATAATGTCTTTATAATGAGGGGTGGCAGTCGTGATGGATAGCCATGAAAAAGGTGCTATTGACACCCGTTATCCTTTAGACACTGTTTAGGTGAAGAATGGCAGGATGATTGGCTAGCCCAGGGCTGTAGGTCAGAGAACGACCCCACTGTGGCCCATCTTTAGGTCAGTGAATCAACCATGTGTGCCGCAATCAACAACAGACACAGATCCTTGTCTCACCTCAGTTCAGCCATGTGTGTATCTCACTACACACATAAACACATCCCAACACATACTGTAGAGCACAGTTTAAATCTGGAGCACTGAGACAACCCCAAACAACTGATGAAAGAGGTCTAAAATAGTTCCCTGATTGATACCAGGAACCTCATGACACTGTCTTTCTGTTTGCGTTTTTTTTTCTTTTTTTTGTCATTCTAATTTGGTAGAAGTCTTTTAAATCAGGGCAGCGGAGGATCATAAATAAAGTTTACAATAGCTGAAGGGTTTCTTCTTGTTTCCATTTTCTTGCATGCTATTTGGATTCCAAGAAAGTGTTTAAATAACACAATAAAAATAGCTTGAGTTAGCTTAAAGTAACTGTCTTACGGTACCCTGCTTACTCGAGCAAACAGACTTTATTCAAGTATTTGGCATGCAACAACATCTTATAATCTCATAATCTTAAAGTAGTCATAGCAATGACTTACATACCCAGTCACTGTTTCCCTCAAGCTGTATCTATATTGTAAAGAACACATTGTTTATATGAGCTGAACTGTATATACACATGGTGAGGATGCAAATAAATGCTGAGATCTAGGGGGGGCTCTGGAGCGGCTGGGGTCTGCGTGCAGAATACAGCTCAGGCCATTTACACACTGCGCCAAGCCCCTTCAAAAGAGCCCCAATAATCAACAACAGCTGCCCCGGCTACGTCAATCCAACCCTGGAATCAACAAGCCCTCAAATTCCTCTCATACTAGAGCTGCTACCTGCCGTCCAGAGAGCTGTACTGAGTGCAGCTATAGTGCTCAGGCAGCCTCAGCCAACTGATTCATTTCCTCAGGATCAGTAAAGTCATTATCAGGTTTATGGCGTGAGCTTACCGTTGACTACCAGAGTGTAGCTCAGATTCCTGTGCAAGCCCTTCTCTCGGTTGCCCAGACTTAAGGTGAAGACTCCAGTGTGCTTCAGCTGCAAATCTGCGATGATCAAGTTGTAACCAGATATATTGTAACAGGTGGAATTCTTCAAGATAGGAACCCCATCCTTGTACCTGAAGAGTGGAGACATAGTTTAACGACATAAATCCAGAAAATGAAGACTTTTACTGACATTGTCAACACTTGCTTACCATGCTATCATGTCTGGAGGTGGTAAAGCTGTGACCTTTGGCTCAAACACAAGTTTCTTTCTACCTTCTTTGACGACCACTTTTTTATGCTTCTCATGTTTGTAGGAGATATTGAGGAAGGGACGTTCTGAAACAAAAAATAACAGAGAATGAAATACATGACAAAAAAAAAACAATGACAGAATAGTTAAGAAGTTTATCTACTTTAATTGAGCTAGGCTTCTGACTGGTTTTAACAGACAACATCAAATTACCCCTATTTTAGCATCTTTACATTGGCTTCCAGTTAGTTTTAGAATTAATTTTAATTTCACTCATTACTTTTAAGGCAGTAGAGGGTCTATATAACAGAACTTTTAACCACCTATGAGCCAGCCCACACCCTGAGATCCTCGAGTGGGGGCCTCCTGGTCGGTCCAAAGTCGAGACTTGTAACTAAAGGTGACAGGGCCTTTTTCCATCAGGACCCCTCGACTTTGGAATGACCTCCCCAAGGAGATCAGGTGTGCAGAAACAGTCACTGCTTTTAAATCACATCTTAAAACTCATTTTTATAGACTTGCTTTTACGTGATTTTGTCTTCTTTAAAACACTTTGCTCTTCTTATTCATGTTTTATAATAGTCCCCTTGGTCTCAGGTTTTTGTGATTGGGTTCCTGTGTTGGCTGAGTATCACGGGCTCTTACAATGTCTTTGTTTTAATGTTTTTGTTTCAATGACCTCTGAGCTCATGTGACATTCATCAAAGCTTTTATGTCCTCCACCGATTTTTATTTTATTTCTTTATTGCCAGTAATGTGACATTTCCCCCAAGTGTTCTCCTGTTGTTATGTTGTTTTTATCTTCCTTGTTTTCCTGCATGTTAAAGCACTTTGTAAATGCTTGTTTTTTTTTAAGTGCTATATAAATAAAGTTATTATTGTTTTTGTTGTATGATTATGGTCTGATTCGTCAGTCCAACTCAAGCTCACCATAGACTGTGACTTTTACAGAGGTGTTCAAATGTATCGTGGGTTCAAGCTCAGCTCTGCAGCGGTACATCCCTTTATCCTCCATTGAGACGTTTTGCAGGTATAAAGTCATGCTCATCACTTTAGTCTTAGCAGAGCTACCTCTAGTCTTGGAGAAGTTGTGTCTGTTTTCCTGCAAAAGAAACAAACAAACAAAGAACCTTACTGCTTCAACCTGTGATAGTTTCTGAAGTGTGCAGTCACACATTATCAACAGTAAATCCTTTGCTTACCCCCCTCTTTGGAAAATCCCATGTGAAGTTTATTTGTCCATTATATGTAGTCTTTGCTGAACAGTTGAGGACGAGAGTATCTCCCATCAACACTTTGACACGCTCCTCCGGGGAGATTTGTATGTCACGAAGAACGCGAGCTGTTAAAGGTGAAAAAAAGTGAAAAAATAAAACAAGGAAGCTGTAGGATCAGAGCATTAGAAAAAGACATGGTATCATTCAGTCAACCAGAGCAATTACACTTATAATCTGTTAAAACTGAAATTCTCAAAAGCAGCAAACTCACTCAGTCTCTTTGGGATGTACAATGACTGTAGCGTCTGCCCGTCGACTTGAGTGTCACAGGTGAGTAAATTAGGCAAGGAAGAACTGCAGTCAATCTTGAACCCCACCTCTGGATCCCATACTACCTCTTTAAGAATCTTCGGTGATAAAGGTGGGATCTGCACCGAGACAAACGAGAAAAGATGTTTGTCAGCGCCAGGGGATATTTGGCGACACTTTTGATGTTGATTAAAACTCGCTGAGCCAGATGGACTGAAGCGAAACACACTCAACTTCATTTAACATGTAACTCATGCTCTGCTGAACTCAGCTGGGGACAGGCATCTCTGGAGTGAAAGTCTCGATAGGTTTTTACCGTTGTTTTTTGGAGTGTGATATTTGAAAACATTTACGCAATGGAGCACAAAACATTTCGTACTCCGAAGAGGATGTACGTGTTTGCTGCTGTTTGTTCTTAAGCCAGAAGTTTGAGCTGGGAGAGGAGGCAAGGGAAGGAAGGAAAGGGAGCAGGAAGGAGGAGTGCCTTGAAATTGCCAATAGTGGGGAGGTCACACAGCTACTATCAGTGCTCGTCCACAGTTGACACAGAGTTGCACGTACAAATGAGACGTAAGCAACAGAAAGTACACACCATCGTAAGACAGGTAACACAAGAGTGAAAGCTCCCCTTTGAATTTTTTCTGTGGCGTGGTATTAAGTCTTATAATCTTGACGATGAGTTTCCTCTTGTTTCCTGTGACTGAACACGGTGTGTGCTGTTTACTGCATTTCCTGATGTTTGTAGGAGAGGAGAGTAAATTTAGTCTGACAGTCTATTCTGAGAAAAACGTTCACGGAACACCTTCCTGCTCTTACAGGAAGCAGACTGGATGACTCCTTCCGCTGCCCCTGTGCTTCCCTGAGACATGCCACTATCCCTGGTCTGCTTCTGTGTGCTTAAGTGATTTAACACACAAAGGGTGTGGGACCCACTGAGACGCATTAAAAACAGATCGGACACACTTTTTTTCCCCTCAGAGACAACAAATAAAGATACCCTGCTGTGGTATTAATAGAAATCTTCATCTCTCAGACATGTTATTTTGAGATTTATAGGCTCCAAGAAGTTCTTAAACAACATTTCCTGTCAAGGTTTAGGAATACAGACAACTTAAATAACTTCACCCACTAAACATTTTTTGGTCTAAAAGAGGTCTAATAGACATCTAAATGTAGCCTAGACAACTGGTCTAAAATTAGGCCTCTACAGGTCTAAAAATGAAAGTTTTTTAGATCCAGACCAAGTTTAGACTAAATCTAAATCTGGGCTATATCTAAACTACACTGTATATTGGTCAATGGCTATCATAATTATTTTGGTTAAGTACTTGGAGATCAGTTATGCAACGTCTAAATTCCGTCTTAAAAGATACAGAATCTAGACGGTTGAAATTAGGTCTAAAAAGATACAAACTAGACGTCTAATAGCCGTCTATTGTTCAGTGGGTAAGGCTCTTATAAGGACTTTTTTGAAGTTTATAAAATAGGCTGAAGTACATATTGAGGCATTCTCATGGTAGTTAAAAGCAAATAAGACCATCAGTAACAAGACTGAAGACTATTAGTGAATAGTCATATTTCTACACTCTGTATCTTAAAACTGCTGTAAGGAATTTCTTTTTGTGCCGATTGCAAAATGTTGAAAGATGTGAAAAAAAAAAACAGCATTGACACATACAACTATTATGATGGTTGGGTGTTGATGTTCATCAGCATTGAAATAAAGGCTTTCTAATTGCTAGTAAATATCTTCTCACAGGGTCCTAAGCAGAAGCAGTTACATGAGTGTCTTTGTGAGGTCTTACCGCGGTCAGTGTTACAACAGTGTCAGGAGAAGTCGTCCTGCAGGGGATCACATAAGTGGTCTCATTATCGTAGATAAACACCATGTTATCTGTATGATCGTGGGGCCTCACAAAGGGTTTTTTTTCATCTGTGGGAAAAAAAAAAAAACCCTCAAGGTGTGAAACACAGGTCAGTTAGAAGTTACATTTCATGACATTTCATTTTTTTCTTTGAGGGAACGATGTTTCATGGTAAATTTACAGCTGCTGCTCTTTTTAAAAGGTTCTTTTCTGCTGGAACTGAGTTTAGCAGTGAAATTAAATGTTGGGGGCATCCAACACACAGAGATCAAATCTCCAATCAGTTCACCCCAACCGGATAAGCAATCAGGCCAGTGGTGTGTTTCTACTGGGCAGCCAGGCATCACACTGCCACTGTGGGAACTGCATGGTGACACAAATAGTCTGTGATTTGAATGAGGTCAAGCATTATTTCTGTGATAAAGGACCACTTCTTTGAAAAGTATGAATGAAAAAAGATTCAGAAAACAGCTGAAGGGTTTTGAAAAGACAGTGTTAGACTAAACACGGGCACAGCCGACTGCCTGATCTACAACCACAATCGCAGAACAACAGGAGAAGGAACAAGGCGGATCCAGTTTAGTCTGCATCACTCACAAGTACTTCACTTCAGAGGAGTGAAACTCTATGGTTGCATGTTATGCCTGGAAATTAATTTTAAAAGAAGAGTAATAGGCCGGCCCTGCTTTAACACTGAGACCGTGATCTCCCTATGCTGCCAGGGACATTCTTCATTTCAATGGTACTGTTACTCTAACTGGTGCCATGTTATGCTTAAGGGGAGACTTAGGAAAACAGTAGCTGGGGCAGGAAATCACAGTCAATGACCAGGGCTTCCCGTGCAATCATGTTCACCCTTCCACCTCCAGGAGAAACCATACTAGCAAAGTAACCACTTCCTCCCTCTGACTCTATCTTTCTGAGAAAAAGACTTAGAGCACTTGAGACTGAATTCATGTGGGTTGAAGTCAGCTTCCTGCTTGTCAGAAGTATTTGTAGACAAAGTACATAATTTCTGACCATTTCTTTTCTTTTTTTAACTTTTTCTCAGAAATTTCTTGATGGGAAATTCAGCATTTTTTTTTGTCCTCTGTGGAAATATTTTCCAGCCATTCCATCAGATGGCACATTAACCAATCCATTCTGGTGCCACTTAGGTGCCACTGTTTGTGGACTTAGTTCAACACTGCACGCCTTCACAGGCGGCAGTAGATGACAATCACCCTGGGAAAACCTCTCACTTATCAGAGTCTTTCATAGCTTCGACAAAAACTGACAAAAAAGAACAAAGAAAACCAGGTCAATTAAAAATGAAAGAACTCTTATCTTTGTTTCAGTATGCAGACAAGCTTTCTGTCATTCACATCACACTGCTTTTCTCATGCCAGACAAATACTTCAATTTAGGAATCTAAGTCCAAAATTTTATATCTCAAACACTTGATTAAATGTTTTAGGGAATGAGGATTTAAAATTAGAAGAAGCTTAAGTGCTTTGCAGGTCTCACCTTGGACATAGACATAGATGGAGGAGCTGTGTTTAAAACCATCCTTGGAGTATTGACAGCTATACCTCCCTGTATCAACAGCCTCCAAGTTTGTGACTGTCAGTTTGCTGCAGTGAGAGTGAGAGTGAGAGTGACGTCTGGAATCACACTGGTCCACCTTCACTCCCTCTGAACGGCTCGAATTTGCAAGAGTCCAGTGCAGCAGGCCATGACCTCTGACAGGAGACAGAAAGAGAGATCATGAGAAGAAGCTGAGGACATCGCTGCTTATTCACCTGCCATGAATGCAGAGACATATGGAAAGGAAGAATCATTTAACACACTTTTTTGAAGCGCTATTGCCTTTTTTTGGACGAGACCTGATACATTCCTGCTAGGCCGTTGTGAACAGACCATTAGATCCAAATCCTCAATCTATTTTTAGGGAAAGTGTCACAGCTGGCAATGACCTCACAAGCTCTCAGTTCAGGATGGCAACGGCTGCTTCTCCCTCGAGGGACATTTCTAACGTGATGTTCATTCTGTGTTTATTTTGAGTTAATCTTAACTTATCCAGTGACTTGAACTTTCACATGGGAACATGTTTTTCTTCAATGATGTGCTCAGCTAACACATTCTTTCCACACAGCTTCCATTTAAAAAGCTCTCATTAAAGAGATCCCAGAGGAACATCAAACATGTCTTGCATACCATGGGCTTTGCCTGTAGAATTTTAGGTCAAGTAACCTTCAGCTCTGATCCAGTGACAGAAAACAAGACAGTTCTGTACAGGCCAGGAGTCTTAGCATATGGCCTTGTAGGGAAGCATTACATTAGATGGACATGAATTCTTCAACATTCCTTGCAGTCTTACAAAATGATGCAAGGGCCTAAATTCTTTGCAAATGTGAAAGCAGCTCACTTGGGTCCCACCATTTCCAAAGGGGTTTGCAGCAACCCCTCCTGACTGATCTTTGACAAAAGGTCAGCAAAGACAAAATTTGGCCGATAAAGTTTTCCAATTTTACAAAAAAAAAAAAAAAAAAAAAAAAAAACACCCATATGCTTTATTATTTTGATGCTGACTCATGAAGTCAAATATATCAATCAGTGAGAGAAGAGTTCAAGCCAATAATCACATCTACTACATTACAATTGATTTGGGGTGTGTTTTTTGTATTCATTGCAAAATAAAAACTTGTGAAATAACTACTGAATACTACCGTAAAATACAGAGTAGAGAGGAAAGCACAAAATCTCCATATGAAATCATGTTAAGTATTGAACAGCAAAAATCAGACATAAATATGACATTACAATAGTTTCAATTCATTTATTAGTATTCAGTTCTAGTTTGGCTGACTTATCGTTGTATTGATTGCTTACCTGCACATGAGGGTCAATGAATCATTTTTACGAAGAATGAGGGGACTGCCTGAGGGCGCAATCTTTGGTGAAAGATCTCTCTCCAAATGTCCTGTTGAACACACATATACAACGCAGAGATCTTAGAGGAGACAAGCAAAAACACTCACATTGAAACAGTGATACGAAACATTATAAGGGGAAACATTGCAGGATAATTCCATGATTCATAATCACACTAGCACTATGCATGTAGATTTACTGTGATGAAATGCTTCTGCCTCTTATGCAAGGGATTGTCTGCTGAGAGAGCGCTAGGGTGTTTCCGGCTCTGGGAGGGCAGGGTGTTGAATGAATAGTGGTCCAGGATGAGCAGACAGAAAGACAGTTGAATAGTTTGTGCAAGAGGACAGCATGGGGGCAGCTGAGCCACTTTGCAAGAGAGGTCAAAACAGTCAGAAACACACCGAACTGAGCCAAATTAATTCTTTGGTTATTTGTCAAGCATTACATTTGGCGTGCTAAACCCACATTCCTCAGTGGGTGCTCCCTTCCACTTTTTTTGAGAACAAGAAGCTTTGTCAAACACTTTTGACCTTGCACTTATAATGCTATTATTACATGATCACAAATGTTTGGCTCAAAGGTGGCCTGCACTGGGAGTGCAGCCAGCTGTGTCTGTTGAGAGGTCCCCCTCACACTGATCAACATAGGAAACACTGGGACTCTCTCTCTGTTATCCAAGAGGTGTTACAGTCCCATATGTGATTTCCTTCTTTTCACTGAGCTCCCTGAACAGCTTGTCATTGTGATCTGAAAACAACTCAATTAAGTTAACTCTCTACATGTGACAGTCTTCAGGGAAATCTTTATTTGTGGCAACATAGACAATAAAGTTACACAACAGCCTGGCTAACATGCTGACACATGATGAATAAATGTGCACGCAAATGGAAACCCCACACAGATATAAACGCACCTGCACTCACAAATGCGCACACATATGCCGAAAAACACACACTCGCACATATTTTTCTTGTGTTTTTTTAATTATTTAAAGCAGCTGTTGAGCGCAGAATTGGCAGCGCTGGTAGTGGCACTCAATATCCACTTCCTCAGAAGATATAAAACATCTTTGTTTTATTATTGTCCAAAGATATTGAAAAGGGATGGCTGATCAGAGGATAACAGTCTTTCATGCTGCAACGCTATATGTTCTCAATGATATATTAGGTCAGTTAGGGTCAGAGTTAAACTTTCCACAAATGTTGTTAACAATCATCTGATTCGTGATTTTGCCTTATATCCTCAAACTGGCATAATGTTATGTAGCCCAGCTGCAGAAAAATAAAAAACTTGAAGACAAAAAGATAAATAAAAAGTGCATTGTGTAATCCAATGACTAAACAAGATTACTGGCCTCCTTTCTTGATAATCCCAGTGAGTCAGCCCACTATATAACCGCATTCAAACTGCGCAATGACTTTCCATATCAGGATGAACAGAATATAGAGGGTTCAGCATTTCAAAAGGGCTAAACAGAAGATTTCCTTGGTCAATAGCAAATCCTAAAAGAAAAAGTTCACTTAAAGTTGATTTTGGCCAATTTTAAATCCTCCCTTTTATCTATTTCTGTTCTACAAGAACAATAAAAACAATCAAATATAGCTGTTGCTCTAGTGTCCAGAGCGCAGACCAGAAAAGCTGAGAGGCTGTTGTTCTGGCTTTGCTAGCATCAAATGATATTTTTAGTGTTTAAAAATGGGCTGGTTCAGCATGGTTTGCCACTCTCTGCCTTCACTTGTAGTAAAAAATAGCTACAAATTTGGCTATGGAAACTTTTACACAATGCATCCTGGTACTCGTAGTCTTTGCTGAGGTACATCTACAGCCACTATTTGGGCATTCACACAAAGATGGCAAATTCATGGGCTTCGATATATGAACATTACCTCTATAATGAGTATATCCGGTTTTGCTCTGAAAAGACATCAACATGTGGATGAATGCTGACATCTGCTTTCACACAAAACATCACTGAAAACATCAACCTGACCTTGAAATGCACTGGCAGGCAGCTCTTCCCTTTTTTCCACTCTATTCTCCTCAGTAACACATTACAGATGGATGAATCAGCAGGGCCCCCAGCAGCCCACTGAAAAGAGAGAAATCATCCTGGCATTGTCTCTCTACACCAAGCACCTTCAAAACTCCCACCTGCCTGCCCTAGTGCCTGCCCAACGCTGACCTCAGCAAGCGTCCAGACACCCCTAGCTCCTCACAACAGCTGTGTGCCGCATTCCTCCGGCAGAGCGCCTGAAAAATGCCAGAAATTGTGCTCATTGTGTTGGTTCAAAGAGTCCTGAAGCTGGTTCTCATTAGGAGCCATTAAGGAGAGGACAGGCATGGAACAAACAGAGTCCTGGGGAGAGGGAGGGAGAGGCTGAGTGACTCCTGGTTCACTCTTTCAGATGACGGGGGGGCTTCAGTTAGTCCCACAGTGACACAGAGGGCTAGATTTAGATTAAACTACAATTATTACACCTGTTTATTCTAAGTCTGAATATAAAGCTTTAAGGTTCAGCAGTGCAGCGAAGTTTTTGATATTTCCACTAAAGATATGTGGAGATGATCTGAGAAAAACAAACAGCTTTGGAAGTGAGAAATTTCTCTAAATTGGTGCTCTCAAGTGTTATTCATGTTGTGTTTTTTTCTCTTGTTTATTGTAAATCTCTTTAAAGAATTGGACTCTGGGGACTTTAGCTTACAATTTCTTTTATTGAATTAACTTGATATATTTTTTGAGGATTGATTTCTAACAGTTCTGCAGCTATTTAAGGAGAGGGTGGAGGGCACAAAAAAAAAGATACAGACGTGAGAAAAAGATTTAAAGGAAGGAAATGACTCTCCTCCCTGTTGGCAAAATTTCACCCATCTTGCAGCATGCTGGCTCCAGTTAGATGTTGCACAATATTAACCATCATGACTGTATGTGATGACTACTGTCCCCGAATTAGACAGGAAATCACTAGACACAACCTTCAAATTCAGGGAAATAATGTACGGAAATTCACTTGAATTTGGCAGAGAGCGCACTCCATCTCCCCAACATCCTCGAGCTGCTTTGAAACCCCGTGACTTTCATGACAATAAACGATAGAAGATCTTTTTTTGGTAGTTTCAAGGCAAAAGTAACAATACAGCATGATAGCTCCCATGATGAGGGTTAATTGTTGAACAACAAAGGAGCACAGGAATACTCCTGAGTTGCAAAGTCATGGCAGCAATGGCAACAGGAACAAAACAAAATTTAGTGGTCATTTATTTGGTCTCTGGTCTCTGGTCTCTGAGCTGAGATAGAGGAGTGACATGCAATCTATCCAGCCTATTGATAGTCTGATAATAATGATTATTGGAAGCTAACGCAACAGACTACACAATAAGCACTTTGACTCATCATCATGCCGCCACTCCTCTAGTTATTAAAGAACTTGGCTGAAAAACAAAGCTGAAGACTTTTGCCTTTTCACAGACTCTCATACAGCCTAACACTCTGATCCTTTAGTGTGGCTTCTTCCAAACCTAGAGGTTACACCTTTTTCAAGTGCTATTACGTGGCTGGTAGATCCTGGAGTACTCTCTCTTGCACAAAACCTTCCTGAAACTTTCCCACTTTTGCCAACCACAAGGTTAAGACAACAGTCATGGAGCGTGCTTTTTTTATTGGCCATATATTAGCCATTGGAGAATAGGACTCAATATGCCCCAGACTTCTCTTAAAACAGCAAAATAAAGGAACATCTGGCCATGATGGGTGGCCACTCTAGGTTATATAAAGCTGAGGAGAGCCAGCAAACAGGAATCTTCTGCATGAGAGTCCAAAGTTGTAAACCCAGAGGATTCCTTTTCCATAATGTATGATTAAGACGAGTAGGCAGACAGAAGCTCCTCGAAATTGGAATCCCATGCAGGATTTAAAGAAAATATATTGCCGGCTCAGGTTGGATATTCTGAGCATGGACCAGATGTTGCAATCATCCTATAAGAACAGCTACACGGAGCAATTTGTTAAGTTAAATATCCCTGTGTAAGGGGATGAGTGCTCTGCTCTGCTGGTAAGTCACCCAATCCAGGTGAGCGTGTGTTTTCACTGTGCAGTCTGAACAGACCCAGACTTAAGACCGTCAGTGAGCAATGAGCACCTAAAGCACTTGGTTGACCTCTCATCAAACCCATTTTCCACTCCATCTCAAGTGTCCCAGCAGGGGAGACAAAATGACTCCAAAACAAATTCAGCACAATATTAACTCACTCTACCACAATGGCAGCTTTGAAAAACTGTCTTCACGGTGGACAGAAAGTTGTCAAACCATAATTGTAGAGTAGAGAGGTAAACTCAGTCACCTCTCTAGTCTACAACACGGCTCCATGGTTAAAACATTACAGAAATTAAAGGTACTGTAAGGAGTTTTCATGTTGTGTTTGGTGACCTCTTGGAGTAAAACAAGAATGTTCTTTTCCAGGATGAGGTCTGCACACCCCGTGAGCATCATCGCCTACTTCTGTCAAGATGTAGAGTTTGCTCAAGTGTACATTTACGATGAACGCATATTAATATCAGATAGATCCCATTTTTTTTGCTACTTTTCTTTGTCCAAGACAACTTTTTGCAGGATTCAGAGCTATCAGATAGTTTTTCAGTTTATAGCTACATAAAATGCTGCGTATTACCTGGTTATAGCATGACTTTGATGAAATTTTGCATTTCTTTGAACCTAGTATTGACGGCACGATACAAAACAAATGCAGGAGTATATACGTCGTTTACCATAAAAGAGAACTGCAGAAATAAAGATGAAGCGCGTTGTGCAGAGTTGTGAAAAAAACTGTCTTTGTCTGCACCTTTTTGTTTCATTTAAATGAAAAAAGGTCTGCACCTTTTTGTTTCATTTAAATGAAACAAAAAAGTGCAGACAAAGAAAGTCTTTCTTGGTAAACGACATATACTTCTGCATTTGTTTGTATTTGCTCAGACTAGCTTTTAGACACCCTGTTTATTTTCTTTTAGTCAGTGATGGAACAACAGATTAAAGGCCTCAAGTAAAAGAGTAAGTGTAGAAGATCAAAGTTTATCTTATCAAAATCTCCATTAATGCCTCTCTGTGATCCAATAATATCATGACTCTGCACCGTCAGCCTCAGGATACATATGGATCTTAATTTTGGTGTTTAAGCATAAATTCACAGCTACTGTTCAGTGTTATCTTTTACACACCTCAGCATAAACAGAAAGAACCTGGTGCAGCATCATCAATAACTAATGTCTATACCAGTCAGAGGCTCAGTGCAGAAACAATACCCTCCTTTCTTCCTTGCCATTGTCCTGTGGACAGAGTTTGACATAGCTCAAAATGAGCACAAGGAGCTCCGGGAAGAAATCTTTGCACAGGTAGCGTGTCACATTTCCGTGACCTTTGCTTGCCAGAACAATTCCAGGCTGCCTCTTGCCCCTACGTCCGCTTCCTCCTTGTGTCTTTCCCACGCTTTGTGTGTGGACAGTGAAGGAAATCTACTTAAAAACAATGTCGGCAAAACTTCATAGGTTTAACGTGTGTATGAGTGAGTGTGTGTGTGTGATGGGTTAGGGGGTGAATAGTATTCCTATTGTTAAGACGGGCTGTTTATTTGGGATTTGTGAGGAAGAGTTGTGTGTATCTCAGTGGCACAGAGGACCGGGCACAAGGTGGAGGAACATCCTCATTAAACAGCCTGTCTTGTTTTAGTGGAGTGACAGGGAGACAATGATTCTGATTGTGCTGTCGGAAGAAACACGCTCTCTATTCCCTAAATGTTGAATCCTGTCCACCCACTTCAAACAATTGCTGGAATAAACAATTTTTTATATCATCCAGAGCAAAATGCTGACTTTAAGTATCATCAGAATCTTGGAAAACTAAAATCAACTAATTCAAAATAATTTATAAAGGCTGTCACAAAATGAAACATTAACCTGCCCTTCTATTTCAAACACCTGTCAGAGTCAACACATTTTATAAACTTGTTAATATTAGACAGACTGTAACGGAACAAGACAACCTCTAGAGGTGGATGTGGACATTGCAGGTCTCACAGATTTCTGAAAAACATCCTGAAAAAAATCTCAAATCAATATTTTTAAGATTAAATTTAAGATTAAAATGACCACTAATTCAACTTACTTTATGCTCATTCAACAGAGCAAGAAAGACTTGTGAAATTGATGTCTGTTCACGCTGCAATATAACAGTCATTCAGCCCATACAGGTTAAATTATTTACTCAAAAGGAATCAGACAATGATGCGATGTGAAACACCTGTTCAGTCTATGACCCGTGTAAGCATGAATGATCTCTTACCATTTGTGAGTGATGATGAACAGCAAAAGATGACAACGAGCAACGTGAAGCACTCGGATGAGACCATCCTGCCAGCTCGTCACTGATATCCACAGCGCGTAAAAAGTAGCCTGATACAGCCCGTGGGATACTTTTATAATTCTGGCTGGTTGACTTAAAAAGTTTATTTAAACGATAGATGAAAGAGTCCTGATTTTCTAGGCAAAATAACGTGATGATAATCCTGGTTTCCCTCAGGTGTGCATGCAAACAGCAGCGGTGGTTCTCCCGTTTCCCATGACGCGTTTCGCAGGGGAGCTCTCCTGCGCTGCTGGGTAGTCCTACTCCCCGATCCCGCAATCCTCAGGGCAGGTGCTCTTCAACGAAAAATAAAGTCAGATGAACTTCAATTTAACGATAGAGGTAATAGAGATGAATGATTTGAATGTAAGACGCTACCAAGTGCCTGTGATAAAATCCAAATAAGAGCAAGTTCAATGAGCGCCTTCCTTTAATGCGCGCCTTCGACTATCTCTCCTCCCTTTCGCCTCCTCAGTCTGTGCGTGAGGCACGTTTTATGGAGACACAGAGGAAGGACGCGACGTCACTTTTTGGGGGGGACAAACCTTCTCTATCCTACTGAAGGGGAGGAGGGGGGGTATGTTGAGAAAGATGACTATATACATCCATTTAATCCCTGCAACACACTTAATGTAAGCAAGGTGGGTATAAGCTGTGATATGGGGTGGTACAAGTGCAGCACATAGAAAAGAAACCAAAGTTATTTCAATCCACTCGCCCACGCATTGATTAGTAATCTATCACTCTGTCCCTTCAGAGTCACCCAACTAACACTTGATAGTTAATTCAAAGGTAGATCATTTAACTGACCTTTGAATCCTTGATAAAATCCCCCCACTGTGTGACAAGAAATAAAAAAAAAAGTCTGATCCAATCTACGCTCGAGTCTTCAAGGTAAACATTTACTGGGTTTATTTTTAACTGCAGAAACAGGATACTCTGCTTTTTATATCAATGTAAATAACCTTCTTTTGTCCATCAGTCCCCTGCAGTGTGTGGATGTGCAGCAGACTGTTTTCTTTTATCAGTACAACAATCACTTGGCCTCTGCAGGTCAGCGTAACAGGCACCGAAAATAAGAACATCCTGCCCTTACCTTTCCACCCATATCAGGATTAGACAGCCTCCATCTTGGGGACAGCATCTTAAGAGGTGGTGGTTTCACTTGACAAACTGAAGAACTGTCAGGGGCAGATTTCAAAGAAAAAAACATCATCAGTCTTAAGTTTAGTATTTTACAAGTTGTGATTTTTTGATTAGATCACTGAAGGAAATCCCAAAGTTAATTCATATCTAGCTGGCTTAAAGCAAACTCTAAAATACCCATCTCCCATTGGGTTTTCATACAAATTGAGGAAATAATTACTTGAGTTTTGATTATCATGATTCCAGAATTGAATAAGATCATGAAAGCAAAACAAAAACAAAAAACATTTGAATGATTTTTCTCTCTTTTAAGATTTGGGACTCTGCATATGCAACTATGTCATGACTCACATAAGAAATAGTCTTACGAAAATAGCTCAAAGTAATGCACCATATAGAGTCATTGGTTAGGTTCATTTGTTGTGGCTTGTACATTTGAAGTGGTTCGATAAATATGTAAGAAAAAAGCAACGACAGAAAGAAGCAGCCACACTCAAATCCTCAGTAAAGGAGACATTCCCGATCGGCCAAGAGGGCAGCAGATAAGTCTCCTGATGGACAATTGCTGGAAGTTGCTAGCTGAGAGGGGTGGTCTTGAAGTGTTTTATTTTTGAATCTGGTGTTCAAAACACACTATGGGGGACTAACTGGTTCTACACACACAGCATGTTCTCTTCCTTTTACCCAATAGCAAAGTCTTCTTGTTAAATGAACCAGTGGAAATAAACTCTTTCTTCAGCAGTGGAGTGGAGCAGGCCTGTCAAGCTGCTCTGCTCAGTCTTGGATAGATACAACGCTGCAAATTTGCAGACCCTGGTCACACTGCAGCTAAAGCTCTAGGCAATATAATTTTCTGAGGTAAATGTTAATGGGCAAAACAAGATTTTTACCCATACAATAGTTGTAAACAAAACCATTTCCCATTAGACAGTACTGAGCAGTAAATAAAGCAATGGTTTTTGTAATTATATTGAACAAAAATATGAACGCAACACTTTTGTTTTTACTCCTATTTTTCATGAGCTAAACGCAAAGATCTAAGACTTTTCCTATGTACACAAAAGACCTATTCCTCTCAAATATTGTTGACAAATTTTTCCAGATCAGTGTTAGTGAACACTTCTTCCTTTACTGAGATAATCCATCCACTTCACAGGTGTGGCATATCAAGATACTGATTAGACAGCATGATTATTGCACACGTTTGCCTTAGTCTGGCCACAATAAAAGGCCACTGTAAAAGGTGCAGCTTTATCACACAGCACAATGCCACAGGTGTCACAAATTTTGAGGGCGTATGCGATTGGCATGTCCAACCTCTGTCCAGAGCAATCCCTGCCCAAGAAGATAAATGTGAATTATACCTGGAAATGCGCACTCGTTGTGATGAAGATCCTTGGAGCTGTCATTGTGAGTCCAGTGCTGTATTACTCTACCTGTGACCATAGTGAAAGGTTAATCTGAAACCTGAAGACTTCTCTGGTTGTCTTTGAGCAGTCAGCTAAAGAACCGTTTCTCAAAAAATGCTTGACTGTAAAATTAAGAATCAGCTTGAAACTTTTTATACATTAGTTATCTGCATAGAAAATGCTCCTACTCACAAAATAATCTTAAAAGGTTTATTTACCTCAATGTTTTATATCCACTCCCTCTGAGGGATTATAGCTGAATTATAATTCTTTAATCAATAAACTTATCTTTAAATCAAGATTTGTGTCAGTTGGTATGTAGATTATGGACATGATAATGAGTTTTTAAACTATAGGATTTCCCAGTGACTACCTCTTTATACTTCTTAAATGTAACGTTTTCAATCGTTTTTGTTAAAACCAGTTTATAAAAGTCTATGGTTTAACAGAAAACACTAACATGTGCTTTGACAGTAGATATTTCTTCTGCTTGTCCCAATGAGCCAACTAGAACTGGTATTGAATGTAGCACACCCACAACAAGGACCACCAAGCTAAGTTTACAGCACACTACTAAGAAAATTCTCATCTGTCTGATAATGTTGGCTCTGTTACTTAAATGAATCAAATATAACAGCCATTATTGACGAAAATATCAAAGAATTATGGATAAAATTAAATAGCTACTAATAATGGATTATAGACATTTCGCGGGCTTTTTGTGCCTGCTGTCAATCAACGCAGAGACGTTGCCGAGGATTCCGCCTCTTAATGTGTGTCGTGTTAAAATCTTTAACATGGAGCTGTTCGTTTCAACAGTAAAATGTAAGTATTCCGTTAATTATCTCAAACTACCATGTGGTGCCTGTTCTTTAACAGTATTAGCAACAAATTAGGGATAAAATTAGGGCAGTGAACCATACTAACCCATATCCCAATGAAGCGAGATCTTTAGCCGTTGCTAGGTCACCATGAGAAGTCCACCGAGACTCGAGAGGCCGTCAAGCTAGGTTAGCTTGGTGTTGTTTCATTTCCGACATTTTGTTCCTCATTATTGACCACAGTGAGCAAATTTAATTTTTATTATACAGATTTATATACCATAATGAACAGTAAATAATCATAGCGAGCTAGCGAGCCTTAATTCTCTTCTTTTTCTATGGTATTTTAAATGACATTTGCACCGATAATGGATTGACCGAAATAATAGAGGGGGGGGGAAACCTGCGCTGAAAATATAATAATATTTGTAAATGAGAATTGTTATTTTCAAATTACTAAATCAATTAGTTTTTTATAAGTTAAAGAAATCAGCTTTCTTGCGCCTGGAGAGCAAATGACATCAGCAAAAGTTTAATGCCTTAAATAAAGTAACCGATTAACTTGGAAATTATTCGATACTGCACCACAAGAAACACGGGAAATTGCATTTCCTTACCTTTATTTTGTTAGAGAAAGAGGAGCTAAATAATATAAATTAATATTTAGATGTTGCTCTGTCAACAATGATCAGGAAAGAACTTTGTTTCTGTACTTCAATATTTTGAGGGTTGATTTTAACAACCAGGGGGCGATAGTGAGCTATTAAGCTTCCTGTTTCTCTCACAGAGGTTGCTATGGTGTGCAAAACTTTGTTGCTACACTGTGTTAGACATCTTAGACCATTTCAGTGAATGACAGACATATCTGCTGCTACCACGTTACTGTCCTGTCAGCTTACTCGACACTACCTTATCTTGATGTGCCTTTGGCCATACACAGCTCTTACAGAGAACCTGCTGAAAACACAGTCTTCAGACCAGGTTGAGGGGATAGAAAAGCTCTACTCGGAAGTCTCTCGCCTGGAGGAGTGCCCCAAAGTACCAGATCCACAGGTAGATAGTTCAGAAATGTATTGGGGAAAAAAATCAAAGAAATATAAAACAGCAACAACAAAATTTATATTAAATCCATGACAGAGATAGGTGCAGTCATCAATATAAAATGTTATAACTATAACTCTTGTAAAGCAGGGTTTCATTTAGTACTTGATCACTTTACAGCTTGAGGAGTGTGCCATCCAGCTGTGGAACTGGGCTGTTACCAGGAATGTGGGAAATACTCTAAGCAAAAATCAGAAAGCCAAAGGTACACTTGTACTCACAGTATTAATTTACATTACCATATCACTGACCATCATTGAATTGTTGGTAATATTGTGTGAAATGTTGAGACAATTTTGGAATTTCAAGCAAAGGTAGTCACGATGGTGTTATGTCATGTTCAAATGTTGTCTCTGTCCTCACAGTGCGTCATGTTGCATGCACTATACTGTACTGCTGTGAGCCGGGAAATCCAACAGAGGGTGCCATTCGCAAGCAGATCCTGGTGAGCAATACTGCAGAGTGTGCTTTCTGCCAGGACTCTACATTTCATGAGGACAAGTTCTTTAAGTATGAGTCTGATCTTTACAGATGGCCAGCAAAACAGGGAGAACCTGGCTAGACTGCAAAAATACCCAGATGGCAGACTACTTCTTAAGTCTTGCTGTCAAGGTAACAAAAAAAAAAAGGCTAGTGAAATGATCCCTTTTTTTTGGCATAGTATTGAGCAAACAATTTTCCTAGGGCCTGGAAACTCTCTATGGCTATCTAACTACCAGAGGTGACGGAGCAGCTGATATTGCTTCATTAAAAGCGGATGTAGAAAAAGATCTCCTCCGAGTCCTCTCATGCCAGGCAGAATCGGTGAGCTGTGGCTCATGTGATGTTCAACACCTTCAATGTGAATATTTGTTCTTGTGATATTTGGCAGCTGATGAAGTGCTGTTCTGACAGACTTGCAGTGTGAAGTGTGAGACAGCTAAAATGTGATCTGAGAAACAATGAGATGGGAAAATCTCATTTTGTGCTGATAGAGAATGTGAATGCTGACATTTAACTGGAAGCTGAAGTCTCTTCTTTGCAGGCTCTAATTCAAGAGAAAAACCATGAAGCTGTGGCGAACATGCAGCGCTGTAAAGACATGTTGACGCGGCTTCCCAAAGATGTAAAAACAAGCCTCTTTGCTATCATGATTACAACTCTATGTGTTATTGTCTCACATCTATATTACCATTTAAAGTGAGGGGGATGTCAACTGTTATGTGTTTTTATTGTAGACTGCATATATTTCCCTCATGTGCTACAACTTTGGCGTTGACACTTACAATCTGAAGAAGTTTGAGGACAGCGTATTTTGGCTGAGGTTAATATTATGCTGAATTATATCACACTTGCAAATTCAAACGGCATCTGGACTTGGTTGAAGTTCCTGAGGATTGTTTTGCAAAAGGGTTTCTTCTTTTTTTTCCAGCCAAAGCTATGATATTGGAAAAATGAATATGAAATATGGTCCTAGACCTGAAGTCAAGGTAAAACAGTGCACTATGTTTCACACAAGCAATGGGTGACATATTTTTTGACACCCTGTTTCCCTCACAACAGGCAAAGGTTTTGAGGCTCCTAGCCACCGTTTATATTGAGTGGGACTGTCAGAGGTTTCAGGAGAAAGCTCTTAATGCTGTCAGCCTAGCCAACAAGGTGGGATACCAGCTATTATTTTCAAATAGTAGCATTAATCAAATTAGGATTCATACCGTAACCTATAGTAGATCTGAGATGCTCTGTAGCTAATGGCAGTTTGCAATTTGACAGGAGTCTGTGAGTGCATCTGGGCTGTATTTGAAGATCAGAATACTTCTGAAATGTGGGGCTTCAGATGATCATATCAGAGCAGGTAAATCATTTATTGATCTCATGAAATTATTAATCCAGTATTTTATCATTATGGGTAGATGGAAGGTGTAAGTGGTTGAGAGATGAAATGAAATTTAGCAAGATTCTGTAAAAATAAAGTTTTAAAGAAAGTAGTTTGATGAGCACACCTTCACAAAAAAAGAAAATGTTTTAAGTGTCTGCAGTGAACTTACCTGCTTTTAACTTTGAGTTTGTGAATGGACATGCAGGTTTAAATGCACTTTTTAAAACAAAGATTTAAAACACATGTTTGTAGGATTACATGAGATGCTGGAATCGAAGGTTCCTCTTGATGTGTGCCTGAGCACAGTGAAACTACTCATGTCAGAGGACAGGTAAAGATTTTATGCTTTATGTAGATTACCTAAAGAAACAATCCACAATACTGGGCTAATATTCTTAGAGGGATGCTCAGAGGTGTATTTTTTGACTCTGAATAATATTTGTTTTGATTTCCCAGAGAAGTGCTGGCATTTGAGTATTTGAAACGTGTGTGTCAGCACTTTGAGTCGGCCCCTGACCTGGGAACTGCGCTTGTATTACATATCGAGCTTCTGCTGCAGAAAGGGAAGGAACTGTTGGCAAAACAGAAGATAGAGGATATTATCAGTGGTAATTTACTTGTGTATTACAGATCTGGAATCAGAGTGATGAATGATGTATTTTAGAGAAATGCATGCATTAGACTGTAGAGAGCCCCTGTATAAGCACTGCCATTTTTTCTCCCACACAGGCCATTATACCGGAAAACAGCTGACTCCACATGCTCTCTCAAGTCTTCATGTAATACTGTGGGACAAAGCATCAAAATACTTTGAGGTCTGACAAACACAGTCTTGTTTATACAGTTAATAATAATTATTTACACATTATAGCATTTGAGTAGCACTGCTGCAGCTGCATTGCTGCAAGTTGGCTGTTGACAGTTCACCTATCTACGTGGACTGTGCAATTTTTGGGGGTTTGCATTGAATTGCTTTGCATCCTATAGTTTCATTAAAAAAACATTCTCAGATGTCTTACAGTGTCTTTGTTGTCCCTTATCTCTGCACTGTGGCACACCACTTCTCTCATACAGTGGTCCAGATATTTACAATGCAGAGGTTTGTTTTCCACACAGCTTTCAATTACATTTTACTCAGTAATCTGGATTTCTTCCAAGGTTGGCAACTACTCTGAGGCTCTCCAGTGGTACAACTACTCACTGAGTTTCTTCAAAGCTGGTCAGATGGAACCCAACTCAGCAAAACTTCAGAGGAACAGAGCTTCCTGTTTCCTGAAGCTCAAGCAGCATGAGAAGGTGAAACACTCAAGCCCCTGAGCAAGTCAGAAAAATAACTCACCAAAGATCAGCAGATGGATTTGTATTTGTAGAAAGTATCGCTTCCATATTTTGAACAGTTTTATATTGTAAACAGTATATTTCATACATGTTGTATGTGCTCAAAAATGCATTTTTCAGGCTAAAGATGCGATAAAAGAAGCAGAGAGATGTGACCCCGACAACATTTTCACCCAGTTCGGTGTTTACAAGATTGCAGTGCAGGAGAACAATGTGGAGAGAGGTATCTAAAACACAGTAAAAGCTTGTGTACTTACTAGTAGTGTTGGTATTTAATCACAGCTATATTTTCAGCATATTCTCTGTGGTTAAAAGGCTGTTTATTTTTGCCAGCTGCAGAGGCAGTGAATGCAATGGGACTTCTGTCCAGGTGTCCTGTGTCCACTGAGGACAGACTGTTGGTATCTGAGAACGCTGCTTTCAGTCTCCTCAGTCTGGCTGCTCAGATTGCTCTAGAGGTACGGCTCATCACAGGACTCACTACTCAGCGTTCAGGACACTCTGTTGGATAAAAACAAAGAGCTGGGGTCAGAGATGGAGCATTATTGTAAACCATTTCCCCAAGAATATGCACACAAACAAAAAAGTAAACAAACATAAATGTTGATTTTCAGTTTTAAAGTAGCAGTTAGCTTCTTTGTGTGAATAATCAAAGCTTTATAAAATTGGCGCATAAGAAAAAAACAAACAGCTCGGTGGGAAATCCCTTTCTTGGGCTTCTCTCAGCCAGCTGGACAGCAGGCAGCTTTCAATCATTTTTCAGGGAAAGGTTTGTACTTTTTTTTTTTTTTTTTTAATGGAAATGTGTTGGTGTCCTTGTTTGAGTGTACCGTTTTATTAAAACTGCCATGAGTAATAGGTATTAGTATTCATTATAAGAATATATATTCATTGTGACAGAATGAACAACAGGAAACTGCCATGAAGGCACTGGAGAGCTTGTGTAACAACTCTGAAGATGAGGCTCAGGTTCTGGCTGCTCTCAGGTTTGTAAGCATTTCAGTGTGCTTCACGAGAAGACTTGTTTAGAGTGACTATGCTTACAAACACACGGTCTACATTTTGGTTTTCGTTTGAACAATATTCTGAATAAGTGCTATTTACAACTTGTTTTACTGCTTAATAATCCAGTGTTCATGCTCTGAGACTGTGTAATCCAACTATTATGCTAAAGGTTTGAATGTAAAGCGACAACAGTCAGTACTGATATCTATGTAGAGATGTCTGAGGAGCTGAGAGATTGTAGCTAGTCAGTTTTTCCAGACACCTCTATGATCCACTGACCTATATTCCCCCTGCTTCCTCTCTGAAAGTGTGTTTCCGGATAATACAGTTAGTAGGTGAAAAAAGGAGGTCAGCACCACTTTCTCCATTCATCTTTTTTACAGGTGTTTGGTTCGACTTGTGCTCTCAACAATAGAAAATTCAAGCGATGACACCAGGTGAGGGGAGGGGAAGGCACACGATAGGGGTCGATTTTTAAGTTTTGCTGATGCTTCTTTTGACAAAAATTAAACCTCAGACTTTCATGTTGCAGAAATGTTGATGTTCTGCTGCCTTATTTAAAAATGGGTGAGTACATGTGCAACAACACGAGAAAGTATCTTCTCTGCAGTATCAGCTTTAAGCGATAACCTGACTAATGTTTGTGATCATGCAGCTCTGGAGAAAGTTTCATGCCAGTCTCGCATGACTGCTGAGCAACGGGCAGAGGAAGCTAACTGGTTCAGAAAGATTGGTACTTAGACTCTTTCTCTCCTTTGTTCATTCAATGGGCCGTGGTTTGCTAGCTATCAGTTCAAATCGTGCTGCACCTTCACTTTGTCTGTGTGAGTGTGCGTGTGTATCTTTGTTTCAGCCTGGAACTCAGCTCTGCAGTGTGAAAGCAGCCCTGACAGAATGAGGGACTTCTTTGTTCTCTCTTACCAGGCAAGTGCCCGAATTCGCTTTGTCAGGTTCATCAGTCAATATCTATGGTATAGATTGTTGGGTGTAGATCAATATCGCCTGTACGAGGATTTACCTTTCCTTTAGAAAAAATAAGCACATCACTTAAGATCAAGAATAACAATGACCCTCAGTGATCCCATCTTAATAGTTAGCCTTGAACTAAGTCTTTTGGACTTTACCTATAATAGAAAACCTGTAACTGCACATTGATTTTTAACCCTTTGTTCCCTCACTTGTTAACTGGATGCTCAAACTTGATCAAAGTACACCTATCTATGCCAGAGATCACACTTGTTAACTTGAAGATGCTCAGTAGTTTTACTGAGACTTGAGGATGGGCTCCTTTATCTGAAGAAATACTTGATTTGTTCTTTGCGCTATTTTTAGTTCACAAGCCTCTCCCATCATTGATAACACTTCTGATAAGTATCCAAGTCATCCTCTGCTGTCAAAGACTGGTTCCTCTGCAAAATGTGAATGCATGTCAATCTCTAGCTCTCCCAGCTCTGCCCTCCTGATCGCACCCTGCTCATGGGACAGAAGACATGTCTGTTAATGGCTGCTGCTGCATCTCTGGAGCTCTGCAGGAAGTCTCCTCACTCTGCCCAGGTGTGCCCACCCACACGCTCTGACCCATCTCCCACATATAGCACGCACTACATCCACATAGATGGAAATGTACCAAGACCAGTGGAGAAGAGAGGTGACTAACCACATTATTGGCGCCGGCGTAGGTGTTTCATTTTTATCCCTCTGTCTTTGGAGAGGACCCAACACTAGATGGTGCTGATGAAACCAGAATGCTTGTTATCATTAAGTCTGCCTGGTTTCACAGACTGACGCGCTCATTCAGGCTCTGGAGCACATTCAGATATGCCGGGAAATCTGGAAAATCCTTAAGGCATCAGGTATCTGTTACAATATTAGAAAAAAAATGTAAATAAAATATTTTAAGCTGCACTTTTCACTTATGAATCAAAATGGAGATTACATTAACTCTCAACAAGTATTTACCCCCAGGAAACTTTCCCATGGACCCAACAGACACACTGCTGCTGTTGTATGAGTTTGAAGCCCGTGCTAAACTGAATGACCCCAAGGTTGAGACAGTTCTTGAGTCAGTGTTGGAGCTCGAAAATATTGATGTGAAGGTGCTTGAAACCATTGCAGGTAAAAAAAAAAAGTGTTATTTATCTCTGAAACGTGTGAAGAAACGGAAACACTCTAAGAGGAAATGTCATCACACTGGCATCTCTTTATTTCTGCATGCAGCTTTAGCTATGGAGCCTCCTGCCCACTTCCCTCTGCTGTGTAAGAAGGCCTTGAGAGTCGCTCTCTCTCTGCACAAGAAACAACCACAGGCCGACCTGGCCCGCTGCAGGTATACCCATCAGTACTCTGCATGAAAACACCCATGACATTTCATCACTGATCCATTCCCACAAAGTGCTCATTAGGCTGAAAAGGCTTTCTTCCTGTGTCTTTTTTTTTACGCTCCTGTCTTAGCAAGTGTGTTCACAGCCTGATCAAACTGTCCCTCCCAAGCGGTGTGTCAGAGGTAGAGGCCCATGTGCTGGAAGAGGTGTGGGACTACTATGAGGAGGCCTTGTCCATCATTGCAGCCGCAGTGAGTCAGCACCAATCACATGCTCCTAGTCCCTTGGCTCCTACCTCTTTCCTCCATCAGAGCTGCTCCCTGCCATATAATTAACCCTTTCTTTTCCACTCCATGCTCGCCTGCTGTTCTGGAAGCCTCTTTTTATCAATGGGCTTTCAGCCGCACTTCAATTAGCAGATGCTTCCTACACCACCCCCTTCCTGCCAATTTGGATGTTAATGTGCTGTACAAGTCATCACACTGCCGGTGAGCAGCAGCTCTGAAAGAGGCAGCAAATTACACTGCTTTAGAGGCAGGGCTTATTTCCCCTTTCATATTCACTTATTACTCGAAAGCTGTGGAATTCTTTGGATCAAAGTGAAAGCCTGAGATTAGAGTGTTGTGAAAAGCGAAGGAAACTTCGGAAATGATAGACATTTGGGTTTGTTTACGGCCTGTAAAAGACTCATAGTACAGGTTAACATACAGTAGAGCAAGAACGTGTGAAAGTTACTCACAGGCTTCACCCTCAAAAATACGTTGCCCTCCAAAAGCTTGGTTTGAGTGAGGCACCCAGGTGGCCTCCTTTTAAGTGTCTTCTGAATGTCTTCCTGCTCCACTCTGCAGCCAGACGACTTTCCAGAGATGGAGACTCTATGGTTGCTGACACGGGCGTGGAACACAGGGATACTGCTGTACAGTCTGGCCCAGTACCCAGAGGCTGAGAAGTGGTGTGGCCTCGCCATGAGCTTCGTCCGACACCTGGGATCCTTGCAGGACAGTTACGAGAGACAGGTACAGGGCTAGTGGAGAAGAAGGAAGGGGAATAAGGCAGATGGTGGTGTTTTGAACATGACAGAGCATGAATCATCCTGCTAGTAATGTAAATGTGACAGGGACCAGGGCCAATGACACATAAAGGTTTGCTGAATTATACCCACCTGCCTTTCAATTTATACCAACAGATGTCTGGTCTCTACAGCGAAATCCTGGACAGGTTGGACAAAGCTAAGAAGAACCTCATCATGGAGGAGTAACAGAACCTCCTGACAATATCTTATCCTGAGTGAGGACTGGAAAACTCTCTGTTCCATCAGTTTGTTAATGTTGTTACCATTATGGTAAAAGGTTCACAAAATATTCCAGTTGCTGTTTTGGAGTATTGTTCCGGATAAACTGTTCCTGTTTACTGTCAGCCTGGGACCTCCTTTTTGTTACAGATTAATAAAGCCATTACATCTCCTTAGAGCAGAATAACAAGCACATCAAAATCATAACTGAGTCACATATTTTATTTTCAAACAAATAAACTTTTGTCAAGTCCCAAAATAAAACCCAAACAAAAGTTGCAGGACTATGTTCCCTCATGACTAGGACAGGGAAGACCATGAGGCCAAGTGTCCTGATAGGCTGTACCACCTGCAGTGACAGGAAGGAAACTACTGTACAATCAAAGGGTTCATGTTTGCAAGCACTTACTGCACAGATGTGCTATAACAGAAACATCATCACCCAAAAGTACAAACAAGAACCCTGACCCCCCCGCCCCCCCAACCCGAAAAATAAAAGCATATATGTCATTTCTCTCATCAGAACAAAGACCCTCATCAATTATACACACACAGAGGCATTCAGGTTCCATTTCGTTATATAGCACAACCTCAATGGAAAGAGTAAAATGAAATCAAGTTCTTTGGGCTTTGACATGGCTGACTGAGGTATGAATACCACACACATCGTTAACAGTCAGCTGTATTTCAACTAAACACCAGAGAGGACCAATGCTAAACTTCTAATGATGTATTGATCATTGCTCCTGGTTTCTGTGATAATGTGTAGGTTTCTGCCTGCATCTCTGTTTAATTATTTTTACAATATATCTTTTTAAATCTATACACCCAGACACGTTCCACAAGAAATCACATGTAGATAGGCCCTACTTTCAGGAACTGAATTCCCAACTGACTAGTTAAGTTTTCCAATAGGCATTTGAAGAGAAAACCAACAATACAGCACATTTGTATGGAAATTATATCTCAAGAGTTGCTCAGACTTTACTTACCTGACATTTGTAGTCTATAAAACATGTTTGTCGCAGTTTGATTCACACATGCATGAAGCACAGGTGAAGGGGATCTGCTGGGGGCTTATTTACATAGTACAGCTACCGCACCCTTTTAAACAGTCTGCAAGCAGTTTATAAATGGCTCTGTTCCCTTCGGTTATTCCCTGAACTCTGGTTTAGACACAGGTTATGACAGCTGGTTTAGCAGTGGTGCCTGGCAAGTGGGCACACCTGTTCAGAAAATGCCTGCAGGTACAGGTGCTCTGTGGGTGGGAGAGAGCAGGGGGACCCAGAGGTCGTGGTTACCATTTCCTTTTGGGTCTGGCTCTCTTGAGAAGGAAAAAAAAAAAAAGAAGAAAAAAAGAAAAAAACTTCCCTCTCACTTTTCAAAAAGCCGAGAAGGAAAGCACGAATGTTCACGATCAGGGGCAAAAGTACTCCTCTGTCTCCTCCCACTTCTTCTTCATCTTCTGCCCTCTCACATGCACTTGCAAACATATAGTGCCAAGATCTGCGTGAGAGGGTGGAGCAGGTCAATCCTGGCGATGCCACACAACCAACTCAAAAGTTGAAAACACGGATGGCCTTGAACAAGCTCCCCACCTCACAAAAAAAGAGAAGACACGTGATACAGCCTGATTACACCTTTAGTTGAGAACACCTTTAAATAAGTGACAGTACTGCAAGTACTTGTTTGTTCACATTTGACAGCTATGAACGCTCTGTGTCATTGCCCAAACACGGCCTTTCAGTAGCAGGGGTAATGGTTTCTGTACTTGAGATTCCTGAGCTGGTCCAGCTCACCCCAGACTCACTTAAAAAGCTCAACACAGTGGTTCTGCGCCTGCCAACAAGAAATTCATTAAGAATTCATACGTTTACAGATACACAAAGCATACAGGTTTAATCAAACCCAACTTTAGTGTTATTTTTGGTAAGGGGACATGGGGACAATCCAAAAACAGGTTATATTGACTTTTTAATTGTTAGGACATCCAATACAATTATTGTCTTGTTCTACCCGTTTTAAGGCCACCATCAGGGTGGCAGTAGGACAGTACCATATGACCATTCAATCAGAAGAGAATCCTCTTGGAAGGCAGAGAGTGTAATAGGGGGTCTGCTGCTCAACATGAGTTAGGAGGCTCTGGCTGTCCAAATTATGATCCAATGGCCTAATTTGGGAAGGAAGGTGGAAATCTAGGAGAATAAAAGGCGCCCACAGAGGTGAGAGTCTGTTTTAGCTATTGCACTCAAGTCAGGCCCCCCGGCAGTTGGAGGACACAAAAAAGTAAGAAAAGATGAGAATGTTTCTTCTCTTTCCTCATCAATTGTGTGCAGCCTCCCTCACAGACAACAGGTAGTCACAAAACAGAATTTGTATTTGATGTAAGGCAGTTTGGTGTTTTGCAGAGAGCCCAGTTACACTTCTCTACCCCCATCCTTTACACAGAGCAGCTAAAAACCACAAGCAAAAATCCCACAAAGAAATAAACAAAACAAAAAAAACTAAAAAAAGTAATCTAACAGCCCTCCAAATGGACAACTCTAGTGAAGTGTAAAATGTGAAGTTTTAATATGTAGTAAAATCTCAGTGGGATTTTATCATTTATCTTGTGATTTTATAATATAAATGTAGAGATTCACAACACTTTTCTTCCTCTTGATCCGCCTCCCGAGATGTCTTTATCAGCTGCAGCACAGACAACTGGCAGACGACCAAACAGCAAGCTGGTTTGTGATAAATAGATCACCAGTTTGTAGGCTCCACTAATTTCCTCAGTCATTATAAACAAGAGAGATGACTCTTTTAACAGTACCATCAGCAGGGCTCGATTTTATCCAGTCTTTTAAAAAAGAAAAAACAAAAACCTCAACTGGTCTTCACTTCTCATCTTGCGTGTCTTTTTAAATGTGACTTGATGAACATTTACAAAGTGTTCCAACTTGGTATGATTTGTCTCTTGTTTCCCTGCAACTTCTTTTTGAATCCCATCGCCTCTCGCTAGATTTCAGTATAACATTCTGATCTTCAGTCAGTCTCAGTTCACAAAAGGACTTATTCCTCTTCCCTTTTGTTTTCATTTGACAAATTCCTTTGGAATGGCATTTCCAGTCTTGAATGGATTTGTTGAGGAACTCATGCAGGGGTGTGCACAGTCACAGTAATGGTGATAAGACTTCTTTTTCATTTAGAGAGTAACATAATGATGACACTAAAACTTGATATGAAACATATCTGCAAAAAGGAGGTGAGGAGGGGGGGCTATTTTGGGCTTAGATGGGGTCTCTGGGAGGCAGGAGGGGAGCTCTGCACAGATACAGAGAGGACGGCAGGGAGCTCAGAGCTTCTCTGAGGAGGGGATCCAGATGTAGGGACCAGACTGCTCCTCGATGATTAGCTTGATTTTGTTGTAGATCTCCTCTAGTGAGTCACCCTGTACAATAGCTGGAGGAAGAGGAGAGGCAGACATACACCTGTTAGTTACATCTGAATTTAGGACGACAAAAAAAGCTTATCTGCAGTGTTTCATTATAATAACCATTACAACTGATAAATCAATCACCAAACAATCCTCATAGTTTCACTGAGTCTGTTTCAAGTGAGCTCCTGGAGGTAAAAGGGTTTCAACTATGTTCCCGTGTGAAGATGTTCTTCATTGCATGCAACAAAGTGCAGTTTCTATGCAGATGTGTTGCTCCTTTAAATAACATCTGTTATCACCATCTTGCCAGCAACCTGTACAACAGTCGAGTACGGCTCACGGTAGTGATGGTAGTTAAAGGCGCAGGCAAACCCACTGCTTCCTCGTGATTACTGAGCTTCCACAGCACTGCTGGAACAGTAGCAACACACCACATCCCAAAAGGGTTAAATACTGGTGTATTGCACAAGAGGCACAGCTGATTAACATACAGGGCCACACACACAGACTCACCGACTCAGACATGCACACAAAGCTGCACTGCCTTGCCAGCATGGACGGGACATATCGCCACCATTTCACCTTAGTTAACTTCTTTTTTCTCATCCTAAAGTCATATCTTCAAACTCTCTGACTGTCAAACCAAAGACCCCTACATTTGCATCATATATGACAAGAAAAGCAGCAACACATCAAATTCAAGAAGTTGATTTTTTTCATGATTAACTCATCCCTCAATAGGCTTATTGTTGCAGCTTAAGTGAAAAAATATCCTTTTCTTTTGATAAAGTTCCTTAAAACACGCTTGTGGATTCAAAAATACAGGAAAACACAAAAACTCCAGGTGAGACCAACCCGTGAAATACTCTCCAAAGTCTTGCTCCAGCTTCACTGCCTTGTCAAAGACTTTATTGGCCTGCTCGTACGTCTGCCTCTTATTCATTTCCCTGAAAAAAACAAAAAAGAAAATAGTTTATCAAAGAGTCACAGGCACAACTTCACTACATTTCTTAACTTAAATACGTGGAAAAGCTCAAACTTACATTAGGGCTTCAATGGATTTTGGTTTAATAAAGATGGCAATCGGATAAAGTTGTGCTTGCTGCAGTCGTTTTATGGCATTCCCAGACACATCCAGAATGCAGTGCTTCCCCTTAAAGCAAAGAAAAGTCTTGTTCAATATATGATAATGCAATGGAATAACAGTGCTCTCTGATTAATAAGGTTACAGGAAAACAAGTCTTGATACCCACCCTTTCAGCCACAGTTCTGACAGACAAGATGCTTGTCCCATACAGGTTCTCGTTGAACTGCCCTGCCTCAATAAATTTATTATCCTGAATGTCTTTCTCCATTTGCTCCCTTGAGCCCACAAAGTGGTAGTCCTGGCCGTCCATCTCGTTTTCTCGCCTGGGACGTGTTGTATCTGCAGAGAGGGATGGAGAAACGTCATATCTGATCACATTCAGAGTGCTGTCTGGATCAGGTTTTGTTGTTGTTGTTAATATTGCGGTAAACTCACGGGGTACGCAGGAACCAAACTTGTGGGGGAACTCGGAGATGAGGTCATCATTTACTCTGTCCTTCATTGGGCCCAGTATGATCACAGGCCGTGTGTAGTGGACTGCATGGATGACAAAGAGAGCAGATGACCACACATAATCAAACGTATACTTTTACATGATGTGCTTTATTCTTTCGATGATGAAAGATCCACTCACTTTCCTGTCGGATAACCGGTTCATAGGAAAGAATTGTGTCCTCTTGCCCCTCTGTAATAAAACACACACAAAACTTCATCAGATATTTTCATCTTAATTTTAAGAAACAGAATCAGCCGCACCGGCCGATGCAACACTTGGGAGGAATATTAATTTACAGGTGTCATTTCACAAGTGAATTTTTAAAGATCTACCATATTAATCATCCGTGTGGGCAGTGTTAAACAAACCAGAAACAGAGAGAAATGAAGGTGACTCACTCGAACTGCTTTCACTGTCACTTGTGTTGGATGTCAGGCATTCTGTGAAAGCAAAAGAAAGCCGGTTGCAGTTTAACTTGAAATATAGCAGAAACAATGTTGAATTCAAATTCTTATTAATCTAATGGGTGGGAATCATTTCACCTTCTTCAACAGCCTAAGAAGGGGAGGGGGAGGCACTCTGTTCTCAACATTTGGCCATTAAAAAAAGAGGATAAAGAAAGCAGAAGTCTTGCTTGGTGCAACAGCCATGCTCGAGTAATATTAGGGAAGTGGTTTTAGGGTGCAAGCAATAGGAAATTAAGTACTTCCTGCGACAATGTCCCAAATGACCCTCTATTCCCCGACCAACGTTTCCTATTGCTAGATCAGTGCCGCTGGCAGCGGATCTCATATCAGGGACACAGAAAACATAAAGAAGGGGGGCAGGGGCTGGCTGACTCTGGGGAACTCCAGGAAAAAATGGTTTTCAGCCAGGCCTGCTCTGGTGACAGATACACTCCAACTCTTATCTGATGAAACTCAACTCAACTTTGATTGTAAAGCCTAGGGCCTTACTGATGAGGGGTTTCTGAAACAGAGCAGTTACAGACCACCAAATATTGCAGCTGTTTATAAAAAAGTCTTCAGCATGAGTGAAAAATGGCCTGCTCTACATCAAGTTTGCTCGGACTTTGAAACCAAACAGACCACCTTCAGGAGCTTAGTCGACTAATTTCTTAGGAAAGCAAGACTGCTGCAGAGATTGTATTTTGCAGTCCTTCATATTATCACTCTGTTGTGATGCTCTGCTGCCATGCTGCAGACAGTGTAGAGGTACACAAAGGAGTCAGACTAGAATAGTCTTTTTCTCAATCAATCTTATTAAAGGGATATTCCAGCGTAAAATTAAGTTAGGGTCAAACACACCGTAACACCAAGTTAGACACCCCCTTTGAGAGATGAATGTTGCCGACCACTTGCTTCTCTAGTTAAAACCAACTTTAGTAACGACCCCACAACAGCAATACAGAGAGCCATGTGCTCAACCAAAAGCCACTCCATAGCCACAAATAATGCTCAGCGGGGTGACGCAGCTCAAGGAAGAACATTTATGATGATTTCTTCATGGAAATGCAATCAGACCAAGACGCCAAGGCAGGAGAAATACCGCGTCTGCAGTGCAAAATGATTAATATGGTGATTATTAATTCAAGGAAATGATAAAGTAATGATCATAAATGCTCTTCCTTAAGCTGCGTCAACCCGCTATAGTTGTGATGGACTGGCCTGAGGTCTCGCCACAAACAAGCGGCTGCTGGAAGAGATTGGGTGAGTTGTGCTTAGTCTCTTTGCTAAAGAAATTAGACAAAGTTAAAAACATGCTTGGTGGCTAGGACCCTATTTGTATTGTTGATGAAGTAAGGTTCTGTTCAGAGCATTATTTGTGGCTATAGAGTGGCGTTTTGGTTGAGTGGCTCTTGAGATTGCTGTGTATTGCTATCGCGCAGCAGTTACTAAAGTTGGTTTGACTAGAGAAGCAAGCGGTCAGCAACATTCATCTATCTAGTGGGTGTCTAACTCAGTGTTACGATGTGTTTGATCCTAAATTAATTTATGCCAGAATATCCCTTTAATTGTATATTCTGTTGAATATTTTCCTAACAGTGCACAAGAGAACACATGTATGCCAATATTTATCGGTGATAAGCCAACATCTACGAATCAATATATCGGTGGAGTTCTCACACAGGCCATTAATCCAACTAACCCTCCCCGTCTCCGAAGCATATTCTATATCTTTGTGTATCTATGATCTGTGAACGAGTGCTGTGATTTCTTTGTGAGCGCTACCTTAACTCTGTGTTTGTGTGTTCTGTCCCTCTACATGTGTGTGGTTCAGCATTCCCAGCTGGGTTTGCAGTGACAAAGCATTTTCTTTTTCTCTGAGCTCATGGGGCAGCTGCTTGACACAGTACAACCACACACTTACTCAAACTCTTTGATCCATAAAAGTCATCGCTTAACCCTGGGAAGTCCTAGGTGTCCCGACAGGTGAGAGCAGAAACCAAGAGAAGAGAGCAGACAGGAAGAAGAAGAGGTTAGTGAAAGTCAGGGCAGAGAAGGAGAGGAGTGCTGTGTCGTCGTGCTTGCTTGGCCCACTGACACATGGCTTCGTGCTCTGCTCATTAAGCCTGAGCCCCATTTTGTTCATAGTAAGCCACGGCCTTTCAATTACACAAACCAAATCCCATTAAAAAGGATTTTTGACCTGTTAAGTGTTACAGCTTCAGTCCAGTTAATGAGATTCCTCTTGTTTGGGTCAGTGACTGACTGGGAAATTGATCAGGACTTATACAAAGAGCAGCATCAAAGTGTAAGGAGGCCTGAGTGTTAATGCAGCCACAAACACATCGTACACGCAGCTAGTCACTCCTCTGGAGCCTGTAGATGCCAAGACACCAGAGAGAAGCCCACATCTCCAGCCTGATGCTGACTCTGCTTGTGGGACTTCTCTCTGGGAGGGTGAAAGAGGGATGAGAGCGGTGCCATGACACAAACCATCCCCGAAGATGAGCAGAGAGATGGAAGCTGAGAGACAGAACTGAAGCATGAAGGGGAAAAGGAGGGAGAGCAACAACCGCCCCCCATCGATCACACAGCTGGTACTCACGTTCAGGCTCCACCAGATCCTGCACAATATTCTCCTTGCTCTTGTAAAACGGGAACTTGCGAGAGAGGAAGCTTTTTTTGCGCTTTACTTTGACTGGCTGCTTGTCAGCGTGTGGGTCAGGAGGAGAGGGTGGGGGGGTAATGAAAGGGTGAAAACAAAAAACAGAATGGGTTTCAATGAGGATACCCCAACACTCATGCAAACAGAACCAAATGATATGTAAACAAAGAATACATGTCGAATCAAAATGATAATGAGAAGCAGATAATGAGTGAAAATGAATGGAATAACATAGCATTTCCATCAACTGTAACAGAAAACATCACATCAGATTCACACATGCTAACATTTACAAGTGTATTGAGCTGAGAAGGTTACAGAAGGTGCTCCTCTCTGCAGAGAGCTTCTGTGTAATCTATACAGTAATACGAGAAGTTTTTGTGCTCGCTTCAGTAAGCAGGTGCTGGTCTCTTTCCCACACTTTGGGGGGGAAGTAGGCCATCTCCCTGGGAGCCCAGCAGCAGCTCTGAAGGCAGCCTTTCTGGCACCAGGGCAGGGAGCAGCTGGTCCCTCTACACTTACCCTGTTGGACTCAATCATGCCTGTCCTGGCGTGGAACTTGACTGTTTTTAACCTAGCCCGCTCCTTCTTCTCCACTCTGGGGAAAAAAGAAAAATAGGGGGGGGAATGAGTTTGGGCTGGGCATGAATGCTAGCAGTCACACTGGCTAAGTCTGATATCAGTGCACCGGCAAATCGAGGGTGAGCGTACCTTTTCTTGCTCGGAATGACCCCAATCTGCTCACTTTCTCCATGTGGCGTGACCAGCCTCGCCTGCCACCACTCGTCATCAGAAGCATTTATGACATGGAGGATATCACCGTAAGAGAAGCTCAGGCCTTGGCTGGGCAGGCAGCTGTCCCTCGTTCGATCATAGTCAAACAGAGCTCTACAGAAAAACAAAGGGTTTGGTTACACCACTTCCTTCTTTTTTATTTTGAATTGTGTGTAGTCATTCAGACCTGTGCCAGGACCAAACTACTGTGTCCACACTTGGCACAGAACAGCTACTATGAACTTCCTGCTTTACACGGTTGGCCTTTGTAAATTTTTCCTTAATACAGGGTTCAAACAGCTTTTGAAGGGTGAAGTTAAAGCACTTTCAAAGTAATTCAACCTGAAATTTTGAAGCCAACCAGGAGAGGGCCTCTCCTCCTGAGCTTGCGAGTTACTGAAATATCAGTTTGGGCAAGTTTCTAAAGGACTAACAAATTGGACTGTCTTTAAAGTAGCCTTTGAGCAAAAACCAGGTAACTTTCTTCAATGTATAAACGCATGGAGCAGACGGTCAAAAGTGCACTACAGAAAAAACACAGAAACACAAGCTGAACTAATTTCTGATTCGAGACAAGATTTAAAAACATGCCACCCTTAAACTTCCACTTGACATTTATCACTGCTGTTGCCACATACTTTCCATCACAAGCACATACTGTTTATTGTCTGTCTGAATGTGACTCCAACTTGTCAGACAGGTCAATCCATTGCAGCTTCCTCGAGGAATTCATACCTGCTTTACAGGCTGACACTTAACCTACAAGCCTACAGCTACAGGGCATTACCCATGCTGTCGTGGACAGACATGAGGTGGATTTAATGTTTGTTATCTGCCTGAGAATTCCTGCAAACGGGTAACTTTGTCTGGCTTAGCAAACAGGACTAAAATAACCATCATGCATTCTGTTTGCAGCTTTTGTGCTGGTTGGTATGAAAGGAAAATATTTCAAAAGTAAATTAAAAAGCCTGAGCCATGTTTCCACACCTTCACATACTCAGTGTTTCAGAAAGAAGGTGCGCACATGTGACTGTTATTTTTTCGAGAGCACCTTAGAGGCTTAACGCCTCCACATTCCAGAGGCTGGGAGGACATGGCGGCTCCTGCATCAGCCGGCTAACTAGACAGCTTTCCCAACATAACTGTGGGCTTAGTCACCCGCTTAGAAGCAGGCTAGGCTCTACATGCCTCGTGGGAGTCAGTCTATAAGAGAGGCATGATTCAGGCCAGATAATGCTTCTCTCTGTCGCAGGTGTCCAATAAGATTACACCTATGTACTTCTGATTCAGACCCATTTTCAGCTAGTGGCCATTTCTTTCTTTCCATGATGTAAGACTTGGATTGGAGGCTCAAATGCTGTTTGATGCTGTTAGATTGTGTTTCCAGGGACAAGTCTTATAGATGTACTGAATCTGACTCATTTATATCAAATCACATTTTCTTATTCAAACAACGACAGTGGAAATCTAGAGGCACATGGGGTCAGGTTTTTATTAAGAGGGAGTTCAAAAAACACTGGACCTTTAGCTTGTTCGACAGCATCTTATGGATGTCAATATAATGATAATAATAATAATAATAATAGTGGTACTGTTCCAGGGCTCGACAGTGCGACCATTTCACTCGCATTTGCGACTAAAAAATAGATGTGTGCGAATTGTAAAATGTATTTAGGGGCACACATGCGCATAAAAAAAAAAATCAGCCGAGGCAACAAATGTTTTTTCATGTAAACACTGCGGTGAAGGTAGTTTTAGGTTGGATATTCGATGGACATTCGGATCCACGTGGATCTATCAGTGACTTCTCACTCTCCATAACTGGTAATAGCAACAGCAGCGCGGTTAAATCTGCGCGGCACCTTCGCTGTCAATGTCGGATGTTGAACTAGGGACCATCAATAAATTACCGGTTGATGTTCTCAGAAAAGGCTGTTTTCCTTCAATAGCTTCCATGTCATGTGACCAATTGACCTAAAGTTGACTTAAAATAATAGAACTTATGTCGACCAATAAGACACACCTCTTTATTTCCCTAATTTGTCCTCATACATTTTTGTGTTAAATTTAAAGGCAAATTTTGAACATTTTCTTCAATAGCTTCTATGACATGTGACCGAAAAGCCCAAAATTGATTTAAAAAAATAGTACTTGTGTCGACCAATAAGACAAACATTATCTGATCAATTTTCATTGTGCCTATAAAGTTCTTTATGTGCTCCTTACTTTTTCAATTTAGGAGCACATGTGCTCCTTGTGAAAAAAGTTAGTGTCAAGCTCTGTGTTCTACATTAAAACCATTTCCTTGCTGACATTTAAATTTAGTTGACAAAATAATGTGCTGAATGCTGACATTAGCTGTTGTTTTTAAATAGCAAAGATTACTCCAGTTGTTGTATTGATCAGTTTACAACAATCACAGAAGTCACTTTCATTTCCTGCAATAACTTGAACCACAAACTGCGACACAGAGTGATTCGTTTGCGCTTTCTCCCCTGCACACGAGGTCGGAGGAAATCGGCCGCTGAGCGACTTTGGTCAGTTGTGTTTAACATAAACCACATCAATCCATTAATGCAGCTATCGGCTTCAGGTTAAGTGGTGTGCATGAGTGTTTTAGTCGAAATCTGCTGAAGCACTTGGACTTCTTTTTTTTTTTATTACATCACACACCTTTAACCTTGACCCCCCTGAGCCCTCTGCGACTCATTGCATTTATGTGAGCAGAAGGACGCCACCTGTTTTAATTCCTAAATGAGCCTCTGTCCAGATTGGCAACCGGCCCAAAGTGTCATAACGCAGGTCACATCGACAAAGCCCTACAGTCAATCTACATTAACAAAGCAGAATCGATGTCAAACGTGGCGACGAAACAACAACAGGGGCAGCCTGTCCGTCACCCTTTTGATGCTAATGAACCAACAGCATACTCTCAATTTAAGTTTTCCGTATGAATCGAAGAATGTTACGTTTCATGTTGCATCAGTTGACCTTTAAAATTAAAGTCCTACTTTTGTACTGACAGCATGTGCATTAAAGCTTTGGTCCCTGCTGCGGGATGGTAGGGGTTTATGATGCAAGAGGGGCTATTTTGACTACAGGTCTTAAAATTTGATGTTGTGAGTGCAGGCATGACAAGTGACGTGTGTGTGTGTATGTGTGACAGCTCTACCTGACATAGAGGGAGCGTTTCTCACTGGTGCGCAGGGAGCCTGATCCTGAGCTCATGCTGCTGTTCATCATCTGCTCCCTCAGGTCGTGGATCTTGGACTCAAAGCGACTATATTCTGCATTGGAAAAAAGCAAACAAAACAAACCTGGTCAACAACAACAACAGCCTAAAATAGGTTTTCAACAAGCATATTAGACCCCTGCAGGTTTTTAAATTGGTACTTTACAGGTTAGTTAATGTAGATGGCAGTAAGGTTTTGGACCCAGCCCTCTGCTTTCCCCTCATAATTCCTCGGGATGTGTTTCAGTTTGTGCCACAGTGAGCCGGCGTGAATAGAGGAAAGGTTGAACGAATCTTTCGACTGATTAATGACCCCTGGAACAGATGGTTCATCACAGATCTGTCTTACACATCCAGTAATGTCTCACGTCAGGTAATTAATTATACAGATTAATTAAATTCAACATGGGTCTTCAGTGTGGTTAAAAAAGGGAAGACCTCCAACAACTTCCAATGCATGACCATTTGTCATAGGTGTGTAAATCCAGTTGCTGCTCAGGAGCACGGGGGGATGATGTATGAATCCACCTGGACCTGCTCATTAACAATGCTCTCATTAGCCTGCTGTGCACAGCGTCCTCTGTGCCCAGGCTGCTGGAACGAGCTGGGCCATCGCAGCACACGGCTAGGTAAACAGAGAAGCAGATGCAGCTAGAAAAACAAGCTGGCTAGGTGCCTCATGTGATCACACAAAGAGGCACTGGGATCACCAAAAGACCTGCTTTAGTCTCTGATATAGAAGATTATTTTTGACAGTTGTGTATTGTTGTAAAAAGTGATTTAAAATTTTACGATTCTGTACTTTTATTTTTATGCCGAGTCCATAGATTAATCTGTTCATAACCAACCATAATCATCTCTGACACTGCATATGATGATCTGAACTATTACTCAAATGACCCAGTACGACTGAGTCTTAATCATAATTAGGCTACAAAAGAAGAAGAAGTGCAGGAGAAGAACGTTATCCATAATTATCCCTATCATGTCTTTTACTGTCACGCCTTTTCGGGATTGACTCCTACCTTACTGCTCTATTATCCATTTCTGGCAACGCTTCCTGTAATGCGAGCTACGAGAGATCAAAGTCCGGATTCTGTCAAACAAACTTAGGAGTCTCCATGGAAAAACAAACACCCATGACTACAAAGACAATGTGGCCTAAGTCGGTTTCAGTGCAGGGAGAAATTCTAGGCAGGTGCAAAAACAAGATGCAGGTCCCTGAACTATGGGGCCCCTTGCTGAAACCTAAAAGGGATTCAAAGTAAACAGAACCTGCCCCAGGCCTCCTGCCAGCTCCCCACCCAGGTCTCTGCTCAAAGAGTTAACAATACAACAGGGTGACGCTGCAAGGTAAGGTAACCAGACACCGCCTGACTGCCTGTAACCATGAGCAACATCGTAGCACTCCTAGAGCAGACAGCACACACGGAAGCAGCCATTCAGACTCGTCCACTTGGCTGTCTGACATAGGAGGTAAGAGAGAGAGAGAGAGAGAGGAGGGGTCGAGGGACAAGACAAAGAGCAGCTAAGTAGACACAGTCCTCTTAATACCCATCGTCACAAAACCACCGACCTGAGGGCCGGCTGAGAGCTGTACTGCAGAGAAAGTATTGTTGGTATTACAGGTGGAAGCGCTAAAGGCTTTACTTATTCACATCCTCAACATTAAAATGATTCATCTAAATACTGTAGCACGACACCATGAGGTTTTACAACCACACCTCACTACAAAAATAGAGAAGAGTCAAATGTGCTAAAGAGTAATCTATGTTTACAGTCGACTAAAATATCATCAAACTCCTACAAAACACTCATCAATCTCTAGCACTTCGAGAATGACCCGATTTCGCAGTTTACAGATATTTAAAAGTTATTTAAAGGAAGTTCTTACTTGAATAGAGGAAGGGAAGGGAAGGGTAGTCCTGTTTTTTTTTTAATCTAAAGCAATGTGATACTGGTGAATCAGGATACTGTATCACAACAGCCTCAATAAAGTCCGGGCACAGAGGTTAAACATCAACTGTTGGTCTCATGGTGAAAGATTAAAAACAGAACAAGTGCTGGAAACGAGGGCTGCTCATGAATGGAAAAAATCCTACCCACAGTTTATTATGATTGAAATTAAGAACATGATTATTAAAAACATGTATACTCCTGGTTTGACATTAGCCTGACAGAAACGGAAACTCTTAAAAATCTGAGCATCTTAACCTCTTGAATCAAACCCACTGAGAGCCCTGTTTGACCTTTTGAGTTGACCTAAGTTTTCCTGTCTGTCGTATCACTGACAGAGACCATGTATTTATTCTACACTTCACTTTTAAGAGCTTTGACGTCATAATTTTGATGACAGAACTCACTAGATTAAATGCCAGACTTTAACTTGTAGTCATTTTTACAGCGTGGCACAACTTGTTGAGGATACTCAGTCCACATTTATCTTCTGCATTATTTGCAACCTTATTGTGCTCCAGAGCTTTGTTGAACCTGATCAGTGTGACTGATGGTAAAGTGAAAGTGAGAGTTGTTTGAAGGGAGGGGCAGAGCACAGGAGCATGCGCTTCATGCACTTTTACAGGAAAAAAATGAGCGCAACACGGCAGGGTAGTTATCATTCAGTTTTGAATGACATATTTTCACCATCCTGGGGGTGGCATAATTGTTACTTAAACATGATTATTTGCCCGGCCTGATTGGAAACATCTCTCATGTTGGTGAAAACGAATAAGAGCAAAACCAGGTCACATCTGAATCAACGTGATTCAGTCCATAAAGAGAGATAACACTGATGATCAGTTATTTATGAATTAATGAGGCTCACATAAAGGCGCCCTTGTGGCCTTGGGTTTGGTCCTGACTAGAGATGCAATAAAGTAGTACAGATATTGTTTATGGGTCTTACTGATCCAAGTAGATCAATATAAGACTTATGAAATGTCTCTATGCTAGGCAACCCTTCCTTGCAAATGTTGACAATTATGCTGGAAGGAAAACTTGTCTCTTCCACACAGTGAGCCGTACTGTTTACTAGGTAAACACTGTCATTGAATGGGTACCGAATATTGGGTAATGATATTAGGTAATGCTGGAAGCTCTGAAAAGTCTGTATTGGTTTCTGACCAAGAAACTGTGTGAACTTCCTTGATGCTCTTCCTTCGACTCACTTAACAAGTCAAAATGATAGAGATTCCTGATTTTTTTTCAGTATTGGCCCGTGGATGTATTTGGTGGGGCATGTAAGGACCTCCACAGGGAGGCAATCAAAACCTCACCCCTTCACAAATCTTCAGCAGCAAACGCTTACATTAAAGACAAAGGCCACAAGGCTTTATTTAATCAATAACCATTACAATATGTTGGCAGTTTATTAAGAGCCGAGGCATATCTAGCTAAATAATAAGTCATACGGTACGTACCGAGTCAATGACGACAGTCTTGATTGGTCTGGCTCTTAATCCTGCATCAATTACTCATTAACATCCCGACTTACAAACAAACCTTTTAAATACAAGGAAACAGACTGCAGACCAGACCAAAATGTTAAATATCTATCCCTCAGAGCACTTAATGCACAAGAGCAAGCCTTTATTTTTAGGAGTGACCCACAGGATGAAAAGACAGCTAATAGAAACTGGGCCTACTCTGTATCTCTCACTCCCACTGCGTGTCCTCATTAGTCGTACAGCTTTTTTATTTTGGGGGACGGTCGCTTCTCTTTTGATCCAGTTATGCAACACAGCAGGCATGTACATGTAATGTGAGAGTGTGTTATGTTCTGCAGGAGAGTAGAGCCTGTGAAGACACAAATCCTGTCCCTGATGTGGTATACTACTGGAGGGGAACGTGGACCCTTGCTTTTACCGTTTCTACTAAAACACTGGCGTGAGTTTTGTGAGGGTGCATGGAGTTTAACATTTCCTCCATTGCACTCCTCCCACTTCCTACATGCAAAGATTTAAGTGTGATGCAAGGCAGCGAGGAAATACAACCTTTACATCCACTCCTACAAAATAAAAGTGAGTTTAGGACTTGCTGATGCTCTCGTAAGCTTCTTCGTCAGAGGGCAGCCTGACACAGCCTGCGTGCTATGCTGTGGTTTCTGTCAGAGGTCTTCGGACTCTTGGACCCCAACCCCTGAGGATACTCTCCAAGGCAGTTTTCCTGGCAAACCAGCACATTCTCCTTTCTTTCTCCCTTTTACCCCTGTCTAGCTCACCTTGCACCTGGGCTCCCTCCCCCCTGTTATACTCAATATGAACACCAGACGAGTGACTGCAAACAGATCTCAGGTCAGCAGAGGGGACGCAGGAAGTCAATCATTTGCCAGCACTCGACTTGTGTGTTTAGAGTAGTTACGCATTGTGCACAAACAGATAACTGTCCTTCCCAGGGTTACAAAGAAGGCGCAGAGCTGAAAGAATGGTTTGGAATGGAAAACAAAGGTTCCCTTCAACAAACCACATCGTCATTCAAGATGCTGCGATTGGTCTGGCATGCGAGACATCAACTCACATGGACATGAATGAGGCATTATTACGAGTATTTGTAGCAGAAGGAAACCCTTCGCTGCAATGTTGTCAGTTCTGATCCCTGCACGTGTCTTTTTTTTTTTTTTCTTTGCTCAAGACTCTGCCAATTCAGCAATCCTGTTCCACCTCAACTCCAATGACCTGAGGAGAGTTTTAGGGCATTTAGGAGTTGTATTATATTGAAATAATATTGATATGCCTCTTCACATTCCTATCATAGTCCAACCTGAGAAGTCAGTCTTAGTCTAAAGCTCACAATATCCTCCCTATTGTTGTCATAGCATTACTGAAGCATGCTCAGGTATGCAGTCAAGACAAAAAACGTAAAAGAAGAAACTCCAAGTGCCAAAGAAGCAGAAGACTTGTGCACAGCCATTCTTAATTTTACTGTCACAAAAAACACATGGTCCCATTTTGTAATGAACTGGTTAACCTTAAGGAATAAATGTCAATTAGTCAGCCTGATAAAAGGTTTGTCTTAAGAAACTTTGTAACCAAAGGTCGCTGTTGTCAGTGGTTTAGGGAGGAATGTAAATGTAAATACTAAGGATGCACCTTATGCACCATGATCTGATATTTGGATCAGATATCAGCTCCAATATTGACAAATTAACTGGATCAGATATCTGATGTATGATGCCGATCTAACATTCCAATCCATATTCACTCTATATCCTATGTCTTTCTATCCTTTTGCACTAAATGTTTGCATGGAAGTCTTACTTCTTTTTGCTTTGTGCAATTTGTTATTTGTTAGAATATAATATTAAGTAAATTTATATCTGTGTTAATTTTTCACCTTTTTTTAAACAAGGCTAATGTCAAGCTTCATGCCTTCACTCAGTGCAAGATATGCAGTTCATTCATTTAACAGTAGCATTGGATCGGTATCTACGTTCAGCCCAGGTATCGGTATCGGATTAGATAGGGAAAAAATGGATCGGTGCATCTCTAGTAAATAGGTGAGCTCACAAGTTAGGTCTCAGTTGAAGACACCGCAACCAAGTTGACACACACACACACACACCTGTTTGACCACACCTCTGTTACCCCACCTTAAGGTTTAGGTTACATAAGGACATTAAGACAGGGGGGTTAAAATGTCTAAATTAATCCAGTCGCATATGAATTGAAGCAATGCCACTTAAGCTATATTTCAGTAAGGCTAAATGTTATCTTATGAAAGACTGCAAACAAACAAAGATCTCAGATAATGACAGGGGTTAACCACTGAAGTAGCAGGGGTGAGGCTATCACATGTCTGCCACTGTAACTTATTAATTTCAATGCTGGATAAATAGGGAGCCATTTTCCACTGTGAGGAGTTAATCCTTGCTTTGTGGGCCAAACACAACAGAAACCCGTGTTACTCTTACACTACTGGAGTGAAACTAATTCATAGGTGACGGCAAGGAAGAGCAACACTCACACAGAGACACCAGCTCTCAGTACAGTAGCAGTCCAGATAAACCTGTTCTGCAGTGATAGGAAACACAGTTCGTTCACGTTTCATGGAATTAATGTTATCCGCGACCCCACTTCCTTGTCTCACCTCAGTTAATCGGAACCGTGGTTGTTATTTCGCTGTCGCAGCCGGTAGTTTGTCTTCATCCAGCCATTAGGGAGTTCATGCGGCTTCTTCTGCTCTGCTGCTGTTGTATTATTCCAGCCCATCCCCCATCCGCGCAGGCTGGTAGATAAAAAAGTTTGAAGTTTCTTCTTCTTCGTCCTCCACCTTTAGTTTGAACCCGTGAAAACTCTCCTCCCTTGTCGGACTGGAAATAGAGCTCTGTTCATTCTCTTCTTTCCATCTATATCCGGGTTTAGGGTCCACATTCAGCGGCTGCTCAGTGGAGTTTGAACGGGGAAGGACGACAGCGGTTCGTTTGCCCGCCTTGCAGTTGGCTCGACACTTCAGCCTGCTAACACAAGTGCCGCCCCTAAACATGAATACCGCCTGCTTGCCCTCATTTGCAGTAGCTAGTTCATGTCACATTCACCACAAGGTATTCTGGTTGTGTTTCTATTCAATGGGATTAAACAATTTCAACGATTTAGCGCCATGTCTCTTGTAAATCAACAACAGAGGCGGGGTAAAAATGGCATAAATCAAAGCTGCAGAGACGAAGAGATATCCTGTTATCACCTTGCACGAGCAGAAAGCGTTCCAAAAACACGAGATCCTACATTTCCCATAATGCATTTTGACAGCGCCTTTTACAGTCTGGTAAATGCTGCCCACGTCTTTTAAAGCAGTGGTTCTCAACTGGTCTCACTCTGGGACCCATATTTTCCCATGGTCCTTAAGTCGCGACCCACTTTTATAAAATTCAAACCAAGCAAATTTATTTTTTAGAAAAAAACCTTTAAAGACTCAAATCCTCAACATAAATACACCGTTTTTATTTACCCACTACGCAATGCTTCGTCGAAATGACATCTATTTAATGAGGTCATTTAATGACAATGAGGTACAAATGTGGACGTCATTTTAACGTCTGAAAGGGGTCCAATATTGACATCTAAATCTTGGATCCATTTTGCACGTTGTGCCGACGTCTAGAATTGGTCATCAGATGACGTCCAAATTCTAACGTCGAGCGACGTCTAAAAAAGGTCCAATTTGGACGTCGAAATTTCTAACCTATTTTGCACGTCACACTGACGTCTAGATGTGGTCTTTGACGGACTGACCCAATACTGACTTGATCTGCACGTCTCTTCGACGTCCATGTTTGGTGGGTAGTACAGTGCATTTCAGAGCACATGAACTGAGGAAGACAACTACTGAAGTTGCTTATACAGAAAATACCAAGTATCAAATTGCACAAGGGGAGACCACCAAAATGAAAAAATTGACTTATATGCATTTCTGCATTCAGCGCATATTCAGAAGAACCATGCAACGAGGGTCCATGTATTATCCATCCATTCAATTAATCCATTAAATCTAGTAAATAAAAAAATATTTTGTTTTTCTGTATAACTAAAAAGTAGTGTTTGTTTTCGTATTTTCAGCCCAAAACAGAATGTAAATTAGAGAAGGAAACAAAAACAAAATACTAAATCTTATTTACAGTTATTGATTTTGAGTGCACCTGTTTTGAGAATATGTGCATGGAGGCCACATTGGCCTTCCTATAATCCTCAGCGACAGTTACCACAGCGAAAGATGCGACAGAGCGATTTAAGCGCCAAAATCTTACGTTGTAACAGAGCTCTGGTTGTAATTTTTTCTACAGTCATATCTTCCTCCTTCAGCGTGACCCTCCTGGTGGCTTTGAATAGTGCGTAGGATGTGTCCATCTCCATGACAGCAGGTTAGCCTTTCTCTACCGCTCTGGCCTGGAGTTTTTGGTCCACGCTGTCAGCTACTTTGTTGCGCAATGCGTATGTGCAATCAGTAGAAGCACCGTAGGAAATAGGGACATCAACAGGCCTGACATCTCTCCCTGACACAATAGCAATGAAATGTCATTTCATTGAAAAATTGTCTTTTGTTGCATCAAAATCAGAAAAACACTTGCTGAAATATCCATAAATTTCACTTGATTTTCCGCTTTCTGCTCTAAGGCTGCCCGCGCATACCTGCGATGACATTGCACAGAAACCCGTCTATAAGAAACCGGGGAGGACCACAACATAACGCGTGCCTTTCAAAATAAGCTATTTTTTAAAAATAAAAGACATGTCAACATCAGATGCGCATTAAATATTTACTTTTTGACCAGCTATTCGCAACCCATCAAGAACATGGCTGCGACCCACTTTTGGGTCGGGACCCACCAGTTGAGAACCACTGTTTTAAAGCAAGAGTTTATCATTTCTTGCACCTTTTCCACGCTGAGTGTGAGAACAATGAACGCTGCTTTGAGAAACTAGCAACCAAAATTAAAAATAAAAAAGTAAAAAAATCACTGGCTCTGTTTTAATCTGATACTTTCAAGCCAAGATAACCCCTGCAACATCACGAGAATAAAATTTTGAAAGCTTCCCCATGAGCTGCAGGAAAACATCCAGAAACATTTAACCAAATTCTTAATTGAAAAATCAGCATTTTGTGAAGATACTGGGCTTTCAATCATGATTTTTAAACCTTATGATGTTAAGAACAAATCCGATAAGGGTTTAGCAACTCTTAAGTGTATGTTATCTTAGATGAGCCATGCTGGTCTATGCTATTAAGATGTATATAAAAAATGTATATAATCTCTGTTCTTCTGATTTAACATTATTCAAGCTTATAGCACAGGGTGCACCAGAGTATATGAGAACTTCAAAACAAACAACAATGCTCATCTAGCACCAGGTGGGGGTCACAATGAGGCAAAGAATACACATAGAAGCGCCCAAAATAGCTCACAAATACTCACAGAAATAAAAGTTTAATTGATGATAAGTCATTAAAGTACAGCCTATAATAACTGTGAGTTCAGGTCTCATGTCAGCACTGTATTATTAGGGGATCATGTGTGGTATGAGACAGAGTGACCTCACCTTCAGGCCTGTACTGAGCAATGATGGTGACAGTCTGTCCGGCTCTCTTCAGTGCTGCAGCTGCTTGCTCATGTGTAGCATTCCTAAGGTTAACTCCATTCACCTGCAAACAAACCAGGTAGACAAAAGAAAATACTGTTGTTATTGTAAAAGCCTGCTGCTTTTTTCAGTAAAGAGAAATGTTGAGGACACAATTTCAGCTAGACGGTTTTATTTTAAAAAATTACCTCCACCATGTAAAGGCCTAACATTTAAAATGACAATTTTATTGGCATGCTTTCTTCTGAAATATGACAGGGCAGATAAGTAAAAGATATTACTGTTTTATCTTTCAGCAGTTAAGATGTTTACTGATCTGTCAATTGAATGACTGTTTTTATATGACGTGTTTTTTTAGTTAAAGTAACACAGACATAAAACAGACATAAATAATGAGTCATAAACTGTTTTTTTTAGAGGTTAGCAGCTATAAATAAAAATAAAGGGATTAAAATGAGCAATTTATGTAACACTTTCTTCTCTGGAAAAGCACAGATTTGCTCTCTCTGAGTTTTCATGGATTTAATTCCTTGCTCAAGGACATTTCAGGAGGGCAGATGTTCACTGGTGTTCTGAACACCAGGCCACATGGATTCTCTCCTAATTATCCTAACAACAGGAGTTTGCTAAAAACATCTGAAAACTGCCTAAAACTTGTCATTGTTGTTGTTGATGAGAGCAAACTTGAGGTGGATGATACTGACGGAGAGAATCCTGTCGCCCCTTCTCAGCTCGCCGCTCAGGTCAGCCGGCCCTCCTGCCAGGATGAAGGATACGAAGATGCCTTCTCCATCCTCCCCACCGACTATGTTGAAGCCCAGGCCTGTGGAGCCCTTGTGCAGCAACACCTTCCTTGGCTCCCTGCCAAACAGAGGGACAGCGTCAGGGTGAAGGACAGGACAGAGAGTGTAGAGGGAAGACAGAGAGAGAGATATGACCACAACTGTAATAGAAGGAGCATGAAAAGAGGCATATAGATGGGGGCTGTTTCATCCAGCAGCCATCTTCTAGTGTTGTTTGTATGTGTTGAAATAAAAGTGCTATGGATAGAGATGTGAAATGAACAGCGGAACCAACCACTAGCACTAAATGACTAACACAATGGCAATCAAGCTCTAATTATTTAGCTAAATAAGATAACTCAGCAACAGCGACAACACTCTCGCAATAGCTGCAAAAATACAATTAAACAAGCTGCATCACACTTGGACCAAACAACGACTTTTACTTGTTTATACAACTTTCTGCTTTGCTTGGCAACCTCATGGAAATGTACACATACAATTTTAAATACCTGTTGTATTAGCGTATGCAGACATAATAAGCCACCTCCTGCTTGATAGCTCTGAAACTCTGCATTAGCTTTAGCCACTATGACTCATCCACCAACGGGCTATTCAGACTAAATCAGTTTTGAGACGCTAAAGAGGCCAAAACTGCTGCTGTGGTCCAACAAGAACCATCTGAGATCATACTTCACACAATTGCAGACACGCACACACATACATACATACACACCAGAAAGTTCAAAACACGCAATCTCACATGTGCATCTTTAACAGACAAATGTCCACATAAACATACATGCATGCAGACAGTGGGCATAGACTCACACGGAGATGCATGCAGTTTCCTCTCTTTCTGGAAAACACTGCATGGTTCCCATTAGTGGTCTACTCAGCCTGCGGTCTGCAGGAACAATTCCCTCTCAATCCCTAATGGCTGCGCTCTAACTCACTGTTTAGACCATTTTCCTTTCGACAGCAGCAGATTCTGCATTCCAGACCATCGGAATCAAACCATGACTGGCTGGAAAAAGCCCTGATTACTACGAGAAAAGAAAATAAGAGCAATTGAAGGGTCTAAATAGTGTGACTGTGCCTGTAGAAAGTTTAACAACACCATTAAGCTGTAATCATTTGAGTAAAAGTGATGTTACATGCAGATTTTTGGTTGATTACCTATTCAGATTGATCAATAATAACTTACTGACTCTGGCTTTGCAGGAAACAGATAGTGTTTCCATGAGATATAACTAGAAACAGATTAAAACTGGACTGTTAATCTTTGTTTCATTATATTTTGCGTTTTGTATAATCTATTAGATTTCTTTAGTACCAGAGATAAGGAGAAATACTTAAATAATGCCTTTGAATATCGTGAAACAACTGACTTGCCTTCAAACAAGTCAGGCTTAAAATAACCTCGCTTTCCATCCACAGCTTTTCATCCCTGCTCGACACACACGCTCATACATCTCCATGGTTACCTCACAATCCAGAACCGGTGCTTGCTTCTGAAAGAGCATTTCCTAACAGAGCGTTCAGGCAGCGACATGGAGGATGAGATGTTGACTGTGAACATGGTGGCTATGTTACATCCCTCGGCTCAGTGTTACTCCTCAGCCCCTCGTTTCTCTCTGGTCCCTTGGCTGAAAGAGGAGCTGCAGTTTTAGGAGCTCCTGTGTTTGGGGCCTGGTGTTTCCTATCTTATCCTTGTGTGCCGTGATGGGAAGCAGCCCCTCTTTGGCCTGTCACAAACAGCTCGCTCCCCATCATCACCGGTAAGAAAAGACTTAACACTTAACCCTAACACTCCCACACAAGTCATTTTCTCCACAACAAGAGACTTGCATCTGAAACAACTCAAACTACGTTACATCATAAGAAAGCTGGATGTGTCAAACTGGACGTCATCCAAGTTTCACACAGTGCTGTCCCCTTGTCCCTGCTCTGATGCCGGTTTGGATTCAGCCCTCCCTCTTTAAATACAGTACACCAGCATTCCTGTCTGTCGACCCGGTCCTCTGGAGACTAGGCAGACTGATTCCCAGAAGCTCCTTGTTAATTTGTGACAGAGCAAACAAACTAAGAAGCTTTTGAATGTTACTTCCTCAGGTCAGGTCTTTCATTGAATTCACTCAAATTCTAACACGCTGGAAGCTTGATTATTTCACTGGACAGAGATGTGCAGACACACAGTGTAAGGCCCAAGTTTTTTCTTTATTTCACAGTTTTTCCATCCAGGGAGGATTGCCTGGACATTTTCATAGAGAGCAGGGGGAAATTCCTTCAGTTTTAAACGCATAGATCAAGCCCCCCCTCCCCATCACAAGACCTGCCTCTCCTCCCTCCCTTCCCCTCCTTTGCCTCTTCATCCATGCCAGGAATGTAAACAGTTATAAAACGGTAAAACCCTCACTCTTTTCAGCAGCCATTTCTCCTTTTCTCCAATTCAGAACCCCCCAAACCCCACTCCCACAGCCATATTTTCCCTGTCTGCTTTTGGCCCAGGCTGTCTCAGCTCACTCCTAAAGCTGTGAATGGATATCTGGGCTGTGGGGTTCAGCGGGTCATGCTGCCCTGGACTCAGCCCAGTAATTGGCTCTGCTTGGCTGATTAATGGTGGACACTGCAGATGGACGCCATTTCCCACAGACAGACACTACCTCTCCCTGCACTTTATCTTTCTCTCTTCCAGAATGGATCACAGCAGCTTACGTATAGAGGCGTATGATGATAAAACTGAAATGCTGCTTTATCTCCAAAATTTCACCCGTGCATTCTTTGTGCTTGCCTCTTCTGCACGGCCTGCTATTTTTATCTTAGGGAAAAATTCGTTCACTGCTTGGGTGATAGACAGTTAAAGATATTTGATGCCTCTCACTGTGACTAAGAAAAACTGGAGCGATAAATAATTAACAGCTAAAACAAGTGTTTAGCCCAATCTGCTGCGATTACTTTCATATTCAACTTTTTTCTGCAGCTTTTGGAGAATCAGATCTGAAGGTAAAAATGTTCCTCTCAATCCTGGCATTAACAAGGCTGACCAGTCAAAGGTTTTGTGCTTGTGCATCTGTGTCTGCATGGGACGCATGTAGTTACTGATTAGCTCACCTGCTGCTGCAGTCCACAGGGTTCTGTATACACAAGCCTCGCTTGAACAAAGCAGCCTAACTAGAAGCACTGTCGTGCATATCTAAGAAGTGCAGCCCTGATAGGAGCGGCAGGCTTGTTTAGTGATTATGCACACTATCGCTACCACACACAACATATATTTACAGCAAACATGGTTGGAGGTTTTTTATCTCTTATCTGGGTCCAACGCGGACTAAGACAAGGAAGCTGTGTACAGTACTGACATATCTGCAGAAGAATGGGGGTAATATCAGATGGAGGAAGGGGGTAGGGGGTTGTCGAGGGATGTGACTGTGATGACACCACTGAGGGGGAGGTGCAGATGGGCAGAGGACCGACACACAAGCTCTGACTCACGCCTTACAACCAGCCTGCTCCACTTCTCTCGATGCTTACTACAGCATCCATCTAAAGTAACCTCCCCGTCTCCTTCACCAAGCCAATGCCAATGGGTGATCTTTAAAGGTTGGGTGGAGGTGTCTGCTATCTGCCCATCTGTCTGATGGAGCTCAGTGCTGATATTATGTGCTGTGATTGAAAATCAAGTCAACCCTGAGACTCCTCTGAGACGATGCCACCTACGCCCACTAGGGGCAAACTGGTGCATGTATGGTCAAAGACTTGTGCAGTTCTCATTTGAACAGTTGACTGAGGAGTTGTTTGGTTTGCAGGATGTATACCCACAGGTCTGTGTCTCATAGCTCTGCATTATATTTATGAACGTGTGTGTGTGTGTGTGTGCTTGTATGTGTCAGCACACCATGAGCGGATGTCTTGGTGTACAGTATGTGTGTGCGATTGGTGCTGGCAGCACGGGTGACAAGAGGGGTTAGACCCGGGTGCGTGGCCTGGTTTTTGCAGAGTGCAGATGAATCATGACAGCTGCAGGACTGTCTGCTGCTAACGGTCTGCTGGCCTGTACCGGATCACGCTCCTATTGCCCATTACAGTTATGGAAACAGCAAGGTCTGGTGTTTATATTTACATGCATGGAGCAGCAGGCAAAACATTCCAACGCTGCAGAGCAGAATGTTTTTATTAGGTGGTCTGTCTTTCTATCATCCAGTACTTGCTTTTCTTATAAAGCCACAACCTGCCCTAAGATTAAGTATATAGCAAAACCAGGATCTGCCTGTCTCTCCGCCTTGTTTCATATGCAAAAACTCTCACAAGGAAACCTGTCCGTCCTGTGTCACGCAACATACAACATGCTTGACACAAAACACATGACATTAAAGCAAGGGGTTCAAACACAGGACGTAAACACATTAATCCACGAGATGAACAAAAAGGACAGCACTGCAGGTAAATTGCTATAAATAATGAGCGCAAAATCAAGAGCAAGATCTCCTTGCCTATTTGAGAATATCTAAAAACACACACACAAATGTTATGTGTGTGTTCCTCAGCACAATCTACTAGTGAAAGTAGATTGGCCCGAAATAAAGGCTTGGATAAATCCAAGCCTCCCGACAGATGGAACAGAGCAGCTTGTGGGAGCGTGAAGCCCTTTCAGCTGCTCTCCTGTGGAGATGTGTTTGTGAAGAGCAGGTACGACTCCATTTTGAACTGCACTAAACAGGGACCTATTGTCTTTGATTCATTGACGTGAGCAGAGTAGTTGGAGAATAGATGGACCAATAATGAAGACGGAGTAGACCTTTTGAAATATAAAATGAGATGAAATAACAAACAAACACATGCACAAAGGGCAAAAAATAGCAAGCTAATTACTTCTGAAACATTACAGCTCCATGGTCAATTCTCTGTAATGGGTAGTAGTTTTTCATCACAGCTCATGAGATGTAAAAGATCAAATGATATCTGCATTTCAATCAGTCACTGGGGGTTTCATACAAACATAAAAAGCAGCAACATATTTAAAGCAACATACAAAACAGTCATTAGACAAGAGGGAAGGAAACATTTACATGCAAACACGGACAAAAGCTTAAACAAAGCTCCCACTGAAAGTTAGAACTTTCCCTTCATTTTTTCCTCCTTCTGTTGCCATTTTTATCATCTCTCTACACTTCCTCTACTCTTGCAATTTGTGCCAAAATGTGGCGTAACATACTACAAGAAAGGCAGGTCCCTCTCTGGCCCTAAACTTGCTACACAGAGGAGGGTTAGCTAAGCAAGGCGTGATGGACTAGGTTAGTACCTGCCAGAGAAGGGGAGTGGACCTTGGCACAAGGGAGCAGGGGAAGGACAGAAGCCTCTGTAGAGGGCCTGGGGCCCCTTGCTGTCCCCAGGTTTGTTGATGACACTGTAAACAGGCTCAGCCCTGCTGTGGGGGTACAGGAATCACAGTGAACGGGACAAGTGCAGGACACAAATAAAGCACACAAACCAACAAAGATGCGACAGAAGCACATACAAGTCATGTAGACAGCTTGTACAAGGACATTACATGGCCACATAACACACATTCATCCAGTAACAAGTGCACTCCACAGCACACAGACACGCCTGCATGTTGTCACACTCAAACATACACACTAACACACATACACTCACACACACACAGAGGGAATACAGCCTCCTCCCCAGAGCTGTGGGTTAAGATGACTCAAGGCCTCGTGGGACACTACAATCAAGCCTCTATGAATGCTACTTCTGATCCAGTACTTGGATAGGATGTCAAAGGTTAAAACACAGTCATAACAAATGCAAGAAGAGACAAGTAGCCTCTATGCAAAGTATTTGGTCAGCACACAGCAACCACATACCGTCAAGCTATCATATAGTAAGCACCACCAGGGTCACAATCAGCAGAAAAAAAGAAACCTAAAACCTAGAAGAGCGTATCATTACATGACCCAACCAATCAAAATCTATGTACATACATTTGTACCTTGGTTAAATTCACCAGAAACACAGATATTCTCAACAAAAAGGAATCGTCTCGGAAGACAGACAAATTCATGCAGACTCAAAAATAAAGGAAAACGACTGTTGTCAATCTGATCTAAAATAGCGACACAGCAAAAACACAAGAAGTCCTTAAGCTCATATTTAAGAGCAGTCAACTCTATGTACTAACCGAAAAGCCTGTGTGTTTTGTATGAGGGGAGAGTCATTCATGGGGGAGGCAGTCTGTAACCTACCTTGTGAAGTCTTCCTCCCCCAGCATGTGGCGGGGGACTGGCGAGTACCTGGACGGGGTGACCTGGGGCGGTGGGTATACAGGTTTAGGCTCCATTGCTCCCATGTAGTTGTGGCTGACGTGGTTGTCCACCATGGTTGGGAAGGCTGGAGGGAGGGCCAGACCAGTAAGGGGAAAGAAAATATGATTACAACGCAGGAACAATAAGGACATTGGGTAACCATGGAAACTTCACTGCACTAGCTAAACATGTGATCTAAAGGTTTTGCTTTTTTGGCTATGCTAGCTGCATGGTAAATGGTTTATGTCATTCATATTAGAGCGAGGAATGTTAGAAATGTCACCATGAAGATGTTAGCATGCTGACACGAGTATTTAGCTGAAATCACCTTGACTTTACAGTTTCATACTAGAGTGATGTCTTACTATCACTATTAGCCAAGTGAAAACTTTAGCCTCTAAGAAAAGGGTCTTGGTTTTGGAGTTCTTTGCGATTATAATGTCATGATTTCCAAACCAATTCCTGGGTGTGCAAACACAGAGGAATCTCTAAAACTAGCTTAGATATCTCATATTTCAATCTGTCAGATGGCTGTTGCTGCAGAGACCGTCTTGCTAGATAATCCAAACCAGTTTATTTGTTGGTACAGAGAAAGAAATGACCACATCACCTGACGCAATAGCGATGCAAATAAAAAGTCCAACTGTAATCATCTGACTGCTTATAGTTTAATACTTTCACATATTTCATTCAATTTGGCTTTTCTACAGTGCAATTGATGCAACGTTATGGTAAGAAATGAGAGCGTTAGTTCGGGATATGAAACTAGGATATGGTCAAATAAAAGCTGAATTTTGCCTTTTACATAGAGAATACATCATTAACTGCCAGAGTCTAGAAACAGAGAGGTTGTAGTAATGTTGCACTCATATTGTCTGTCATTCTCAAGCAACAAAGAACAAATTAGTAAAAATCCTAAAGAACTTTATGCCAAAGACATATCACAAGCATAAAAATCCCTGTATGAACACTGCAAGAGGCAGCTGAGCGTTAGAGAAATGAGTGTTTCAAATCCAGATCATGTGACAACAGCACGAACTGTTAGAGGAGGGTTAAGCCTGCATCACTGGCCTGCTTAAGACAACTGCAAATATACAGAGACCCCCCAGTAGCCCCCTTTCTAATAAATCACTGTTGTGTGGAAATCTGAGATGCTGCAGCTCAAAAACGTGGGCTCTCATGAGCAGGTGGGATGTGAGAAACCAACCACACTCAGTGGGAGGCAGAGAACTGCGCTTGTTGTTTCTGTGGGTAGCATTGTGTGTGTGTGTGTGTGTGTGTGTGTGTGTGTGTGTGCGTGTGTGTGTGTGTGTGTGTGTGTGTGTAAGCATTCACTACATTCACTATGTGGGTGTGTGGGCATAACAGTTTTGGGAAGAGAACAGTGATCCAACTTCAAAATTCATGCAGGCCTACTGTAACATCTCTGCTAAAGATAAAATGATGTTTTACTGTCAAAAACACTCAAACATGGACCATCAAATACAAAAACAGGGCATTGCTACGTAAGTATACATTCACATAGAGTTCAATGTTTAATATTGATGTTCAAAAGGTTCATAATGTACATAAAAGATGTAATACAGACTGTAACAGGACTACAGTGAAGTTCACGTATAAGAATATATTTGCACATGATAAAAAATGACAGTGACATATTACTGTTGAACTGAATTATAGTCCAACTGACTTTTTGACATCTGTATAAACTATGGATTTTAACTCTGCATGAACCCCTTTCAGCTCGATCTTAATTTAAATTCTATGCATATTAATGCGGGATATCCACATTTAACCTTTGCAGTATGTGACTGGAAGACCAAGAAGACGTAGATACGTACTGCTGGAGTAATCCGGAGGGGCGTACATGTCGTTGAGATGTACAGGTCCCGGTTTAGCCACCTTTAGGTAAACCATATCGGAGGTGTTCTTCAGCGCAGCCACTGCCTCCTCATGACGCACGTCCTGCAGCATGATGTTGTTCACCTGAATGGGATGGATATAAGACAAGAGAGGAGGATGAATTTGTGTATCAACACCTGAACACCTCGTGTCTTTGCTGCGCTGTGACAACATCAGGCATCACACCAGCCATCACACCAGCCAACACAATAATGAATCATAGCTTGAAGGTATTATGAGATTTCAAAGCGCACTGAAAGGTTGGTGTGCTGTGCGGCGTCAACAGAGGTCAAAAGCAGTAGGTAGAAGGTTCTGAAGATGCTCTGAATTTCTTCAGTTTCCCTTTTAAGATCCAAATCCCTGGAAACATGCTGTCAATCTAAAGTTATTCAACACCTTGTATTATAGCGGTTTACATGAAATCTCACTATATCGTGCTCTTTGTTAGTAACTGAAAGTACAGTATCTGTGATCTTAGATATGGCGGACTTATCATATCACTCCTACACACTTATCACTCTCACGTAAAGATCAGAATTGTCTATTCTCTTCTGTTAGTTTGTGTCAAAAATAGCACAAGGAGAAGGACTCCTACATTTTCTTTTAGGTCTCTTACAGATGCCATCTGGTAGTGTATTTCATCTCTATTTAATAAATTTTTATTTTTCAGAGAAGAAACATCTTACATTTTCTGTCCTGAACTTACATTTTCCTGCTCGTCTCCTCACTATCTTTAATACACTCACTAATTTAATTTGTTATTCTATAATGTTTTATTTATTTACTCATAACAGTGTGTGGAAAATTATCGAGTGAATTTTGCATAAATTATAGAAAACAACAAACAAACAGAAACAGCTTTGGAAAATAGATGCTAAATAAAAACAGAGTCTATATTAAGAGTAGATGCAATAACATGCTGGAATAAGTTCATGTTTCTGTTTAAATGAGAGAGTTTCATGGGTCACTAATGAGTTCATTTTTCACATTTCAATTTGTGCTTTATTAAAAGCAGGTGCACTGGGAAGCTTTGGCCGTACAGGCACCCAGCTGGCTGTGACTCCTTACTTCAAGTCGAGTTTAAGCACAAGCTTTAATCAAACGGCTCTCAATATTTCGTGTCATAAATCCTCTTCAATGGATACTGTATTCTTCCTTTTTCTCAATTCTGCAATGAGCTTTCGGTGATGTCCTCTCTGTGATATCCTGCTCTCATGATACACTAATGGAGCTTTTTATTGTCGCATGTCTTGCCCTTAAATGGACATCCATCCACAGAGTCATAAATGCTAATGCATGTTGTCCGTCTCACGTTGTTGAAAATGACCGGATGATGCAACCAACCAGATAACGTAATGTGCTCAAGATGTCCCATTAACAGTCAGTCATTTACAAAGGTGCCAGTCTGACAGCAAGAAATGTCTGTCACCACCACTAGTTACAAAAAGCACCAACTTAAAAGAGTTACATTTACACCTGAAATGCATTTATTGTGGTTTTAAATGTTCAATATGTAAATATCGGGGAGGCTCGTACAGCTAAGAGGCGGTCTCCAGTCTGCAGGCGTCCATCTTTTTGGGCAGCTCCTCCTTCTATGATCTTGGTTATGTAGATGCTGTTATCTCCTGGGATGTGTTGGTTTCCAATGCCTCCGGCGATGCTGAACCCAAGCCCTGGTGAAAGAATAAACAGTCAGATAGTCGATATGCGCCCATATTTACACACCTTTAGATATGCATTTTATGTCTGGAGCTGCCTTGTTGATGCCTAACCCTCATTTCTTCACACATTGGCTTAAAAGTTTAGTATTTGTCTTGAACTTTAGACATAGTCCTTGAAAATATACAGTTAAGTGTCTTTGAGGAATCTAAAAGTGTGCAGCACTAGTATGTGATGACGAGCAGGATGTGTTGCAGACCTTTGGGCCCCTTTAGCAGGTTGACCTCCAGAATCGTCTCAGGTGGGGCCTGTCTCCTTCGCACCAGCAGCCGCACCACCGGCCCCGCCTCCTTCAGGGCTTCCACCGCCCGGCTGTGCACCACTTCAGACACATCCACGTCGTTCACACGCAGCACGCAGTCATTCACCCTGTAGAGGAGAAATATTTAGTCAAAATCTTACGCACCATCTTGTCAGTCAGCAGATAACAGCGATGGAGTTAATTCACTGAACAGAGGAGAAGGGAAACCTGAGCATGGCTGGAGTAATCAAAAGCCTCTAGAGCACATAAAAAAGCACTCCATATCATCATTTCTGCATTTTTCAGGCTTTGCTTTTCCAGTGAATCATAACTTTGAGAAAAAACAGAGAGCCCAGAAGCAGAGGGATGAAGAAACTCTGCCTCCCACACAGCACTGCCAGGCGGGACGCACGGCTGCAGTGAGCTTTTAAGTGGGAAGTATGGAGAGTGGAGAGAGGACAGAGGGTGCAGAGCAGCTTGGAAGGAGAAGAAGGACGGAGTGACATGAAGAAAAAGAAGAAGAGGAAGAAGAAGAAGGAGAAGGAGGAGATGAAGGAGAAAGAAGGGGGAGGACTTACCCCAGCCTTCCATCCATGGCAGCTGCTCCTCCGGGGATGATCTTGGTGATGAAGATCCCTGGATCATCAGGAATGTGGGGATTGTCTATTCCTCCAGCGATGCTAAAGCCCAGGCCAGAGTTCCCCTGCACACAGGTTATGATTGGCACTTTCAGTATAGTACAATAAAACACACACATACACAGAAACACACAGAAACACACACTTTAGTGTAAGTGATGAAGCCTATGTTGGCTCAAGGTCAGCACTATATGGCTCTTAAGTGTATTGGTATTTCAGAGGAACACGTGATCGATGCAAACTGCTCCTGGGATTTCTCCATGTCTCTATTTTTTTGACACGTGGGAGTATGTGTGTGTGTGTGTGTGTCCTTGCAGGTGAAGAATGATAATGGCATGTATTCCATTAGAAGAGGGCACTCCATTCAAAATGTCATGCTTATTCCATCAACCCGTAGCGCAGCGTCAGTCTCAGAAACGTCCTGCATCCACAGAAAAGTGGATTTATGGTCCAAAGTGAAGATGAGAGGAGAAGTCATCTCTATTGCATGATGCAGAGCTTCTCACTCTCTGCGGGAGACAGACACTACAATGGTCCCTCTCTTGCCCCTGCAATGACACAGGACCCATTTGGATCCAGTGGGTCCGGGTGCACTGCTGCATCTGACAGCCATGGCTTCAGAGACAGGCAGCAAACAAGACAGCTGAGAAAAGACCTCGCTTTATTATTTTCTATAATTAATGAGCAACAGTCGCAACAAATTAGGACAGAGGGAGTCTGAGGCCTCTCGGTGTGCTGCTCCGAAGCCAAGAGGAGTGTACTGGGCCTCACCACCAAATGTTACACACCCACAGACCTTTAAAAGTGTGACTTTGCATAGCTTATTTAAGCTTTCTGCAGAAACGCCTCTTAGAGTGGAAGGGGCAGAGAGGGACTCTGCATCCATCAGGGGTTTGGAGGTGCATCTATATGTGGGTGGAATAATAAGAACCGAAACATATAGTGCTGCCACTACAGACAAATCCAGCGCTGACAAGTGCAGCAGTGCCTGCTTAACAATTGAACAAGAGAGCACTTTACATTTCTGGCGTCTGCTGATGACATGTGCATCAGGATTATGTAAAAAGCTACGCCTCAGTGGCATTATTCTGCACTCGTACTCACACATAAGATATTCTAACTGCAGTGATGTAACTGCTATAACTTAACCAGAAACAGCCTATCATGTGTGATTCCTCTGACAGAGGTGTGGATTTTTGGGGTGGGTGCTGGGGTCATTTTCCCATCCTTTAAGATGACTGAGCAAAGACTGAGCTGCTTAACACCACCTAGTGGGGAGAAATCCATCTGTCATGCTGAAAAAAAAACAGGAATGTGTCGACTGTGGAGAAATGAGGAAAGCAAAAGCTCAAACTCACCCTCTCCAGAATGATCTCCTCATATTTGTACATCCCATCACTGCCATTTACCTGTCAAAACAGAGGCACAGTGGTAAGTGGCATCACTGAGCTTGATTTCTGTCATTTTCTTAAAACATAGTAGGAAGCATGCAAATGTTTCAGCTTAATCCTTTACTATAACAGAGAGAGAGCTGTGGAGAATGAGATTATGGACAAAATATACTGAAGATACATGCACCAGTTTTACTCACTAAAAATAACACCACAAATTACAAATTGTTGCGATCAAATGTGTCTTTTTCTTTTTCAGCGTGCTGCTGAGTGTACGGCTGCAGAATGCACATTTCATACAAACAGGCAGGGTCAATAGGATAATGGATGTTGGTCCAAATGGCAAACAGCATGTAGCTAGCAGGAGGCAACCTCGTCATCCACACACACAAAAGCATGCTCATGCACCGACACAGAGGGAGTGTGAGAGAGAGACATGCATACTGTACACAGAGAGAGAGAGGGAGAGAGAGAAAGAGAGAGAGAGAGAGAGCAGATACTTACATAAGGGCCTGCATCTAGTGAGTCTGCGTTGACGATGATGGGGGGAGGGTTGGCCTGTGAATATGAAGAGATACACGTTATCTCGGTGTGTAAGGCTGGCAGCGCACAGACATAATGCGGAACACACACCATCACTTGGAAGCAAAGTGAACGGATGCCATGGGAACAGTCGCTGAATCTCCTTGGGGCTGAGGCTGTATGTGTGTGTATGTGTGTGTGTGGGGTGGGGACGGGGGGGTTGTGTCGGGGGTACTGAAAAGGTGTGATGGCTGAGAATGAGGACTGGGGCAGAGAGACAGCTACTTATTAACCAACACTGCAAGACATCCTGCAGTCAGCTCATAAAACAAACCAGCTTGTGTCCCAGCAGCTGGAACGGAACAGTACGTTTATCCCACATCACCGCCCCCCCCACCAACCAAACCACTCTTATTTAACATCCCAAAATAACACATCGTAGTACCACATTTTGAACTGAAGGATTTTATGGTAATCATGATGTGCTGCATATTAAACAACCAGAAGAAATTTATGTCCTTTTAATGTTTTTATACATTTTATTTTAGAGTTACTTGTTTGTGCAATACTGAAATACTGAAATTACTCTAACCTTCACCTCTGATACTGGCTGTTGGTTAATCAAATACCCAGCAAAATACAAATATTACAACACACCATCACTATCCAATATTGCTGCTGGAACAAAGTTACAACCAGGGCCACAAACAATGTGATGAAAATGTTGTCCCTCATTTCTGAAAATGAACCAGCAGAAAACCACACACTAAAATGATTATTTATTGCAATCCAAGATAACTCCTTTAAATAATTATTTAATCAAAGCAAATTGAGTGAAACCATTTGAAACAAATCTTCCTGCATTTCCATCTCTTGGTCTGACAACACAAGATCTCTGCAGGCATGACGTTAACTTCTAAGAAATAGCGATCAGCATCTTTCACTGTTTTCTGATTTGTATTTTTGCCAAACATGTCTGGATAATGATACGATTATTATGAAATGATAATAGGCCGTGTTACAAAGGCTGTGTAAAGAATCGCTGAGCTTATGTTTACTTTTTCCCGCCGTTTAATAGCCAGTTAGTCAACTAAAATGTCAAATTAAATGGATTCCCCTGAGATTTTTTTTTTTCACTGAACATAGTGGATAAACCTTCCATTTACGACATAAAAAACTTGATTACTCTTCAGTCAGATATAAAATGCAGGTTCTGCACGAGCCTTTGTTAAAGTTAGAGTGTTAGTGGCAGCTTGTAAATCAGAGATTAATCTTTAACAGGAAGTACATGTTAAGTTTAAGAGCTAAATGTAGTTTTCAGCTCAGCTCTATTGTGCCACCTGGTGTTTCTTCTCCCATCTCAGGCCTGCAGAGCAGCTGAGGAGGCTCTAAGCTGAGACCTCTAAGGAAAGCTGGCAGCGAACAAAAGGTGTGACGATGGAGTTGATTGTTGGTTAAGGAGAAGCATGATGGCCTTCCACTCATTCAGCACAGTGGCTGCATACTCTTTAATACTCTTTATTGATTTGATTGAGCTGTGTGGGTGAAAGGGTGCTGACAGCGCTGCTCAGGGACACTGAGGATAACATCAGCGGCTGCCTATTTCATCCCCCCTCCCCATCCTAGGTCACTATGTACACAGATATCACCTGTGTACATGCAGATAGTTTCTACTGATCCTTTTCTTCTTTAGAATAAAAAAATACTGCTGATAAGAAAAGGAAAACACATTTTATTAGGCTTTCCCTGATTGCTGGAAATAAATGCATCGCTATATTGCGGAAAAGTGAAAACCCACCTACTGCTTCAATGTGGCTTAAGGAAGTTGCATCATACATGGCCTCTGAAAAAATTATGTTCAATATGAAAAAGAAACCCCATCTTTCTGACAAATGCTGGCATGACTTTTAAATATATCTGGATAACTTCTCACAGATAACTAGACGAGTACTGTCAGTGGTGTGGTGGTGGTGGTTGTAGCACATATGCAGGAGTAGCTGTGCTTTTCTATTGTCAATGTCTTGACCTTTGCTGCATGTATTTTGCTGTAATTTTATGTATTTATTTATATTTAATTTTATTCATTTATCATTTAACTAATTTGTATTCTTTTATTATAATTATTTTATCCTTTTATTTATTTACATTTATATTTTCGTTTATATTATTATTATAATTATTATTATTATTATTACCGTTATTTTTGGGGATGTAGCTAAGAGTTGGACTATGGGGTTTGTTCTAGAAGAGGGGCGGGTTTGGATGAAATTTGTAACCCTGTTGTTGTTATTGAAGTTGTATACTGTTTATGATAAAATGTTAATAAATAAATTGTTAAAAAAAGAATTTAAAAAACTGTGCTATACGTGTTTAATGTGAGGTGTGTCATTTAGTTATGCATCAGCTGTATTAATGATGCAACACTGAGTGCAGTATTAGATGTGCACATATCTAGAACTTAACCAAACGCCAATTTAACATAACATTTAAATATAACCACATGTAGCATCAGAGCCTTTTTTGAGTGATAACCTTTAAATATTAAAGATGGTGAATATTAAATATTTGGATTTTACCTCATCATTATATGCATGCTCTCTCAATCAAGAAATATTAGGAGGGGGCTGATGAAATAAACAGCATATTTTTAAACCCAGCTACTGTTATGAGAGATCCAATAGGCCAAGCTCTACTCAGAAATCAGCATACATATTATCTCCAACCTTTGGATATGTATGCTTAAAAATGATTTAAATAAATGAAATGCTAATACGGTGGTATTTAAAAGCCAGTGGGTTTAATCAAGCCGTATAAGGCTGAAACACTCCTGCATCCACAAGAGAGCAGCTAAAAACACAAACTTTAAAACGACATAATCCTTTGATCAAAATCATCTGTCTCCTCACAAGCTGTGCAGGTGTCGTTTTATTCCTCCGATACTTCTAATCTGATGAGCTCTCCTGTTACGGCGCTCTCAAAACAAACAGGAGCTGCATATTTGACCTGCTCGGCTTGGCGGTGATGCACTGTGACTCTGGACAGCTGTGGCTGAACCCCCCACCCCCTCTATCCCTCCCAGTCAGCACAATCAGGCCTTGGTTGTAATCTGCATATGGACCAACAGATGCTCATGTCTCTGCTTGTGTTTGCAGATTTCTCAGGAATGTTTTGCACGTCGTTCCCCCTTTTTATCTTAAAAGCAAACTCCTAACACATGACCCAAATCCGGCAGAGGGTTTAATAGTGAAAAGGCATCTGTATTTTTTTTTGTTTACACAGCAGCCATGTTAGTGGCAGCCTATTATGAATACAAAACCCTGAAACCAAAGCCCATGCAGCGAGAAATGATGAAACACAGCCCCTGGGTGACTCAGGGGAATACATTGGCTACTACTGTCCCCCTGGTGACTGACAGACTAAAGCTACTGAATCCTCGATTGAGCCCACATGTGACAAAACACACCTGTTACAGTGCTTATCATAAGTATCATAGTGAAGAAACGCTGTCCAATGGGATCAGTGAACCTACAAGTGCAGCAGAAAGACAATAAACCCATCAATCTGAGAAAACCGCAGTGTTATCCTGGCTTGGGATTGCTGCGTAATCCTCCTATCTGAATCTCACATAACAAGCAAACAAAAAGGAATAATGGAAGATAATCTGGAGAAGAGTAGGCTCAACATGTTTAATGTTTGGCAATTTACTCAGGTAACTTGGATTAGGCTGGATTAGCTCCCCCTCCTTGCCCCCCATGATTTTATTATCTACCTGCTGACCAGAGGAGGAACACACCTCACAAGAGGTCTGAGGAGGTCTCTGATCATTGCTGAAGTTTCTGACACATACTGGAGACACTGACCATGTTCAGAAGGTGGACATTTTACAGTCAGAATGGGAAACGTAAATGTTGTATGATAATTAACTGAAAGGTGTTTATTGGTATCTACATCCTGGATAGTATCAACATGCCTAATAGAGTGGAGATAAAAATGAATATTGACGTTTGGTAAAATTACATGACACAAAAGGAAAAGCACTGATTCAGAGTTAGTGTCAGCTGTTAATCAAAGGTAGCTATTATGCCCTTAAAGGCACAGTTGATGATTGGAGAGATTGGTAATTATTATGAACCTCGTTTATATGTCGATCATGGTCCTATAGTGCGATCTCCACAAAGTGAAGAGAAAAAAGAACGGAAAAAATCCATTCACCCTAACAGGTGCAGGGTTGCAAAAACATTGACCAATGGGAGCCATCCGTCCTGGACAGCTCCTATTGGTCAATCTCCTGCTCCGCCTCTCCATCCAATCACTTCGCTGTATATGACAACGGCTCAGTTTTTTCAACTGCTTCTCAGATCGTCGACCATGCCTTTAAATGTGTTGTTGTACTTTCCGATCTAGCCCAGTATTTTCTCTATCTCTGTTTTTATAAGGTAGAAGACAAATCCTCAGAAGCTACACATACAGTATTTACAATCTGGAACACAAAGTAATATAAAAAATGATCTATGCATCCTGAGTGTAAAGCCATATGAATATGGTAAATAGAGCCAGTTGGTGGTAAACCGGTCTCAGAGGACATATCTGTTTTCTACTAAAATAAAGACAGGTTAAAGATCACAGAGACGAGGACGAAAGCAGTCTCTAAAAGATTGATGTAAAACCCGAGAGAGGACACGAATGTCTGTCAGTGTGTTACAGTGAATGTGGGTCAGATTACTTGAAGAGTGTCGATAAAAGTGAGGAAGTACATGCTGGCAGATGGGGTACAAAGCCAGGGCGGTAGAACTGAGCCTGAGGATGTGGTCTGGAGCGAGAAAAATAAGGACAATCTCAGCTAAACAAGAAGAAAGTAAGACATCTTCATTATAATGGCTATTTATGGAAAAGCCAAGAACAACCACTTTCATCAGCTGTGAAAGAACAGCATTTAACCCTTATTATTCTCAGCATTATAACACCTCAAAGAGTTTTATTTGCCTATAAATACTGTATTTGCAAAATCACTTATGCTAACTTTTCAGCAACCAAACTGAAACCTGCGGCAGAATTTGTGGTTTCAGTGATTAATGTAGCATTGTTCAAACAAGCGCTTTAACACTGTATCATGGTGAATGTAAGGATTAACGCCCTACTCTAAGTAATGTTATCACCCTGTATAGACAGCATGTACACCTGACTGGGTTCTGATCACAATGGGAGCAGTGTATTTGATCTGATCTCATTTTTTCAGACATTCACTTAAAAAAAAAAAAAGGGTTTCCCATCCATCTAAAATATCCAGTATCAGGTGCAGAGTATCCAGGGTAGTGTGTTACTGACACTCGTGCAGGAACAACAGTAACCACATCTGAGTACAGTCACCATCACAGTCATCTTATTCCATTTCACTTTCGAGCAAAAATCCCTACAGGCTGTTTTCACAGACAGTTTTTTGTTTCTACCTGTAATGCACCCTTCAGGTTTGCGGTAGTTTTGGCACTATATGGACACCATACACCCCGATTCAGACATGGAAACAAGTGAGCATGCTGGACACAAAGACCTCATGTACACACAACGACCAGACTGCTTCCCCAGCATGAGATCATTACAACAAGTCCCTGCTGAACACAAGGAGCGTTGGACATTCAGCCGCCGCCGCACTGCTTTCTTTCTCTCACTACTTCGTCTCATCCACCCATCTGTTCACAATAGCTTCTTATTCATCAATCTATCATCTTGCTCTTCTGTCAGTTGCCTGTCTGTCTCTTGTCTCTCAGCATCATGTTGGATCTGTATCATGTCCTCATAGCATTGCGACGCACAGCACTCAGTTGGCTGCAGACCCTAAGGACAGTAAAGCTACAAAGACTCCCACCGAACCACAGCAAGTGCAGGGCACAGGCTTCATCCAAATTGTTAAATAATCAATGTGTTCCCATGGTAACCGGCACTTGCACAGTATTGGCTGGTGAGCCAGCTTAGCTGCCTCCCTCCTGCTTCACCTCTCAGGGCTCTCACTGCAGTTTATGCGGTTTATGTGCTTTCACATGCACGGCAATGGGCTGGATGTGCCTGAGTGCCTTCAGTGCTGCCTGTTCACACCACAAACGCACACACAGAAACACATACTCCCTCTGACATCCATACATCATATCTTCAATCATGACATGAATTAAAAACAAAATTATGGCTCAAAGAAAACAGTTTTTCTATAGTCATGTACAGGGCGGAAAGTTTGAAGAGACTGTTCAGGTGTTATTTGGATACAGAGAATCTGACCTATCATTTTAATTTCAGTGCTTCTCAATTGATCATCAACTAAAGGGACAACAAACAAGTTAAAATTGGCAGGAAATGTGAATATATTTCAAGTCAAAAACAACACATTTAATGAATTTTTAGTTTTAGTAATTCAATCCATCTGCTTCCTGCTAAAGTGACTGTTATTGGTGAAACTAAAAGCTAATACCACCACATGATAACGTCCTATGATACAGCTGGAAAGTTCAATCCCTGCCTTATGCGATGTTAGGTCAAGATTTCCTTCAATCTAATATAGCGTCACAGCCTGCTAAAGGAAATGCTGAATGCTTGAATTAGCTGTTGTCTAAAGGGAGCTCAGTTTTATTATGTTACTTCTGATTGCCACTCCTTCTTATTACTTTAGGAGCTTTGAATTTCTAACACTAGTACTATATCCAACATTTAAAAACTCATAATTCAAATACAGCATCAAAGCATGCACTTCTGAGCTCCCCACCCTTACTGAGAGCGATATATTCGACCGTTAACAGACCTCAGGATGAGGTTTTTGATGAGAAACACTGGTTACACATGTATCGTACAAATTCAGCATACACAGCTTTGTCCACAAGGATGTCCAAATGGACACAAACCAGGCTCCTCATATTTTGTCAGACATAACGATGGATAGGCGACGCGATCAAGGTTAAAGAAAACAGTTTTCAATAAGGGCAAAAATGCTCTTTAGCTGTTAGGTGACAAGATGATCCCCTGTCTCCTATCTGTGCAAACAATGAAGACACCATATTGCAAACTTAGCTTAGCAGAATACCATATAGCTACAATGCTAAAGTGAATCAGCAACTACTGTATTTATTTTGTTATTTTTTGTTACAAGGCTGACTGTTACACCTGATTTCAGTCTTTCTGAGTCAATGTAGCTTTAAACATGAAGGTCTACATGAGGTCTTATGATTTCCCTCTGTCGTGTTTACCAGTGATGCTATACAGTAGAAGAAAAACAAAAAGAAATCTACAGATGGCGAAAATACAAACCAAACAAGACCAAACCCTAAATAGAAATTTTTACATCCTGCAAAGTATGCACACAAGCTGATGCATCATTGCCTGTGTGGATGAATTTGTAGCCACACATGTCTGGAAAGTTGAACTAAGAATCTCTCCTACACCCGTCAGTATTACTTGTTGGGTTTTAATCACCTCCAAATACATCCCAGCCCAGGTAAAGAGCAGAGGAGAAACAAGAGGGTTCGGCATGTGCAGAGTGACGGCATGCTGACAAGGCAATAACCCTCCCTCCTTAGAAAATATTTCCACATCACTTCCTCCTTCGCCTGGCTCGCCGACATGGCAGCTCAGTCTCCAGTGGTGACATCGCAGGGAAATATGACAGTCAGCCCCACTCAGATGATGCACCCAGACAATCAAATGATACAGCCAATGCTGAAGAAGGCTATTTCTGGGCCTACAGTCAAAGCTAATGGCAGATGAGAAAACAAGCAAAAACGCGTCTTAAAGCGGTATAATGCTCTTCCTTTACTGCGTTTTTATTTTCCTGCAGAATGTGGGATAAGAGACGCATTCAGTGTTGCTTCTGCTCTGATCCCCCTGGCTCTCATTGGCCTCTTGTAGGCCACGCTGCAGTCCAATCAATACTGACTCAATTACCATGCACCCAACATCTCATTCACGCAGTGGCCCCCTGCGCTGGAAGAAAGAGGAAAGGAGAGAGGCAAGGTGAGAGGAGCACAAGTGTACCGGATAGACGGAGCTCAGAGGGATGAGCACATGACAGCGAGAGACGGTCTTACTCGAAGCCTGCCGAACCTTGATGTTACAGCCTTTGTCTGGAACAAAGGCGGACTAACGAGTTATAATAAAGTAAACTCCATCGAGGTAAAGGTCAACTGCTCCCTCTCTCCTACTACAACACCAGTATTCATTTCAATAAGGCAGCCACAAAGAAATTAATTAGTCCTCCTATAAAACGGACCCATTAACACCCAAAGTTTTCTGATTTGATGGCCGTGATTGAGCATTGTGACTGTTTTCCCCCCCTCCCCCCTCCCTGAAACACACGCCTCGCACACACGTTCATGAAACCATAATTAATAGCCTGTCACAGCTGTCAGCAGTGCACCCTCCTCATCTTTATGTAATATTACAAAAGCATGCTCTGGCTTACCTCTCTGCCATGCTGAGCAGCTCCACACAGAGCAGAGCTAGCTAGTTTGACCTTCACCGGTGCAGCCACAGAGGGGAGAGTACTTAGTGTAACGAATATTCATGTGTTGCTGGAGGAGGCCTTCTACAAGTTGGTTAACAATTCATCTGATGTAAACATAACTGTGTCTGTGTGCGAGGGGGTGTCGGTCTTCACTTTAAAAGAAACACAACCGGGCTCTTGAACAGACGGATCTCCAATTTATTTATTTATCAATGTCCGTCTATAATTCCTAAAAAACTTTTGGATTGGTTGAAGTCTGAAGCCACAGTGCAAGCTTTTCTTCAGAGACTATTGTTGAACTTTGGTTCACAAGGGGTGGTGTTTTTATCCATCCATCTTTCCCTGTCTGTCTTTGGAAAGTTGGGTAAGGTTTCCAAATTCTTCACTCACTCATTAGTTGAACTCTTACTATTAAAATCTGCACAAAAATTTAGACACAGTGTTGGTGATGACACCCAAGAGGCGTCACCAAGCCTGAAAATGCCCATCGCGGATCTAGAAACTGATACAGAGGTTGAGTGAAGGCTACACTCTGTCATCTGGAAAACAGATGCAACTCACTCACTTTTTAGTCAGTATAGCCAATCCTTTGTCAATTCCCAACTCTAAGCCTTAACTTGATGAAAAAAGATGACTTACAAACAATATTAACCCTTATATGGTCATAAGGGATAAAGAAACTGAAGGCTGCACAGTGTTGTAAAAATATTCAATTAAACTGTAAATATTCAAATGTTATCTACGTCATCAAAAACATGCATGCATGTTTTGTCAAAGGTGGTCATTTTGCTCCTTTTATTCAAAGGAGTTTCAGAGATTTTGGTTTGAGAGTGAGCAACAGCTGTTGAAAGACAAATAGTCCTCTTGAATGTGCTCTAGTTTAAAGTTCATCATAATGTCACAGTAAACTCACAAGATATTTCTTCAATGAAAAGTCTGCAAGAGACGCAGGAGAGACTGAAAGTCACCAGTTAACAGGGCCACAGTTAACGGACAGCATATGAGGGAGTGTAGTCAACCACAGTTTAATCTGACGGCAAATAAATGATACATATAGCAGATAATCTGAACTCAATTTTCACTGTGTGTAGTTAATGAAAGAGTTGGTTATGACTGGGAAGATAATTATGGCCTTACATGGAGAGGTAAGTAACAAGTGAAAGTTAGTTATTAAAGCTGAGGTCTCATACATTGAGGTATCTCCTAGAGTGTTGCTTTCTGGCCTGTTTTATCTTGACTCAGGTCTTGCGCACTGAGGTCTCGGCTTGGTGGGATTTCATATTTCAAGACCCAAACTGAGATTCTGTATTCGATATTTTAGGGTCTGTACATGACCACAGACATTATAATAAAACACCCGATGTGACTTTTTTCTCAGGTGTCAACCCTGTGTTTCTCCATTTAACACATCCAGCCGCTGAATATTTTTCCCTCACTCACCCATGGAGCTGTACGCTGTGAAGCAAATCAAATTTTGAAATTGTTCATGTGATTTTGGTGGATATCATATATGTAAAAAAAAAACACATTTCCACCAATCAAAACATGATAAATGTAAAGGTTGAAATGTTTCTACAGCTGATTCTTTTTCTACTTCTTCTAAAAAAAAAAACTCTGAGATACTTCAGCTAAATTAAGAAGACAGTCTGCAGGGGGTTAAAATGATTTCTACAGCTAAATGTCAACTGAGACGTTCTCGGCTTTGAAGAGCCATATCTGCCACTGTACAACAAATTGAAATCAGCCACTGATTAACATGATCACACAGTCATCACCAGTTAGCTCAATCACAACTAACAGCTACGGTGAAAGTTAGCATAATAAAGGAAGCCTGTCATGTGTGAGTGTCATTAGTATGCTTCACAAAATCCTGCTCCCACTGCTTCCTCCACATCTGAGGTCACTGCAGCGAGTTGCCTCACATCTCCTGTCGAGTCACTCTCCCTTTTGTTGTTAGGCTGAGAGAGCTGCTAAACTTGTTCCTCTTTGGTGTTCAGGATCCCTGATGACAGTGTAGAACAACCAGAACAACTCGGCGCCTCCATTTCAAAGTTCTCATCGTGATGTAGCCTCTTCAGGTGAGGGATTCAACCGTTATCGTGTCATCATGGGGGTAAAGGGTTCATGTATTTGACCTAATCTCCAGTTTTTGTTTTTTCTGTGCGGAGTGTTCCTAACCCATGACACTGTAAAGATGCTGATAGTCTGCATTTGCTCAGATTGTCTAGATGTTTACTGAGACCAGATACTTGACTTTTTCCAACATGCCTTTTGCATTGGTTTTCAGTGATAGAGTTGAATAGGGACGGGAATCAAAAAGGGATTCCATTCAAACTTGTTTGAGCCATCAACATCATTTACCTTAGTGTTTAATGGTTTGCTCATCAGTGACTTCCAATGCAACACAATGATTCGAGTCACAACAAGAAGGATTCAGAGCAAACAACAACCAAGGAGGTGACAGAAGACAGGAACAGTCCAAAGCCCTGTCATGTATAATCTAATATTTATACGCTTACAATATCAGCTCCCAAAACAGAATATATGACATACAGACTTGCATTGAAGTCTACAGGCTTATAGGGCTGAACGATTAATTACATTTGCGATTACATCTCCATATGATAAAATGTGATTTTCTAACTGCAAAGCCTGCAAAATTGACTGGTCATGTGATCTGGTCACGTGATTTGCGAGCGAGTGGAGCGAAACAGAGCAGGTAGAGAGACAAGTCAACATTGCACTCTGTAGCACTATGGCCTAAATCTGCTACAGAAGCTGACACTGCAGAAAGTTTAGTACCAAAGAGGGGCAGCACGGCAGTTGTGTGGATTTATTTTGGCAAAGACAGATGCTGCTGCACAACGTGTGCAGAACCTGTTGTGCTAACGTTGCTACAACTGGAGGTTACACTACAAACCTTTATCAACACTTAAAAATACGCAACAAAGCTATGTACGATTGTTGAATGGCTAAAACACCAGCAACCAGCGCTTCAACTTCAAACCACATCTCCATAAGGATGGAAAACACGTCCAATACGGTGAAGGCAGCACAGCTGAATGAACAGACCCAACTCCAGTGTTTTGGGCACCGATTACAACTCGCCATCGGTACGTAGATTTGTATCATGACATATATGATAGTGCCTGCATGCGTGTGCGTGGAAGTGTGTGAGCAGATAGAGCCTGTGTGTGTGAAATGATAATTGCCAGAAAGAACAGTTTATGTATAATTAATCTGATATTGTTTATTATAATCCAGATAGATTTATTGTTTGTTTTTCCTGAAAAATACATTAGAAGAGGACTTCAATAAAATAAAAGCATAATAAATCGTAATCGCACTATTGAGGCAAAAATTTGCAAAGTTTATTTTCCAAAATGGTTCAGCCCTACTGGCTTTGTCAGACCAACAGCTTTCAGGTAATAAACTCTGCGTGTTCCTGTGACATCCAGTGACTTTTCAACCTCACACAGAAGCTCAGTGTGTTTACAGACACTGTCTGGATCCAATCCCTGAAAAACAAAGGTCATCTGTGAGAATTTAAACATTCGTCTTAGTAATGTAGTGTGGTTTCTGTAGTTAGCTGACTTAGCTAATGAAAGGCTGCCATCTTTGGTACGGTTTGTTGACGAATCACAAGCAGGCGCGGCTGACCCTAAGAGGTCCAATCAGAAACCAGAATTAACTCTAAGAAGTTGTGATTATTTCCTTCAGGATTAGATAGAGGGCTTGACATCAAAGTCAGTAAAGTGATGAGTTAGTAAAATGACTCCAAAGGTAGCCGCAGATCTACTGAACAGAAACAGGAGAGTAAGACTGAAAGAGTTCCCCAAAGTTTTAATCTATTCCTTTCAAATGATTTTTAAGTGCATCAGTCTGCCTCCATTTGTCTTCTCATACTCCTTATTGACAAAAAGAGTATCTTCCCGAAGCTCAAGGAAGCCACATAAAACCTAACAATCTGAGACCGTTCACTTCCAGGCTCACACTTGGTAGTCCACAGTACTGTTGGTGAAAGCTCTCTGGTCTGATTCACTCGTGTCACTTCATCTTCCTCATTCCTCTCCTGAGCAACCCCCCTGAACTCAATCTTCAGAGCTGCAATTAGACTCTTTCTATTTTAGACTTATTTCTTTTAATTAGGAACATTGGACTGTGATTCTGCTTCATGAACCTCGTGATGCAACAAACAATCTACCCCGAGCCTCCGAAAATCCTTAAAACCCATCTGAGGAATTTTATAGCCAAAAAACACAAACAGGACTTCTTCTCTCATATCACGTCCATTCACAGAGTGAAACATTTTATACGCCTTTAATCACAAGTGAGTGATGATATTCAAAAGTATCTGATTCTGAATAAATTTTAAATGGTTCCTCAGCTTGTGCTGGTTCACAAATCAAAATCATGAGACAGCGATAAAACCACAGACAGAGAATACAGAGCGCTCGGAGTCCCACTGTAAAAATACTCCAGTGAAAATAACAAGGTTGACTTTGACCCAAAGCCCAATGAAACTATTGGTCCAGACCTCCCCAGGGAGCTCAGCAGGTCTGTACATACAGCTGCAGAGATCCTCCTGTCATGGTAAAGGTTTCATGCTGTTTTATAAGCTCCACGCGAGGAACGCCCACATCTTCACATATCTCCATTCACTACCCGTGCTGAGTTTTGGCTCACAATAAGTGTAGGTGTTGAAAGTGATAAAGAATTACAGTAAGTAGGACAACTGGTGAGGCAACAAAAAGAGAGCTCTAGTTCCCCTGTGATAGTTACGAATACATGAGCACATTTATCCATATGCTGGTAGATTTAGCGCCAAACAGCAGAGGGGAAAAAAAAACAGGGCATTGTTTGAAACGTTTGTAGCACTTTGGTGATTGCCAAATCAATCTGCCCCCTGTCGAGGGTCCAGATTTGCCCTTCTTCTCTGCCCACCTCGGGTAGTGTTCAGGCACGACACACAGTGACTGGAAGAACACGTCTCAGCTGAGATTAGAGCAGATGCCTTATTACAGGACGACACAAACACCGATCAGAAAACACTCCAAGCTTTAAGACCGGTAGGCTTTCAACAAAGGTTTCTGTGATGAAGCACAGGAAGCAGCTGGCTGTCAAACACGTTCAGTTGGACAGAAAATGAAGACTCCAGCCACTGAGACACAATATTACAACACCAAGATAACTCAGCGATCTATTAAGAACAGGTTGGTCCAAACTGGCTGCTCTTTTTTGGTCTTATCATTATCAAGAGTATGTTTTTAGTTTCTTGGTTTAAATGAAATGAAGGAGCTGCAGCTAAAAATCCATTTCAAAGTCGGTTTCTATTTTTGTTCTCTTCCTGACTGGTTGATATTTGCTGTTTGTTAATCTGCTTCCCTAATCATAAGGCCCAAATTCTTCAATTATAGCAACAAAAACTGTGGAAATGCAAACTCATTTGTATGATGGAGGACTATAAAAACAGATCATGTGCACTAACAAGTAGCTGGAGATGGTAAATATTTGTAGTTTTGCACCTAAAACTAAAATTGTAATATTTTACATCAACTAATCTATGAAAATTGTAAATCATTAAAAATCAGCTGGTTTTGTTGTGAAGTACTTGGTCATGATTAATCCTTCAGGAAATACAGAAGCTATTAGATATTTATTTTACATTTGAAATAAAACTAATTAAACTCTACTTTGCTGTCACTGTAGATTTGACTTTTGTGATTCACCACATAGGATTTTTGTCTGCAGAGCAGCTCCTCGATAACATTTACAACATTTCACAGATTATAATCACAAATTTGGATTTCAGGGCAATTTGTCCTGTTCATCATCTAACCATGCACTTAAACTTTGCTAACAAGAAATTAGCCTTTGACCATGTTTGTGTCCGTGCACAACAAACAAAAAGAAGTTATTTGGATGTCCTCATGACCCGGCTCACATCAAGCTTAAGACTCCAGCATTTTGTTGTTTTTCAGTCTGTTAAAGCTGGACATGACACTAGTATGTTTGCTATGCCTTGTTTCTCCAACCTCTTTAGATCTGAGTTTAACCACAACCTAAAAAATGTTCTGAAATTCATGGACTGATGTTGCATCATTCCTCCCATTCAGACCCCCTCCCCTCCTCCCTCCTCTCCTGCATCCCTGCCTGCTGAGAAATTCTAGTGAGCATATGCAGAGCTTGGATTTGGCTGATTACATAATTGGAAATTTTAATGGTGAATATTAATCCACAATGGCCCATATTGGGTTTTGTAAGCAGGCTGATCAGGATCTGCTGCCTGTCAGAGAGTGGCGGCAGTCTGCGGACAATGTTGCTCTCTCTTTATGTTACACAAGTGGCATGGCTGACACGGCTGAGCACCACGACAGTGTGCAACAGCACAGCCATCTACACACTAACGGCACATTTATGCATATATTTTTTATCAGTTTGGATATTCTGCATACAAACATGAATGATTCATAAATGATTCCTCGACTTGTACCCGTGTGTCAGCGCAGCATTAAAAAAAAAAGGCTGTGGGAAATCCAGAAGGCTTTGGCTGCCTGCGTATCAACATTGCAGTCTGTGGGTAATTAGCTAGCTGAGCAGCAAAGCTACTGTGCAGCTCTGACTGAGCCTGCACCATGGCAACACACAGAGCAGTGTGTGAGCACATGCTCTGATCAGCCCTCCCTTCTTCTTCTTCTTCTTCTCCCCCTTTCTCTTTTTCTTCTCCTTCCTGTTCCTTACTGCCTTCTATACCTCTCATCTCTTTTTTGTACGCCACACCTCTCATTTATTCACCTCTTCTCCCCCTTTCCCGTTGCTCTCTCTCTGCCGGTCTCCTCTCTTTAATCCCCCTCCCTCCTCCCCTCCACTCTTGCATCATCACAGCCCAAACTGACAGCTGAAAAGACACTTGCTGGTTCACGTTCAGGGAGGGCTCGGCGTTGCTGATTCTCCTTGATAGTCTAAAGATAGGATTGAGAATTGTGCATAATTTGGTAATCAATACATGGCTGTAAGACGTATGTGTTGTCTTTTTTCAGAAATATAGCAAAATACTGGATGTATCATATGTACCGAAGCTGATCAAGACATTCTGCGTATCTGTACGTCTTTTCAGGGGTGCTCTTGTTGGCTTTCATCCTAAGAGTCAGATGTCAAGATTGATACCGTGGTCATGTCTGTACACTGAATCTAAAGCTAGATGTATGAGATTAACTAGCTTTAACACGGCAAACAGGGTTAACAGATTAAACAGGCTTAACACACTGTATATGAGCGCTAAGTTGTGAGCTTTAGTAGTGCTGGCAGGTGGATTTTTTACTTCTAGGAAGAACAAGGCTGGCTGTATTACTGCTTCCACTCTTTATGCAAAGCTAAACTAAGTTAACTGTCTGCTAATCTAAAAATATAACTGGGTATATAACTCTCACCAACACTGAGTAGAAATCCCAGTTTTTAAAAACAAAGACACACATTATTCCTTTTACAACCCTTTCACAATACATCTTGGTGATTATAGTTCGGAATCATACACAGCTGGTTAAAGACAGGATAATAGATTTATTACATTAAACTGCAGCAAACTGCTCCAGATTACACTGTCTAAAGCATGAATATAGTCTCAGTCACGTCTGAGGTTGAGGCTGAGGTTCAAAGCCTAATGATGGTGGTTGTTATACTGTAAATGCTGACTCAACATGACTTTAGATCCGCATTTTGAAACACACAAAAATGTAGAGTTGAGGCGGGTCTTCAGTCTCAAGGTAAACAGCTCATCGCGTTAATTCACAATTATGTCGACAGCCAAGATGGAATATCAATAAAGTTGAATTAGGATTTCATGAATTGAGTCAGAATGTTGGGTTGAAAAATAACAACGCTTATGTTTCTGCATGAACTGTTTCTGTGTCCCAGCTGATAAACATATTGTATTTATAACATGTGGTAGCACTGAGTTCATTCCTCTTTTTAACAGACTAGAGTCTAAAAAATGTATTTTTTTTAACCTGCCTACTCGCTGGGTCAAGCCACCCCGAGAACAGCACCCTCTGGTGATGGGCTGCAGTATAGATCATAAATCCCGCCTCCTCCAGCAATCCCTATGGAGTCGTGGACAAACTTTAGGAATTAATTACACAGAATATACATTTTTCTCACCCTTGGTTGTGATGTTGACATGTAGTTACTGTAAGACTGGTTTGTGCTCAAGTCCTCTTTTTTCTGTACAGCTCCATTTTTAAAAGTTATTAGGGGGTTCAAGTTTTCTATGACTGACACCTGATACAGCCTATGGGCGTACGAAGATTGTGTAGCTCACCCAGGGATACACCGTTTAAGCCAAGCGTCTTTACAGCGACTCTCGACAACTCTCCTGCCGAATGCATACAATGCTACTGTGCAATGCTGGTTTAATGTGGAAATACTGACAGCTTTTCAGCTTCAAATCAGTATACTGGTGGAGGGCGGAACCAAGTTGTCCATAGTATATACAGTCTATGGGTTTGTCATGTGTTTGGTATAGTTGGTATGAGTACATTTGAATTTGAAAACAATAATATTAAACTGGAAATGTAAACATAGGGTTACAAACAGCTGCAGCAAGACACAGAATTGATCACAGATCACACATTGACTGAGTCCAGTTTTTCTCCCACAGCTGAGACAGTTCACTGCATCAAATGTCTCATGAAGGTACACAGAGTACCCTTCAGCAGGCTCTGCTTCTGTTTTCAAAATTTCAAAAGAGGTCAAACCAAAGAGTTGAAATGCATTCACAGAGTCAACTGGCTTTTACTCTTCCTCCATGTGGTGATGGGATATGCTGTTTTCTTATCCAGCCTGGCTTCACCTGACAGAGCAGAATCTGGGTTAAAAAAGCATCTTGTAGAGATTCATAAGAGTCAGGATTCACACCTGCCCCCTCCATAAAGCAGCCATGTCACTGGCATTTCAAATATGTAACCTGATTTATTTCCAGTTTCTGTATGCAAAGCACATAAAAACACTACAGTCTGCTTTGTTCATCCCTCACATGTCTGAGCTTGTTGAACGTCAGCTTTGAGGCAACTCATCACGTCCTTTTTCAGAAGGTAGGCGTGGATGTTTTAAATCACTGTTTATGATACGGAGACATTATTCTTTTTTAGTCTAAAAGAGCTAATCATAGCATACAACTTCCATATCACCATATTTCCATATCACCATATCAGAATGATAGTTTGTCAAAAAAATGTTTCACAGCAGTTAGAGGGAAGTGGGAGTCATCTGAGTACAATGTTATTTGGGTTTTTGGGGTCTACATACAGCAGATTTGCTGGAAAGAGGAAAAGGTGAGTGCAAACCTCTTATTTAAGAATACTGACGTAACTGAGCCTCTACAGATGACGAGAGCGGTACAAGTTAAACTGATCTGAAAAGATTATGTTGTTTTATAACTGTATATGTTGTAAAATGAATGATGACACCTATATTTTGAACACCAGCCTTGCCTGTGCACCGTTATTTTCCCATTGCAGCTCCTAGATGAGCATTTTTAGTTACACTTACAAATCACATGTAGCTCTGAGCTTTCTGAGAGAGGGTAAAATACCCTCATACTGCCAACTTTCTCTTTCACATTTCACAGTGGTAAAAAAAATCAGAGTTTGATTCGAGGGTGACAATACAATCATCGTCTCTGAAAAAACAGTTCGCTATCCTACTTTGCCAACACCACTGGGGGAGACACAACAGCTACACATCGGTTACAGACATCAGTTTATAGCACATGATTTGCAGATGGCCAGTGTCTGTCAGTAGGTCTGATATCTGTCAATGCATTGGTGCAAACAGTCCAACCTGTGAAGATCAAGACTAAAAAAACGTTCATCTTCTTTACTGCAAGAAATTTAGGGTCTTACAAGCTTTTAGCAGCCACATTGTCATGTTGAATGAATGCTTTGGATAATTTTGGGAGTTGAATAGAGAATAGAGATTGAAAGTCCTTTGGACTTTCTTTAACCACCATAGAACATTAGCAGGAAAGATGCTTACAATTCACGCTTAACCAAAAATGGCCAAAAAAGTCATTGTCATGCATCAAACAATGTTCAGTTTGATGTACTTTAAGAAAGATGGTGAAAACAGGATTAAGTGGAAAAGTTTGACATATTTGGTAAAAACAGAGTATTTGCTGCCCCAGGGTTAGATGTGAAATCTATCCACTACAGTACATAATTGTTGACTACCGTACAAACTTTATTCAAGAATAAGTCTGAGTGTGACCCACCAGAAGGGCTGGGCCTTTGACTCTTAATTCAGCTACATTTAGCTTATTTGATTCGTTAGCAGCTCAGCCTATAGCCATCAAACTTTTGACAAGACAGCAGAAAACTATAATCCAACACCTCCGCTGGATTTTTAGAGTGACATCATGCACGCTGCTTTACTTTAAGTAGTATTATGTAAAACTGTTATCTACGCAGGTGGAAGTATTTAAATGAGGAAGAATTTGGATTGACAAAAAGAGCAGAAACAAATGTGGGGAAAGAAAAAGCTTTAAATTCACAAAAGCGTTTTCAAAGCAGCGATGTCTTCAAAACTGTAATTAGACGTTTGATATTAAACTGGGATTGCTTGTTTGTATCCGAACCAAGGTGGGGGCAGGCTTCCTGTGTATCTCTCTGTGGTTGAGATATGTGCCTGTGTTTTTCCAAACTCACTGGGTGGCTAGCGTCAATTTTCACTAATAGAAAATAATGACTGATAATAAGCAGAGGGTTCATCTGCAGGTCTCTGCTCATACAACAGACATATGTCTGGAAAATATTTGCTGTCCAAACTCACTGGGTGGCTAGCGTCAATTTTCACTAATAGAAAATAATGACTGATGATAAGCAGAGGGTTCATCTGCAGGTCTCTGCTCATACAACAGACATATGTCTGGAAAATATTTGCTGTCCTCTTGTCTTGTTTGCTCAGCGGGGAGAAAACAGGAAGCCTGTGAGAGACAAACATATGCTATCATCATGCACTGTGTGTCTATACTGTTCATATACCATGGTGGTGCACGTACAAAACACTTTATGAACTAGCCGGCAATAATTTTAACTGATTTTGGGGATAGATATTAGGTAAAAACTGTTGTCAAAAATGTAGTTGTGTGCATTAATCCAAGAATTTCATCAGTGAGGTAGCGACCACAAACCGCCCGTCTGTTCACAGTCTTGCAAACAGCAGCAAACAACAACCTGGAAAAGACTCAACACAACTGTCCCGTGGTAGGCTAGTGCCAACATATTCAGGAAATATAAAAAAATACCATCAATAAGTAATTCAAAGATTTTTCAAACCCATTGGCACTTGAATTTCTTCAGAGCAAGAAATGTTTGGCGTTTCAACTAATACTGAAAAACTGGGATTGCTCGCACATGTTTGATATTCCAACAGATACCATTTATGGGCCAATAAATAATATATAAATGGGGCATTGTTACAAAAGGTGATAGTAAAGAACACAAAAGTCGAGAAGCAGAGGAAAGTATTTCATAAATGCGTTATAATGTGCTTTTTTAAGGTTGATTGACTAGAACCAGTGAAAAAAGACATACTGATGGTGTTTTTGTAAAGCGCGGCGTGTGCATCACATATTAAACTCTGCTGATCAAACTGAAGCCGGGGTCTGAATGTGTTTCCTCTGCAGCATCCCCTCTGAATTCAGCTCTACACCCAAAAAATGAAGCCTTTGATTCTTACTATGCATGAAAAAGGAACGAGCGGAGGAGGAGAAGAGCAGTGGAAGACAGGAGGGGGGTGATAGAAATGAAGAGCACTGAAAAACAGCACACACACGCGCACACGCACACACACACACACACACACACACACACACACACACACACACACACACACACACACACACACACACACAAATGAGAGACCAGACCAAATGGCTGAAGGGCTGCTTGGATAATGCATTAGACAGAGATGGCACTCAAAGAAGCTACACATGGTAAGAAATGCACTGCTGCGCCAAATGTCCTCCTCATAAAAACACACACACACACATATATAAACATATACATAAACACATGCATTCATGCTTGATGCTTCCATGTAAATAGATGTAAATGTTTTCTTCTTGACGATTTACTAGAAAAATATGGAAGTTAGCCCCTGCCACAGAAAGGCATGTACGTATATCTGCTGATCAAAATCTTAGACACACACTTGTGGTCATGCTACATCAGTCTATCGCCCCTCAGTAAGAGTATTATTCAACATTTTCTACTACTACATGTGAAAATTGTAAAATCAGGGCTGTTTCTTCAGCTGCCTGGCTGACACCTACCCCCTCACCGCAGTTTCAAGCATAAACAATTATTACTTTTGTCCCTGTTGGTCTTGTTTGCTTTTGGATATCATGAAAGGCATCAGTATGATTTTTCAGACTTTTACACAAACATCAAAAACTCCTCATTGGAGCTTTAAACGAATTGTTAAAATTTGTATTTTTGTAATCCTGAAATAAGTCCACATGCGTACATACCTTACTGGTCAGATGTAAATATGCACAGATGAATAATAGAAATTAGTAGTGTGACACAATTTCACTGTGTTTTGACTGAGAAAGAGAAGGTTAAGTTGTATCTGGTAAAACTAGCATATAACCACTCAGCCAGACATGAACTGAATTATGACTGTTGTTTGAGTTTTTTCTTACCTCTGGACTTGTTGGTTAAAAGCATTTAAATTTTTTGGGAAATTCGCTGCTTTAGGTCGTCCCCAGCCCAAAAACTGCACGTGACTAAGTACTTGTGCCAAACTAGCTCCTGGCCGGCTAACATCCGGTTATTGGTACAACTGCTGCCATGTGAATAAGGTGAGTATTAGTTCATCATCTATAGCATTCAGTGCTGCTGTGCAACCATAGACTGTATATAGAATGAACAGCGTCTGCCTCCTCGCTGGGTAAAGCCACTCCGAGAACAGCACCCTCTGGTGACGGGCTGCAGTATAGGTCATAAATCCCGCCTCCGCCAGCAAAGCTTATGGAGTTGTGGACAAACTTTAGAAATTTATCACACAGAATATAAAATGTTCTTCCCCTCATTGTGATGTTGACATGTAGTTACTGTAAGACTGGTTCGTGTTGAAGTCCTCTTTTTTCTGTGCAGCTCCATTTTTAAAAGTTATTAGGGGGTTCATGTTTTCTATGATTGACACTTGATCCAGCCTATGGGCGTACGAAGATTGCATAGCTCACTCAGTGGATACGCTGTTTCAGCTCAGCATTATCACAGAGTCTCTCGGCGACTCTCCCGCCGAATGCACACAATGCTACTGCGCAATGTTGGTTTCAGGAAATGGATAGAAAACGCGGAATTACAGAGAGCTTTCTGGCTTCAAATCTGTATACTGGTGGAAGGTAGAACCAAGTTGTCCATAGTATACAGTCTATGTGTGCAACCAAATAATAAGACAGAATAGATCTAAAAAAAATTATTCATCCTCTAATTTCTCAAATAAATTTCTGAATTTCTCAAATAGATGTTTATAAACATAAAACAAACCACTGACAATGAGTAAAACTTCTTTTACTCAGACTGACTGTGAGGTAAATTCAGAGTCACATATGTGAATACAGCGCTGACTACATAGTAACTGACTACCAGACCTCTGCTTTGACCTCTGCTCTTTGATCTAAATGATTAATACCAACCATATTTACTCCGATTCACACTCTATCAAACACGGGTGAGTCACTGTAGATGTACCTCAACACTTCCTGCAGATGTTTCAAATTAAAAGCCTACCTTGAATGGGACTAATTGCTGCTTTTGAGCGTTGGTAAGTCTCTTACTGTGAAACATTTTAACAGGAAGTGTTGGGTTTCATTGATGGTGTCTTAAAAGCATTGGAGAAACTAAGAACAGAAATAATTAGTCAATGAAAACAGTATTTCTGTCAGAAAAGAGCGGCTGAAAGCTGTACTAATTTAAATATCTTTAGTATTAACAGGGATCTGAAAAACACGTTTAAATGTATATTTTAACGTTAAAATGTATAAAGGCATGTTTCATATCTAAATAAGTAGTTGGGACTGCGTTTTTGCTGATTTTATTCTTGGAATTCCACCTTAACAACTTAAGAATATGATCAGCATGAGGATTTACAACAGTCACTATTTTGTTAAAATAGCTTTTAAAATGTTCAGATCCTATATTAAGTAATCAGTATTTACAATTTAGGTGTCGTCTCCCATTTCTTCGGTATTATGACCAGCTTATTGTAAAGTGTTACCAAAATAACAGCTGGTATGATGGTTGAATAAAAGCAATAAAAGCACTAGCGCTGTTGAAAGCACCCACACACCCCCACAAAAATGAAGAGGAGTCAGAAGGCTTAGGGACCAGCTCTCTTCTGATATTGATTGGATAGACACATATTCCACAGCAGCATGTGGGTGATGGAGCTGGTGTACCTCACTGAAAACGGCAGCACAATCTTGTTAAAACAAGCTTTTGTACGTACTCGTACAGTTTTTTTAGCGCTGACTTCTGATTCTTTTAATTGACAGCTACAATGGTTTAGCATTTAATGCTTCCGTCTCGTCCGATTAAATGCCTCACGTCCCTCGCTTCTCTTTGCAACAGGAAATCTGACGCTTCCATCGCTGAATCAGGAGTCCACTCTGCCCTGCACAGCACAGACACATTTCTAGGCCAGTCGCTTCTGTGATCAGCAAAAACCTCTAAATAAAACAAAGCAGGCAAACAAACAAACAGCGTTCCCCTCCCTTCTCTTTTCTTCTCTCCTCTCCTCCCTTGGCAGGCAGAGAGAGCGAGAGAAGGGAGCAGGAGAGCTGATATGGGGCTGAGCTCTGGCAGGGCCTCTGACAATGGCCATATGGATCACAGGGGCACGGTGGCCTCGGCTTCCAGCAGGACAAACACCTCAACACACGGGCCACTGCACCTGTACACTGTAAATATGTCTATATGCATCACAAAGCTGTGGCCAAACTGCATAACGCCGCACTCCTGATTAGAAATAAATCTGAAACACATTCCTGTATGTTTCACAGAGGACCTTTACATCAGTGCAGATAAAAGCAGATTCAGTTTGAAAGCGTATTGCATAAAGGTAAAGAACAACAGAGCTGCTGAGTGGAGGCTGTGTAGGAGGAGGTGGGCTTCATTGCAGCTCAGGTCCTGGGTCACAGCTACAGAACAGCACACCAGATCTTCAGCTCCCATAATGGTGGCTTGTTGTCAAATTCCACCTCCACGCTAACGTCAACGTCTGACTGGCCTTTACTCGGGCGCTCTGTCCCTACCCCCTGTTACAACGAATAAAAAGCAAACTTCTGTCAAATGGACATAAATAATGCAACGTAACTTGTCCCCTGTGTTTTATAGTGCATTTCCCAAGAATCACCACCCGCTCTTTAGCCACAAATTTTCATGGGTAAGGAACACTTTGTTAGGGGGGTAAAGGTCTGTGTCGGGCATGTGGGTGTGCTTCTACTTCTACTGTGTGTAGGTGTGTGAGTGTGTGTTTCTGTGTAGGAGAGAGACAAGTAAGCTCAGAAAGGAAGATATTACGTGGGAGTTTGCAAGGAGAAATCAAATTTTGATTTTGTATGAGATGTTGGCAAATTAATCATGACTTGATTCAGCAGTTTGAAAACCTGAAATATACTTTTCCAGAAATGTGTTTTGTTAGTGCCAAACATGGCTCGATTTTGGTATGAAGCAGTCGAATTCGCAGTCTTGAAAGCGTTTCACAGGAGCTTCTGAAGAACCATAGGATGATCATTTACATCTTGTGCATATGAGGCACTTATCTTGCAGCAACTCGGATCACACTATCCCAGAGCTAACTAAACTATTGTTTTCTGCACTTGTGCGTTTTATAACTACTCTACAGGTGGATGCCAGAAATCTGACATGTTTTTATGTTCGCAGAATGAATGACCTGTTGAAGCCAAAATGAAGGCTACTGACTCATTCATCACACATGGCATGAGAAAATGTCTGCCTCCCAAACCACTGAGGATCATGTGCACATGTTCATAACTGTGAACAATGTGTGTAAAGATAATAATCTTGCGTGCACAAGATAGGAATGATCGTTTTTGCAGGATTTTGTTACAAGATCTCCAAGTCATGTATGTTCCTCTCCTTTTACTAAAGACACAACAGAATTATTTCATAATTGTTTTGTCTCGTTTGCTTTATTAACATAAAAACAAGTTAATAGTCTGGTATGACACAATGGATAACTGTGCAATAATTTCTGGATATAACATTCTTACGCCTTCTTGACACTATTTCCATTATGACAGTATTGGCTGATATTATGGGCTCTTAGTGCAAGGCCTCCAACATACTAGCAAATTGAAAATTATGGAGAAACTACACTGAACTGGATCTCACTGCCTGACTTAATCTTTCCAGGAAATGCAGGTCACACAAGACTAAAGGTTTGGAACTCATTTTTCAGTAAAATCCACTTACTTACTGACAACTGCAGCTGTTCTACACTCTCACTGGAACAAGTCGAGTTCATAAAACTTCTGTAGAGCTGCTCATGTTATTACCATCAGTGCTTGCTGTGGTTAAATATTTTATATCGGCATGAACGCTTTGAAAGAACAGTACAAGAAATTGCAAAGACCTGTGACACTGTCTCGCTACAGGATTGAGCACAAAAGTATGTTTGAGATATATATAGAACGACTAAAGTGTTTGTATTATCGTCTTTCCCTCTGAAGAATGAATGACTCCTGTGTACTGTTGACAGTTTACTGTTGGTTTCTTGGTGACTTACACTTCACTGCTGGGGAAAAGCAGAGATTATGTAAGTTAGTGGCTCTGAATAAGGGAGGCAGATGCAATAACTCAAAATCCTTTAAAGGCTTGTTGGGTTCAGTGTGGGAGAGAAAGGGGGGCAGCATGGGGGAGCAGGTCTTAAGATGAAATGTAATCTGATGCCTAAGCTTAAAAGTGATGTCAGAGGTATTATAATATCAGCAATGGTGTGACATCACATGTGGGATGGGACTAAATGATTAAAAAGTTGTTTTTATTGCTTTCGGTTCTCGATTATTTCATAGATTTTGGGGCTACAAGATGATGCACATGATTTTGATTTTACAGTCAAAATTTGTGAGCAGACATGTTTGATTTTATTCCATTATTACCAAAAGACCATATTAAAGGGATATTCCGGCATAAAATTAATTTAGGGTCAAACACACCATAACACCAAGTCAGATACCCCCTCGAGAGATGAATATTGCCGACCCCTTGCTTCTCTAGTTTTACCAACTTTAGCAACAACCCCACGATAGCGATACACAGCGGTCTGAGGAGCCATAAACAAACCTCAACCAAAACGCCACTCTATAGCCACAAATAATGCTCAGAACAGCACCTAACTTCATCAACATTACATATAGAGTCCCAGCCACAGTACTAGCCACCACACATCTTTTTAGCTTTGCCTGATTTCTTTAGCAAAGAGACTAAACACAACTCACCTACTCTCTTCCAGCAGCGGCTCGTTTGTACAGAGACCCTGGACAAGTCCATCAGCGACTGCTGCGGGGTGACGCAGCTCAAGGAAGAACATTTATGATCATTACTTTATCATTTCCTTGAAGTAATAATCACCATATTAATCATTTTCCACTGCAGACGCGGTAGAGTCTCAGTCTGATTGCATTTCCATGAAGAAATGACCATAAATGTTCTTCCTTGAGCTGTGTCATCCCGCTGCAGTCCGTAATGGACTGGCCCGAGGTCTCCGTACAAACAAGCCGCTGCTGGAAGAGAGTGGGTGAGTTGTGTTTAGTCTCTTTGCTTAAGAAATTAGGCAAAGTTAAAAAGATGTTTGGTGGCTAGTGCTGTGGCTGGGACCCTATATGTACTGTTGATGAAGTTAGGTGCTATTCTGAGCATTATTTGTGGCTATAGAGTGGCGTTTTGGTTGAGGTTTGTTTATGGCTCCTCAGACCACTGTGTATTCCTAACGTGTGGTCGTTACTAAAGTTGGTATAACTAGAGAAGCAAGTGGTCGGCAACATTCTTCTCTCAAGGGGGTGTCTAACTTGGTGTTGTGGTGTGTTTGACCCTAAATTAATTCCACGCCCAGAATATCTCTTTAACTGGCACTGAGGATCAATACAGGTGGTATGAATAAGTGTTCAAACCAGTGCATAAATGTGCTGAAAGAGGAATAACCTTTCATGGGAGGTCAAATCCTGCAGTCTTGGATTTCTTTCAGAAAGAGAGTCATGTCCTGGACGAGCACAGGGCCAAAGCTGTCACATTTAACATCAAGAAGAGTCACTGCTCTAATAAAGAGTCACAAAAATGTACAACGTAGAAAGAAATCTGGGGTAAAGAGGCCCAGCAGCGATCCCGCACCTGGAATATTGGCCTGATGTGCCAGGTGACTTCACAAGTCATTATAACGACACTGCTGGCCTGACAGAAGTATGACTAAATGGCAGTCCACACAGGAGCAACAAGCAGAAATGTGAAGGTAAACAGATTTTTTTTAACTCTGCTAACAAGAAACACCCAACAAACAAAGCTTTGATAATGGCCTTTTTGCTTAAGGTCAAGTTTGCCCGGTCTTCTGAGGAGGAAAAGTGCTTTGATGAAGGATGGCACACTGCTATTGAGTATATATTATCAGATCATATTGCTATGGCCAATACATACACTACTGTACATCTTTGAGCTTTCCTCCAATTTTTATTTCTCTTTGACTACAGCTCTCACGAGCGAGGTCTAAAATGGAGATGTTTCAGTTTCTTTTTGTTTTTAAATTCCTAATGCTAGCTCTGACTTTAATGGACATGGCCAAAAGGAGCACCTTCTTATAAAAGAGTGACACAAATGTACATCGTACAGGTGGAAAAACACTGCTTCATGTTATCGGATCGCTTTGATGAACATTGCACTCCATTATAGCCCCAAAATGTTGATGTTTCACATTGTCACATGCGAGTTTATCTTAAAAACCAGTATATAATTTTGTGGGACCGATTGTAAGCTGGTAACAGATTGGTCTATAAACTGGCATTAAGGCCAACACCACATTTCAGTTTAAGAGGCTGATGGTGGTTTTGAAAAACTATTTTTATTGATACTAATAATTCGCAATATACATGAAGAATGGACTGTGATTATATAATAAACTGACCCCTTAAACCATGTTTTCATTATATGTCGCATTCACTCATTCACTCCACGGGTGTTTTAAAGACAGCAGGACCTGTGATCGAACCCCAGACCTTCAGATTGAGAGATGACTGACTCTACCACTTGTGTGCTCTATTTCCACTTTACTCATGGCCACATGTGCAACTGAAAGTGGGAGATTTGACACTAAACACATAAAAACAACTTCTGTCAGCGTTATGTACGTCACTGTACTGAATATATTGGCAGCAAACTGGACCTGTAGAACCAATGAAGGAATCATATCCATCTTTGGCATGTCCAACACACAAAATATATCAAAATACATGGATCATGAACTTTATCAAAGATAGACAGAACAACAGCCACCCAGAGCAAGGCTGTAATTTTTAGAGCTTAATCTGGTGACACACTGCAGTCACCAGGGAGACCGTTATCAGCTGTTTCCAGTGATGTTATCTTTTATTTATGTTACTTTTTGAAGGTTGTTATCGGTTGGCGTTTTTTTTATCATGCTTATTTAAGTGTTCATTTGAAAAGAAGTTAAGTTATTTGACGTTTAAAAGACGACTGATTGGCAGCTCTGCGGGCTCCTGCAGTGTTCTGTACCGGATCAGCAGAGTACAGGGGGAAACAGTGTGAGAGAGAGAGCGTCGTCAACATTAACCTCAAAGTCACTGAACATCCAATCAGAAAGTTAAATGTCTGTTTTGGTTAGCAGTAGGAGCATAACACGGCTCTACTAACCAGATCTCTTCTGCGCATGCCTTGGCCTCACTAGCGCATTATGTCAGTGCCAACTGAAGCAGTACTCGAGCTCTACTTCTCACAATGGGAGAAGATGGAGGCGGGCTGTCCATTTCAATATACAGTCAATGGTATGGATACGCCGAGTGAGATTTTTATTTAGGTCACATATCTTGCCTGTTTTCAATTTTCAAGACAAGCGCACAGATAAACCTCTCTGGATCTGAGGAGAACAGGTCTGAGACGGAGCCTTTCAAGATCACAGCAGGGGGGTCCGACTCAAGATGTTTGGACATGGAGCACATGTAAATCCCATCCTTTAATACCGCTGTTACAGGAATGACAAATCGAATCTGACAAACAAAATCTCATCAGACAGATGTACAAACCAGTGACACCAATAAATCAATGTGACTGTCAAAGAAAGGCGCACACACACAAGCGCGCGCATGCACACGTAGATAAAGAAATTCTCCTGATCAAGGTCTGAAGGCTTTCAAGTGACAATCACCTGTGTGTGTGTGTCTGTGTGTTAGTACTCGACATGATACGCCTACTGTGCCTGTGCATTCATTTACAGGCCTCTGCCAGACCCCTTGTGATAAACAAGGGGTCTGGCAGAGTATTTTGGGGCCAAATCTTGATACTAATAAATAAAGTAAAACCCAATTAATATTTAAAGCTATTCATAGCCACAGAGCTGGAGAACACACAAAGACAGATTGGAGCCCGCAGGGAGAAGAGGGAGCTTCTGACTGAAGCTCCCAGCAGACGAAGGTCTCTACTTTTCTCAGATTTAAATCAAACGCTCTTGTTTTAAAGAATGTTTTTACAATCTCGACTGCACTCATCCACAATTATCCTAGCAAGCTACTGACAAGAGTAACACAATTGTTCAGTAAATAGATGATAGAGGCAAAGGAAATTAATTTGGCATCATCATGTGTAATGATTCCCTCACACATACATGAAACGTTCATGGCGTACACACACAGAGGCCATTTAAAAATGTCAATGATGCAGCTATAAAAAGCCGACTCTGATCATTCTGAATGACTGTGCAAGGTTATTGCTTTTCATCGCGCTAGAATCCTAAGCACGAGTTGTTATGGAAGCTATAAGATAGTAGACGTTTGTGAGCGTGTGTGTGTGTGTGTGTGTATAGGGGGGTTTGGGCGTGTGTGATATCTGCCCTGCTCTCTGGCTGTGTATAGGTAGAAGGGGGAGGGGTGGCGTTCACATCTCCCACTCAAGGATGAGCAACAATGACTGAGGAGAGCTTCTGACTCTATGCTATGCTATGCTACAGCACAGGAATAAAAGAGGAGCACACACTGGCTTTTCACATGATTTTTTAGGAGATGGAGAGACAGATGCTTGTCCACGGTGTCAGGGCCTTGCTCACTTTCTCTCTCTGACAGCACCACCAACTGCCTCCTCTTACATAACCCCCTCCCCCTCTCCAGGCCCACTGCCTGTCTTTATTGGCTTATTTCTCTCTTTTTCAACCTTAGCATTTTCACCCCACTGACTGCTGCCTTTTTTTCCCCCTCCAAATCCTCCATCGCTGATTCATTCTCTGTGATTCCAGCTCTTTAGATCCTGGAGAAGTTACTCCTGGACAATCGCTATGAAAGCCAGGATGGATATTTCTCTAGAGTTTGCATGTGCAGCGAGAAAGCTAGAATTCTCTGAAAAGGATGGGATCAGATGTGATGCTACACAAAGGTGTACTCATTTACATCCACACGGCATCTCTATGTGAATCACTATGAAGTCTAAAAACATATCTGGGTTTTGTGTTACATATATGCTGGGAATGAGCTGTAGGAAATTAGGGGGTAATACTGATGGAGAGTCAAATCTCCATGTAAGCAATAAATGCTTACATAATCACATCTGCTGTGAGCTTCCAAATGTGTGAAAAATGGAATAAGCCTGATTGGTCTGCACGCAGCTGATAAGGAATAAGGCTTCAAATGGATTTAAATGCAACCAAGGGGAAAGTGTCAATCTTTTTATTGCCTCCTCAAAGCTAAAACCTCCTCCTGGCTGTAGTAATCTGCTAGTTTAAGCCAGGTTGTGTCTCATATGTGGGCTCAGCTCAGGGGGTTTTCATCCCCTCTGCCACTGCAATTTTAGCCTCCATTTTACCCCCGTGTTTCTCCCCTCACCTTTCGTCTTCCTCTTGTCTTGAATTCCTCTCTCAAACAAAACGCCATCGGATGCAAACGGAGGAGCAACAAACAACGCAGAGGCTACACTCGCCGCAAATACAAGACTGCATAGACACATACTCATGCACATCCAGAACCATTCCTTGAATCTCATGCTCGCCAAGCTACCCTTCCCCCACTCCAGCTCACTCTCGTGCTCACATACGTGCAGCTAGCTTAATTAAAGACTCTGAAGCCGTTCTGACCTTTTATCAACTGTAATTTATGAATACATATAAATAAAGGAAGGTAATGGGGAGAAAAGGGAACTGGTGTGTAGAGGTGGTTTCATTTACACTGTTCAGCGTGTATGACAAGCAGCATTCAGACACATTTCACTGCTTGATTTTCCCATTTTTAATGACAGAGCATGCATCATATTGTGGTTCTTTGGCGCAAAGTGGCCAGATGTTAACAATCAGGGGGAGATCAGAACTGGCATCAGAGGCTAGTTTCATCATCTCTTCTGCTCATGACTCAATTTGTTGAGCTCGTGAATCTATCTCCTATATATCTAGTTTCTTACTCTGTGATAATAGCTTATTAGATAACTTTGACTAATTGAAAACTGTCTGGCAGAGCTGCTTCAATGAATGAAATTGCACCATTTTTTTTGGCCTGTGGTCGCTGCATCGGTGTAAGCCTTTGATGACTTACACAAGGTGTGTTAAATCCGTATGCATTAGTCATCTGCATCAAACCCAAACATGAAGATCATTTCCATGTGTGAGCAGAGGAACTGGATCAGTCCTGTTCTGTTCTCCTTACTCTGCGTCCAATAGAGGAACCACAGTCTACAAATGGTGCACGGGGCGGCTCGAGGTGAATACTAAACATGTATTCTCTTCCCTAAAATGAAAGATTCAGCTGATACATGATCCTGCCTGTTTTACTACAGCTCATCTGATCCCAGTCTCTCCCCTGCTAGTTCCCACAGGCCCAAGCTATCGAACAGAGTGAGGAAGATGAGTTACCTGGTCGTACCACTCCCGGTTGGTACAGGTGCACTCGGGCCACCATCCACCTTGTCCGCTGGAGTTGTTGCCATTTACTTTGGGGCCACCTTTGGATTGGCCTTTTGGGTTTGGGCCTCCAGGGCCCCCACCAGACATAATCTTGCCCTTACTTCTCCCCAAAGTGCCCCCTCCTCCTCCCATGCTTCCACCTCCCCCTGAGGCTGGAGGAGGTAAGGTTTGGCCTCCCCCATACCCAGGCGGGTATCCATAGGGCTCGGCCTGCCAGTCTCCTCCATATGAAGGGGCGTCCATCCTACGCAGGGCAGCCATACGGGTCACCTCATAACATTCTGGGCACTTGCAGCAGTGGTGGTGTTTGTGCATGCTGGCTGTGCTGGCTGGGTTGACGCTGAGCTGAGCGGCGTGGCACTCTGTCTCTGCTGCCTCCTCAGATCTCACTCAGCACGCTGTGATCGGCTCACGAAGCACTAATGCAGACGGTAATAATACTAATCACAGGAATTTCTACAGATTCTTCCCTTTTTCCTCCAATCCCGTCAGTCTCCGTCTTTTATTCCTCTCGGGTGTTGAAAAAAAAAAAACGATCGAGAGGGGACGGGAAGCAGCAACAGGAAAACAAAAATACAAAATGGGCACGTAGTCTTTGTCCTCTTGATGTAGAAGATCAAAGGAAATATTGAAAATATTGTATACTACCACAGAATCAGAGACCAGCCCCGGTGATAGAAATTTCCTCTTGCTTCTCTTGGTTCACAGTGATACGCATATAAATTCATAGATATATATATTCTTTTGTTTATATATCATATATATTTACACACACAAATACATATAAAAATATTAATATAAACAGACGAGCACAAATACAGATATGTACAGGAATATATGTATGTATATAAATATCTATATGCGTGTGTACAAATATATATATAGATATATAAACAATATGTATAAATAAATGATATCCGCAGATGAAAATCTTCCTCTGTTAATTCGTGGTATCTTCCGGCTCTGAGAAAAACTCTCGTCTTTTCCTTCTGCGTTGAAAATCGTCTTTTTTCTCTCTGTCTCTTTTTCTCAGCCTGCAGAGAGGAGCTGAGCTCTGGATCGCCTCTCAGCCAGCTTGCCCTAGATGTGGATTATTCAGAGGGATGCGAGCGAGCAAGAGAGAGAGGCGGAGAGAGAGAGAGCGAGCGAGAGAGGCGGAGAGAGAGAGTGAGAGAGAGAGCTAGAGAGAGAAGCAGGAAGGGTGGGGGGAGATACATAGCAGCATCCCTCTAGCACCTCAGCCCTGACAGCCCCAGCCAATCAACTCGCAGCGCTGCCATCATCAGCAGCAGCACCAACAGGACTGAGCGCTTCACTGGCTGCTCTTAAAGGGCCAGCAGCCCCTCTAAACCCCACTGCTGCCTGCTGAGGGTGAAAAGGTAGTGCCTCACAATTCAAGGCACGATAAAAGCACTCTGTTGTCTATTTTCTCAACAAAAAGGTCAGGAAGTCATAGCCTGTAATCCGTCAGTGCATTCCCCTCCACCCTAATCCACTAATTATGAGTCTAATCCATGTTTTTCATCAGACCAATGCAGCCAAAATCCAACCTACAGCAAGGAAGCCCTGGTCACTGTTCACCTCCGTGGTCATCTCTAGTTCAGCTGCGGACTTGACAGCTTTCTTATGCTAATGACTGGCAACCTTAGGCTCTGTGTCATAACACACGTGTGTGAATAAACTCCCAATAGACGGAGATGCAGCGGATGAAAACCCTTTTTCTCCTGGGTGTTACTCAATCTGCCTTTGACCATAATAAATCTGTGCATCAGCCTGCATTACTTCATATCATTCTCTCTTTTTATACGTTTTGTTCTTTGTTCCCCTTTTGACGGGCTAATTTGAACTACTGTTAGACTCGTTTATCATCAAGCCCTTGCACATATGCAGGAGCGGATCAAAACAAACACAATGAGAGAGAAACTGCACTCCTGAAGCCTTGTTTAAGAACCTCAGAGGAAATATTTCATGTTCACAATGATGACATCAACACATGTGTACGAAACCAACGAGATTACACGCTTGGGCTTTCGAGTGGGTGGAGGAAGAGATTGAGAGTGAGGATGTGTGAGAAGCAAAAAGAGAGAGGAGCAGAGACTATATGGCTCTCATGTAGCTAACTGTGGCACTTACACTTTCAGTAATGTGACAGGACTGCCTGTGAAACGTTTTACAAATTTCTGAGTTGATCACAGCTCGATATAAAACAACCCTGACACCTGGGGCGAGGGTTTATCTTTTTAAGAGAACTACAAGGGAATGTAAGAGTGTCGCCATTAAATCCCTGCATATATGCATTATTAATGAAATGTGACGGGGAACAGAGCTGGGTGTGTCTGCGTGGGGGAGAGAGTGTATTTGTACAGTCTGCATGTAACAGTGCTCATACATGACTGTAAGTGGCGTCTCAGTGTTTGCACTCACATTTAAGACAAAGTGCCTTGAAATTACATGTAAGTTAATGCATCTGTGTAACCGTCCTGGATGCTGCATTGTGCAACAGCTCTACCAGGAGGCACACGGCAGACTCAGCCATTTAAATTCACAGGATAGTAGCTTTCTGCGTTAAAAAAAGATATTCCTTCAACATACCTCACAGAAAGAGAGCAAAGCAGGGAGAGACTTGGGCATTTCTTTTTAAACAGGGACTATAAACCACTGAACGCCTCAAGTTACATTGTCAGATGCAGCCACAAACCCCGCTCAAGCCAATCAGAGCAGCGAGGAGGAGCTTCCAGGCAGAGGCTTGAAAGGACGATGTAAGCATATCGATCACAGCACACATGACCGAGCACATGTTGCAACCATCCTTCCCGAAGCCTCACTCTGTCTCTCTTGTAGACCGTCCACATTGCGTTTAACACTCTATGCTGTCAGAGGATTTACAGTACGGGGGGGGGGGGGACACACAAACTGTATACAACAAAAATGAAAGCTGGCATTATCACTGTTATAAAAGCAGGAGAGGGGGTTAATCAATATACATGGATGTGTTATATATATGTGAGAGTGCAGAAACACTGAGGCTGTTAGCTGTGATATGAACTGTGTATGTTGGCATATTGAGCTGCTTGAGGGAAGAGAACCTCTCTCTTTAAATATTACATAATGTTTAAAAAAATTGAAGGTCTTTTTTAGAAAAATCAAGTGTTTTTCTGTATCAGGTGGAGAGCATTAAAGGGGAAAGGAAGTTGTCGTGCACTAATGAAATTAGAACTTTTACAGAGGACAGAGATGGTCTTACAGGTCAGTGATGATGGTGCAAAAGTCTATCATTTTTGTTTTACATAATTCAAGATTTCTGATTTAATCTCTGCATTATTTCTTTATTTGCTTCTTAATGAGTTTTTAAAACACAGGCAACCTAAAACCTCCATTGTTACGTTGTACTACAACCATTCAGAATATACCTCCAATAAACACAACCGTCACATGGATTATGTTAAACTTCTGTAGAAAGAGTCTACTGGTTAGACTCCACGGCGCAATAATTTTCAGGATCATCCTTTACAGTGTCCTCGTATTAGATTACACAATATTGTCCAATGTAATCTACACTTTATTACGTTATAAAGCTGTCACCTATATTGGATTATCGTCACCCTTTGTGATACACTGTCAGGCAGGAAAAGCAATATTCAGTTTCTGTTACTCCTGAAGTTGCTGGGTACAAATATCCCATCAACGAATCTGTTCCCTAAAAATGTAGAAAAAAGATGTTCTGCCCTCGACTGAGAAACCTTTTTGTTACAATTACGGTAACTACTTATCGCCACAAACACTAAAACAACACCGCACTGTGGGATTGATTGGACTGTTGGCTTGTAATTACACTACGACTCCTACTAAATTTAATAACTTGTGCTAAATACAATAAGAACAACTTTGTATGAGTAGACCCGGAGGAATAACACTACTGTAGGGCTTGTGGCATGAAAAAATATTACGTCTAGGGCATATACAGTTTGTGGGATGATGTCACATGCATGAGTAAGTGGTGGTGTATGAGCGCAGTCTTCGATAAATGCTGTGCCCAATTAAAGAGTTGGACTGGAAAGACGCAGATCTGCAGCGTAAGTGATTTATCTTGTGAAATGAAAGCGCTGACCTCTGACCTTTTGTCGACAAATGAAAAAAAAAAGGAGCTGTGATGATTTGCGGTGTAAACGGTGAAATCATCTCTGCTTCTGAACAGAGACGGTACTCTGCATCCCACCTTGTAGCCCCACCACCCCCTTACACACACAGCATCAAGCCTGTACAGCCCTGATTACATAAACCCACCTGGACAGAATGTAACAAGCAACACACAAACGCACATACGCAGACACACACTTGCCATCGTAACGAGCACTACAACCCCCCCACCACACAAACCATGTATTGAGCTTTTCAGTCATTTCTAGGCATTTCTCCGAGAAGCTGTGTGACTGCTCCTTGGTCACCTGACCGGATGCAGCTCCATAAAAGGACAGTCGGTAGTGAGGCAGCCTTAAAGAGGCAGCTCCTTATCCACACACACACACTGAGCTGCACTACTGTAGCCTTAACTAACTGCAAGAGGGGGTGAGGAAGCAAGTCTTAAAAGTCTATCTCAGGCGTTGTTACGTCTTAGCAGAATCAACTTCCTTCTCGCACAAACAGCTGATACTGAAAGGAATAAAATCTTCACGCTGGCGAAGCTCGTACAGCTTTTGTGATGAGCGAATATGCGAGGGGGGGTTGCATGTGCACAACAAATGATGTCAGAGAGTAAAATAGAAAGCAAGTCAAGCTGAGAGCATGACAGATCTGATCAGTGTTGTACTGCAGGCAAAAGGAGCCTGCGTGATAGTCTGTCAGCGGTGCAGATGCAGGAAACAAAAGCTAAAGCTAAGACTCCTATTGATAGGCCTCAGCGGCAGAGAACAGCTGCTTCACCACACACACCAAACGCAGCACCTCTAACTGATGGAATAATGACAGAAGGAGGAGAGGAAGACAGAGAATAGTGTTGAGGTTTTTAAAAAGAAAGAAAGAGCTGTAGAAAATGAGAGTGCAAACTGGAGGTTAAAATATTAGCAGGAGGTGTTAATTGTGGGTAAAATATGACAAAGGTGCTGCAACAGAGTATGACAGTCACCATAAACCGCGCAGAAACCAAGCTAAGGTGCCCTGTGTGTGGGCAGAAATGCGATGACTAGAGGGGGCATTACTGAAGCATGGTGCTGAACAGAAGGGGGAATAAAAATAGAGAGAGAAAAATAGAGAGATGCAGAGAAAAAGAAAACACAACAAGATGCCTACGAGTCTCAGAGAGCGTTCGGATGCAAAATGAACTCAGTGTAATTACCCATTCACCTTGCCACAGAGAGAGAGAGAGAGAGAGAGAGCAATGCATGTGGAATCAGTGTGTGTGCTTGCTGAGTGTGCATCATCACGACGCACTAGATGCCTGTTTGGTGTAAAGGCAGAGCAGAAAATAAGAGAGAGAGATAAAGAGAGAGAGAGAGAAGGAAGGAAGAGAAAAAACACAACAACAAAGACGCAAATTAAAAGAGGGGTGAAAAAAGACAGGATGACAAACAGAGAAGCGAGGAAAGAGAAAGATAGAGAGTAAAAGAGAGTCAGAGCAGTCTGTAGGGATGCAGGCGGGGGAGGAATGTGGTTTCCATGGCAACCCGAGGAAGGCTGAGCTCTGGGTGTCCGTTCCAGCTCTGCACTGCACCGGTCCTCGCCTCTCAGCCGCCTTGCTCTCTCTCTCTTTCTGTCTCTCTTTGACTCTCTCTCTCTGTCTTTCTATCTCCCTCTCTCTCTCTCTTCAGCCTCCCCCACTATATCTTCCTCCTTACAGCCCCCTCTTCACTCCCTCTCACTCCCTCCCTCTCCCTCCTGTTACATGCGCCTCCTCAGCTCGCTCCTCAGCTTCCTCGCCTCCTTCTTTCGATAGGAGTCACACACACACACACACACACACACACACACACACACACACACACACACACACACACACACACCTCCTCACCAGAGTCAACCTGTACTTTCACTGTGCTCTTACGCAGACATGATCATATGAGCGCACTAAATCCACGTACGAGCTACCAGCTCTTCTTTCTCCGTTACTCCTCAAAGCCTCCTGATCCTCACACCTTCTTCCTCCTGACCACTGCACTAGTTCTGAGCTCAGCTGAAAAGCCGACGCCTGTGGCCACTGTGCTGCCATGTGCCGCTAGCCATGTTGTAACAGGGAAGGCATTTAAAACCAGGTGCTGAGGGGCACAGCTAGCCTAAGAGACAATTCCCGATCATGGGATACGAGGGCAGTGCTCATGTGAGCAGCAGGTTTACTGTCACGTCTTGGCTCTATAGAAAGCAAGGGTGTTGCATTCCTTCATCACAACAGTTTTCTCTATTTAATGGTGTGCATCTTGACTCTCGGGGTCATGAAATCATACGAGAACTCCACAAGATCTCACAGAAGTACTGAGATCACCCAAGAACAGCACTGTAGACTTATAGCGCATACTAACAACATGTTATGTTTCTTTATTTGGTTCTTTTACAGCTCATTTGAATATCATTCTGTGACTATTGTGTTTCTACCTCGAGGATGTATGTATCTATGTATGCTTCATACAGCAATTATAAACTTTCTACTAGAGTGAACTCTGGCACCCCCTGTGGACAACGTAGTCTTTTCTTATCTTGTCCTCTACATCAGAGGTCCTCAACCACCGGGTCCCGGTCCGTGGATCAATTAGTACCAGGCCGCAAAAAAAGTAAAAACGATGATTACATTTTTTTTTTCTTTTCATCCTTCCTCCCAGTATCTTATTTTGAAAGACCACCACTTCCGCCATCGCCTCACTTTCTGCGCTTGACTCTTCAGCACGTCATTTTCCTGCATCAGCAACACAAGCTAGCTCTTGCAAAAATGAGCCAGAAACAGAGTTCGCTGGAGAGAGAAAGGGTTGATTCTGCATTATGGTGAGTTGATGTTAAAGTGTAATGAAAAGTGCCTAATATAAAATGTAATTGTTGTATCCAGATTACATACTATGTACTGATTAAGGTTTTTGTTATTAGAACCTCCACACCCCTATCCAGTCCTTTGAAAAAGTTTCCTGCATGAAACTGGTCCCTGGTACAAAAAAGGCTGGGGACCACTGCTCTACATGCTTAAAATATGTCTTATGACAAAAATAAAATAATCATACTAATTTCGGACAGTCAAAGGTTTCAATTTTCTTCAACATTTCATGTGAAAATGGTAAAAACAGGCCTTTATTTCTCCTGCTTTGCTGACACTTATTTCCTTCACTGATTCCAGGCATGAAAAGTTATGCTGTAAAAACAGTAAATTGTGTCACCGCTGGTTTTGTCTGATTTTGAACATCATGAGAAGGCATTAATATGGATTTCAATCTATTCCAGAAATGTCAAACTCCTCACAGAAGCTTCAAGTGTGTCTAATAGCACTTAAAAACCCGGTTGACAGCTAAAACTCCAGATATGAGACTATTCTGTTCGTGTTAAAAATATGTTCATTATCAACAAGTGTTTCTTTTCTATGTAAGGTGGCATACGGCTGGGAGTCTGTACATGGTGTTTAATTTTGAAAATGAGGGGATGGTTCATATTGTTCCAATGTTTGATTTACTGTCCAGTTTGATCTGATCTGATGAGCCAATGAAGTTAAGACAAGCCACAGCGCCTTCTATAGAGACACAAGTATTGACTAGAGCAGGCACGCACTTCCTGTTGAACCGGGGGTCATACTGAGGACGGTATTTAGCATTCTGGGAAAAGGTTTTTTTGGTTTCTTGCTAAGATATGGAGAAGATTAATTACACAGTTTTTTGTGTTTTGGGCTCAGCAGATGGTATTTAGCTTAGCCTAGCATAATGATTGGAAACGGGATAACATTATTATTCACTAATAAGTAAAACAGACCCCCAACAACAGAGCTGATTCATCACATTGTGTTGTATGTAGCTGGGTTACAGACAGAATAAAAATGTAACCTCCTGGCTTCCAAAAATTGTCAAATTGAAGACTACATTCTGGACTGTCTTTTAGCTTGCTACACATTTGAAGATATAATACTGTTACATTGGACTAGTACAGTTAAATGAAACCCAATAAAGAAAACCTGGCGGCCCACCAGTCTGTCAAACTACTAAAACAAACAGTAGCTATTTGGTGAACTGTTAGCTAACGTAAAGAAACGGCTAAGAGTGCGTTCAATCACTCCTTAGCTTGTTTGTTTTCATTCAGTTACAGTGAAATATTCCTTAATACATGAACCAGTACTACTCCTTTTCACCACTAAGCAGTGAATTTAGCTTTTAAGGACTTTCTAACAGTGCTATTAGCTAGTAAGTGATTGAATGCTAACATTAGCTGTGGTCACATAGTAGCCAATTGATTATATCATTGATTGTTGTTTTAACACAAGCTGTGGCCTGATTATCCTCCATGTTTTTACAATACATTATGTTACTGAGCTGCTGATTAATTGAAGAAGCGTTGGACTGAGCATGATTAATCAGACACTCTGACTTCATTAGCCTATCAACCAGGAAAACAGTAGTTCAATGTCTTCATCACATCAGCATAGTTCGGTCTCAACAAAGGAGTGATTTACTACACCAAAATGTTGAATGAATGTTTGAACTCTGTGATATTAGCATGAAGCAGCCTGAACACATTAACATGTTAAAATACATGAATCAGACTTTACAATCTCCATGTCTTATCATGCTCCTTATGAAAGGCGTTTTGTTTTTTCCCACCCAACACTCGTCAGTTTTACACCCGGCGCCCACATTATGTAAACACCAAGTGGCACCTGTGCGTGTGTCAGTCTCAAAGTGAGGTGTGGTCAGGTGCAAAGGCGGTGTGTTGTTGAGATGGCAAGAAGGGCATAACACAGCACAACATGCCTCGCTTTGCGTATTACACACGACAAAGTGCTTTGGATAATCTGAACAGGGCCCCTGATGTTTTAATGCAACACGTGCAGAGTGTAATTACAGTTATTAAGACTGACTGGTTCTCTTGATGCCTGATGACAATAAAAAAGCAAAAGATGGGTTCAAGAAACACAACTACTTTACGTACATTTGGGATGTCGATGTGGGAATGAGCCACCAAGCCAGAAACTCTCTCCACTTTATGAGGGCTCCTCCTGCTGGTCACTCGCACCAGAGACACGCCTTCCATCTTCTCCTCCTCCCCCTGGTCCTATGGGACAAGAACAGCTAAGTAATTTTATTAAGTCTGATAAACTAGTTCCGGATGATTCTCACCAAAGATTCATGCAGCCCCTCCTGTCTGAAAAAAAACCCTGTCAACTCCCCTTTTTAAATCCTCAAACCATAAGTTAATAATAATAATAATAATAATAATAATAATTTCTTGCTTATTGTGTGACCCAAATGTATATTCAGTCATTAAATCACAACCCTTAAGTATTTTTGGACCCTTTTTAAAAAATGCCAGAAATGAAAAATACCAACTGCGCAGAGAGTTCAATATGAAATCAATGAAGGAAACGTCACAAGTCGGTTTAGTAGATGGACAAAACTTCAATAGAAAAGAACAGAGTAGAATGAAAGTACAGAAAATAACAAAATAAAATAGAATACAACAGAATAAAATAGAATACAGCAGCACTGAAAAGAATACAACAGAATAAAACAGAATAGAATAAAACAGAATAGGACAAAATAAAGTAGAGTGGGTCCGCAATAAAATTAGTGTCTTCATTATTTACTGCATTGAACCAGTGTTTAATGTTGATTTGGTATAATTCTAATAAAAAGTCACATGCAAGTGTTCAAAATGTCACTGATATTGACAGAATAATGTTTAAAAATAATAAAAAAAATGTTTTCAGTGGCATTTAAGTTTCTCTTCGACTGCTTTAATCCCTCATAGTGCTGATAGGCAGGTTCTCAGACATACCCACAGCTGCCCACTCTGTTTGATAGTGGCAGCAGAGACTTCGCCTTTTGCACTCTAGGGTTAGGGTGCAAAGGGCTCACTTTCCCACATACAATACTGTGCAGGCACATTATTAATGATGACCTCAAATTATACAATAACAGTAAATCATGATATTCTGCATTTGAAATGAAATCTCATGTTACATCAAGAGGCTTTTTCAGTCCAAATGCTACTGATGGAAATCAACTTAAAAGAACGCTCCTTCTCTCCAGGCTTGTTTTGTTTCTTTCTCAAAGAGCTAATCTCGACTCTCACCTTCCACTCCGCACTAAATCAGGGAATTTGCAGACTCATTTAGTTTTTTGCCCATCCTCCACTCCAGGTGACAGCATGGCTAGAATACTGATGAGAGTGTCCATTAAGAAGCTTACTCCATCTCTCTCTCCCCCTCCCTTACAATCTTCCCTCTCTCTCTCTGTCTCTCTCTCTGGTTCTTCAGGTCTGTATCTGGACCCAGCAAGCAGCCTGGATCCGGAGATGAGTAACACAGTACTGAATTAGAAGTTACACTGGGTGGATCACAGAGGGAGAGAGGAGCTTAGAATAACTATGTAAAGTTCAAGTTGTAGCCACAGTTTGTGGTTAAGGTTGTCTGCTGAGCTGGAGGCGTGTCAGACTACAGTCATGTGACACAGAAGTGGACCTCAAGAGAATCAGCAGGGAACAAGTTCACTGAGTGGCTGATTTTATCTTTTAATTTCTGTATACACTACAGCTTTATACATTATTTTGTGAATTGTGTTACTTGATATCATGTAGAACTGCATATTTTTGTTACATTTGTTACAGAGCTGAAATTTCTTAGCAGCCTAGCAAAGACTAAAAAGGATTTTTCTCCTGCATAAAAAATTCCACAAATGCACGTTTAGTTTTGGCCAGTCCTTGTGACTCCTATGTGACAGTGTTATTATTCATTGACGAAAATATTTTGTCAACCTCCGAGGACGTGATGCTGACGAGCTAAACATAAGTCTTAGATGACTAAAATGTGACGAGACGAATGTGCGTTTACGTTGACGAGACGAGACTAGATGAAAACGTTAGTGGTGGATGACGAACAGCGTTGCAAAATTCACGAGCATTTCGTCAGTCAAACGCTAAACATATATTCTGCAGTGTTGTTTTCGTTGACAATGACGTTGACGAAATATTTTCGTCAACGTCATTGTCAACGAAAACAACACTGCCATGTGACAGGTCAGAATATGTGTTTGTGTTTTTATGTGTTCATAATACTAGGATAGGCTACCATTACGAGAGGCTGAACTACATTTAAGTTTCTTCTTCTAACAAACATTGCACAGTGGAGGCCCACTCATCAAGTTAGCCAAATGTGCCAAAATAACTTAAAAAAATGTATGTTCGGCAAGATCAACTAATTGATTAAGGACTATTAAAGTAACATTTGTTGCCTTTTTAAACCCGGTTCTAGCAAACAAGCAGTAAGCTAATGGTTTGAAAGTTATTATATCAATGTGATCATAAATTTAGTGGTAATGAAAAGTGAAAAGGTATCAATAGTGGTTTGAAAATACCGAAGTTAACAGATAAAATGTTAAGCTACTGACTTGGGATTGTTTTCAATAATCTGTAAAGCACTTTGTGTTGCATATTTTGTACGAAAAGCACTTTATAAATAAAGTTTTGATTGATTGGTAACTGAATTTCTTCAAAATAATCCATGAATATTGACCTCCATTGTAAATCCATGGTGATATATTAAATCCAATTAAAATCGATTTAGATGGACAAAAGTTCGGTCATGACAGGTGCAGACAATGAACAGGTACTTCAGCATTGTGACATTCTTCAGACAATAACAGTAACAATAACCCAGTACCAATGCAACATTATCAGAAGTAGTTACTCTTAGGAAGACTTACACAAGACTCACATTATATTTAAGGAGACAGTCAATATGCTATCAGGTTCTGAACACAGTGTGACTCTTTGAAATGTTAGTTACTCCACTCTCTAAAGCGGGTCAAGGCACAGTCATATACAGGGTGACTGTGTCTTTATACTTAAGCACCCATTTAATACAGTAAATGTCAAGTGTATTGTAGGTCCTATGTTCAAGTGAGCACACATAATCCAGTTCAGACTGAGCACAGACTTTTAAAAACATATTGCCATTAAGTGATTGAGTGGAGGGAGGGGGCTGTTAAGCATGACAGAAAACTGATAGATTAAAATTTTTTATCTCATGTGAGGATTAAATTGGCAGACAGAGTTCGCTGTCCTGCCAGCGGTGAGTAGTCACACAGGGGTCACAGTCGTATAGTTCAGATTTCTGAAGTTTTCTCACTAACCACCTGCCATGAACGCTATGGGCCCTGTCGTACATCCTGTGTAACATGTCACAGGGAGCAGCTCTAGTGATACAATCGTCGTTTTTATGCCCAGCACTCACACTTTGTAAAAAGCGAGTGAACTTGCACCAGCATTACAATACATGGGTTTAACAGTCTTAAAATTAGATTTGGTCAGGTTGTGCATTTCCTACCTTCTATCATTTACTATCATTGAAAACAGACCCAGACCAGGAATCAAGCTATAAACACCTTTTTGTAAGTTAGATGGAGTAATAATAATAATAATAATAATAATAATAATAATAATAATAATAACTTTATTTTTATAGCACTTTTAAAAACATAAGTTTACAAAGTGCTCTGACAAACAGTTGCAAAGCATCAGCACATGGAAATAAACAACAAAAGCTCAGTTAAAAACAAGGCCTATGAACTGAAGGCCAATTTCATTTGTCAAAAGAAACCCAGACAATACAAGGACCCTACAACATAAAATGAGACCACGAGGACCAAAATAAAAACATCAAATAGTTAAGAAAAAGAAATGTAATAAGAAGGGGGGAAGAAAGCAGAAAACAGGATATTAGTCATGAAATCTTTCAGAGAGAGTTAAAGAAGTGTAGGACATCCAGGATTTGATGTCAGTCGACCGAGACAGTAAAAGGGACTTCTTGAAAAAATGAATTTCATCATCTTTATAGTGTTCTTTACTTACGACCTAGCCAAGAGGGAGCATGTGGATTGAAAAGAGCAGGAGACCAAAAATAGAGCCTCGTGAAACCACTAGAGTTAAAGGAGTTGCTTGATGAAGATGAGATAAAACATCAACAAACATCTGCTTGTCCACTAAGATATGAACCAGTCCAGTGCTTCCTCCTTAAAACCAACAAACAACTTCAGACAGATGATTGAATTGAATTTCATTGTTGACTGTATCAAAATCAGAATTTAGATCAAAAGAAACAGAATAAAAACCTCTTTTGAGCCCTTTGTTTGGAGAACATCGAGTAAAGATTGATTGATCAACTGATCAGTACTTAAAAGTTTAAATACTAAAGCAATAAAACTTCTTGACGATTGTTAAAAATGTTAAAAATAATGGCTTATTCAATTTCCTGACAGCAAAATAAAAGAGTTTGTGAGACTTGTGACGTAAACAAAATCAGTCTTTTACTGTTGAGCAGAAGAATCCAGTTTATGAGGGAAGAAAGCTGGCCATTATGTGTACAATTGAATTGTGATAATTTGATTTCCTAAAAACCAAAGTCACATTTAAAAAATATGCCCAATTATGTCTCTGCCCCTGTATATTTCACTATGCTCACACAGAAAGACACAAAAATGATGAAGGAGCTACGGTCTCATCTGTGTGAAACAGGCAAAATTACGTTTAGTTTATTGGCCCTTTAAACTGAACCAAGATCAGCTTCATATCATGGAATATCGGATTAGAAGTTAGAAGTTATAAGATGGCATTAAATCATGCAAGTCATATGAAATCAAAAGTTCCTTTCATGCCAAAGGCTGACGGGACTAGCACAAGGTGATACTTGCTGTAACATGCAGACTAGAGCTCTGTCTAAGCCTTGATAAACATCTGAGTCAGGTTTAAAGTCACAATAAAAGAACCTTTTCTCAGGTAAGTGAGTTGATGTTGTTTGTGTCCTACAGTCAGAATACTCTAAACAACTGTGAGTCTGACAAACACATGCATATTGAAAAATGACAAGCTAATTTCAAACATAAATCAGCACTTCTTTGACTCAGTGTGAGTCCCTTTTTCCCTCTTCCAATGAGTCCCTTCTTCCAACCTTTTTTCCTTTTTGTCTGACACTTGCTCATCAGCCCCCTGCCATGACTCATGATAACATTTAATCAATGTAGGCAAGCAAGGGACACAGGTAGTGACACCTCGTGTTGGCTGCCAAACAGCTTTTTTTTGCGCAGCCAGAAGGCAATGTAATTCACATAAAAGCACATGAAACAACAGATAGAACGCAAACATAAGCTCATTTCCTACAATCTATAATGTGAAGAAGGAAAATTACCTCCCACGCATCCTGCCTGCTGTCTTCTTTCACAACAGTTTGTTCCTTGTTCAGTTGCAAGGTCACCTCGTAACACTCTTGAATATCTGTGAGAAAGAAAACAATAATGAGCTTTTTTCCCTTTTACTTGGATGATAATAAGTACTTGACATAAGTGTATTTTTCACACTGTGGTTATTGTTTCTTGTTATAACATCTCAGTGTCCCAAAGTCTGATACTTTGGTTGTGTAAAAGATTCCTCCGATCAATCATGGGCACAAAGGAGCGACTATTTTCCTCTGAGTGAGGCACTGGGTGAAGATGTGGGGGTGGGAGATGTCTGTTTACATGGAAGTAATGTCTCCATATTTGCAAGTGCTCATCTTATCTTGTTGCTGAACTATATGACTCATGACTGACTTACTCATCAAGTCAGTATCTGAGCGACCTATATTGTAAATTTTTTTTCATCCTGTCTCATGAAAAAAAACAAAAAAACATTTCCACCCTTTTGGTTCTTTGGTTCAGAGTCCATCAAATGTGATGTTTGGGCTAGATGCTTTTGTCGTGCAAGCATGCTAATAAAGACAAAAAAAAAACATGCTAATGTTAATTTAGCATTTGCTCACCACAGCTACCATCATAAATTAGATTAGCTAGCTAAAATTTGCTACCTAGCACATAACACAAAAACTAGTCATTTGTTTCGCAGATCTTCGTCAGGTCTCTGGTAAACCAACCACACAACAACTTGACATTTTGATGCTTAAAACTGTTTTATTTTAATGTTAAAAGCAGAGCCGGCCCAAGGCATAAGCGAACTAAGCGCCTGCTTAGGGCCCCGCGGCCAGTAGGGGGCCCCCAAGAGCAATCAAAAAAAAAAAATAACAATATTTTTTATTTTTTGCTTGTATGAGTGATGCTTTCTGCATGATCAAATATATATTATTGTGCAATGTGCACTGAGCATCCGAAGCGCGGGTAGTTGTGAGGCAAAACGATGTCCCACAAAAGGACAAATCCTTCAGGAGCAGAGAAAAGAAGAAGGAAGAAGAGAAAAAAACGCCAAGTTAAGGTATGTTTTCATGTCATGGAATGTTAATCAAAGAGAGTTGTGAAGGTGTGTGAATGATCAACAATCAATATTATTGGCAGAAAAAGAGGGCCCCAAAATCAAATTTTACTTAGGGCCCCATTGACGCTTGGGCCGGCTCTGGTTAAAAGCTTTCTAATTCACTTGGATGACTGCAGCAAAACTCCACTTTCACTATTAAGATACCAGAGCTAGGCCAGATTTTGATTTCAATTATAACTATGGTTGTGCACGATCATACAAGCAGCTCAGGGCACAAGGAAGTTGTGCTCCCACTAAGATTGATGGTGTCCTGCTGTATCTTCTAAAACTACCACGCAGCCACAGGGGGGAGAGAGGAGAGCAGGGATAGGGGCAGGAGGAGGCAGGTATGTGTATCTGTGGAACAGAATGAGCAAAAGCTTTAGCCAAGAGTGGAGTTTCAGGGTCTGCATCGCCATCACCTTTAGACTCACTAAGAAAAACACTGACTCTGCTCTCACAGTAGCCACACAGCCAACAAGGTATAAAATGAGTCAATGCAATTTTGAAAAGTCATGCAAGGTTCTCGATGGTGGACAACACATTGAGTGTCTCAATATTTTGTAAATGGCTTAAATAATTGCAAGTATAAGAGTGCTTAGCAAAGATCACTTCACTCAAGTACCACAGAGTACCAGCAGTATTATCAGCACTCTTGTTCCTAAAGTTGAGATTTTCTACTGAACTGATCTGCTCCACTCGTTCCTATTTTCCTCTCCACTCCTCACCTCTTGGCTCATTTCTCACCCATGTCCTGTAGTCACCTACTGAGGAGAAGCCATTTGATGAGAATGCACTGGGACAATTTTGCTGATGTCAAACGCAGGCCCTGCTTGCTGCACCGTTGACATAAAGAGGTTGCCGGAGAGTTCATCAACTTCCCAAAGTTCAATGTCAGGACAAGACGTCCAACAAGACACATTGTATGAGGACATCAGGGGGAATACAATACACTCTTGAAATGTGTATCTTTTGTTGAAACGGAGACTCAGAGGCACCAAATGTGTATGTGTGTGAGACGGATAGATAAGAGTCAGTACATCCCAACAAGACACAGTGAGAACAAAAGTGTAAGAATGGAGCACATGACTCATCACTGTGTCTGAATGTGGAGGAGTGAAGCCATGTGTGGGCAGGGGAGTTTGTTGCACAGCTGACTAAAGAGCAATCTCACTTACACAAACTCTTATATAGATGCAGACATAGGCACACAATTCAGGCACACCAAAACCTCAAATAACAAGAGTAAGACAACTAAGACTTAAAATCGATAATTATCACCTATTCACTGATATGCTCTCCTTACATTATCCTCAAAATGTGTGTACATCATCTGTCTCTCTCTGGGACCTTAAACAATACAAGTTAATACATGAAATGCATATTAGTGGAACATGGTTTGAATAAAGCATTAAAGTAGAGATTTAATACCACTCAAATATTTTGAAAGACAAAAATAAAGACATTAAAATTACAGTAGGATTGAATTATCTTTCTCGTTTGCTAATAATCTGTTTTATTTGGTTTTCGTTAGGAGGCAACAGAACATACTGAGTGTTAACACGTTTGCAACCATGGTGTTGAAACTGAAGCCAATGTGGGAGTGCAAAGTGGCAAAAATCTAGTTTCTTACGTGTAGATTTGAGGCTGGCTCTAAAAGTCATACAGTTTCAAATCAGCTCATATTGAAATGAACATTACAGCAGAATTCAACCAAACAGCAACCTTCAGAGCAGAGGAGTGAAGCCAACATGCAAAAAAGCCATTAGATCCCAATAAATCTGATCAGATAGAGTATTGATCAATTCATTGGAATATATAAAACACGCACTAGAGACTTTTTAAAAGATTTAGATTGTTTTAAGATTAAACTTATTTATCGTAAAAGCAAACTCAAAACATACCTTTTTAGCCTTGCTTTGAACTAAATTTTATGTATTTAACTTAATTTTGTTCGTGAGTTTTAGCATTTGTCTTTCTGGTTTTAATGTCAGGATCATCTTTTATTGAGCTGTTCTGGTGATCATATTTTAGTATCTTTTTACTTTGTTTTTATTTCATTTTTATTCATTATTTCTTAGATTTCATTTTATTTTACTTTGTCTTTAGATTTTAACCTAACCTCCGGTGTTTCCACATCTTGAATTTTAAGATGGCGTTCCCTCAGTGCACATATTCCTGTTTTTACTAAATCGAGTTCTTTTTTAAGTCAATGCATTTTAAAACTCACTCCTGTTGTGCTTGGATTGCAGGGTGGGGATGAAGGGACGGGGATGGGGTGGGGTAGAGTTGGATATTCCTTCTTTCTTTTTCTTCGTTTGTGTAAAGCACTTTGTGCTACATTTCCTTGTATGAAAAGTGTTAAAAAAAATAAAGACTGATTGATTGATAAAAAAAAACATTTTGCAAATTTCCTCAAAAGTCAAAATAAAGGTGGTAAAATAATTTTCTCACACAAAAATAATCAAAAGAAAATCAAGATGTAATGTTTTATTTTGCAGCCAAACGTCTGATTAAATTGCATTTTTTGTTTTGTGAAAAAAGTTGCAAATCAGGCAGCTAATCATTGACTAAATCAATGACTTTAAATATGATTTTGCTATGACTTCGGTTTGCTTCACTACATTTATTTATTTATTTGAATTAGGACAATGCACATTAATTGACATGTCAGCAAAAGCATTAATATAAATATGCCCGAGTTAGCATAAATGCTCATTTTAATCCGTTGTCCTAAGGCAGATGTTCAAAAACATAGAAACAATACATTATGTATACACAATGCACTATGACAAATGGATAAAACATGCAAGATCTTACACACAGAGTTAGTTAGTTCTCATGAGAGCAGACTTCGCTGAGTGTGTTTTATGTTTTGCCAGCACCTTAACTGGCCGGTTATGGTCGACCACGAACATCTGAAGCTTTTAATTTTCTTCCTTCTCTGTGCAGTGCTTCATGTGCAGATAATGAAACTAGTTAACTGTCAGTGTGTCTGAAAGGACAACCACTCTGTGTGTTGATGTGTCAGCATTCAGTGATCAGCTGAAAAAGCATTGTTATTATTTGTTTGGGGTAACATTTCTTGCCATCTTTATCTCCATTGTCGTGTGTAATCTGTTATCTACTGTCTGGAAAATACCTTTCTATGTCGATGCTAGAGGCTAATCCCAAGCTAGGGACCTACACTGTCTATTTGTCAATCTAATGCTTGGTGTGTGGTGGGATTATTGAGGCTAGCCAGCTACTGTCGCCCAGAATAAGGTTTATGTATGAGAGGGTGTAAAAATCATTAAAAATACAACTGCAGGCTTTAAACCAAAACAATGTGCTGAAAGATGCCAGAGCCACAGAAATAACACACAGAAGGTAGATTGATTTGAATGACACTTTGCTCATACATGAAGCCATTTTTGCTCATTGCTCATAAAACATGTCAGTGTTTTTTTTATAACACAAAGTCTAATACATTATGCATCTATGAAGTCTTGCCTGATTCTCTCCATAGCTGCATCACAGACACCTGGCTTGCTTTCACACTACTAACACTTCTAATTACATCGCTCATCTATTCCTGGCAGAGGCAACAAATCACAGAAAAAAAAAAAATGCTCAGTCAATTCTGGAAGTGTTATGAGACCAGGATTCACAGTTGCACATAGCAGAGAGAGTTTTGCTCTTTTCCACATCTGCAACTTTCCCCTAAAAAATGTATTTGAAGTGTTCCAACCCTCAGAGACCACATGAATTCCTGGGCATGGAACTTAACGCATAATCCAAGCCAGCAGTCTCTTATGAGGACTTATTCCAATATCTGTTTTTTTGATGTTGAGACTATTTCGGGACAGCCTGGTCGGAGCTCTGAGCCTTTTTGTCACAGTCAGAGGGGGTTTCCCACACCTTCTGCTTGTCCTACAAAAATACTACATGCTGGATCAGCGTATTTATTCCTATTAGCCATGTACCTATTCAGCTGGACTCGAGTCATCTCTCTCTGTCTGCCCTGGTGAGTCCTCCAAAAAAAGTAAGAAGGGACTGTGCCCCTGGTTCTATATATGAAGATGGGCAACCCACGGCTCGCTTGAATAACACATTCCCAGAAAACTAGGTCACAATTTCCAGGCAGGGTAAACAATTCACCCCCTTGTTACTGCCTCAGTAAAGTACTCCCCAGGCATTTAGGGTCCTCTGTAATTTATTGTGTCTTGTCTGCATGTGAGCCCCAACTCCCTGTGAACATCACCCCACTGCCTCCCACTGCATGTTTGTATGTTGGAACAAAAGGGTGGATGCACCGTTCAGGCAACCTTTGTTCGTGACTGTGCAACCATGCAAACGTCCAATCAAGTGACCAGTACTGAAGCTTCCCACACTGCATCGAACACCTCTTTACTTCCCACAGTGGATCAAAGTTATAGATATATCTTAAAGGAAAATACTGCATTGTTATGACTGTAGATTATGTTTCGATCACAAAACTTTCTAAAAGTTTTAATCAAAAGTAAGGAAAAAGTTTGCAACCTTGTCAGAAAGCTTACAACTTTTCAGCCCACCATCCCTCTGAGAGAACAACAACGCAAAACGGTCCGAACGGAACCAGTTCACACGGCCCTGAGCTGGCCAAGTGAAACACAACAGGAGAGGATAAGAGGATGAGTAATGTTTTTACTGCACTGTATTCCTATTAGTGCTGTGAGCTGGCTGCTCCTCCACTCTGCTTTCCCTGATAAGTACCACATGTTAAAATAAAGGGCGAAGTCTCATCAGTCCAGCACCTTGGAGTCGCTAACCACAGGCCCCCTTTCTCCTCCCCCACCCTAACACTCTGAGCAGGTGATCCACAGTGCCAGGAAAGTTTGGCGTGTCAGTCAGGAGCGGTTTATTTCCCTGTCTGCCTCGGGTTCAGCGCTGATCGAACATTCTTTGTTAGGAATGTTTGGAATTTTGATTTGGGAAGCTAATCCTCCCTCAACTTAATAAAAAACAGTGTGGATTACACACAAGGTCAGGAGACTCAGGGTTAAAATTGTAAACAGTATCAAACTATCACACAGATAAATCATTTAAACCAGTTTTGTGTTTCCTGCACAGATTTATGAGTATGACTCAAAGCTTTCTCAACTTTTTATGCAACACAGTGCTAATCTAGGAAAAACTGTCAAGATTGATGTTTTTTTTTTGTGGCTTTGCTTCGCTTCCCTTTACAACACACCCAAGCCCCCTCAGAGCAAAGAAGAACCATTACTTTGCTCAGGGACACTTCCTCAATATTCACAGGGTAATTATCTCACTCTGTCAAGTTAAAACAATGTTTGTGTTTTTTCTGCTGTGTTACAGGTTGAAAGTTCATAAATTTAGTGATATTGAGAAAATTTCATATACACTTGGGATGTACATGTTCAATCACATTACACCGATTTGGTCTCTGCATTGGCTATCCGTCTCTTTGAGAATAGATTTTCAGGTTGTTTTATTGGTTTTTAAAGCTCAAAGTATGAAAAGTGCGATATAAATAAAGAGTGACTGATTGATTGATTGATACATGTTCAATCAGCTTACTGATGAAACATCACCCTGGATAGTCAGCACCAAAATAACTGGTCTGTTAAACAAATTATCAGCATTTGTATTATTTCAATTGATTTTATTCCATTTTATCTTATTTTGATTCAACATATTTCTATCATAAATCTCAAATTTCATGTGTTATGTCTCAGCTGTACTGTAGCCACACAACTAGCCGTGGCTGTAGCTCCATTTGTAACTGTGTTAAATAAATTCAGCTAAATTTGGACTGTTTTCTGAGTGTTTTCTTACTTCTGGACTAGTCAACTGGTTGGAATCATAGATTGTATAGTAACTGGACGTAGCATCACCAATTTGTTTCTGAAGCAGAGTTTCAAGGGTGCAGTCGCCATATTGGTAATGCTGCTTAACCTAACTTTAAGGCTTTTAGCCTCCTTGCATATGGCCACAGTGTACCTGCCTTCAGTCTAGTCGGCTGTGCCTCCGATTCACCAATCTCCAAACCTTTATAACTTCACAACAAACAGAAAAAATTTACTCCTCATATCATGGGAGCCCTGAGCTATGCAGAAAAAGAAATGTTTTTTTGACTCAGGCTGCAAATGTGATTATTTTCACTCAAACAAATGCATGTCTTGTCATTGCATGTGTGTGGTTTTTGGTGCCTATGCAGCCTGCTGCCAGTGGGCAGTCTGGGAACAGCAGTTTTCGTGCTTATGCGTCGCTTCATTTCTCAAGACTGAAGGCTGCCGCTCGGTTGTAATCCGAATTTCTGTTCAAATGCAAAAGCAGTTAGCTGCTTCAGCACCTAAAGATACTAATTTAATTGATAATCAACATACAAGTCCTGTATTCATGAAAAATTTACATTCCTACATTAAACTCCTGTTTTAATAAATACACGAAAGCGATCATAAGCCATTGTTTATCAAGCCAATGTACGCTTATCATGTTCTTTCCTTGTTTAGACTATGAGAATACTAATATTTGCATATTAAAACAAAGCTGGATACAGCTAAGACTGATAGGAAAGGCTAAGGTTGAACTTGATGGCTCTTAAAGACTTATACGGTCTTAAAACAGATGGTGCGTAGCCTAAATACGAACACAGAAATAAGATAAAAGTGGGTTAATTATTCCTACAGATAGGGATAATACCGATCATAGGGTATCCGTCTGACTGCTGCCTGATCAGACCCCCTCCCTGAAGCGTCCCAGCAGTGAGGCCGCAGTGGCAAGAGCAGACCCAGGGGCGAGCATCATTATACTATGGCTGAGGTAATTAGAAGGACCACTCAACCATCAGTTAAAGTGAAGTAATGTGCTTTAAAAAGAACTGAGGTTAAGATTCCCATTGGCTCTTTTCTAAAACACTAATGTTGTTCTGGAGGTGAGGCTGGTTACACATAATAATAGTGCCTCTTCAGATGAGTTGCAGTACAAAGGCACTTTTTTAGGACACTTTCAGGATAAGTGTATCAGTTCAGTCAGCAGCAGCAGCAGCTTCAGCACATTACAATTATAGCGCTCCTCTAAATGTAAATCAACTGTTGTAGCTTTTCCAGTCAGAATCTACAACATAAATCCAAGATGCAGAAGGTCCACGAGAGGGCAATTTGTCAGAGGAGGAAATGTACTTTCACAGTTTGGCTGAGTGTACAACAACAGAGTCTATAGATGGACTGAGTAATGGGGTTTTATTAGGATTTCATTACCACCTGAGTATGTTACACAGAAGGGGATACAGATCTCCTCTGTTAGCCTGACTGAAAGGCCTCTTTCATTGGACCTAATTGGAAAACTTTTAAAATCAGTTGACTCCCAATGAGAATTAAAACAACCTGACTCCATCTACGTGGCTAAACAAAGTCACATGACAACACAAAAGGCACAACACGGAGGCTGACAACATAGTTCACAGGAGAGTATGGTGCAAGGAAGCTATACATTGCTTCCCCCTCTGTAAAAATAAGGGGGCGTGAACAGGAAAGGTTCATAAGAAAGTCCATCCTGATGAAATTTAGCTAGAGGGTAGGGTTTTGAAAGACTCCCTTCTGCAAAATAAGCAGCTTTACTGAGTATTTCTTACCAAGAAGGGCGTGGAACAGCTGGCTGCCCAAGATGGAGGACACTTTACCAACACTGGTCTTCAGTGCCTGCTCCTCTGGACTGGTCAAGTCGGCCTGGTATCGTCTGAGTAGATCCACTGCTCGTGCTGTGTCTGCCTCACAAAAAAAAAACATCCATGTTTCAGCACAACATCAGCATAGGACCTACACATGTTGGCAAAAAGCTGAAAAACTGCCTGATCAGCTGGGACAGGAACTTGAAATGATTCTCTTCATACAGTTTCTTGATTAACTGATTAACCCACTGAGCAATAGATGGCTATTAGACGTCTAGTTTCTGTATATTCTGTATATTTTCAGACAGAATTTCGACACTGCACTTTAACCCATTACTCGATAACTATTTATTTCAAAAAGCAACTGTGAGCTGCTTAGCCAAAATAATTATGATAGCCATTGAGCAAAAAATCCTCAGTGGGCTGTTAGACCTCTGTTAGCTAGCTAGTCTAAACTTAGTCTAAATTTAAAAAAACTTTCATTTTTAGACCTGTGGTAGTCTGATCTTAGACCACTCATCTAGGCTACATTTAGACATCTATTAGACCTCTTTTAGACCAAAAAATCCTCAGTGGGCTGTAAGACCTCTGTTAGCTAGCTAGCCTAAACTTAGACTAAATTCAAATGTCTAAAAAACTTGCATTTTTAGACCTGTGGTAGCCTGATCTTAGACCAATTGTCTAGGCTACATTTAGACGTCTATTAGACCTCTTTTAGACCAAAAAATACTCAGTGGGAAGCCAAAAGTCAGGTCCACTCGCAAAGCTGGAACCAGTGAACTTTCACCATTTTGTACTTTTTTGTCAATTCACACTTCAATGAAACAGTCAATCTCCAAAACTTTAAACACCAAGTGATTTTTAACAATAATCCCAAAAGTATCATGGTTAAAACATAAAAAGTCAACATGAATAAGTTGTAAAAGTAATGGCAGGCTACAGTTTTAAGCCAATTAAACAGATCATTTCCATTATAATAATCTCAGTTATGTATAAATGCAAAACTGTTGTTACATCTCCACGCAGATCACATTTAAGATATTTTTTCTCTTCCAACACGACTGTAGAGCCAGTTTTTGATCCCTGTGGGTGGTGAGGAACAGCAGAGAGAAGATGCACGGAGGTAATTCTACTACTTCACAGTTTCCCTTCACTGGATCCTGAACATTTTGATCAAGGAAGAAGCTCAAAGCTGTAAAACACATGCTTCTCGAATGTTGCACAGTTTCAGACATGGTAAATTCCAGTTCCTCCAGAACATGACAAATCTCAAGGGATTGTGAAGCACTGTTAAATCCCGGTGAAGCTTTCGTGAGGACATGAGCTGTCGTTTTTCAGAAACTCAAACTTCACAACAAAACTTTCCCACATGAGGAGATGTTAAGGTAAAGTTGTGTTAACGGTACTCACCATATTTGTGCACCATGGCGTGGTCGTCTCGGAAAGTGTAAAAAGTGAAAGTGGACTTCTGCTGTTTACAGAGGTGGACTAAAATTCAGCAATATGCCTCGGATAATTCAGCCAGCAGAAATGCAGCTATTGAGTTCAAGATTCCTGCCGCTGGACACTCCCTGTCTGTTTCTGCAGCGGTCAGCGGTGGTCCACACCCACCCATAGAGGTCAAGATGTGACAAGAGTGGATACTGTTTGGCTCATGACAACTTTCCACAAGTTTTGGTCCAAACGGCCCCTGAACGTGACATGTATCCCCTCCCTCCCTCTCTGACACATGCCTCGCCTTCGTGGACAGCGGCCCTGTAGCTCAAAGTAGTAAAGTTAAAACATTCATGACACGACTAGATGATGCCACCTGCTGCAAGTTTAGGTTATCTGCTGCGAAAATCACCAGTCAGGGCTTCAGCGGTCAGGTTTTTTACTCTGTGGGTCGCTTCTGCTCCAAAGTCTAGCATCGCATGCCACCCAGTGGTGCGTTGAGGTGGTGGTGGGAAATCAGACAATTTCAATAGTACGTTTCTGCAGTGCCAAGCAGATCCACAACCTTCTTTGCGCCCCTGCTGGACAGAGTGGATCATTGCATGACAGATCCAAAATCCCTCTTTTTAACTTTTATTCTGAAGAAAGCAGCAAAAAGTTGGCATTTACAGGTGTAGGTGCCAATCTACGGTGGCCGAGAACCACCACAGCTGCAGATAAAAAAAAGAATGCAAGAAAAAAACAAAGTCACAACAGAACCAAAGCCCGCTGCAAATAATTTTAAAAAAAAGGTGCAGGAAAAAAAAGCCACAACGGTGCACTGTATCGGTCTTGTCTTCAAAACATGAAATAATGTGTTTTGGATCAAATTACAGCAAATTATATAACAACAAAAGCATCCGACCTGTTTTAAGAAACTTAAGGAAGTTATACAGAAATGTATGAAAATTTAGAAAAGGTCAGTCATCTGGACCAAAATTCATTAATATTACTGTCACTGTTACTCAGTACATTTCAGGGGCATCAACAAAAACTCTTAACCCATGAAAAGATATCATATTAGGACCCACCACCAGCCCAATAATATAACCACACATTAAGTGTGTTCATGACCTTTCAAAAGCTTTATATTTAACTATATTTAACCATAACTTTGACTAACATTATGAACATGTGGGGTCAGTAACAAGAAGGAGTGCATAATACTTCTCAATATCCAAACATTTGAAATAGTATATAATCGTTCCCACATTTACGTATGGACAGGGAGCAGGTTTGACCTTTGACCTTAGCAGTATTTTAACCCTGCATACCCACAACACTATAAGCCGCTGTTCAATGCACACATTTTATTTTTAGGTCATTTTATTTTTCAAGTACATTCTGGTGGCTGGAATTCTTCTATATTTGGTATTTGATTCACCTGGACACTGTTGCTCCACATAGGATGACAATGGCTTGGGTTTTGTATCTGAACCAATATGTTGTGATGCATCAGTGCAAACCAGTGTATGGCAGAACAGCTTTGTAGTGCGTACTGTTTTTCTTTTTTTTTGCAGTGCCTCTTCAAATCTCATTAAACTTCCATACATGCTAACTTAATCCATGTTTGCTGTTTGGATTCTTTATCATGCTCTGATAATTCAGTTTCAGGGGTTGTTTAGTTTGTCCAATCTATACTAGGCCTAAGGCTAATTATAACTTTAAATAACGTGGATGGTTTTGTAGTTTCCAAGTCCTTGAATTGGAATTTTCTTCCCAGTGTGAGGTAGATTTAACACTTTTTTTGTTAGTGTTGTTGTGACTGCAGACACAGCTCCACATCTATAGATGCCAGTTGTTGTCAGCATTGTGGTTTTATTCAAGTGATATTTTCATACCTGGAAGAGTTTTTTTTTTACTGTGAGTGCTTTCCTGAATGAAAAGAAGGGAGGGGATTTGCAGATGCCTCTGCTCAGACATGCTAGGCTCTTTGGTTCTTTTTATTTTTAAGTGCAGTGCTTAACACGGTGAGAAACAAGCCTGGAGTCTTCATTTTGAGTTTATTAGAAGGGAGATCAAAGTGAGTAGTGATGTCTGCTCTTGGTATGGTTCTCTGAATGAAGTTTGACATATATTTCCTTCCTTGAAGCGAGTTGCCACTGCGGTTTTCTTAGAAGTCTCAAGAACTGTCCAATTGACAAAACAAATTGTTTACTTGTCTTTTCCATAGCAAGAAGTCTGAATAATTCTATTTTTTGTCTTTGTGGATATTTGAATCGAGACAGTCACTCTGCTCACAGGTGAATTTCAGAAAGCTTAAATTGTTGAGATATGATACAAAGGGCTTCATTACCCTCCTATGTTTTATCTTTGAGTAATATGGGTCCTTGCAAGGGTCATGCATAAGTGTCTTCTAATTTTCTTACTCCCAAACCCACTAAGAATGGCGCTGTTGCTGTTCCCATCCCAGTTCCTGCTTGTTAGAGGCACCAGTTAGAGACATACTGCATACTGTAACCATACAGGTATTTGTCATTGAGAGAAACCAGGTTTGTAACTGGTCTCTATCAGCTGTCTCTGTTTATACAACAATGTATTTTACATGCTTATTATAACCCTTTAAAATTTAAATGTTCATTTTACCTATAGCTGTAAGACTGTTAAATGTTATGGAGCATGAGAACTAGTGTATTTAAAACAGAGTAAACATACTAATGTGCAAATTCAGCATAGTATTTAGGCGAATGTACTTTTTCTAGTTTTGTAATATGTTCTGATTTTAAAAATTGCTGAGGGAAACATGAGTCTGTGTACAAGAAACAAACAGATGTAAGACATTGTACTGAAAGCTGTATTGTTTTCTTTTGGCTCAGGTTACAGTAGAACCAGATCTTTCCTGGGAAAAGATTACAGTTTTGGTCACAGATCACAAACAGAAACAACAGAAATATAAAATGACTTAAAGTGCAAAGAAGATATGCAGTGCATATGTGCCACGCACAAGTAAATGATACAATCAGCTGCTTTATAATTTCAGAAGCAATGAAAAAAGGATGAAAACCCTGTTAAAACCTAACCCAGGTAAAACATCAGACTTACACAGAAATGATAAATGAAACTAAACTGCCATCTGGTGGCACAGTGCTGGTATTTGATTCACATCTTATTGAAATCCACCTGCTTATTTCCAAGGCTTCAGTCTACAGTGTATCAATATTCACATTATCTCGCTTTCTTCTTGATCTAGATTTGAAGAAATAAAGCAGTGCAGATGAGGGTTCATGTTGTTCTTGTAGCTCAAACATCTTCAAGGTGAGTTGGATTAACTACACGGAGGGTAAGAAGGGGGACAGTTCTTTCTCATTCCACGCTAAAGTAGTCTTTCTTTGGTCCTCTAGAGAAAATAACACAAAAATAAAGACAGATGAATTAGAACATTTAGAAACACCAAATCATCCGCTCCAGTGAAAGGTATTTGTGACCCCCTCCAAACGCCATCACCATATTCTTGATGATTGATCAATAATTTCTTTCAATAATGTTTGATCTATGAAGTCTGCAGTTAAAATGTTCTGTTTTTGTTTTGGGTTAAACTGGAAATTACGAAAGGTATTTGATCATCTTAGAGCTATAGTTAAACACCATATAAAGCCTGACTTGTTTGTAATCCTGTTCCCTTGTATGTAAAGTCTGGCTGTACTTCCTTTATTTTCCCTCCTTTTTTTGATGAGTCATTAGTGTCATCTGTGTCTTGTCTTTCCCTCCTGTTGCTTGTTTCCTTGTGTGTTTATAATCTTATCGTCTTTCTCTCCTACTGTGTTGGTTCATTTTCCGTATCATTGTATCTGACTTCTCCCACTCTCTATAATTCTCCCAGTAATGTTTCCTTTTGGTTTTGGTTTAGTGTTTTTCTGATTTTTAATTTTTGTTGGACTTTTGTTATTTACCTTTCCCCCCTTTTTTAATCAAAGTCCCTTCCTTTATAAAAAATTGAATCTGTGACAGTGATGTTATTAAAAAACAAACATTAGCTCTTGCCACAGTCAAACTGTAGGTGTTATCTACTATTTGTGTGGTACGTTGAATTTCAAGTCATTTGAGTGAGGTGATAGCTGTGTAGCCTAGCAACTCCATTGCACATGTTGTTGCTCTGATTGGTCTTGGAGTCAAAAGTTACTTTGAATTGTATTTAGTGGGTTTTTTATAAATGTTAGTTTTCATTGCCTCCAATATGATCAACTTTGTGATTGTTTTAACATTTTAATCTTGTTCTGAAATCTACTTTTTACCTGTGATACATATCAGTACTTGAAATATTCAAGTATAAACTTATTCTTGTGCAAGGATTTATGTAAAGCAGTAAATCCACTTAGATTTCTGAGAGATGGAACATTATGTAAAACACCCAAATGCCAATAATGTTAAAATGAGTTTGTTACACATTACTGTTCATATTTAACAAGGAGCTGAAATAGGTTAATGTGTTAGTCGTTTAACAGGAGATTAAGAAGCAAAGTAGTCTTGACTAATCAATTGTTAAAGGTTAGATTTCTTTGATTGATGGGACAGTGAGTTTAAAAGTGTGATAAGGAGTAAGAATTTTAAGATGTCACAAACCAAATATGCTAATAAATGACATGTGGGTAATAGTGTGATAAACGTGAAGATTAGTTTGTTAATGGCGTAAATAAACTAAAGATCAGTATGTTAATTTTGCCTAGTGCTAACTTGTTTAAGTATGAACATACTGTACCTTCTCTGTGACAGAAACAGTGTGTTTTCCTGGCAGAAACAGTCGAGTGGATGTGTCAGTCATAGACATTTTCATGCAACAGAGACAATTGCGCAAACGTGTGCTCAGCTTACCGTTGAAAAATGTAGAGAGCGACCATTATCACAAAAGATGCAACATCAACAATGATCCATATCATTTTGTATGTATCTGGAGCCTGAAAGGCACAGACATGCCAACAAGGTCAAGATGAGTCACCATCCTTTTCTCTTACATAAATGCTTTGACTGGTGGATAGTGAAATTGGCTGCATGATTGCCTGAGCTGTATGTGTAGCAGCATGTTGTGCTCACCATGAGCCAATCGGGCTCAGCCATGTCTTTTAGGACGTGGCAGGAGTTGGTGGTGACAGAGCTGGCCCCTGCACACCACAGCAGGGAGAAGAGCCAGCGTTCATTCACCACCCATAGGTTCACTGAAATGTTCATGCTCCGGAGATCGCTGTCAGACAAAAACAAAACATTGAGAAGAGACTGTCACAGAAGGAGCCAGAAATAGTTCATCTGAAAACAGGTATTTGTTCTCTATCACTGCACCTATCCTCACACTCAGGATGGGGAGTTCAGCGATAATGTGATGTTTACACAAACATATAAAATCTGACCAAATGTTATTACTGAATTCTTCACTCATTGAGTCCCTCATACTTGTGAGCAAAGATTCAAAAAGCAGGTTTGTAGGACAACGCATGCTGATGCAAATCTCATTTTAGCTCCTCCACTGTTGTAGGAATGAGGCACTGGTTCTGTGAAAACAATATGTGGCTGATGAGTGATTGGCTCTGGGCATGTCTGTTCAAATATATTGAGGTTACCCATGAGTACGCTGTTTAAAAAGAGCTTCACCTTGCACTATTATCTTCTCATGTCACTCATTTGTGTGAAATGTGTGCAAACACAGATTAAACATCTTGATACCGTTGAGGCCCATCCAAAAAGTGAATCTAACAAATCTGTCATGAGTGAGAGTGTGTGTTTGTGTGTGTGCGTGTATGTGTGTGTGTGCTCTCCAATTGTTTATGTTCCTCAGTGCTCGTGATCAAAAGTAATAAGTCAACCGAATAAAACTTATGCTAAACTCACGAAACAATTTTGTCCTTTTATATACTTTCAGATGAAACAATAAATCTGATATAAGCACCGAAGCACCACTGGGTAACTGCTAACCAGTGTTGAACAGTAAGTAAGTAGCATTACTTAAGTACAGTACTTAAATATAATTTTGAAGTATCTGTACTTTACTGGAGGTTTTTTTTTTGTGCCTGTAACTTTTACTTTTACTTGACTACATTTCTAAAAATAAAAGTACACTTTTACTCCACTATATTTCACAGAAGCATCTTCACTACTACTATTTTGACTACGTTACTATGAGAGCGGGTAGGGGAAAAACTTTTTTCCCTTTTACCTTATGTTTATTTGCATTGCGCTTGATCATCGTCAATCAGTCACTCAAGCCGTCTGTCCATTTATATTTCTAAGTTGTCGCTTGCACCCACCTGAAATGTGTGCTTATTTGGGCATTAGTGACTTTAGCAAAAAATAAGAATATATTTATTTTGACTTTTACTTGAAGTACATTTACTTGAGTACTTTTGATACTTAAGTAGAGAGAATGGTATATTTTAAGATTTCGACTCAAGTAGAATTCTCATGGAAGAATTTAACTATGACTTGAGTCACTTAAGGTAACTATACTTCAACTAAAGTATAATTGTTTAGTACTTTATACAACACTGCTGCTTACACAATCTAAGTAAATACACTTTTCCTGCACGCTTTGATATCACAGGTATTATGATCAGAGAAGCATCTATACCATACTGCATTTCACTGTTTGAGAGCTCATGCGTTTGATCAAAGGTGTAACATCTGACATGTATCTATGTAAACACTGCTGATTAGAGAACATATCTTATGAAGAAGACATGTCTCTGTCATATAGCAAACAGCCCTTGTTCAGAGAGATCATTTAGCACTTTCTGCAGCACCTCAAACATGTTGCAACACTGAATTTGTTATTCATCTTTAAAAGATGGTCTGTGCAACCATAAAACAACACTGCTGGGTTGGGACTTAATTTGAATCTCATTCCCTTGAGGCCTCGCTTTTCAGTGCCAACACTGCGTCTAAGATCACAACACTCCCACTTATAATCATCACGCTACAGTGCGAGCCCCACGGCACTACCACAAAGATTGTAATGGGTGTATATGACATTTATTTCTTACCTGACTTGCTTCATACCCAACTTGTTGTATTTCATATTTAGATATTTTCCCGTTCCGTTAAGCATGTCTCTTATGTTGTCATAGACCTGGATGAAGCCTGGAGTGGTCTGAATTACATAGTCTCTGTTTTTGGAGGGGAGCCAGCGGATCTGTAAAAGGCAGGATTGAGCAGTTAAGGGAAACATTATGAAATACCTCCATCGATTTATGGGATTAAAACCAGGCTTACCAGACTTTGGTCAATGCCAGAACTTAAGATAGTGCTGACTGTGTCTTCTGTGCAATTTTCCACATCAGAACTATACAAATCAAATAACACTGAGATGTTGTACTGCTTGGCAAGGTTTAACAGTTGAAGTAGGGATGGTATAGTCTGTCTGCGGGCTTCTCTCTTCTCCTCTGCTGTCAGCATGGACACTGAACCGTAAGGGTCTGCCTGTAAAATCAGATTATACATTCATCCTGTGAATGCAGCATGTAACCCAGTTTCACAGAAATCTTTGTGAGTCTGTGGAAAAGCATGTGTCCAATGGCTGCACTCACCTTTATGAACCATTCACCTGCATTCAGACTCTGTAACTCCGCCCAGGTCAAGTTGCTGCTGTGGTTGAAATACTTGTCGGGAAACTTCTCTTTAACGTTTGTCGTTCTTCGCAGGAACTCAGCTTTATGGTCGTGCATCAAGAAGGGAACTCCGTCTCCACTGAGTAATAAATACAGCAAAATATAAACTGTGAGAGCCGTAATTAGGTCATTTATTGCTCTTATAGAGAAGCAACAACTGGTCAGAAAAAAAACAGAAGATTTTGATTATTAAATAAATACCCCAAAAAGTGATACGCAAAAGTGAGCTACAAAATATTAACAATTCAAAACCAAAACTCAGCGGCACTGTTGACAGTGAACTAACATTTAAGATATGAAAAGCAAAGCATAAATTTCATACCCACTGAATAATCAGAATTTTTTGTTGTTATTTCAAAGCAACATTTTAATGGATTACCATGACCCATAGACCTAGGAACAGATTTTCACTGTATTACCAAATACAGGTAAATAAAGAGGCTTTTGTATGTCAAGAACAAGACTTCTAATTTGAAAGAACAGGAAAACACACAATTTATTAGACTTATTTGAAATGATGCTGTTATATTTACTAAACTTTGTGTCTACATGGAGAGAGGAGAGTGCTGTTATTGTATACAGAATTGTAAGATTGGTTGGTATAAGAACAAGAAAAGCCTGTTTTAACGAACTTGGACATTGTTTTCAGGATCAGCTTTTTAGATATTTCAGAGTCCATTTTATCAATGTGAACTTGATTTATTTTATCCAGTGCTCAAGCCACTTCAACAGCAGGGGACTGGACTAGAGTTCATATCAAACTCTACAAAAGCTTTTTCCATGTAACACCATCTTCACTGTACCTGAGCTGTACGTCCGTCTCGAAGGCTGTGACGCCACACTCGATGCTACTGTTGAACGACATCATTGTGTTCTCTGGGGCAAGCTAAACACAGCAAGAACAAGAACAGACATGTGAGACACACTTGTGTGCAGAAAAACTCACCAAGTGCCCTTAACTAACATGACTTAACTTTTGCACACAGAGTTAATTTGGGCTTATTGGTGACTCAGGATCAGAGGTAACCATCAAGGACAGGGCAGAGTGAAATGTGGGGCCTTACATGACTTGACATTTGTTCCCACCTGAGCCACTTATAGAATGATTTATCGTATAACATAAGTAAACAGATTGTTCTGAATGACAGAAGATAGCAGGCATAGGTTCGATTCCACACTGGGGTGACACACAGTACAGACAGACACACAAAATTTCAGTTCAGGGATAGATAAAGTTCTTCTCATCTTATCTTATCTTATCTTGTCTTATCTTATGTTATCTTATCTTGTCTTATCTTGTCTTATCTTATCTTATCCTATCTTGTCTTATCTTATCTTAGTAAGGAAGTATGGGAGGCCATGCCAATGTTTGTGCCTCATTTGATGTCCTATCAACATATTTTGTTTTTTATTTCTTTCTTTTTCAAATTCTTCTTACAATTTATTAAATTACACACATTTGTAAAATAAAAGTCCCAACAAACTCGTGTTCAAATGTAAACCTTAAATAAAATGTTTGCACTGAAAGTAGCGATTATTGTCTTGTGCAGACTGGTGAACAAATTTAAGGACAGTATGCCCGTGAGGAATGTAGAATATTCCCAGGAGACAGCAGAAACAGCCAGCCAGATCCAGGCTAGAGGTAAATAAACTAAACAACCCCCAACTCCAGAGCTTGATCAACTGAATAATATATCATCTTTGTTTAAACTTTAAAAAGTGTTAATTCTATATCTTTCACTTTTGGTGATTTCTTTCCTTAGAGTATGGTTGAGAGGTAGTGATCTATGCACCTAATTTCCCACATAAAAAGGAAGAAATATCCACTCAGTTGTTTTTAATCATCATTGAACTATCTTGCTTTAATGATTTGAACAACAAAGACTCAATATTCCTGTTTAATCTCAACCTCAGCAGCTTTCTACTTAAAGCAGCACTACAGGAGGTTATGTAGTCCCAGTCAAGTGCGACAGTATGCTTACCATGGGTGCTCCTCTGTGCCCAATAAGCTTTGGTTTCTTCGGTAACTCTTGCACCTTTATCAGACAGGGAGACTGGATGTAGTGGGGACACAGGAAGATGGCTGCTGACACCGCGGCAAACACCACAGCGATAAGGAACTTAGACCCTGGTGAGAACAAAAGTCAAACAATATCATGATCCTTTTTCAACTCTGATGTGAGAAAACAAAGGACCTCTTCAGAAGTGCCTTCAGAAGATTGAGTAAACAAAGAGTACTATTTGTTCTGAGGGAGTATCAAAAATATCTGCGCCTTTCAAATCCCTGTACTCTTTTTCATGTTTGGATTTTTTTTTACATAAGACTTCAGAGGATGCAAATTACAATAGCGTTAGCCATTTGGTCTAATGTGCATTGACACAAATATGCTTGCTGTGTAATTTTTAAAGATGACAAAAAGGTGTGTGCTTTAACCTTTTGATGTAAATACAGTAAATGTAGACTGGAGGCCAATAAACGAATCCGTCTGTGAATCAGAGAAACTCTGGAACTGCACATAAGCTTTGGCATTATTTGCTCTTACTTTAACTTTATTTATTTAAATAGCACCTATAAAACAGATGTTTACAAAGTGCTTTAACAGATGAAACAAACAAAGGAAAATTGAAGGTTAAAAATTGACAGTTGAGGGCTTTACATCAGGAAGATGGAAAAGAAGAAGGTGGACATAGGACAGATAAAAGAGACAATAAATACATAAATAATAAAATAAGATAAGAGTAATAATGACAAGGGAGGGGGTATATTAAAACGAGAAAATGGTAAAAAACGATGGTTGATTCTTACAGTTTTCCTTGGCTGCGTGGAAACCCCTGAACACGAATGGGCTCAGCAGGGTTAAAGCTCCAACAGCACCAAACTGTAGGAAAGGAGCTGTGGCCTGCAAAGAAGTCAACACACACCACACACATATGAACTCTGCTGAAAAGAGCTGTATGAAAATCAAAGTCCTGAGGTTCGACTCTGACTGTACCTGGAGGGAAAGCGGAACAGTCGGCCATTCTTGTCGCCACTCCAGACTGATTCCCGTGACCCCGAAAGCGATGAATATCGCTCCCAAAAACAGTAAAATCTGTGCCCCGGAGAAGCAAATATGAAATTCAACAATAAAAGTGGATAGGTGCATATTTAGGACAAACTGTTGAATCTTTGCAATACCTTGTGTAGCCAGTGTAAGTTGAGTGGTTCTCCTAGGATGACTTGGAACAGCGCAAAGAGCTGCAGTGAGATGTGTTACATGACTTAATTCTTGATGTTAAACGGGTTTATTTACATTCATTTCAATGCTGATCAGATTCATTTAGTGTGTGTCTGTATTCTAAACAATGGCTGCATTATTATTCAATGGCGATACTGGAGAAAAATCCAATCTCATGCCAGATATTAACCAGTCTCATGAGAGTCCTGTGTTCCCTTATCCCCCTCCAACACAACAGTATCAATGATTCTCACCAGCAGCAGGATGCAGTAGCTAGTAATCGTCGCAGAGATGATGATCAGCACCATGAACCAGTTCACCCACCGCTTCAGTTTTGCAAAGCCCTGCCTGTTAACAAAAGAGGGCAGCGCGAGGTTAGCAGAATAAAGGTCGTCAATAAAGAGAAGAAAAGACAGGATTCTGGGCTTTTGTTCCACGTTCAATGTGGGCCGAGTGTGTGTGTGTGTGTGTGTGTGTGTGTGAAAGAGTGTGTTTGTCTGTGATCACTCACCAGTTCACATCATCTTGGTCGTTTAGAGTAACCAGACAAACGTACATCCAGCACAGGGAGAGCAGGGAGACCACAGTGAGGACTGTGAACCAGAAGCATGGACACTAATGTGAAAAAAAGAGCAGGTGAAATATTAATGGTTTTAGCTTTTCACGCTTTCCAGCAGAGCTAAAAAGTCATGATGGTTCAGCTTACAATCACAATCTTTGGAATGAGGTGTGCATGTGTGTAAATATGGTGCAAGGATGCCAAAGGAGAATCAGATCCAAAAGACGGTGGCTTCATGCCAACATTTCTTGGAGTTGGGTTTGTGCCCTGAATTGTGCCATGGCAAGTTAACACAGCCTGTCCTGCTCTTTGGCAATTAACACCGTTCACTCAATTTAGAAAAAAAAGGAGAAAAGAAAAGAAAAAAAGCACCTCTTTAATCCAGATTAGTCTATTGGAGGTCGATTAGTCCTGTGAGTTTACTCATTGTGACTGGCACACTTCTGCATGTTCTATTTTCATCACGACATTAAAAAGTTTCCCTTTCAAAAATCTGCTGAGAGCCTTTTTTAAACACTTTTTCTTAAACTTTATTCTAAAAACACGACAGAAACAAAGTTGACCTGTAATACAAAGTTGACCTGTCATGATGTATATTCCTGAATGCAGTCTTGTGGAATTTTGATCCCGGATTACAGGATTTGTAAAAGTAGGAGTACAACTGACCTAAAACTTAAACTGGGTCAGATCTGAACCCCCCTGCGGTCATGTATAACATTAATATTTTCAAATAATTCACACAGATATGGTTATCAATACTCACTTTTCTCTTATTTATACTCGATTGCTTCCAGTGGCAGCTATACAAGCCCCTGCTGCACACCCTGCACCAGCTTTCTTCTTGAGGCATCCCTTCCCCTCCTCATTCACAGTGTTGGTTCTGTTAAGACACCTGATACACCAAGCCCGAAGCAGGACGGAGGAAGCCTGAATAATGTTTTCTATAGGTACTGAGAAGACGCTCGACCTCGTTCACCTCTTCAAACCTGGGGAGCAAAGGAAGGAGAAACGGATGAGTGTGACAGAAAGCAAATGAGGCAGTGGGAAAAGAGTTTCTTTGGGCATTAAGGCAATCCCTGCTCAATAACCTTCTGAATGGAGCCTGTGTGCTAAAGGGGGTATAGTCGATGGCAGCACTTACAATAGCCAACACCATGGGGTATTGAAAGTAGCGCTCCGACCAGCCCAAGTGAAGTCACACTATTGAGCCTCTGCAGCATGAACAGCCACAGTGACAGGCACGTCCCCGCACAGAAAGAGAGGGGGAGGAAATAAACTGTGAGTGTGATTAGAGAGCAAACCACACTGAAGGCACCTCTGGATGTGACTAAGTCCTGGAGTTGACAGGGGTTTAGTGACTGTGAGAAATATGGTATGTTGAAATGCATCAGAGACAGAATGGGTCACAGAAAATATTTTTGTTAACATGTTTAGACACATCATTTGACAGCAGTGCCAGGTTTCTACTGGCAGAAAAGACATGGGAAATCACGAGGATTTTTGTCACCCACCGGTCTGAGCTATTGGGCAATAAAGGTTTGTGTTGTGTGAAAGCTTTGTTCACCGGCAGTTTCTTGTTGGACTTGATTTGATCTTGGGGGATTTTTTTTGTTCAAGCAGTCTTCTCCTCAGAATTGTTTATTTCCTTGTGTGTCTCAGCATTACATGAATCAAGTACGTTGGAGATCAAGGCAAACGTTTTGAATAGGATATCCAAAATGCTTGAATAGAATTAGACATTTAATTAAGATTCAAATTATTTATGAGACATATCTCCAAATCCCTTAAAGCCGAAGATAAAATGATAAAATCTTACCAGGTTTCTAAAGAATCAGGAGTTAAAGATCCAGAAAAGAGCATGTGTGGACAGGTTTGAATGCCACTATCAGAGACATTTATTGCCCTGCTTCACTGCACAACCTGCACAACAAACGGGATGTTTTAAACCTGAGCTGAATGTTGATTTGCAAGCTGTGTGAGAAAACCCCACTGTCAACCTGTGACAAGAAGGCAGGAGAACAGGAAATAGTTGGGGACAGTTGACTTCTTCTTTGAGGTTGGGTCCACGTCAACACACGACAGTGTCTTTTCAACAGCTCTTAGTTGACAGAGCTAATTGTCTATTTTATGATACTGTAATTGTCGTTATCATACAATTTAAGATATGAATCGGCCATGTGCATGCTTCAACTGTTGAGCTTTATGTGATGGTTATTTCTAATATAAAAAAAGGCTAAAAAGCTTTAAAAACAAAACAAGGGACAGTTCACAGATACAGTGTTTTATGTGCCAAATTGTATGAAATGTAATTGATGTGCTTTTGGGATAAAAAAGAGAAATTATAAATCCAGTATTTAGAAATAACTGATAATATTAATGCATGGTTAAAAAAAATGACCCTCTAGAAATAAGAACTGTGCTTCTCTGTAAAAAAAAACACATCTGTTTTGTCCTTGACCAACTTAGGCCCTATTTTTCGTTTGTAAGGAGGAAAGAAAATCCTATAAAAACCTGTTCAGTTTCACACAGTCCTATAGGATCATAGATGTATATTAAGACTTGATCAGTGTCTGTGTAATTGGGAATTTAAAAGAAAATAATAGAAAATGTATAAACTCAGACTCTCTTTGAACCACATTAAAAAAACAGCCACCTGTCTGGTTTTATCAGATAAGATGGTGTGTAAAAGAATTTCTCGGTACTCTAGACTATTCTAAGTGCACGCAGATTTGCATTTACACTGAAATCATGAAAGCATTTTCATTTTAGTTCTCCTTTTTTTAAATTCGCTTGGTGGATTTTTAAATCTATCTATCTATCTATCTATCTATCTATCTATCTATCTATCTATCTATCTATCTATCTATCTATCTATCTATCTATCTATCTATCTTTTTTCTTTCTTTCAAACAAATCAAACTGAGAGAAAACAACTCACCGTTAATAAAGCATGTGTCATGAAGTTTTCCGTTGCTCCCTGAACATCGCATCTAAACAAACTTTTCCATAACAAAACTCCGCTGGCTTCTTCTCTCCCGCTCTCGTACCCTTTCCTCTGCTCCCTCCGTCAGCTCGTGAGCTGAATCAGAATGGTCCCACATGAATGTGTGCAGCTCGATAAAGGGGTGTAGCCCGAACAGGGAGGAGGAGGAGAGTCTGAAGGGTTCAGTTCAGGTAGGGCATGTGAAAGCTGGAATATTAGAGGTGAAAGTTGGGCCCACTGTAGGTTTACCGAGTCTTTGCATTTACAGTTTCTCTTAGTTGTTTTGGTGCATTTCTCACATCGCTTTTAACATTTGCACAACAGTTAGTTCAACCTCTACAACATTCAGTCGTTTGTGCACATCATAGTAGCAGTTTCTCATTCCCTTCATCAAGTTGCAAATGCTTTTGGACATGCATCAGTTGCTTTCACAATTCTCTTCTGTTTTATATCATTATCATCATCATCATCTTACGCCATGTCAGTCAAAATGAAACATACTTATGAATGCTGAATTGTCATTTCCTATAAAACTAATAGTCCTCATTTCATTGCTTGAGTCATTACATATAAAAATGTTTAACAAGTTCTCAAAATCTGTCAAGCAAATTCCATACAATTCCTTAATTTTTTTTTCTTTTATTGAAAATGTCTCCTAACGTAAACAGTGTTTCCCCAAGCGAACCTCAGTGTTCACTTGAGAGAGATTTTACACTCTCAGTTACTTGTTGACCAATATGTAGAAATGTGTTTAAAGTAAACTACATGACACTGTAATACATCTAAAGAAGGACCACAAACTAGTGCCTCCACAATAGTTATACAGTCTGATCATCAACTCAACTAATACTGAGCATTTAAACCTTCATAAAGAGGTGGATACTTTTATGTGATAGTTGTGAATAGGATTAGCAGGGTGTACCAATTGGTCAGCAGCTGAGTGAATATAGATGTAAAAGCTGTTCCTACACTGTAACTTCAATTTTTCAAACATTTGTTGGGGAGGACAGGTGCGTCTATTGGACAGTAATTCAGCACTAAACAATCTGCTCTACTGTCATTGTGTTATACATAAAGTTCACAGTGGGACAAGAATTCACCACTTTTTATATTTAACATTTGGACTTACAGCTTTACTGCAGCACAGATTTACTGTATTGTGGTGTACAGAAGTGTTACAGTAAAAATTTGCCATATTGACAGTATGGGACTGTACTGGAGCATTTTACAAGTAGGAAGCACTGTTGTATGCTATAGTAAGATAGTTTAACGCAGTGCATCTCATGTTTACTGCACATTACTGTAGTTTTACTCTGCACCACAAAGGATTGCAAGACAACCCCACAAAGGTGGACAAAGTCATTTTTGCAATGGTTGTTGCACAAATGAGAGAGATACAAAGTGCTGTTATAGAGTTACTGTACCTCACTGAAAACAGTAATGTGTAACTTCACTGTAGTTTTCAAATGACTGTGCAAATAGTGAACAGTGCTGTCATGAGCATTTTCAGATAGTGTCAACAAGATCTTACTTTTTTTTTTTTGCAATTGGAAACAGTCAGCGAGTAAACTGTCATGATGAAAACACGACAAAGGCATTTGACTAACTGGTTCAGAAACAATGGTGTGAGGCCTTTTCATTTTGATGACACTGACACTTACATTGACATAAGTACTTGCCTTTTCAGAATGAACTATCCATTTTACTGTTTTTCTCAGCTGCTTTGGTGCATTTCTCACATCACTACTAACATTTGCTCAACAGAATTTCTCAAAACACATAGTACAAACTGCAAAACCTAGTTGATATCCTGCTAAAACGTGCATAGGCTTACCATAGACTTAAAAAGAAAAACCCACTGAGTGTTAACAGAATTGATATAAATTTTGAAGTAACTTATGAAATAAAAAGATGACTGAAACTGTTTTGGCAACTGCTTATGAGACAAACTTTTCTCCTTAAAGAAGTTTTAGTTATAATTAGTAAACATGAAAATTGTAATCATTCTCAATAAAACTCATTTAAGAGACTACCCAGCCCCAACCCAGAAGTTTATATCATTTCACTGCTTCAAAACAGCGTTCGTGTTGGACCACATGTTGAAGTTACTCCTCCCTGACAGTAGGTGGCGATATCGGTCTGTGTGACTGTGCCAGTAAACGTAGAAGAAGTGGGTGTTTGTAGCCGTCAAGCTGGCAGGTAAAGTCATTTTACTGTTTATTCATTGCCAATAAGTGTCTTAATCAACATGTTTTCAGTATATAAACCATCATAGCTCGCGTTGCGACAGTTATGATTGCCGATTGAAGGCTGTCTTTTCTAAATAACACAGAGTTATCTCGTTGTAAAGTTGGCTAGACGAGCTAGCATATTGTTTTGAAGCGTTATACTGTTTTTGTCATTTCATATGCTGTTATTAAGTCTGGCAGCAGCTCTGCACCTACACATTTATGTCTCTATATAAACATTATCACAGCGTAGATACAGTGTTGACGAATATGACAGCTGTACGTATATAATTTTACCCCAAACACTAACAAACAGCTGTTTCCTAACGGTGTCATTGTACATTCTTGTTTGTGATATGTTCAGAAACAATGGATCAGAAGATTCCTTATGATGACTACCAGCTCCCAGTCGTTTTTCTACCCTCATATGAGAACCCACCAGCATGGATACCCCCACAAGAGGTAGGGTAGGGATATGGTAGGGATATGGCTCAACTTACCCTGCTCCTTTGGTCAACTTACCCCATACACGGAAGAAGTCGACCATAGGAGACATTGGCATGCTGTATTATCAAGACAGTTATGTTAACACTCATTCTGTTGGTTTGCAGGGATGGACAACATCTTGAAATATATGCAGATACGCTAGTTATAGACAAAACTATGATTGACTTGATGTAGTGATCCAAAATATGAATGGCTCATCTTACCCCTCTCTCCCCTACAGGAAAATTTTTTAATACATTTAGGGCAGCACTGTCATCACATGTCTCAGTGCAACACTTAAGCCAAATCAGGCAGTTATGGAGTTGAAACTATTATTGTCACTGTTTGCCAGTGGCCTCCTTTATCTTTCTCTTGTTGTCCTGTGGCTCTTGGTCAGTGACTTTGGCCTTTTCCAAGGTTTTAGTGGTGTTTTTGATATCAAACAGCTGTCGTTGCTTGTTTTCAGTGTGTTCTCGCTGCTGCACAAAAGATTTTATCAATAATGGAAACACACAGCATTAGCTTTCAGACCCGGAACAGTCACAACATGAACCAAAAATGGGTCACAGGAGCCAAAGGAACAAGGACCAAAAAAAGATCGAAGGGTTGTGTTGCTGCTTAAGAGCTTTAAGAGGAAAAAAATTTAAACTTTGTTCAGTTATTTTCACCTATCTCCAAAGAAATTTCTCTCTGAATACAAGTTTCTCTTGCTTAGTCAAAAAGTGTAGGATAAATCAAGCTCACAGAGTCATTATAAATGTAATGCTGACACTCTAATTTTATGTTGTTGTCAGCTCTCTTTCTATCTGTTGATCTATTTTTGTGCGTTTTAGCGAGTGCATCATCCAGACTACAACAATGAGCTTACCCAGTTTCTGCCCCGCACCATTGTACTGAAGAAACCTCCGGGAGCACAACTGGGCTTCAACATCCGTGGGGGCAAGGCATCACAGCTGGGGATCTTCATATCAAAGGTGTGCCTTTGTTCGTGTGCAGCACTGGCGTTTGATATGAATTTATCATAAATACTTGTCACATGTACTCTAAAAAAAAGATCATGATCTTTGATTTCTGTGCCTGTATGATATGATTGAAATGTTTGCAGGTGGTCCCGGACTCAGACGCCCACAGAGCTGGTTTACAAGAAGGGGACCAGGTTCTTTCTGTGAATGAGGTTGATTTCCAAGACATAGAGCACTCAAGAGTAAGTATGAGCTCTACCGTCAAGCTAATTTATCATAACCTGGTCCTACAGTGCCTTTCTGACTAGATGTGACTGGAGACAATCATGGAGGGATGGAGTGTATATGTATGTGGAAAAATCTCACCGTTAAAGAATACAGTTTTATTAGAGATCACAGTTAAAAGGACACAAGAGGATTGTATCTCTGTTGAAATCAACTCAATGTTACAAGAATACAAAGCTCAAACCAGAATCTCACACAGTTATGTGACATTATGATTGTTTTTTATGATAGAGACCTAGTTACAGACAACATACTCATCCTCTCTTGCCAAAGATTCATCATTTGGTATCTCAACACTCTTAAACACATTCTTTATGACTTTTAGATTTATGGACACATTGCTCATACTGTTGTGAAGAGAAATATTTGTTGTAAGTGAGCAAAATGAGAGCCAGATGGCCACCGGGGGTAGGGGGTGGGGACACCATTGATAAGTTAGGTGGTTCTATTTAAGGACTGTCTTCTTCTTCTTCTGCGGGGGAATTTGGCTGGTTTGGTGATATACCTGTTTTACCTCCTGGTGTAATGCCTGCTCATCTCACTTAGATAAAGTCTGTTCTGATCTGCAAAGTTTGTGTGGTTCCCCTTCTGTGCAGACGTCACCACATATTTTTGGCAATGAGGTTGCAAATGGCTTGCTGACAATGGTATCTCTGCCCTGAACCTCGTATATTCTCCATAGGTATTATTAAGAGGAAGATGAGCAACATACAGATGAGCTGAAGGCCACTATCAAGGCCACAATAACACTTTAGCAGTGCCACAGGCTGATGGCCTCAAAGCCACACTGAACTGATGCAATGAAGCCCAAACGAAGCATGAAGTGTACACAATAGCTGAGTTTACTTCTTAGAAATTGGACATTTCTGTATTCAAAATCTTTTTTTGTGGATCTTTGCAAATATTTTAACGATTTAATTTGATGATTTCATATTTTTTGAAGCCATAATATCTAGATCAATACCAAAAAAATTGAAAATATTTCCCTTTACATGTCAGAGATGTCAAAAGACATGAAAGTTTACCTTTTTGGATCAAACAAAACATAAAGGAATAAATACAATTCTCATGAGATTTTAATTTCGTGAGTTGCATGTGCCTGTAAGTGAGTCCAGCGTTGTACTTTTCTACATAAGCTTTTTATTGTTGCTCCTCTTTCATATTTCAGTGCAATAACATGATTTCTTTTCTTCTTTAGGCTGTAGAAATTTTGAAAACTGCACGAGAAATATTGATGAGGGTTCGCTTTTTCCCCTACAGTAAGTGATGAGCATGTTTCTAGTCATAACTTTTGTTTTTGTCCATTAAGGACAGTGGCCACAAATACCCCTTTTAAATATATCACCCAGGAAACCATAAAGAAAAGCTCAGTTTAGGTTTTGTTGGTGTTCAAGAAAGAATTGTACAATAAAGATGACTTTCCTGCTGTTGTTTCCCTCAGATTACCAGCGGCAGAAGGAGAGGACTGTACACTAGGTGGCAGCAAAGAGAGCAGAGGAAGAGAGACGTGGCCAGATTTGTCACTGCATGTCATTAGCCTCCTCCCACTCTCTGTCCTCCATTCTGCCTCAGCTTCAAGATGACTCGTGTATGACTAACAGACCCATTCAAAGTCCTTCATGTAAGGCAGACATCCACTCTTTTACTCTTAAATTCCTCTCCCACCAAGGAATCTGATCACTCCCTGTTTACTGTGAGATGGTGTGATCATGATTTATGGACAGGAGGTCATTTTATAGTTTCTTTAAATTCAGTGGATTGATAAGTGGAAGCTGAGACAGTATTTTAAATGAGAAATTATCAAACTTGTGCACACTTTCTGGTCACGTTGCTCGATAATCAATTCACTCTACTTGTTCACTTTTTCTCAACCTCTTTTTCATGATTTCTGATACAGTCCTGACATCATGTCACCACATACAGGATTGTTTCTGTCTATTCTGTAAATTTTTTTACCTAATTACACTGACAGTAATGAGATGAATATTTTACACTCTGTTACTTGTTTACCAATATGTAGAAATGTGTTTGAGGTTAAATACATGACACTGTAATACATCTAAAGGACCACAAACTAGTGCCTCCACAATAGATATACAGTCTAATCATCAACTCAACTAATACTGAGCATTAAAACCTTCATAGAGAGATGGATACTTTTATGGGATAGTTGTGAATAGTATTGGAAGGGTGTACAAATTGGTCAGCAACTGGGTGGATATAAATGTAAAAGCTGTTCTTTATGAATTGAATTTGACTTCACACTGACGCTAACTGTATGGTAGAGAAGGAAACTGAAATAATGGTGCAAGACTTCTGGTAGACGTTTGAATCTAACTGACCTAGATGTATCACTGTGAGTATACTATGTATTCAGTTTTAAATATTTAACAAGAAAAGAAATATAATCCTATAACAGATTTCTGAATATCACCTTTTTATGGCCAGGTATTAATTTGGTTTGGATTTCGTACTTGAGTTTATGAAAAATTTCACCTGCGCTGACTGATATTTGTTATTTAATATGTAAACTGTATATTTGAGTTGTCAATCTGTTAAAGCATATATTCTAACATGCTATTTGAGTGCATGGTGTTTGCACTTTGTGTCTGGTAGCTGATTATAGGGATAGAGCTGCAAAGGAGTGTTTGTGTGTGCACTGGAGACCCTGGTACTGGCTGGATTGTCTCCCAACTGAGGACTTTGTCGGGAGCTTTTAATTCGACTTTCTATTTCAGAGTACGTTTATCCTTAACCTCATCATGTCTGCAAACATTTTAATAGTTCTAGAAAACAGTTCAGTAGATGTGGTTGTTAATGCACTATGCTAGTATACAACATGTTTTTGTGTCATATTCTGTACATAAAGGAAATATGTTTTGGCTTTCTATCCAATTAAATACTGACCTTTCAAGTGTTTGGAGCATTTTTTTATACATGATATTTAAAGTTGAATAAGAAATAAAATGTTTTGAACCTTCACAACCTCGATCTTTTATACTCGAAGAGCCTGGAACAAAACTGTCATTGGCCGGTTTGCTCTGGTTCAAGTGGCCAAACTGGTTCCTCTTTTTTAGTTCAGTTTCTATTGAAGCTGGTTGACTGCATTCCTCCGAAGATGACAATGACAAATGGCACAACGTGTAAACCAGTTTGGTTTTATTTTCTGAAAAAGTCAAGGCCATGTAACATTCTTGATGTCAAATATTGTCAAAAAGAACCTTCACATTGGGCAGTCAGAAGAGAAACCACACAAAAGTCTACAGAGCTTATCTCCAGTGTCTTTTCTTCATTCAAACCTACGGTTACTTCAAAAAGACAAATGTCATTCTTCATTGTCATTCCAGTCCTTCAGGTTGAGTGATATTCAAAGCACAATATGCAAACTGCTTGTAAATTTCCTTTTAACATAACCTAACTACAGTAGATCCTCAGACCAACCACTGGTCTCCTTGAGATCCCTCCTTGAGATCTAGTGTGAGTCTGAGATCCGAATAACTTAAAATAAGGATAGGGGTATATTTAAATAAATACGATGAACCTTCACACTGTCCTGCTAAAACCAATAAAATGTTCACATTCAGAAACAAAGTAATAAATGAAGTTATAGTGAAGGTTTATGTTTACCCACACAAAGCCAATTCCTATCAGTGTAACAGGCCAAATGTACGTGATTTTACAAACAACCATTTTATGAGCGTTTTAAAGCTTGTTTTTCATTGGACAGTCAACCTCAAACATATGAATAACCTCTACAGAGTTTCCAATATGTTTTCAATCTGTAATAAATCTTTACAAAAATAAAATATTACCGGTACTTCTGTTTTCACAACACACAGAGCCAATGTACTCTAACAAATCATATCCAAAAAGCAACAAGTGGACATCTACGCTTATATTCATTTCAAACTTGTTCGTGTGTATTTTTAAATAGCTGCAACTAAAAAAAACGTCCTGAAAGAAGGACCTACAGTAAAAGTAGTGCTGTATCTTTGACACTTTTAACCCCAACACCTCTTATGCACTGTAAAAACCAACATTAAAAAAGCATGGAGGCGAACACTGAAGAGATTCTGAGCTTAGTACAACTTGGTCTGAGGTGAATGGCAACTTGATCTGTGCTCATTTCTGTCTGCTGGGACAGCTGTAAACACTTCATGCTCTTGCTCATCCATTAAGGCACACTGGTTTGGAAAAATGCTGAATTATTCTCATTATTTCAGAGCGACATCACTGAGAGTTGGAGGTTTTAAAGTCTTGTTAGTTTAAGAGTCCTTCCCCGGGTCCCTCCCTCGCCCTACCTCCTGGCTCTGGGATGAGATTTAGCTACTGTCCTCACTGTCATTAGCATCCAACTTGGAGCTCTCATCCACGTTCTCCAGCGACTCTGCCCTCTGTATGGACAGTAGGCCGGGGTCCATCATGGGCAGGGTGTTCTGTTCTGGGTACAGCCAGGGCTTGTGGTCTGGGGAGTTTTGTCGTTTCCACTCTGGGTAGTCCTGACCTGCCTTGTGTACACACCTCATCACCTGGAAGGAGCGGACAGAAAGGGGACGCAATTAAGAGATTGATGTTAAAGAGTAAACCACACCTTCATTCTCCATCAGTAGAATTAAAGATGGTCACAGAATACAGAGTAAAAGACAAAGACACTGTTCTCTACATACAGTCAATATTTGTAAACCTGAGATGTTCACATTTAAAAGTGTATTAATTTGTATTACAATTTGAGGGATCAGTCAGGAACAACCATATCTGGTTATAATTCTCATATCATAGAAATCTGGTCTTACGGCCATGGCAAAGGTCTGCCCACTCAGTGTCCTTGTTTTATTCTTGAACTTCGGTCTGTAGATTTCTGCCGTAGAGCCGAAACAATTCGTCCTCTACTTCTGTGCTAAACAATTGCTATGCCAGCGTCCCTCACAAGTTGTCAGTAGAGAGAGACTGACACACGATAAAAAGTTCAACTTAAAAGCCAACAAACTCTTAAAATGCAGCCTTAAAAAGTTGCTTAAAACCAGTTAAACTGGATTTACACCACCACTTTTTTTATGGCATTTAAATTGTGTATATTGCAGAAAGCTTTATTTTTTCTTCTCCCTTTTCTCTTTTCAATTTTTTTTTTTTTTTTTTTTTTTTCTTAATTATTACATTTATTAAGTTCTTAATATTAGGACCCTTATTGTTATAACTGCATTTTGCACTTTCTGTCTTGTCTGTGATGCTGCTGTGACAAAAAAATTTCCCCCATGGGGGATCAATAAAGGAATATTCTATTCTATTCTATTCTAAAAGTGAGTTAAAAGTCACATAGGACAGGACGATCTGGCGGGTTAGCATGAGCACAGCGCACTTCCAAAAGATTAAAAATGAAAATGTTAATGATTTTAAGTTGTATACTTGATCTATAATTAAACAACTATAGATAGAAGTAGTCAAAATAGAAGTTTTATAGATATATAGAAACTTTCAACAATTATTTGTTGAAAAGCCCCAAAGTCTGCTACAGCCTAAACATAAAGGATGCTTTCTCCCCTTTTTAAATATCTGTAATTATTGTTAAGGTTGTTTGGTTTCTATGTCCTCTAATGCTTTTGCCTTGCCCAGTAAGCGCATGTGCAGGCAGTAAGCAACATATAACTCGAGGGACAGTGGAGTCCACCTCTGTTGGTAATCTGTTCTATTTGCTGGGTTTCTTAAAGCTTCCTTGAAGAGTTGTCTGACATTTATAAAATACTGTGAAATTCATATTAATGCCTTTTTGTGATATAAAAAAAGCAAACAAGGCCACCAGCGACAAGATGTGATTTTGAAATTGTACTTTTTCAATGCCTGAAATTAGCGCAAGGTTAAAAAGTGATACAAAATGAGCCCCTACCAAAGCTTGTAGCATGTTCACTCTCATTTTGAACACTTAAGTTATCTTTTAAAGCCCTAGTCTTTGAGCCCTAGAGGTCAGTTCCTAGAAATAATTAAGGTCAAGGTTTTTACCGAGTCAAAAGACACAAGTCCCCACAGCACTTTCTCTCACACAGTCACACTTTGACTTGAAAAGTTTCAATATGCGCAGGATTGAAAACCTGGTGAACGGGTTCTGCCAGGAGAGTGCAAAAGCTAGAGCTCAGATACTCCTTTGTCAGCAATCTTACCAGGACAGGCCCTTAAATGGGGTTTCTATGGCTACCATTGTCTTTAAAAGACACATGAAACCTTTCCTCCCTTATATGCACACACCTCAAACATGCTTCTTATAGACACTCTCTTAAACACTGGTTCACAGTTCATGCATTAACTGGAAGTAAACAAAACTGTTTTTGAAAAGATAACAGCTGTTATGTTACATACCTTTGGAGCAAGGGCTTGAGACACTCTGTTTACCACCCACTTAGGAAGGGCACCTAGAGCAAAATAAGATGAGTTTTTAATCTTGATTAAGCAGGAATTTCAGATGAGAAATAAGGATTTATTTATTGTATTTGGACTTACCTTTAGGGTCAGCTTGTGACAGGTATATAAAGATACAGCTGTTTGGTCCTGTGGGCCTGATCAAATAGCCAGTGAGGATAGAAATGGCCCTTACAAAGTTAGAGCGAGGAGGGTGGTTCTGTAATTGGATCAACAATTTGGCAGAGTAATGAGTGTCATTTATAAGTATAATAGATATTGGGATGGTAGATTGTACAGCTAGTGTTTGACATGTGCCTGGGGGTATGTGGATGAGGAAGTAACGTACCGGGTGTTTGACTGAGAAGTTAATGATGATGTACTCTTCTTCTGTTACTCGCCATGAACGCAGACTCACAACATCTCTGTTTGTTATGGGAGCTGGACAATGCCCTGCAGAAAGAAAAAAGACAAAACTCCAGTTTGTTTGTGTATTTTGACCTCCTTCATTTGATATCCAACAGCGTACAGCCTCCTACTGAACAAGTGTGTTGTGACAGTAACTACACTTGATGGGGCAACACCCCCTTTTTGTTTTTCCATCCCTTAGGGCTTTGATGGCTTTGAGCATCAACTGAAGGTATAACAGAAATGCAAGTAAGAAGGGATAGCTCTACAAACAACATAGCTGACTTAACTACAGAAACTAGTCTGAGCATGTATATGGACAGAGGAGCCTGCTAATGGGAAAATAACGGCAGAGTTGTTTACATTTCTGAGTTACTCCAATATAAAAGCTTGATGTTAAGTCCTGTTCGCATTTACTTCATAGGACATAATGTGCGAGGTGAGATATTGTCGTTTGTTTACCACACAAAGGACGTTGGCACAGAGTTCTTTGAAAAAGGATAAAAGTAACTTATGTCTTCAATTAACACTATCTTAAAAATACTTTTCTCTAACCACCTGTTTAAAAGTACAAATACAAATACAAATTGAAACCTTTACATGTTACCTCCTGTTTGCATTTACTTCATAGGACACAGTGTGCGAGGTGAGATATTGTCATTTGTTTACCACACAAAGGACATTGGCACAGACTTCTTTGAAAAAGGATAAAAGTAACGTGTGACTTTAATTAACACCATCTTAAAAATACTTTTCTCTGACAACCTGTTTAAAAGTACAAATACAAATTGAAACCTTTACATGTTACCTCCTGTTAACATTTACTTCATAGAACATAGTGCTCGAGGTGAGATATTGTCATTTGTTTACCGCACAAAGGACATTGGCACAGACTTCTTTTAAAGAAAAGATAAAAGTAACATGACTTTACTTAACACTATCTTGAAAAATACTTTTCTTATACAACCTGTTTCAAAGAAAACCCCAAATACAAATTTAAAACTTTACATATGCATGTCTTGTCAGAGTGTATTTCTTGGTGAAACTGGGTCAGGCCTACACAGAACAGGTTTCTGGTAGGTCACCTCATGAGACAAACACACAGATAGGAAAAATAGATATGATAACATTCAACAGATTATAAATAGAGCCCTTACATGAGAAGTAGCCCACATCAGCATTAGAAGACAACCGGGCTATGTCAAAACTCTCCATCATGGTTGGGTCCCACTTTTTGCGGTATTTTCCATCATGAAGGACGTCGTACATGGTGGCGGCTGATACATCTTTGATTGTCATTTTACACTTAAAAAAACACATTAAAAACAGTTAGTACAGAGCAGAGTCGAATATAACACCTAATCTAAATGAATAACTTTCGATGATTGTACCATTAGTTTGACTTACCTTGATTTTGTGGACTTTCTGTGGGCTTTTCCCTTTGCATGCAGGAACTTCAATCCACACTTGCATCCCATGCTTATCATATTTGTTCAACCAATTCCCACCCGATAAACACTGTTTTTTAAAGTCAGCAAAAGCCGCTTCATCGGGTAAAATACTCGACTGATGAGACATGTTTGTGTATCTTAAAGAGTGGTTTCCTTCTTTTTAAAAAAAATGGTGAAAAAAGTATTTTTCCACTAAACAAATCTGGCAGGAAAAGCGACCTGCCTGAACAGTGCTTGATCCGGTCACTTGAAGAGCTTGACTGTTTCTGTTGACTAGAGCAAACTGGAATATATATATATGAGGAGTTCACCAATCAGGTCGGACAGGATTTTTGTCATTCCTCCAAACGCCTCTCTCACTGACGTCAGGGCACTTCCGGAAATCAGGTGTGCTACGCAGGTGCGTCAAATAAGCCCCGCCTCTACAGAAAAGACCAGAAAGTAAGTGAGTGTTAGAGAGCGCTGTTGTGGCGTTTTCCATGTGAAAACGGTTACGATGCAGATATTGCGACACACAATAATGAGTAGGCTGAAGAATGTGGACTGCTTCGAGGAGTAGGTGGGTGGGAACAGCGAAATGGTGATGAATTTGGTGTCATCACGACTGCTAATGTCGGAATTATATGACTTATTTTACACTAGATGTATCATATAGACTGTATAGTATAGTTAGAATACATGACTTATACAACAACTTCTCCCAGAAAGGTTTATAGCCTACATCATTACATTATGCTGGCTTTTTATTCTTTTTTTTTTTTATTGTTTTTATTTATTCATTTTTATTTTAAAACTCGTCTTATAACCCATTTTTATTCATTGGCTCTCAGCCCTGCGTGAGACTCGGCTCCTGTTTTAGTGTCTTGTGGTTTGTTTTTAGTTATTTGTTCCTTTTTTTTTTTCAAATTAGTTTTTAAAAATATTGAAACTATATTGTACTTTTTGTACTATAAAGCACTTTGGTTCACCGAAAGGGTTGTTGTAAAGGGCTGTATGAAAAAAAAAAAACATTTGCATCATTTAATAAATATTGTAATGAAACAGAAAAAACAAACAAAAAAAGTATTCTATTTCCTCCATGTCAGGATCTTATCTCTAAACTTGGTCCGAATCATAGACGTTTAGTAATAAAGCTCAATTAACAATTTTTTTTGAGTCAAATAGTTACAGGTGATGTTTCAAAATCTTTGCAGAAAAATGTATAAGTGTGTGTCAAATGCAAACTGAAGTTTACACTCAGCCACACCTTGTTTGAACATTTTATGCCTGTGATGCATTGCTCAGTGAGTTTCACCCTCTTTTGGTGACGTGACACACAAGCACACCTTCACTTGACAAGTTTCTGTGCTTTTGTTTTCTGCCTTTTACTGTTTTTAGAAAGCATTAATCTGCCAGAGCCTACTTAGGACATATAAGCCTGTATGGCTAAATTTAGCACTTTTAGACACTGGACCTGACACTTACAGTGTCAATTAAAAGTGCTATGTTCCTTCTCCAGAAATATCTTTTGACCCAGTTTCTTTTGAACCAATATTGACTGTGGTGTTATACTGAGTTAATACTAGCAATGGGACGTTTAAATAATTGAAAAAAAACATGAAAAATTTCAACCTCATTACCAAAAATGTTGTGTAAAATATTGCTAAAAACATATTTTGATGATTTGCAAATCACGTTCACCCTATGTAGTGCAAAGAAAACATGTCAAATGTTGAAATTGTTCTATTTTTTTTATACTAGAAATGCAGTTTATGTCCATTTATAACTTGATGCAAACACCTTTCAAAAGGTTTGGACACTGACAAAAAGACACTAAAAAAGTTTAGCAATACTCAAAAAAGTAAAACCAAATACAGAAAAACAATGTTAACTTAATAATATAATAATGTTAACTTAATAATGTTAACGTGCACTTAAATATGGGGTTTAAATTATTTACAAACCACTAAATTCAGTTTTTAATAACATTTTACACCATATCCCACCGCTTTTTGAATGGGGGCTGTAAAATCTGAGTTGGGAGTTATTTGTCTTCAACAAATAGTTTTCAGAGAGATGGATGACAGCAGTTAAACTGTGGTGAAATATCTTTATTTTATTCCATGTGATAGGTCTACACTTGTGTTTCTCTAACTCTCCTTTTTATACATCAGATAGTAATAGTACATTATTCACACAAACGTTGCTAAACACGAGTAGACAGCATATTTCAAATGGACAGACACAATTCAGAAGAGCACAAAGCTGAGTATTTAGTCAGTGACAAGTAATAGAAGAGCTGCTCACGTTGAAATGGTTGTTCGATGTAATTAAATACTTAGATTTCAAAACGTGGACCTTTCAAACAAGCTACAGCAAATGATCAGTGTCTTTTGTTGTGCTATGGCTAGTTAGTTGGTTTGTGTTACACTGTGTGAGTGTGTGTCTTCAGACGGTGCAGCCTTTACCTGCAAATGTAAACCAAGTTACTAACTACACACACTGCAAAAAGTTACATTTTAAGCAGTGTAATAGACAGGAAAAAAACCATCACCAGGCCTAAAAGTCACCTTTCAGTGGAGCCCCAGCAGACACGCAAACAATAAATAAAATAATCTTTCCACATGCGTGTCAGCTTCTGAACTTTTGGTAAAGCATACAATGTTATTTGTATGTCCAAGTTACAAAATAAATAAACACATAAACCCAATAGTCCTACACAGGCAAGAGCAATACAGCAAAGGATACTGCAGCTAACTTCTCTGCGCTTTTTACAGCATGGTGTTAGTAAGCGTTAAGCTGTATCTGAGGACAAACTCTTTATCAGCTCTACAAAACAAAGTGAAGCCATGAACCAGTCAGCAGGCTTCTTTCATATTTTACAATATTGTGGCTTGATTCAGTGCACAACGTTGGTGAACAAACAAGCAAGGCATCTGTGTTCTTATCCATAGAAATCCTGCATGGTGAGCATGCTGCATGTTGTTGCAATAGTGTCATCAACACAACACAAATCATCAATGAGATGGTGGGTACAGGTCATAGCGACCAAAGTGACAACTCTCCAACAGCTTGGAAAAAACAAAGCGCTGGCTTTTTGAGAAATTTCCTACACCGGGGGTATCTAAGAACTGAAAGCTCCTCCTCAGACATGTTAGTATGCGTGCAGCTAATTTTACTAAATTGGAGAGACGATTGTGAGTTTTAATGCCGACAGCAAGGTTTAGATTAGCTTTCTATTAATCTTGGGATGGCTTCCCTTTGATGGTTGTGGATGTGTATTCCTCATTACTTGGTTACACATCCCTTTTGCAGATTTGAATACGTTCTCAAATTATTCAAATTTGGACTTACCACCAACACACTTGTATTTTGGCAGTCGGAGCCTTCAGCAGGTTAGATTTAAACATTAAAGGTATCAATGGCCAATTTAGCCTGATGTAGTAAGACAATGGTTAGCTATGTTAGATCCTGTCTCTACATCCTCCAGATAAGAAAAAAGTCGAGAAATAATCCAAGATAGAACAGCTCTAGACAAACTCTCCATTAAAAAATAAAAAGTTAAATATAAACGGCAGAAAACTCAACCTTGCAGAGTCATTTAAATATTTCCAAGCAGTATTACTTTACAACAAGGACAAGAGTAACAGCACTAAGAATCCAAACTGTGCAATAACTCATGAGCGATTAGCTATGTCAGTCTGCAATCCTATTTAATGCCATGCAACTGGATGAAAATCTGAACATATCTTTTAAATTATTCCTCATTTTAAATGTTTACTTTTGAACCTTTTTTTTTCTCCAGATAATCTGTTTCAATACAGTAACGCACATCCACACGGTTACTCTGAGAAGTCACTGAGTTGAGAAGGAAAAAAAAAACAACAACAAAAAAAAAAAAGACAGGTCCTCCATCCCAGTGGCAGTGTGCCATGGGTGGAGAGAGTGGCCACTGAGAGACAAGCTGTTGGTGTGGAGGAGACAGGCTGGGTGAGGGTGAGGTGTACTAGCATGAGCAGCTGCTCTCGGTGACAGTCATCTCTGGCTGTTTCTCCAGTTTGATGTCGATCACTGGGAGGACTTGGTTAAGAAAAAACATGAATGATTGTGCAAAAATTACTTCTGTATTTTCTGAAGTGTAACTGACAGCCGTTTTTGCTTCAACGTTTTCCCTTTCCTGCCAAGTGAAGCACAACGTAAAAATGTCTGTTTCGAGCTTGCCTGTTACTGTTTCATTAACAGCGATGGGAAGGCTGCAGTTTTTGATGAAAGCAGCTATTGAAAGGATACTGTCTTCTTTGCTTTTCTCTGGTGTGCTGTCCATTCCGGGCAATGCAGCAGCAACACGGCGGAACAGCTGCAAAACAAAGTCAGAGGAGCTTAAGAGTTGAACACAGTCAAGAGGATCTTTACAGGATGAATTACACTGTAAAATATAGTCAGACAGGGGTGGGTCATGTAAGTCTAATCATATTTCATTTCTGACTAATTAAGATCCCAAAAGCTTTTTGAGAAGTCAATCAAAATTTTTATTCAAATCAATCAGACAGAAATTTCTTGATTTTCTTTTTAAACAATATGGTGCATGAAAGTTAAAGTTTTGAACAGGATCATCATGACACACTAGGTCCGTGACAGCTCTACAGTTATATTACCGGCCTCACTGCTGGCAGCTATCCAGCAAAATAAGAGATAATGAAGGATAGTTGATGCAGTATGACACCATGTAATAAAAATGTGATTGATTCATTTGTACTGAACAGAGTCAAATTATTAACCCCACTTACTGTCCCATTGGCTGTACACAGCATAGACAGACAGTGATCTCAATCATAACAACTCACACCTGAATATCACATATATCATCGTATGACAGGCAAACACAACAAGCATTGAAAGCAGTCATGCTAAACGTGATTTCAACTGCTGGTTTAGATAGCAGCTTCAAATAGAAAGGTTGCCGTGCCAACTCCTCCATTTAGCGAATCCATTTTAGTTTCACAGAAACATTTTTGAAAAGCTGAAATTTGTCGTGAATCAGACAAAAACTACTTGAGGAAAAAATAAACACAGTAGCAGTAATCTTGTGCACATCGAGACGACTCATAAGGCAAAGTCTGTGGGAGGAAAAACACGACTGATAACAGAATGTGCTGAGAAGGCTAAGACATGTTGTGATCAGCCAAAAGAGAGGGGGAAAAAAGGAAGCGGAGTGAAAACGAGGGCAGAATTAGCTCAACTACCTTTAGAGATCAGAGTCTCTACCTGTTTGACATTGTAGCCAGTCTTTGCGCTGGTTTCAATGAACATGACATTCAGTTCCTTAGCTCTCTGCTCGCCCTCCTCCGTGGTGATCTGTCTGCTCAGGTAGAAGCAGAAGGGGGCAGAGAGGGGGATGGACGAACGGACAGATATGGAAAGAAACATCGCAAAGACGAAAGGTCAAAAGAAGAGGAGAAAGAAACAAAGAGAGCTCAACACAGCATCATGTTTGGGGATGAAAGGAGAGAGGTTAGTTTAGTTTTAACACAGACAGACAGACAGACAGACAGACAGACAGACAGACAGACAGACAGACAGACAGACAGACAGACAGGAAGACAAAGGGAGAGAAGCTGCTGTGCTGAGAAAAGATAAAGCAGCAGGAAAAAAAACTCCACTGATTCAATCAACAGCCACACTGATCTGTATAATGAATTCATGGAGAAGCTGTACATCCCTGATGGAACAGGTTGATCCTTCCTGACCTAAAAGACCTCATGCCTGTCGGGACTATTTGTCAGTATTACGCCTGCTGTTGCAGCTGGACACCAACCTGTTTGACGTTATAGCCAGCCTTGGCACTGGTCTCTATGTACATCACATTGAGCTCTCGAGCTTTCCTCTCTGCCGCCTCAACAGAAACTTGCCTGCCATGGTCGCCCGGGGAGTGAGGGGAGGGTGGAGTGGAGTGTGATGTTGAGGGGAGACACACACAAAAAAAAAAAAATCAAAATGACATGGAGAGAACAGAGTAGGAAACGTGAACCAAAAAAAAAAAGGGGCAAAGAACAGAAAAATGGTCAAATCATAAAAAATCAAAACACATGAATAAGAACGCTGAAGTAATCTATAACAAGGCGGGAGAAAGCAAAATACCAAGGGATGATAAGTCAAATTGGATGAGATGCACTGAGGAGAGGAAAAGGGGGATTCCAGGCTTTTGCAGAGTTTAAAGTCCCTCATGCTTCATGTTTAAATTTCACTAATTCCTGTCAAACCGTACAATGAGTCTATCTTTCTCTCACTCTTGATACACTGTTAGATATCATCATTGTAATCTCACACATCTCCCATAACTGTGTACCTTTTATCCGCCAAGTCTGTTTTGTTCCCAACAAGCATGATAATGACATCACTTCCTCTCTCTGTTCTAACATCATCAATCCATTTTGATGTTTGCTGGAAGGAATTGAGATCTGTGGATTAAAAACAAACACAAAAAAATAAGTCACAAATGTAAAACATGCAGCATACATTGGTATGTTAGCTTAACATGTATCAAATGATAAGTTGTTGTGTTAGTAAGCAAAAGTATTAAGAGTAGGAGCTGAAAGAGTGAAAATTTATTTCAAGGATACTGAAAGTTATTAGCACAATTATATATTAAAAAAGCAACAAAGCCAAGATAGTTTCCTTAATTGTATTTGCTCTAGACCCCTTCTAAAGTTTTAGATTACAGCCCTGACTCACTGGTGATGTCATAAACAACCACGGCAATGGTAGAGTCACGGATGTAGCTGGGAATTAGGCTACGAAAACGCTCCTGTCCAGCAGTGTCCCAAAGCTGGAGCCGGACCTGAGGATGGAGCGAAGGAGAGGAAAAGGACAAAGAGATAAAAGAGGGAAAGTTTGAATCAAGACAGTGAAGAAAAAGGACAGACATAAGAGAAATGCAAGCCAAGCAGCAGAGATGAAAATGGTGTTTTATGGAGAAGTGGCCAGCATGCAAAAAAAGGAAACGTAAAAGAAGGCCCTGCTGAGTCATTTTCTTCTGCTGCTTCAGAGAATCTCTTCCTACGAACTCCCATTTAAAGATACTTTCCTGCATTTTCTTCTGATAGCCTCCTATGCTATAGCATTTAGGAAGCAAAGAGCTCCTGGACACAACTAAAAAGATGCTTTAGGACCGCATGGCTGATGCAAAGAGTCTGGATTATCATGCTGTCAAGTGGTGTTTGCAATGCTAGTAAATATTCTTCTTTGTAGCCCTTCCGCAAGCTGAGGGAAGGACAAGGAGTTGAGGCAAGGCCATGATACCTACTGGCTATGTCATAAACCACCACAGCAGCAGCTGAGTCGCGGATGTAACTGGGGATGAGGCTGCGGAAACGTTCCTGTCCTGCTGTATCCCAGAGCTGCAGCCGAATCTGTGGCCGGCCGTGATATGAATGAATGAGGGTGCGGAGTGGGGCATTTCATGACCCAGCCAGGGCATGGAAGGAAAACAAAAACTTGAAATAATGATGGGATCTAATAACAATATGATCACAAGGCTAACATAATGGACAGAAAAATGTAGAAGAATATAAAAACAATATAAAATGGTGAGAGGGGAATAAATGGTGGTTTCTATGTTCAAAGCACATGCATGCTTTTAATTTTTCCAACAGCTATGATCTACATCTAAAGAAATGATGAGGATTACAGAGATATATCAAAAGCCTACCGTGCGATCCTCAAGGTACATGGTTTTTGATAAAAAGTCAATGCCAATTGTTGCCTGTAAAAAAGAAAAAAAAAACATCAACATTGACTCAAGACACTAGCCATTAAAAACGCATCGATTCCTTATTGTTTAGTAGTGATTACCTGATAGGTGTTGTCAAAACTGTCGTACATAAACCTGGTAATGAGTGAGGTCTTTCCAACTGCAAAAACAAACACAAAAAAGTAATTTAACATCACATCACCTGCCATAAACTATCACTACTTACACAAAGCGTCTACATTTTCGCCTTCCAATTTACAGGGATATTCCAGCGTAAAATTCCCTAGTTATACCAACTTTAGTAACGACCGCACGATCGCAATACACAGCGGTCTGAGGAGCTAAAAACAAATCCTCAACCATAACGCCACCCTATAGCCACAAATAATGCTCAAAACAGAACCTAACTTAATCAACAGTACATATCGGGTCCATCTTTTTAGTTTTGCCTAATTTCTTTAGCAAAGAGACTAAACACAACTCACTTACTCTCTTCCAGCAGCCGCTTCAGGCCAGTCCATTACACACTGCTGCATTATTTGTGGCTTTAAAGTGGCATTTTGGTTGAGGTTTGTTTATCGCTGTGTATTGCTATCGTGCGGTCGTTACTAAAGTTGGTAAAACTCGAGAAGCAAGGGGTCGGCAACATTCAACTCTCGATGGGGTGTCTAACTCGGTGTTACGGTGTGTTTGACCCTAAATTCATTTTACACCGAAATATCCCTTTCACACATTCCAGTTCATTGCAACCTCTGAGGATGTCATGTGAAGTCAAGAAAATCTACAAATCTAGACGTTTCCTGAGAACTGATGGTAGAGCTATTGTATGTTTGCATTAGATTTCCTATGTGTTTACACTGTTGTGGCACGGGTGAGTGTTTATTTCACTCAACAATACAAACCCTAGCTAAACATCAACTAAATCCATCATATTATATTCATTATCACTGTTGCATCGCTGTAGAATAAACCAGTATGGTTCGTGACAGGACATGATGAGTAAAACGCATCCTATCATTGATGCAATGTGGACTGCTGAACCCACACGCTGAGCTGGCAGTCTGGGTGGAGCCACGAAATTTGGAAAAATGAAAAAATTGGCCCAACTTCTCATATTTTCTTCGTGATCGGGGAAAATAAGTAGTCACACGACAATCACGTTTGAATAACAGTTGTGCTACAAAATACCATCCTAGGTGACAGAATCTGATATTCCATGGTCGGAAAAGGCCGACAAGTGAAAGCGTTAACCCTTCCCATGAGCCGACGTGGCTCCGCAAGCTCGCTGCTTTGTGAAGCCTGTGAGTGGAAAGCGCTAACTAACAATGACTAAAGAAGATAAACTAAATAGTCTGAGACGAACACGATAAGGTTTTAGAGCAAGGTTTCGTCAAGCTCCTGAGAGCCGAATCTCAATAACGTTGTGTATGTTAGCATTAGCTGTAGTGACTGCATACCTAGCTTGAACCGGCTAACGTAACCGTTAGCTACGGGTTCACTGTAGTGAGATGATGCTGGTGAACCCCAAACTGGTGAACCTCGGGTGGAACAAACGCTAATCACCAGTAAACCTCTCTTGGGATAAATTACATCAGTACATGATGTCAAACGGTAACTCTACCTCTGTTTGACGTTTATCGTTACCAGATGAGATGTTTTGCTAGCTTAGCGGTTTAACGTTGGAAGCTATGCAATGACATCATTACACGAATGAATTAATTGTTGTTATATTAAGACACATTCTTTCACAACATGTTGAAGCCTATATATTAACATAACATTTCGCTTCATCACTGTCTGTGGATATCAGGTGGGTAACTTTTATCATGCTAGCCAGCAGGAAACTACCAGGAGAAGCTAGTTCAATCTTAGCCACTTCTTCTGACATGTTCCCAACATCCGAACAAATTAGCTCTTGGTTTGAAGTGAACTGCTCTCTGCTTACCACTCTGTTCGCCGAGAAACACAAGCTTGAACTTTCGGAGAGGGTTCCCGAACTCTCCGCCGCCGGTCGTGGTTGACATTTTGACACAAAATAAACAGCTAACTAGCTGACTTGGCTAATGATGTGATGTCTAGACCGGGAGAGAGCAAGTACTGTATCTTTATCCAGCACTAGCCAGCACTATTGTTTTCTTCAGCGTAAAAGAGTGAAATAGCGCAACCAAGAGGCAACCACGAAGAGACGACAGAAACAACCAACAGCTTCATAACATAGAGGAGAGTGGGGTAAGATGAGCCATTTTTCATATTTTTTCGATCACTACATCAAGGCAATCTTAGTTTTGTCTCTAACTAGTGTATCTGCATATTTCAAGATGTTGTGCATCCCTGCAAACCAACAGAATGAGTGTAAACATAACTGTCTTGATAATATAGCATGCCAAAAAAAGTGGTCTCCTATTGAGTGGGGTAAGTTGAGCCGTAACCCTACTACCCCCCCACTCTCCACCCCAACTGTTTGGGTTTTTTTTGGAAATAAATGTCTAACCCCTTCTCTCATGTGCTTCTAACCTTCATAGACTTCACAAATTGATGCCCATCTCCTAAATATTTGGTCACATGATCAATTTCTTTTACCATTTCCAAGCAACAGGGGGTGGCTCAACTTACCCTTTGGCTCAACTTACCCCACTCTCCCCTATAATGTTTTCATGACACACTTTTTAATCTCTTACGTGGCCCCTTTTCAAACAAGAACAGCGTATTCTTGGAAAGAGGTTAGATTTGTTGTCACTGTGCTTATTACAGCCAAACTATAAGTCATGTGTTATCATGTTCCATCAAACATTTGAGGTAATGATGAGATGCCACTTTCTATAAGATCATTGTTTGAAGTAGACATTAACCATAGAATCTCTTTATTTAAAAGTGAAAGTTGATAGCGTTGATTTCAGTGTGGCCTGCAGCCAGCCAGCTCAGTTGTGGGTACTAAAAAAACTTCGTCAGATGAGAACTGATTAACCTGATTACCTAATTAACTTGTTCTTGATAAAGACAGGGACAAACCCTTACGCTGTAAGAAACCCCTGTACGGGGGATTTTACGAGAATCAAAGGGATACCCATCTCAATGCAAGAACACAAGCTCTTCTTCTATGTGACTCATACTTTTCAGCCAAGTAAGCTTTGTGAAAGCTGTGTGGATAAACTATCTTTAGCTGCATGATTCAGAGCAGTGCTTTTGTGGTAACCTAATCCTTGGATTGAGAAATCCAGAAATTCTTGTTCGATTGTCACTTTAGCTCATGGAATCATTCAACAAAATCTTGATGATTTTATGAAGCCGTCTGTCTAAAATAGTGACCAAAAACAAGAACAAAACAGGGGAAACCATGTTTATTCACTTTCATGACAATCAAGAGTACATACTTAAACAAGAGAAATTTTGGAGGATATTCCTCCCACAGCTGTACAATCTGCCACAATACATCAGGAAACTAATGACACAGCAATAAAGATAATGCCCACTTTAAGGTTTAAAGTACATTATAAGAAAAAAAAACTACCCTCTTCACTAAAGGACATTGTCTAAAAAAAAAATGTACCATACAGCTTTATTCGTTGCTAAGACAGTATTCTGGGTTCAAACTCTTTTTCATTGAGAGAGCTTTCATAGGAATGCTTAATAAAGATGTATTTGTATAAGGGAAATGAGAACATTGTGACATGACAACTCTCTGCTCTTCATTAATGTTGAGTTCCTTTCTGTTCTGTGTTTTCTTCCAGAGAGGCGATTTTCTCCCACTGTGTCAACCGTCCATGGTATCAATTGTAATGTCTGTCCTGTTGGCATGTAATGGAAAGAAAACGAACTGATTCCAACTATACTCCAAGGTATTTACACACAGCCAGAGCTTGGATTGGTAACATGTGACTTTGACAATGTACACTCTACCTACTTTGCATGTAATTGAAATGGCCCAATGCATACAGTAGTAGTGATAAGGTAAATGGTAGCTTATTATTCCAAATCAACACAGATGGCATGTGGGCCATATCTACAAGACAGACATTTTTTTCTGTTGTTGGCTAGTTTACAAGAGGTACAGACATTAGATATGAAGTATTTAAATGACTTCATAATCTGTTATGAGCAAGCTGTTGGTACCTAACTGGGTACGCAGATTTGGAATTTCTATGAGCATTTTGCTTGCTTTTAAATCAAGATTGAATGGAATTATAGAAAATTCCCTGTGATAAACGATATCTGAACAATATGCAAGCTTTCCACCCTGAGGTTGGCTACAGAGGCTGCTGGAGGATTTGAAAAATGTAGCACTGTTGTCCGATGAAAACAAAACACTCACTCAAGGGCCATTACACGAGTGCCTCCATCAGAAAACTACACAATATAACCTTATTAAGTGAAGGTTTGACATGTATCGTTCATCCTTTGATTACAGTGTTGATCCATGCCTCCCAGTAAAACTAACAATACTGTCACATACTGTAGGTATTTAGTCCATAGTTAGCCCTTGAAAAACACTGAAATGTACTGAATCGAATAGGACCTCACCTGAACTAAAGAGACTTTTAATCCAATTGGCTGTAATTTATAAAACACAAACACATAGGAGAAAAATATCAGCAGCATGTCACAAACATCAAGTCACAGGCAAACACATGTTTATCACAGGAACTCTTTTATACTCACACTTCTGCTCAGAACACCACAGTAGCATGCAACAATAGGATAAAAGGAGAGTTAAAGGAACAGTTCAGTCATTTATAACTATTTTGTTGTTGTAAAATGTCCTAGACGAAGCCTGGATAGAAGATTTAAGAAAAATTAACCACACTCACCTGCGGGTTTGGGGGACATCAGAGTCAGAGGAAGCTCCAAAGTCACATCACTACAGAAAATATCAGTATTAGAATCATATAGTAAAGCAACTCGTGTTTTATAAATGTTTTGCAAGCATTAAGGTAAGAAAAGTTGTATTTACCTTCCGGTCAGGCCACCCAGGAGGCTGCAAATAAAGACAATTTTAGTCTGCTGAATTGTATACAAATGAAGTATTGTGAATGTATATTTGCAGTTCATTGAAGCCTTACCCTCCACTGGACACCATCAGATTGATCTTGACTTTATAAGACACAAGGATTCCCTGCATCTCCTTTTCTCCTTGACTCCTGTGAGGAGACAGGAATAGTTCAGCGTTCAGGCCCGGCGGATTTGGACTAAGTCACCGTAAGTAGATGACAGTGTGTAGTTGTCTCACCACTCCCCAATAAGAGGATGAAAACCAGTAAACCCTCTGATGTTAAACCAAGGATGACTCACAGAGTGGTGGACGCTAGGTGAGTGTCCTCATCTTTTAGCCGTCCGTCCACTGCAAGACCCCGCTTCTCTTTGTTGTTGGCCAGCATGGGGGTGATTTGGAATGTCTTCTCAAATGTGGAGTTGGCATTCACTGTCTCTCTGTATAAACCAGTAAAAAACAAATAATTAGATCAGTATTTTTGGATGATTAACAAAACAGCAAGTTCTCTCACATCAGCTAAATACAGTTCAAGTAAAAGACAGAATTTCAGATATTTGATGTGGCAGAGAATGGCGTCTCTTTTAGATTGAATGAATCGGAAAAGACCCCGGTTTTAATATTAAGCCTCATTAAGTATGGAAAAAAGCCTTACGCAAACTCCTCTGTGCAGACGGCCTTAGTGTAAGTGTCAGATGAATACAGCACCACGTTTGTTAGCTGCTCAACTGAAAGAAAAAGAATCAGGTGTGTCAGAGAGGCATGGCACACAAACAGATACATTCATTCACACTTGTTTTGTCTTTCCCCTTTTTAGCTACAGAAATAGAAACAATTAAGAATAAAGATTCAGTTAAGGTTTAGTCTCCTACTCAGTACTCACCACTGACTTTGATTTTCTTCACAACCTTGGCGGTCTCATTGTTGATTTTCAAACTGACAGTGATTGGATCTCCGTGGTAGTAAATCTGTAAAAAAGAAAAGTTTGTTTTGAATAATTTCATTGATATAGTATTTTATTATTTTTAAACAGCACTTTGATGTACCTCCTTGCCGAGAGATCCCTCCAGGTGAACAGGTTTGTCAGTCATCATGAACTGCCTGGAAATTTCAGCCCTGGGTCCAGCCTTGCTGGTGGCTGGTGCAAACTGGATCTTGCGGATCATCAGGCGGCATGTGTCCCTAACACACATGAAAAGAGTCAGGGTTAGTCCTCTTTATGTCCCTCACTTTGCTTCTGTTTGAGGATGCAGCCAACCAGGTCATGGACGCACGTACTTCTTTTCAATTACTTCATCTGCATTGTCTGGTGAGTTAGCGATGTATCCTTTCACCTCAAAGTCCACGCCACAAGCCTACAACAAAACATGATCAACACAAATAAAAATGTTAAATTGGGAATAGAAGACAATATGATAGAAATTTTTAAAAAATGTAGCGCAGCAGCACCTTGCCAGCATCACCAGGCCCAGGCTGTAGTGAGACTGAGCATGGCAGATCTGTAGGCATCTGAAACAAGTAGAACAACGGCACAACCAAAGATAATTAATACCACGTTCAAGTAAAGACACAGATGTGATTAAATGTTGTGTGAATCTAAGTTGTGTCTCCTTCACCTGGAAAGAAAAGGGACATCCTTGCTCCCCTACTTTCTTCATGAGGGATTCCTGCATTGGTGTTTTGGCTACATTTGCTTCTGTTGGTGGATACACCTGAACACGCCTGATCCAGATGTCTCTTCTGAAGGACAGTCCGATAACATCCAAGTCATCGCTTCCATAGCGGAAGGCACAAGCCAGGTAGACATATACTGAAAAAGAGAATATTCATTGATGGTTTTTGCCTCAGATTATATCACATTGCTATGATCTCTTGCAGTCACATGAGTAGAAATACCTTTTCTGCCATTAAGACCAGAAGGGTCCACTTTAATAACGCCATCTGTGAGTGGTAAACAAACCAAAAGCACAAGATTAAAAGAGACACATTTATTGTGCATGAGCAAATTTGAGGATATATAAGCATACTGTGTTCTACACACCGACTACATCCACATGATCCACATGGTCCACAAAGTCTCTTTTGCCCAAGTACAGGGCAATCTGAGAGAAACAGAGGAAAGCGGTGAAGAAAACAGTCACTCCTCTGCCAAAGTTACAAAATTTAGAGGTTATTTTGGGATTTGGAAAGGCTACATAGAAACTGCACTCCTCCCTATAACCAAGTTACCCTGTAATGAGCATATTATAGAGGCTACTTACATGTCCGTTGCCGCTGGTCTTCTTGAATACCCTGAAAACCAAGAGAAAAAGGAAAGAAAAGAGAAATTAACTGCTTTTCACTGTTTAGGGAACACTCCAAGTATTGAATGATACAAAAGACTACATATGAATATCATCTCTCCCTGAATAATCTATTTTTACTGAATGTGTTGGAACAAGGTCTCCTTTTACACTTGTGTTATGCTTATTAGTCATAGTGTTAATATTGTATAACCTCGTTTTGTTGTCCTTTCTACCCTACTCATGTGAACATGGATTAAGATAGAAAAACACCTTAAATCAGAAGTGTATAAACTTATACAGCAAGAGTGGTAAGTCAGTAGACTTTACTGCATAATATATGGTGATAATGTGCCTTTATTCTTCATGTTTGAGTTTTTATGGAAGTAAATGATAGCTTTTGTTTATTGCATGTATTCAGCTAAACTCACGTGGGTGATATGCTCCTGATTAGCCTAAAAACTACTCCTATATTGATAAATGTGTGACATTCTGAATCAATACACCAAAAATATTAAGTGTACTAGTGTTACATAACCCTGTCAGTGCAATCCTTTGCTCTGTTTGTACAGCCTCAGCCAGTAAGTAATCCTCAGCGGTGTTTGTCTCTTCTGGTTGTGTGCCAAGTAATCCTGTTAAAACTTTTCCTTTGTCTAGTAAACCTTTCCTCCGAGTTCAAATCCACACAATCCACCTTAATGCGGATTTATTTTTACCTGAGTGGAGAGAGAAGTCTCACAGACTTTAGTGTGCATATGCCAAGATGTTCAAAGATGTTCAGTTCTTCCATTTAAGCCACTGGGCTTCGTCTTTGTGGAGCTAAGATCATTGTAATCCCTGCATAAGTCCTGGGCCTGGTATTTAAGTTGTTGTTCTTGTTTTTTATTAAACTGACATAAAGATAAAACATGATTTAAGAACTCTATATATATATATATTTTTTAACCACATTTCTTTTCCTTGTAATTCAAATCTCTGAGCGTTTTGGTTTAAGAGGGTTGAACTGCAAGGATTGTTGGAAAATAGAGACTTTGTTGGAGAAGCTGTAAAAGGATGAACAAATCAAAACACATTGTACTCACTTAGACATGTTGATGGCAAGTTTAAAGATCCAGTCTGCAAATAAGAGATGAGGAAGACTACGTTACTAAAAGTAAAAATCAGACTTTTGTGTTTAATTATGAGAGAACTAAAAAAAAAAAGTTCAAAGACCACTGCATTACTGTAACTGATTTTTTGCATCATTTACTAGTCAAAATGTGTTTTCATTGTAGGTTCCTTTGAGGAAGTCGTCAAATGACTCATGACGTCTTTGCAGAAAGTGTACTTTTGCCGTTGCAACTTCAACTATTTCATCAAATAGTCTTGAAACTTGTAATACTTTTAGGTAATGCTCAAAAAACGTATTAGTTAATACATATACTAATATGCTCACTCACCGTGTCCTTAGTTCTGTCAATGAGTCGTCTCTGCTGTCGTCCGTAATCCGTCACAGCGCGTTGACAGCCTGGAGCGTGTGTGAGTGGTGATCGCTGCCTCCTGTTAGTCTTTATACCATGACCCCCCAACCTTGAAGCCCTCCTCTCAGCTTACCTGGCCTTTCAGAGGGCTGTTGCACAGAAAATCTGATTAATGCATTAGAACGTTACTGTTTTGGTGCACGGAGTGTGTAAAAATAATGTTGTGTGTGACTTCACGAGAGTAAGCCCAGAGACATGAGCTGTTTTTGGGGTGGGATAGACATACAATTACGGAGAGGCCTTTTCTGGGAGTTAAGCTCTAATGGTTAACTGGCCTCTGGTCTTTTACAGATTGGTGTCAGATTAGGACATGAACAATATTGCACGTGGCTGTTAGAGGAACAAGTGTATCATTAGTTTGTTCCTGTGATAGTCAAATCAGTGTTCAATAGAGCAGACTTTTCTCATTTAGCCTGATTTACAGTTTACATTCTGACAAAGAGATCATTTTGACTGAGGTTTCAGGGAAGTCTTCAGTTGTTATAATGGAAACTTGACTCTCAGAGCCTTGCTGAGATAAAAAAGATTGTCTGAATGGACTGTGTGAGTGCTCAAGGACTTCCTTTCTTACAGCTTAGACAGGAGTACCGTGGTATTAGTTGGATTGTGGTTGTTATGGTAGCCTGGGTGACAGATGGCTCCTCCACCAAGCCTTATGCAATCCATGCTCATGGTGGTTCACGGCAAACTAAGTGACCTGCTGACTTAATGCTGTACAAACAGCAAGGCTTTACAGCCAGTTATGACAAATGGTTCGACATTTGTGACTGAGTTTAGAAAGTTAACTGTGCGTTAAATGGTGATTTCGGGTAACTTCTACTCAAACGAGGTTTGCCTCAGCTTTTACAGATAATTACACTTGTTCTTTTTCTTCTTGGTCATGACCACCTAAATATTTGACTTTATGGGCCATAAAACTAAATTTAGCCTGGCCACTATGAAGCTAGACCACCTCATTGGAGAGGAGTCAAAGCTCCAACCAGGGCAGTAGGTCTTCCAAAGAACCCACAGTCAGTGGCAGTGACCTTTATTAGGCCTTGTCCCCTGCTGATCTGGCAGGAGGATTGCTGGAGGATCTTGCCACTTCCTCAGCCAGGTGTAATTGATTAATTAATGAGAGTGTTGTGTGAAGGGATTTTTACAACTTAGGAGTCAGGGATAATTGATTAGATTTGTTGTTGTTTGGGTTGGACCCCAATGAACTGTCACACAGGGACAAGGTTTAAAGCAAGACTGCACTGTTGCACACTATAGGCACAGATCTGCATTTACATTTTAGCCCAAAGTTGAGTCATTTACAGCATCAAAGCTGTGACATATAATTGTATCCGCTCTCTTACATTTATGATCCTGACATTTATTTGGAAAGAGAGGTTTAGACTGCTGTACACAAATGCCCATGCAAGAAATTTAAGTAAAAAGTTCCCTTTGGGAAAAAAAAGTGGTTCCATCAGAATATTTTTCTTCCTGATATTCACTCTGACAAGCAGACTTTAGTATTGACTGTTATTGAGTTCCCCTTTGATCACAGAACAAACTGTGCCCCCATCTTTAGTTATTAGCCCACACATAGCACTAACCAGTGCACTGAGCTAGAAATGAGCCGAGCAAATCTTGATTTATGTCCCCTCCTGATGTCTCATCTGTGCTGAAGAGATGTAAATAAACCATTACATCTGTAGTAAACAGATTTCATTTGTGTTTTTATACCTGAAAGTCTTTTTTACGATGTTATTTTTAACAGACAGAGGCTTTGACCAACTTTACCTCTTCTGCTAGCTGCTGCTGAAGTTGTTGGCTATCATCAGCCATCGTTGTTAATGGAAGCTATGTTATTGTGAAATTAAAACCAGGCCTTTTTCCAAAACCCTGCACACTTTGGATTAAATAGAGCAAAACAGAATAAGACATGTATTTGAATATTTAGCTATCTGTGTTTGTGTGTCACCCTGTCACGTTACGAGGTTTGGTATTTTGTTGCTTCAATCCACAAAACACTGTATATTCCAAATCCTATGTCAGCTTTGACATAGGTATGCCAGGTCATAACAGTATAATATTAGGTAAATAAAGGTAAAGCCTTAACATACAGGTTCTGTTTTTCACTCAGATGCAAAAACTCATTAAAAGGCTTTGTTTACAAGATGTCAAACATAAATCCTACCTTACTTCATCTTATATGAATGCTCCAAGTATTTCCTAACTTCCTGTTCATTTTATATTATTACCTAAAGAAATAATTCCCTTACACAGACAATAGTATTTGTCATGTCACATGGCATGGTATCGTATCATATCATATCGTATCGTATCGTATTGTGAGTAAAGTCAGCCTTAAGGTTAGTTTATGAACTGTGTCTTTTGAATGAATGAAGTGTGATTGGGAGGTATGTCCTACCCTAATAAGCTTACAAAGGTCAGCAGTTCACAGGCTGGGTCACGAATCACAATAAGGGACTAGTTAGGATTTTAATGCACTAAGTACAACTACAAACATGGTCTACTCTATGATTTTGTTCTCATGTTATACCTCAAACTGATGAGCAACTTTACAGATGATGCATATTTTTTATGTACTGTTTGTTACATGGTGTTGCTGATGTACAGAGATGTTGAATTGTGTTTACCCCACGTATACATGGAGTCACATTTGTGTTTACCATTTAAAGTTACTCAGGATAATCACTCTGAAAAAAACCTAGCATAATCTTATTTTCTGAACTCCTAAAGCTGAACTGTCGCCCCGTAGTTTTTCTTTTTCTGTATTTGACTATGGGAGGCCACATACAGCCACATAAGCCCCTTACAGTTAATCCGGAGCCATTTTTGGCAAGCTCTTTATATAGGCAGTCAACATCGTCCCTCTAAGAGACTGCTAACTGGTCCTAGAGTGTTACCACACCATAGTATTAGCTCTTCTTAACATCATGGTCTCCACTCCGTTGCTAAATAAAGACAGTTACTCAGTTGTTGTTGGTAACAGGGAACACTCCATTAGACCATCAGATGCTGGTCAGTGCTTTTTGTATGATAAATGTAAACTGCTATCGGTGAAACCTACAAGTAAGATTTGCTGCAACTTACAGCCAACATCTCTGGTTGACATTATCAATCCATTCAAAACATAAACACACGCAGCATCAACTCTGGCTGAATGTTGGGTGTGTTCAGGTAGCTTACCTGCCCAACTACGTCATGAGACTTTTCACCAACCACAGTTTAAGCAGTTTCTACTCATCAGTCCAATGCAAATGTCCACGTAGCAATTCACGTCATCAATCCGCACTTAAGTCTTGTTTAGCACCAGTACTCTTCATTCAAGGGGCCTTTTAGCCATGTGTTCTCTCTCATACTGAACTATTCGAGTTTAATTCAAAATTTGATTTGACAATCAAAAGCATGACTGACTTGACTGACCGGCAGACACACTGTCACCATTTGTGAGGAAGCTAAAGGTCTACCTCTGGTAGGCTGACCAAATGTTAGATTTAGACAGCATTACCAATATGGCGACCACCTTCATGAGGCTTCAAAATTCTTCCTCAGAAACAGCAGGATGACATTACCGACACTATGTCCAGTAATTATACAGTCTATTGTTTCTAGAGATGCTTGGCTTTTACATACAATTCAAGGTCAAAGGATTGGAGATGTGAATTAGCCACTGCATCTGTGAGGTCTTTGTGTCTCTTTGACGTTTTGTCGTAATGTGTTGCGCAGGAGAAAGGCGAATGGTCAGCTGTTTCGGCAACACAGGCGCCATGAGATCCTTGCTCGGGGTTTGTAACCTTTTTCATTGAGCGTGCTGGGCTGGGTGGCACTGCTTCAGGTGGTGAAAAAGATTTGAGGTAGTCCCCGACTTTGTGAGAACATGTACTCGACATAATTTGCAGTGCACATTACTCTGCTTCATGTCCGACTTCTAAAAACCAAAATATCTCCACACCACCAACGTTTTCGTGCCAGTGTTGTTGACAATGTCGTCATCTGTTGAGCCTTTATCTGCATTTCTGCTGGGGGTAGCACTCATTTTTTCAATAGTGCTGTCAGCTTCATGTGTTAAAGTGCTGTGGTTCCTTGTAGCTGCTGCCTTCTACTACACAGTTGTTTGCTACTTGGTTCTAATTCAGCAAATGATTGGTTCAGCGTGAAGCAGACCCGGAGCAACTCCCCTTTTCATTAGCAATTTATACAGTCTACCGAAACATGGCAGAATGCTGACTATCGAAAAGCATGTTGACCGTGTTTTATATTGACATTGAGGGAAACTCATTTTTGATATATATAATTATTGTTTTATCGCCCAGCCCTATATCAAAAGGTAATAATTATGTTAAATATTGTAAATGGTCCCTTCAAAATTAGAATAAATAAATAAGGTGGGATGTTGATGCGCCTGTTATGTCTTGATTGTGACGTGAAACATATATAGGTGATGGGGCAAAAGTTGTTTCCTCTGATCCTCTATTGGAGGTAGTTTCAGAGGCAGAATAGAGGAAGCCATTGGTGATGTGTGGAGACGGAGCCAGGCGGGCAGAATAAGCTCTGCCCCTCGCACTCCAGCAGCACCACAATGGGATAAGAATTGACACACTGGGACACCAACAGTATGTGGTTTTGATGTGCAATGTGTTAGTTCAAAGGCACAGAGATGGTGAAACTGGATACTGTAGTGAAGTTGCACAGTGCAAGAGATTATTCTTGGTCCTCGGGAATACATGCTACAGGTTTTAGTGGTCCCCTTCCTTCTCAAATGTCACTGATTCATTCCTTGAGGTTGAACTAAAGTCACCTCATTAATTTGTCCACTATTTGTAAAACTAAAAACAATCACATTGGTAGAAGTAGTGCTTTATGTGAAGATCTTGTGGATTAGCATATTTGTTCGATGACTGGAATTTAAGCATGCTGATGTTGGCACTTAGCACAAAGCAGTGCTGGATATCATCATTGGATAATACGGCACATGTTTCTATGTTCTGTGTTAAACAGCTGATTACAGCATTAAGAAGAGCTGATTGCAGTTTGAGGGTTAAGTTTATATGTCATCAGACTGGGATGGACTTGTGTTTATTTGTTTTATGGGGGCTGCGGTTGGTGGTCGGCACATTTCTGCTGAGTAGTGAGAAGTCAAACAGCAAGTATGGAACGAATAGCTTCCCACAGAGTTATATGCTCCAGCTAATGGAGAAGGAGGGAAGTAGGAGGGCTGAATAATGGGCGATGTTCTAGAAAGGCAAAAGTAAGAAAGTAAAGAGTGATCATAACCATATGGAAGCTGTTTTTTCTGTGAGGGAAGGAGTGAGCAGGAGGAGAAGGAAGGCTTAGGGAGAGTGACAAAAGGAAAAAGGTTTGGACCAGAGAAAAAAGGGTGGAAAAAAAAACAAAGACAGATAGAGATGATAAAAAACAAGGCAGAAACTGCAGATTAGTCAGATCACCTCTGAGTGGAAAGCTGTGCTTAATGTTTGGAATTTGAGCGAAGGGAGAGGGCAGGGGCTTAGAAGGAAGTTGATCAGAGACGGGGGAGAAAAGGAGAGAAAAAGGAAGAAGTCTGCTGTTTCACACACTGGTGTGGAAGCTGAGCCCCTCGCAAAAATTCTCCTGGCTATGTCCGCCATCTGGAATGCCGAGTCACTTCCTCTGTCTGCCCTGCACTCTAACGGGGTTGTCCTCTGCCTCTGTGCTCCCTCCCTCTGCTCTGACAGCACTCTGAAGAACCGCTGGAGACCACGCCAGTGAGGAAGGGACTCTTCTGACAAGACACACGAGCCAGCACACAAACATCCACGATGAAAGTGAGACCCCCGGAGTAGCCCACATCCAGCCAGACACACTCTTAATGGAATCTGGGCCTGGAAGGAGCAAAGACAACTGCAGTCATCAGCTGAACTTTTTGGAGGGTGTTCCTATTCCCTTATATGGCAACAGAGCTGGGAAATCATTTGAATTAGTCTGGTTTCTGTTGCATGCCTGTCTGGTTTTAGTGCTGACTGAGTCCCATCTGGTATGTTTCTTTCTCTGCTGTGTGCATGCGTGAGTGTGAGGGCACCGTCTGTGAGGCATGATTTGTTTATTTTGCCATTCTTGGTTTGCCTTTTCCTGTTGTTTGCATGTGGGGTTTTTGTTTTGGGGCCGGGGGAGGGCTTGTGTTTGTAGTTCAGCGAGAGGCAGCGTCATTGCCTCAGGGGTGGTTGCTTCATTCAGACTGTGCAGCGTTCTCACCTCATGCTATTTTTCCTCCACCTCCCATACCCTGCTGTGATGGTCTCTGTTTGTAAGAGCAACACACCCACCAGGGAGCAGGAACTCACGGCCTAAAACTGAAGCCAAGTCTCCCATCGAAGAACATTTTTAGAGCAGTAGACTGAAACTTCTCTGGACTTCAACTTCTCTGGACTAACCTGACAATCAGCTGGATGTTTCTTTCCTTTTCCTTTTACACAACAGAATGTGTGACCCAGGAACCAACAGGGACCCAGGAAGTGTTAGCTGATACAGACAAGTGTTGGGTGGTCTGTCTGACACTTGATGAAGAAGCATCATGGGAGAGTTCATTCACCGCAACTGCCACCTTCAGTGACAGACTGCCAAGCAAGTCTGACACAGTAAATCTGCTTCGATTCAGTGTCATGTAAAGTTCATCGCCTCATGTGGATTATCTTTATGAACATATCTTGCAACATTAGTTGCCATGGCTACAGCAGCATGGTATCATCGTGACATCAGTCGTGTGCGTGCAGAGGACTTGCTGGCACGGGCGGGGAGGGATGGCAGCTACCTAGTGAGAGACAGTGAGTCTGTGCCAGGAGCCTATGCATTATGCCTGCTGTGAGTATACACACATACGCACTCTTATACATTTATACACTGAGGAACCAGTTTATCTCAGGTATCTCAATCAAATAAAAAGTCTAACCTTTCACTTGAAGCTATTATAAAATACACAGTATCGCTGACATAGCACCTTCAAACCTATTCTTAAGTTGTTTACGAGTCTACATCTTTTCAGTGGTGCTGTGTGTATCCTAAATAACCCTTTTGATTTAGATTTTTGAATGCTTAGTTGATGCAACATATATTTTTGATTGCAGGATATGGGAACACATTGAATATAGAGTAATGAAACTAACAGATTTATGAGAAGTGTGCGTAACACTTTTTACCATGGTCCTTGTAATAAGCATGAATTATTGATTAAAAAGTCTTATAAAGTGCTTATAAATATTTAAAAGAGTTAATAAAAACATAATTACACATTTATCATTGCTTTTGGACACTCGGAGGCTGTCATTAGAGACTTGTCAACCGTTCATATACTTGACATTAGCATCAATAGGATGTGTATTAACATAGCTCACTTATTACAGTATAATGGCAGCTTTTAGAATTTATAAAATGTTTATCAGCATTAATAAATCTGTATAAGTCTCAAAATGTGTTTTTGCCCCTAAGCTCTCCTGCTATCACTTATTGGAATTTTGTTAACAATTTCAAGACCATCTATTCACTTTAATTTCATGTTGTTTATCATGAATAAGACTATTAAAAGTTAAAAAAAATAATGCTCTGTGAGGATTTATAAATTGTTTATCATGCAGTTATGAACAATACATCTTTGCAGCTCTTGGATCTAAAGTGGAAACTGTGTCTCGTTAAAACTGATCAGTTCTTATCAGCAATAATGGCTTATCTCATATACAATAATAAATGTGTTTTTTATGCTTTGATTTACAATTATTAACACTCACAATGATTATAAATATCTTATAAGGTTTAATATATAGCATATTTACTAGTAATACTTGTTACAAGGACCTTCCTATAAAGGGTTACAAATGAATTCGACTCTCTGCACTGAACTGATTTTACTTAAACAGACTGTGATAATTTATCTTATTCAATAAGTTCCTCTTCCTTGAAAGTATTGATTGAATGATCCTCTCAGGATGTCACTAATTTGTGTATGCTGCCCTCCATCAGAAGAAACAAAAATCAGTTAAACCATAACTTATTAACTAATCCTGTGACCCTTTTCGATTCTGGCACACGGTGCTGGAAACTATTCACAAACCCAACATTTCTGCAAAACGTCAGCATCTGTAAATTGATTCAGCAGCTTCAGCCCCCACCCCGTCATATCCATCACTTTCACCATCATCAGCCAGTAGAGTAGAGACAGCTCAAAGTGCTCCAAACGTAAGGGCCGGGCTAACCCCACAAATACACGCTCTGCAGACTAGTGGGACTGTCCCGTTCGAACACAGTCCATTTAGGCCAGTGAAACTCTGGCTCAGGACTCCCTGTTTCCCTCTTTACCCCTCTTTCTTCCCTGGGGCCCCTTCAAGAGGGCGGGAGCTGCAGCGACCGCACTACGCTGACTGCTCATCAGCCTGAGCCAGAGACATTCCTGAAAGCTGAGCCCGGCTGCTCGCAGTGCACCCTCTTCCCTTCGTTCTTTTCTCAATATGTCATCCCCCTTTTTATTTCCTCACTTTCCTCCACATATTTGTATTTAATCCTGCTATCATGCTTCCCCTTTGTTCATGTTTAAGACAGTAGCTACTATTCATCCGTACATGCATTCAGAAACAAATCCTCTTATTCACTGGATAAAGATCATCATCTGTGCGTCACCCATTTACATTGTGTGACTAAAAGAAGCCACGTCATTGGTTATCTGTGAAAGGACAAGCACCCTGCTATAAAAATAAGATACTGATCTTTTATTAGTTACATCTGGTCTTTAGTTCAACGAAATATATCATTATACTGTATCTCCCTTCTGTTTTCTAATCAGTTGTTTGTATTCTTGGTTTCCAAAGGTTCCAACGTCATGTTCACACCTATCGGATTCTCCCCGATGCAGACGGTCTTCTGGCTGTTCAGGTGAGCTTCTATCCTCTCACGGTACTAAATCCTCTTCCCAATGAGGAAGAGCACAGGAAGGAAAACACAATAGACGCCTGAAACCCTGGCACAAACTGCACGCACACAGAGAAACATGGCTGTATAGACGGAGTTATAAGGATCAAACAATGGTTTGTTATTGCCTGTTGAAAGGAGAACAGGAACATGTTTGTGTTTCTTCTCAGCACAAGCTCTGTTGGGACTGCAGTAGCCTTGTTGTTTCAATGGCATCTCTGCCATGTGGCCGCATACTTGCAGCATAAGCTCAGCAGCACAGTGGAGAAATTGTTTTTATGTCTCAGAGATTCCTACTCTACCCCCACACTAGGTCACTGACCAATGGGTGTGTTTATTTGTTATGTGCATGTATGAGGGTGTTTGTATTAGACATAATGAGTCTGTTGGATGTGGACAAGTCATGGCCTGTGATGGTATGAGTCTGTTTTTGATACCCCGAGAAGGGGGGCATTTTCACAGCAAATGACCTAATTACACGTCAATAAAAAAACACCCACAGCACCCAGTTAGCAACCATAAACACACACACCAACCAACACACGCATCCATGTACCCGTACTGTGGTAGATGAGAGAAAACGAGAGTGAGGGAAAAAAACATTTGAAGGCCTAAACCACAGATCTACTCAACCCTTTTTTTTATTAAGAATGCCTGCATATTATATTCCAAAAATGGGTTTAATAATCATTGTCATCAAGTGGTTTTCAAGCCTTCCACTCAGAGAAATCTTTTGCTTTCACATGAAAACTCTGTTGCTATTTCAGTTGTTTTTCCACCGCCATCATTTTCGAGCCTCCAGTGCAAAATTTCCCTCGCTGGATTCGCTCCACTAACTCACAGGTCGCATGCTTGCCTTCTTGTTTTTTCAAGTTGGCCATGGAGATATTTTGGGGACCGTTATGTCCCTCGCTGTCTCCTACTCCTTGTCATTTCCTTTTAATTGCTTTTCAAGAGTTCCTTGTGGTACAAAAAATACTGTTTGAAGAGTCTCTGGCAAGAGCTGGGTTGCCAGAGCCAAAAAAAATGGTTGCTCTTACCACAAAACGAAAACAAAAACTCTGAATAGAGGGCAGAGGAAAAGCTTGGTATTGTGGTCTAATGTCTATTATGGTTTTTAATCGTGCCACTATACCTTTATGAGAATGTATGCTCAGCATTCGCACGCAGCATGTGTATTTATCTTGTCTTTATTTTTGCTTGTAAAGTGCCATTTGAAATGAACTGTGCAGCTTTTCTTTCTGTTGAAGAGTAAGTTTTCTTGCTCTTGTGGCATAAATGTATGAACATATGCATACAAAAACTGCATTGCCTTGTATTTTTAAGAGGGTGATGGTGATGGGGGGGTTTGTGCCTGACTGACTGGGAAAGTTGAATCACAGTGAAGCATGACTAGAGCCAAGAGGAAGCTGTCAGTGTTGTGACGTAGTGTTTTGTGCAGTGGAGCTTTCTAAATCTCCCCTGGGATACTTTCTTTATCACAACGTATCATCTCTGTGCGTCTTTTTCTGTTATGCAAATACACACTACTGCTTTTCTAAGAATACCCATAAGAGTTAGAAATGGGCTTATATATTTGGGGGGTTAAATTTAATGGCTGTTACAGATTAATACTTTCATTTATAGCATTAAAAGTCTCACCAGAGTATGTTAAAGTAACTGACAATATAAATGAGTATTTAATATGTACCACATCATCTTGTGCGAAGCCATACATCACTGAAAAGCCTCTTATACAACCTTAGGATTACAATGAAGAGGTGGAAAGTTACCAGCTGAATCAGTAACTGAGTAGATTTTTTGAGTACTTGTACCTTTTTGAGGAGTTATTTTAGCTGCTTTTAGAGTTACTGTACTTTTACTTGAGTAGAATCCAGAACTGCTTACGAAAACGAGAACTGATTTCAAGTCCAAACTTGACCAAACCGAATCTGGAAACTCACCAAAATATGGAGAGAGCAGAATACTAAATGTGCCTCTAACCGAGAGTGTAACATTGCCACAGTGTCTTGTGTATTTTAAGTGGTTTATTAAATCTAAAGTTAAGATAAATAAACAGGAATAAACAAAAAGGATTCAGGACAAGTTCTGAGCTGAGATAGAGTTGACTGCTTTTTTGTGAGTTTGCTTTTTTGCCTGGCTGTACAACATGACAACAATCACAACAATCACAACAATAACACTTTTATACAGTTTACTAGTGAGCAACACAATACAGTCCAAAACATTGAGTACCAGAACCAGAATCTGTAAAAATAAAAAAGGGTACTGGACCCTCGCTGCTCATAAACCTTGTAGCTTTGTATGTGATGTTTCTGTTTCTCTGTTTTATGCGTAAAACAATGAATCTAATGTGCTCTCTGTCTGGTGTGTGTCCAACAGACAACACAAGGGGTGCAGGTGAACTGTTTCCGGACTCTGGAGGACCTGGTTCTGGGGTACCAGCATCCTCACAAAGGTCTGGTCACTCCTCTGCTCTATGCTGTTCCCCGCGATACTGACACAGGAGACGAGAGCTCAGGTGGGCAGGAAAACTGTAAAAAACTGGTATAGAAAGCTTTATGGCCCACACTGCAGTCATAATAATAGTTTGTAATTGTTCTGTTTATGTCTCATGATTGCACAGACGATGAGAAGCCACCTCCAGCTCCGGTTTCACTCAACACAGTGCCTTTCACAGGACCACCAGCAAAACCAGCCCCTCATGCACCGTTCTTGGATAAGTTGCAGGAGCTGAACACATCCAGGTACAAAAACCCAAAAGCTTCAACACTAAACAGTTTTAAGCTGCTGAGAGATGTTTATTCTGGGTGCTTTACCTTTGCAGCATGAACAACTTTGCTTAACAAGACAATGTTCAGCTGCTTCGAAATGTTCAGGTTTCTGATTATACACAAGTGATGGTGGATTTCGTTTAGTTAAATACAAATGATTTTTTTTCATTTAAATATGCACCTGTTTCCAATCAAGCATACAGAAAGCAACATGTGAAACTCTTTTGAATTCTTTCTTTGAGTAGTATCGGCCTATAGATAAACAGTGTTTAAGTATTTGATGTTTGCCGAACTACTTCCCTTTTCTATTTTAAAAAAGGTGTGGGTGACACTAGACAAGCCTTAGAAATGAGTGATAACACGTATTCATAACAGCTTATAGAATTGTTTTTGAGGTGTTATACGTAGTAAGCCTAATGCCCTGTAAAAGTATGTTTTATTATGCATTATATCTTGATGCAAAAGAAAAAAAATATTGTTGTGAAATACTGAAAACGAGCACAGCCATGGATTTTTCCTTTTAGGCACGGTTATCTCTTGATAATGACTTATGATAATGACTTATTATTATTGCTACATAATGAAGATCATTTTCTTGTGATAACGAATTAATTGATATTGTGTCTGCCATTGTTACTGTTGTTGTGCATGGCATTTAAATGTTCGCTCGTTGAAAGTGTTATGCGCACACACAAAGTGACGTTAGTTTTTTCATTAACCCCAGGTTGCCGTTGACAACGGTGGCTGCAGCATTCAGAAATATCCCATTGTGGAGGGCAGTATTAAAAGTTACTGTTTTAAAATGCCATTTCCATTATCACGAGAAAACTATCTTTATTATGACGGGATAACAAGTAGTAATCATGAGATAACGGTGCATTAGAAGTAGTGAAATATTTTGGTCTAACACTCTATTTAGGCCACAAGATAATGCTTATAAATTCTGATAAATTTGTTATAGGATCATATCATTGCTAATAACCTCATAGGCTATAGTGCTGTCACTGTACTAAAAGCGCCTTCAGTCATGTTTTAGCGTGCTGTGAGTATTGTTCCAAGGCTTTGTAAATGTGTTTTTGATGCCATTATCAGAGGTGGGTTCATATAAAATGTAACTGATGTTTGTTTTTCTAGCAGATGAACCTGAATGAACTGTTTCCTATGTCCATGGAACAGATGTAAAATATTCCGATTTTTATTATTCAGTACTGCAGGTGAGGTGATTGGTTTACTCAATGACTACCTCTTCAGTGAGCTGCCTCTCGACATTGAGAATGTGCAGAAAGGAGCAACTACTCTCTGCCACCTCAAGCGTACTCTGGGTACTGCCTGTCAAGGCTTAAACGGGTATGTATGCATACAGCTTTTATTATGAACACTTAAGTGGCAGTAAAATCTCTATGCAGTATCTGTACATGAATAAATTTAAAGAGATGTGAGATCTTTATGGACACGTTGTGTTTTGATCTGCAGTGAGATTGATCTGACTCTTTCAAGTCTGGAAACCCTGGCCAAAGTCTTTGACCATCCCAGTTGTTCTTTAACACACACCAAGGCGCAGGTACAATCAGCACAAATTACCAACCTTTACCTCTAAAATGGCACTGCATGAAGAAACATTACATCTTATCTGTCTTTATTTATGGACTGTCTGTGCTTGACTGTCTTAAATCAGGGACCAGAGATTGAGATAGACAGCTTGCTGTGTAAGATTTCAGCTTTGGTCAGCCTCCTCTCTTCACTGGAGAAAAAGGTGTGTTTTGAAGCAGCTACTGAGTTAAGAAACTCTAACTTTTGAAAAAAAAAAATGGAGATCCCTGAAAAGATTGTAATGTTCAAGGTTATCTGTTCATAAAGGTATTGAAAGCATTACAAGATGCAGTGACAAATCACAACCTGGCAGTGCAGCCCAACCCACCTCCCCCTGAACCAACACCCACCAGTATTACACCGGTCAAGAACCATGCCAGGCAGCTGCCAGTCCACTCCTTTCAGGTAAAAATAAACAACAAAACAAAATCACCCAAATGGCCTGTTATCCATTCCAAATTTATCTTCACGTTTTAAGCACAAATGAATCTAATCATAAACTGGTCTTTGATGACATTATGATATTAAAAGTCAGTTTTTCATGGTTTGTCCAGGTGAAGATGGTCAGGTATGGCAGGCAGACGGTTTCCGTGGATGTGGACACAGGAGTGCTGCTCTTCGACAGAAAGGCCAGTTCATTTGGCATAGAAAGGGTTTCACATGACAGAAGTAAGATGAGATTCAGTTTGAAGTTCTTGGCATTATGTTTTTGTCTGAAAATACAAAGTGTGTAACTGTCAGGGTCTTGTTTCTTTTACATCAGTCCTGCAGATTGTCAAGTTCCAGAGCAGTCCTGCAAAGGTACGCATGGTGGTCGACAGCCACCACAGCACACCACGGGAGATGGTGTTTGAGAGCGCCCGGGTGAGGAAAGAAAAGAGCGTTCACGATTGAATCGATTTCTCTGTTTCTGTCCCATGAATCACTGAGTGACTCTCATCCCTTTTAGAAACGGGACGCCTTCTGCCAGCTCCTTCAGCTGATGAAAAACAGGCACTCTCAGCTGAGTGAGCCTGACATGGTCTCTGTGTTTGTTGGCAGCTGGAATATGGGTAAAGTAATTATAATAACCATCTTTTCCACTGTCATATAACAGGAGACTGTGCAGTGTGCTAAATAAGAAGGATTACAATTATTTTTGTGTTGTCTTGTGCACACAGGTGGTTCCCCTCCACCCCGCAGCTTGCAGTCCTGGGTGACCTGCTGCGGTTTGGGGCACACCCCTGATGAGTCGACTGCCTTGCTTCCTCATGACATTTACGCGTTGGGGACTCAGGAAAACGCTCAGGGGGAAAGAGAGTGGACAGAACACGTCAAAGCAACCCTGTGCAGCTATACTCACATCGACTTCAAACAAGTAATTCATGTCATTTTGGTCCTTCTTCAACTGAGTCATCTGAATGAAAAGCCCCTACATAAGAAAGATTAAAGAATTACAATTGTGATTTGACTGTTTTACTGTATATGTTCATCTGAATTTAACAAATTACTGAATAATATTGTAATGTATTGTAAACTCTCTTCAAAACATTTACCCCTCTGTCTAAACAACACAGAATCAAACTTTCCGTACACTTCATGGCTTTTATCATGGAGAAGAAAGAAAGCTGCGGAGTTTATTCTCACACATTAACTGTTAGTGGTTTCAGTTTAAAGCCGAAACAATCATATTAGGCTTGTCAATCCACCAGTTTAGTAGTATGTTCTTTGTGAGAGAGGATACTTTTTAGTTATTTCTGAAAACATCACTATCATCGTCACTTTAACGCAACAATAAATGCCCTGGAATGATAGTATTTCCTCACCTTGTATTGAAAAATGAGCATCTGTTTTAGTGTTTGCATGAACTTAACCAAAGCCTTACTTTATAGAAATGGGTCTCATCAAATGTGGAAACTGTATTTATACAGTAAGTTCCTTTAATGGTACTCTGTTCCTGAATGACTAATGTAATGTGGTGCATTGTCCTGTAGGTGGCAGTACAGTCCCTCTGGAATATGAGGCTGGCTGTGTTTGTGAAGCCAGAGCACGAGAGTCGAATCAGCCATGTGAACACAGCCAGTGTGAAGACCGGCTTGGGAAACACTTTGGGTATGCTGTCCTGCATGATTTTATATCAGAAGTACACAAAGCAAAAAAAAAAAAAAATCATGGACAAAATGAGAATTTATTTGACTTGAGTTCTGATGAAAGTTATGCTTGTTGTTTCAGGTAACAAGGGGGCTGTTGGCATCTCCTTCCTCTTCGGTGGAACATCTTTTGGTTTCGTTAACTGCCACCTAACATCTGGAAGTGAGAAAGTCCTAAGGTAAATTGTGTTTGCATGAATAAATGAATATATGCACTGTGGTTTTATTCCAATAGGATATCATAAAGATTTGTAATTATTTATACTGTACACATCATTTGCAGGAGGAACCAGAACTTTGTGGACATCCTCAGGCTGCTCTCTCTGGGAGACAAACAACTCAGCGCCTTTGATATCAGCCTGCGCTTCACCCATCTCTTCTGGTGTGGAGATCTCAACTACAGACTCGATTTGGAAGTACAGGTCGGACCAACAGTTCTCATTTTTTAATTATTGACTGAATGTGTGTTCATGTAGAGAGTTGTGATTCAGCATCTTATATGAAAATCAATCATCAAACCGTGGACCCTGGTGTTAATTGTTTTTTGGGGGGGTCTCAATAATTCCAGGACATCCTAAAACACGTCTCTAAGAGGGAGTTTGAGGAGCTCATGTGTGCGGACCAGCTGACCCGAGAGAGACACAAGAGGAAGGCTTTTCTCAATTTCAGTGAGTTTCAGCTTGCTCAAATTGAAACTGAGAGCTAAAACCAGAGAGTACCAAGAGTTTATTTGCTGTAGATTTCTTAATATAAAGAAATGCCTGTAGGCTTTGATTTATTGGTTAAATTGGAAATAAAATTATATTTCTGATTCAATGTTCAATCAATCCATCAATCAATCAATCAATCAATCAAATGCTGTTGAATTTCTTTATCAACCTTCAGTATTCACCTGATGTTTTACTGTCCTGACTAAATTTCCCAGTTTGTATTTGGATGCATCTGTTTATGTATTTAAGTCTGGTTTTTCCTTTTTATTTTCTGTCTGTATTTTTTTTCTAAATCTTTAAATTACTTTCTGAGCCAGCCTTTTAGGTAACTTGTTCCAATGTCAATAATAATACTAATAATAAATCAAAACATACTGTGTTTAACTGCCTACTTACTTACAGTTAATCTCTGCTTCTGCTAACTCTGCACTCCTCTCATTTTTTCCTCTTTAAGAGGAACAGAAGATTGCATTCCCACCCACCTATCGGTATGAGCGGGGCTCTCGAGACTGCTACCTTTGGCAGAAGTACAAGACTTCAGGAGTAAGTTATGTGTTATTACACAGAAGCACTGTAGAAAAACAGGATGAGAGATAGAGTTATGAGCTGATTCAAGTGCAGCACAGAGGACACATTTCCAGTGTTGAAACAATATCGGAATCTCTGAGTGGCTATAAAAAATGCTACAGCAAGAAAATAGAATAATACCTTCTCAACTTTGTGTAGATTTTCAACAATGCTGTCTCTACTGGAGGCAGTGTTGGTGAGGCAGTGTGGTTTTAGACTGAAATATCTCAAGAAAAAACAGATCGATCTCCTTGAGAATTGGTAGAGGCATTCATGGTGTGATGATGATTTACTCTGAAGATATGTCAGATTGAATAAAAGTTTTACAGATCCCGCTGCACGGCTGTGAACTGTTAATATCTAAAAAGATAGATCCAAATGCTGCTAACAAGTTTACCAATAGCTTAATGTTTCTTTATGGACTGATTGTCTGAGCTGCGTTAATTGCTGTGATTATACTCTATTAAAATAACACTAAATCACATTTTACTCTATGGTTGTGTTATGTTGGTTTGTTTCCAAGAAAGACTTCTTAGTACAAAGAAAATATCCTCAAAGCATTCTAAGTATAAAGCAGACTCACCTCTTAAGATAACTCATGTGTAACTTAATCCTATTGAAGGGGTCTATAGGGTCAGTTGACTTTGCCAGCAGCTGCCACAACCACTAAATATAGGATGTTATGTGTGACCCACAGACTAAAAAAAGACCATCTGACGTAACAGGAATGAAGGAAATCATTTTTACAATGACAAACATAGACTTGACTGTTTATCTAAACTGCTATTGTTTTTGCAGGTGAGAGTCAACGTCCCATCATGGTGTGACAGGATTCTGTGGAAGTCGTACCCAGAGACACACATCATCTGCACTGCTTATGGTAAGATCTGCAGGATACAAAAAAACACAATAAGAGAAAACAGACTCTAATTGTATAGGAGAAGAAAAGGAAGGGCAGCGCCAAGGTCTAGACATAACTATACATTCTGATGCAGCGTGCCCAAATTAGATATGTGCTGTAACTTATTTTCTTTCTTACCGCTGTGAAATGTCGGTAACTCCTAAATAAATATGGTAAAACCCGACATCTCAGTCTGTGGTCTACAATGAAACAGGGTCATTTCCTTTCACAGGCTGAGCTTCTCTGTGACCTACAGTATATTGGTCTAATGGCTCAACAGTCCTGTCCACCTCATGTAGCTTTAGTACTCAAAGAATATGAAGAATTGTTTATGCGTTTTCAGCAATAAATAGATGTCACTTTACCAGGTTGCACGGACGACATCTTCACGAGTGATCACTCGCCTGTTTTTGCCACATTCCAAGTTGGAGTGACGTCACAGTTCAGCTCCAAAACAGGTGCTTTTGCTGTTGTGGCACTTTGTAAACAAATCAGTCTGATATGATTTTATTTCTTTATAATCTGAACAGTGTTGCGATGCATTTTCTTGCATAGATCACAATTCGAGCGTTGAGAAGGCCTGGATAGAACTTGAAGGCATCGAAGCCATTGTGAGGACTGCAAGCAAGGCAAAGTTCTTTATTGAATTTCACTCGACTTGCCTTGAAGGTATGGAGACACATCATTTTATATGAAGAATTATGCAGCGAAGCAACGAAAATTCAGTCAAATCCTTCTCTGCAGAGACACGGCGTTCAAGTGAGAATGACTCACAGGGCTGTGATGTTCCCGGGTTTCTCAAATTGGGCTGGTCCTTTAAACAACTGCCCAAGGTAACAAGCTCAGACTATTCCGATGCAGCTGTGAGTTTTATCAGCCTCTTCAGTCATGCTTTGAGTTTATGATTGTTTAATCTGTTAAAGCTCCTGCCAATCATTTCCGACATGGAGTATCTTCAGGATCAGCACCTGCTGTTGTCCGTCAAGTCATGTGATGGATTTGAGTCATACGGTTGGTCCTCTGTCAAATTAACTACGCATTATTACATAATATTCCTGCTGCTTTGTTGGTATGCTAATAACAGCCAATGAAATTACAGTTAATCACACACAAGAGCTATCAACGAGTTAAGATGCTGTACCATGCTTTGTTATAGTTCTCAGGTTTTAGCTTAGGCTCTGCTTCATGCGGCCCTAATTGAGCCAACACTATATACTTTCTCGCTCAGTGGAGCATTTGCACCTTCTGAATTAGTAAAGGTTGGAGCCCTTATTCCCTTTTTTATGACACAAGTTTGATCAAAGGTAATTTATTCCTTGTGTAGTTAAACAGCAGTCCGTTTGTCCAAATCAATTGTGTAGAAATCTTGCCAAAAGTATCTGCTTAGAGGTGAAATGATGTCTAACAAATACATTTCTCATCAGGGGAATGCTCTGTGGCTTTGCGCTCCCTTGCTGGTGCATCCGAGCAGTTTGAGACATTTCTGAGCCACCGTGGCGAGGAGATGGGCTCCATAAGAGGGCGAGTGAGGATCCATGTGCCAAAGGACCGAAGGGGAACACGGAAGAAGACCTATGGTGGGTCAACTAGATCTATTCCTGTCTTACTCTCTGCCTCGCTTGCACTATCACTTCCTACTAAACTTTCTTCTCCACTGCTTTCTGTGACTCTCTTGTGAGCCTCACATTGCTTCCTCTATTTGGTTCCTCAATGATCCCTGGCTTGGCTTTACACTTGCTGGTATCTATCGACCCCTTCCTCTTTTGGCTCCTGACTGAATGACCCTGACCAGATGCTTCCTGAGACACTGAAAACCAGGACAGATGAGTTTAATGTCACCAGGTCAGACATTACAACAACATGCATAAACATCGCTATGCTGTGATGCAATCAAAACTAGCCTTCAGTCTACATGCTTTACAAAGGTCTGTAAGATGTCTCGCTTACAGGAAAATGCATTGTTTGCTTTCTGTGGTTTGGCTTTTACAGAGTTGTTTCACTTTGAGAAAGAGCCTGTGAAGGGACTTCTGACTCCTGCATCGACACGGGTTCCAGTTAATAGGTAAGGACACATTCCTTGTTGTAGAAAAGGGATATGAAACCCTTGTAGTTGTAAATGTATTTCTGTGAGCTGTTAAATCCTTCCCAAATGAGAAAAATCTACTTATGTGTTTTATAGCAGATTGTCGGCAGCTCCTCCTAAACTCACTCCCAGCAGCTACACCAATCCAGCCTACTTCATTTTCGAGGGTGTTTCGGTGACACGCAGGGTGGAGGAGGCTCTCCCCCAGCGAAAGGACCCTCAGGTGATCTGGTCTGGAAATGAGGCCTTGCAGCTTCCGAAAGTCGCGGGGCGTCAGGGATTTGAAAGGAGGCATAGCCGCAGATCAGACTTTACAGAGATTGAAATTCCTGTCATCCTGCCCCAGCATACCCCATCAAATGAGCTCCATACACCCCAAACCAACTCCTCCTATCAGCTTTTCCCGACCAAGAACACATCTCCTATTCCTCCACCCTCAAGTAACGCCATGTCTCAGTACCAAGAAAAGACTTCACAACCAAGGGACAAATACCAAAGTAAAAACGTTGTTCAGGACTCCATACTGCCAGAGAAGAACCTGAGAAACCTGTACATGAATCACTCAGCGATTATCAGGGAAAAAGCCAGAAGGGATCCACACCAGATTCTCCCAGAAAGGACCAATCCTGTACGAGAAGCAAAGAAGCAGCCAGCCTTCCCTTACGCCCCCGCTCACTTAGCACACAGTCAGGCCACCGTTCCCTGGATTGTGGATCTGCAGCCACCTGCACCTACAGGAGACCACTCCCTTACTGCTCTGCAGATTGCCAAGTCCCTCAGTGAAGTTGACTTTTTCCCCAACGAGCAGAGAGACTCATCAGTTCTCCACCAGAGAGTTAATTACAGAAACGGTCCCTCTATGCATGGAGACAGAGGCTACGGCTGGGAAAAAGAGGTACAAACACTGATCTCAAAAACAGTTCAGAAAACACTTGGGTCCTGGTTCTCTGTGAAATTAAAAGACTTGTTTTTTTTTTTTTTATCAAAGCAGGTTTCTGTCCTGCAAGGTGCACCTGAGACAGTGAGGGAGCTTCTCAGTGCTCTGGGTCTTCAGAGATACACGCTGGGGCTGAGCCTGAATGGCTGGGATGATCTGGATTATTTCAGGTAGAGTGATTTTGGAGACGTTTCCTTTGCAGCACAAAGATACAGTTGAGATACCAACATATATCCAGAAACTCCAAGAGAACACCCCCTACAGGATCCAAAAAAAGATTTGACAGAAATTTTAGGACCTTTTTTCGGCAAAATTCAACTGAAAATTGGTTTATTCTGGTCTTAATGTAAGAAGATGATGTTTTTAACAATATACAAGCTACAAATGCAGGTACACAGGCATCATTTGCAGCTCACCAAAACCTCCCACCACTGGACCAGCCTGCTGCACAGTTTAAAAAGCAGAAAACTTTACTGCGAGAACATGTCTCTACTCTAACCCAGGAATCCATAAAGCCACATCAGACCGTACTGGACTTGTTACAGATGACAGTGAACTCTTTCCAGACCCCGCCTTACCTTTATAGAGTCTGTAGCATTTAAACGCTCCAAACCCAAAACACATTTTCTCTGGACCAGCTTGATGGGTCTGCTCTGGAGTCCTCCCTGTTATACCTGAGCTGGAAAGAGTACACTAGACCCTAAGATCTGACACAAGTATTTTTTACCTCTGACCTGAAGTAAAAAGTCCTCTGTAATTTAAGAATTAAAGATGTTCTAAATCGGGAAAAGCTATATTTGTTTGAAGAGGCAGCCTAGATGGTCACAGGACAGAATCAGCCTGGATTTGTGTCTCAGTTTTGAAGTCCTAATCAAATTACTAGACACACGTGACAGTCATGCTCATGATCAGAGTGAGTGAGTGAGCATGACATGTCAGGTTAGCACTGACAATCTTGTTGTGGCACACAAAAGCTTGTCTAATCCCAGCCATGTTGTGTAAATACTGTAAGCTGGCACTGAATGTTTGACCTACAACTTCTCAAACGCATCAAAAGTAAACTTGTGTTTCTGTTGAATTTTCAGCTAATTATGCCTGTTTTCACAGTGGCGTCACAGATGAGGATCTACGGGCTGCAGGAGTGATGAACCCTTCGCACAGACGCAGGATCCTCGAGAACCTCCCCAGGAACTGGAACTGACACACAGATAAGAACGTATGTAAACGTTAATGGTACGATGCCTCACAGTGCTCTTAATCACAACTGGAAGATTATTTCAAGTCCAGATCTGATGGGAGGACTGACTGGATACCAATCACAGCAGTTGGACTCACATTTTCTCAATCAATACCAGCAGTTTGTCTGAGGTCCCATCTGCAAAGGGACCACATTACAGGACACACTTGTTGCACAGCCACCCATCGATCCTGACTGATCATGAAAAGGGTGGATGATATGAATGAAAGGCTCGCTGTGAACCTCCAGTTACTGACACTTGTATTAATATTGATTATTACATCAAGGTCTCATTGATTTTGCTTTGAATGAATTCCGAATGACTTTGAAAAAGTATAGTCGCTTTATTCTCAGTGTTCACTCAAGGCTGATGTTTACAATTCCTCTCTATCCCTGCTACTGTGTGCTCACCATTACTCTGTTATCATTGAGCCTGGATCTGAGCTTGTAAAAGCCCTCTATTAAACCCATAGAGTGTAAAATCCATAACTGTACATATCTACTGGAGCATTGTCTGTAAAATCAGTTCGGATGGATCTGTCATAACTCCTTTTTACTGTGTCATACTGTCGTTATCATGTCACTTAATCAGCACTTATGTCAACTGTGCATGTTTTATGCAACCTTCATGAAGTAAAGTGCGTAAAGCAACTCTTGACCGTTACCCAGCAATCACAGGTGCTATTTTATGCTCTGTTCGAGTGCTCAGATGACGGGAGATGCTTTTATGTTGTTTAATGCCACCTAGAGCCGAGGTGTAGCCTGCTTTATGTATAGATTAATCCAGTGAGAAAAACAAGTCACTGCAAACAATGGGAGACAGGTACAATACTTATTTCACAAAACAATGTTGAAGTCAGGTTTCATCCTGTTACAGCAAAAACACATATTTCTCTAATAATACTATTTTCTTTGTTTTGTTTTCAAACAGCATGTTTTCACCTGACAGACTCAGAAAGCTTCTTAACACGCAGGAGATTATAACTATAATTTCTGTGATTACAGGTAGCCTGTGGTGATGTCCGGGTCCATAAACAAACATGCAAGAATAGTATTTTTCAACTTAGTAAAATAATACACCTCAGCAGCTACAGATGAGACAAGAGTGAGTCCAGTCCTAAAATATCTGGTGAATCCCCCATGTGACCATTTGTGTTGGGGTTGTTACTTATTAAGGCCTGGCTAAACACATCTCTCTTGCCGTCAGGCGGCAGGGACAACAGGTCAGTGACCACTGAGTCACTGCTGCATATACAGTCCGACAGTCCCTGTGTGTGAGTGAGATCATCACCTGCTGGGAATTTTTGGCAACGTGAAACTCAGGAAGGAAGGAAAAGGGAGGAAAGAATTTAACGTCTTAATACTCCCTTGTTTAGTTAAATGTGAGATTTGCAAGACAGCTTTATGTAACTAAATGTTTTTACACACTGATAACTGAGGTACGACTGAATAATGTGTTAAATCACATTCCATTAAGGTAAGTTAAGGAAGAGTCCTCCCTCAATAATCGTCAGTGTGGAGTTCAGTTTCCCATGATACAAAAAGAGATAAAGACATGCAAATATATGTCATTTCCAAAGTCAGGGTACATTTTTTTTTATTTACTTAAAAAAATAATAATTCTTTAAGTTTGTGCACTTAAGTAAAACATTTTATACTAAATTGTATTCCCCATGTAAACAAGTCTTAGTTTCTTAGCATCAAACTCTGCACATACAAACTAAACAGAGAGGTTTCAAACACAAAGCCTTGCCTGCATGGTGGCATTTTCCATGTACCAAATGCTGTTTAAACGATGCTCCACTTTGAACAGACTCCTGATGAGGAACATGCTTTGTCAGTGGCCCACTCACATTCCAGTCATCTGACCCACAAGCTCATACACACACACACACACACATGCAAACACACACAAGGACACACATTGTGTGAGTGCGTTTAAGGGGTCTGGGCTTTCCATTTGTGAGGGATTTGTTTCTTGTAGTGAGATAGATATCAGGATTTACACTGGAAAAAAATATCCCCAATCTGGTATCTGTGTAGGTTCTTATTCATACAAGTCATGGTAATCCAATTCTTCGTTGAAAGGACAAGTGGACTTGTTTGAGGTTCTTGAAAACATTTCGCCTCTCTTCCAAAAATCAGAACTCAAGAGGGCTTTTGGAAGAGAGACAAATCCTCAAACAAGTCCAGTTTCCCTTTCAACTAAGTATTGTACAAATCTAGTATCAAATCAAGAAAACACTATTTGATATGCCGATTATCTTTCTACATTATTTTGTATAAATCTAAAAGTGGATTTACATTAAATCTGCAGTCCAACTTATTACCAGAAGTCAGAACTTTATGATCCGAGTTGTATTTTGAATGTAAACAGAGTCTGAATTACGGTGGATACTAAAAGTAGACCATAAAAAGGGTGGATATGATCTTTCTCCTGACTCTTGGTCAATCAAACTTTAGATTTCGGTAACTTATTAAGACAGCCTCATGATCTCAGCTCAGGGTGTGACGACTGCATTGGTCATCCTCCCTACTTTTATTCCTTTATGATCAAAGTTTATAATTGCACACCTTATCATGTGAATCTTTTAAAAGCTTGAGATGACAAAGATTTCTGTGAAGGAGACACATGAGTTATCCTTTCACAGCTCCAGAGAGCCAGTGTTGTGTTTTATTGTGTTAACTATACAGCTGTGCAAATATTAACTTCCATTGCATTTCTGTACTGTGAGCACTTAAGACTTGTCCTGGGAATAAGACACATGGTACCACCAGTAGACGACACTCTGACATTTTTATTGAAGTTTCAGTTAAAAAAGTGAATTCTCTTGAAAGTGAATTTAGTCTGTCATAAGTTTGATTAGAATTGTGTTCAGACCAAAAAAGATCATTTTAAATTTGTTTTATACATCAGTTGTGGTACCTATGAGCTACAACATGAGGTCAAAAACCTAGCATAAAAGTCCACCATTTTAGCTTAGAGGACTAATAAAGTCATAATAGTAGTTCTGGAGTAAGTTAAGCCAGTGGTTCAACTGAGAAAGTAAAGAAGTCTGATGAGAGGATCAGAGTTTCAGTTCAGATTGTTGAAATGTTTTACTTTGTCTTTTCAGAAATACAGCTGTGAATGTTCTGAATCACTTAAAGGCATTCTCATGTTAAAATGACTTTTTACGAAACAGCTTTTTAGCAGTGATATGCAATAATAATAAAAAGAATTATTGTACCAGATGAATAGTGGATAATAGATAAAAATACACATGAATGTGAAGAAGTGACTGTTATTTAGGGAGAGAGAAGGTGAGGGTGGGCTGAGGTGGAGAGTGGAGGGTAGTAGGGATACGGCTCAACTTACCCCACTCAATAGGAGACCACTTTTTTTGGCATGCTATATTATCAAGACAGTTATGGCTACACTCATTCTGTTGGTTTGCAGGGATGCACAACATCTTGAAATATATGCAGATACACTAGTTAGAGAAAAAACTATGATTGACTTGATGTAGTGATCCGAAATATGAAAAATGGCTCATCTTACCCCACTCTCCCCTATATATCATAAATTACTTGTGGAGGTTTTAACATTAATGTGCTCTAAAATATACAAAGTAGATATGTTCATCGTTGAACATGTAAGATTGCAGTTTCTTCATGCTGGGTGTGAACATGTAAGCAGTATTTTCATGTTGTGGTCCAGACATTGCTGAGTCTTACTGGTCCATCATTTGTTGTGAAATTGTTTCCCAGTGCTGCATTTTTACCATTAACAAAACATTTAATTGGGTAAAATTCATATTAACAGTTAAATTTGATTAAAGCTGTGGTGATAGGGTGTTTAAACTTGTGAAACACCCATTTGACCTGTAAAATAAATCATTTGTTGCCACTCCTGTGCAGCTATTATCCAGAATCGGGATAACTTATTAGAAGTTTTGTTATTACCATAAAGAGGAAACGATAATTCAGTGTAAATGGACGGTAGCGGAAGAGGTGCGTAATTTGTCAGACCGAGAAACCCACTGCAGACTTCTTGGGCGGCAGTTTTTGTCCACTCAGCACCTTGACTTCCCATTCCAGCTCCATAGAGAGTTCGCCTATAGCCTACTCTCCGTGTACCCTGCGCTCACACTGTTCTCTCAGCTCTGCTCTGGTGCCATCATGGACTCCTACTCGACTTCCACGGAACAAGACGTTTCAGCGCGTATCTAATGTGGTCCAGCTGGAGGGGCGAACAGAAGTGAACAAGCTGGAGAGGGAAAACAACTTCAGCCTGAAAACTTTTACTGTCGAAATACAACTTTTGGGGGAGAGAACAACGCGAGACGAGGACCTCTGACGGATCTCTATTGGGGGTGAGTACGATTATAAGAGGTTAATTTATCACAGAGAGTGGAAAATATCGGCGTGTTGTTGTGTTTTTAATCACGTGTTGGACCAAATGGTCGAGGACCACCGAGCACATGTGGTTAAAAGATTCATTCACCTCAAACTGATCAGCTTTGGCTGGAAGAAGTAACAAGTGCATTGACTTTAGTAGAGACATGTGAACGAGCTTGTACTTTGTTGAACTCACTTTGGGGCTCTCTGCTCTTGTGTCGCACTCCAAAACTCACGTTTCACTCGATTGTTCTGTAAGAACCAATCATTTACGTTTTATTGATTATCGCGTAATAATAACGCAGTTATAGATCTGTAGCTATACCAGCACAACAACACGTGAATTGAAACACTCATTACACTAGTCTAAACATTTGTGTCTTATTGAAATCCATGAAAGTAGGGACTCTTGAGTAAATGCTTTCACTTTATAATACTTTATAGGTATTTTTGATCAAACAAAAACAGTTTAAACAGCTAGACTTCACTGGATTTAGTTTGTTAAAAAATTAAATTATAGGTCTGTTTAAAAAGATAAATAAAGTTATAATAAAAATAATAATAGTAATAATAATAATAATACAATTTTATTTCATTTCTTTGAACATTTCTTTGAATCATTAGACTATTGAATTTCCCAAAAGAAAAAAAATGGTCAAATACCAGCACCAACAAACATTTCAGAGATCCCTAGTTAACATCCTCCAAGATCTAACCACAAGTTGAAGTTCAAAGAGAGCATAAAAAATTTTTTAAAACAGATTTTATGCCTAAACTTAGGAACTACCTTTGGAGCTTTCTTTTTGTCTTTGTTTAAGTTAAAGGGACATTCCTGCGTAAAATTAAGTTAGGGTCAAACACACCTAACACCGAGTTAGACACCTCGTCCAGGGATGAATAATGCCGACCTCTTGCTTCTCTAGTTACCAACTTTAGTAACGATTGCAAATAGCAATACGGAGAGCCACATGCTCAACCAAAAAGCCACTCTATAACCACAAATAATGCTCAGAACAGCACCTAACTTCATCAACAGTACATGTAGGGTCCTAGCCATAGTACTAACCAACAAACATCTTTTTAGCTTTGCCTGATTTGTTGTTTTACACAACTCACCCACTCTCCTCCAGCAGCCGCTTGTCTGTACGGAGACATCAGGGCAAGTCCATCGACTGCAGCTGGGTAATGCAGCTCAAGGAGGAACATTTATGATCATTATTTTATTATTTCCTTTAAGTAATAATCACCATATTAATCATTTTACACTGCAGACGCGGTAGTTCTTCTGCTTCAGCATCTTGCTCTGATTGCATTTCTATGAAGAAATTATCATAAATGTTCTTCCTTGAGCTGTGTCACCCCACAGCAGTCGATGAACTCGCCTGGAGGTCTCCGTACAAACAGGTGGCTGTTGGAAGAGAGTGGGTGAGTTGTGTGAAACAACAAATCAGGCATAGCTAAAAAGATGTTTGGTGGCTAGTACTATGGCTAGGACCCTATATGTACTGTTGATGAAGTTAGGTGCTGTTCTAAGCATTATTTGTGGCTATAGAGTGGCGTTTTGGTTGAGCGCATGGCTCGGTGTATTGCTATCTGTTGTCGTCACTAAAGTTGGTATAACTAGAGAAGAAAGTGGTCGGCAACATTCATCTCTCGACAGGGTGTCTAACTTGGTGTTATGGTGTGTTTGACTCTAACTTAATTTTACGCAGGAATGTCCCTTTAATCTATATGTGTATTTTCTTTGCAAGTGAATCAGAAATATTCTCTTTTTTCTGTAGTTTTGATCATCTGTTGGCTTGAGAGTCCTACACTGAGTGTCACAATGGAAAAAGTCTTTAGCAGCCCTGGGACACCCAACCGGTCAACAGAGTTCACCGCCATCTTCAACTCCAGCTGTCGCTTTGATGAGGAGTTCAAATACATCCTCCTGCCTGTGTCTTACAGTCTGGTGTTTATAGTTGGCTTTGTGCTCAACGCTGCAGCCCTGTGGCTCTTCCTGAAGATGCGCCCCTGGAACCCAAGTACGGTGTTCATGTTTCACCTTGCTCTGTCAGACTTTCTTTACGTCCTTTCCCTTCCAACCCTCATCTACTACTATGCCAACCGCAGCCACTGGCCATTTGGAGTGGCAGCCTGCAAAGCAGTACGTTTCCTCTTCTATGCAAACCTCTACTGCAGCATCCTTCTTCTCACTTGCATCAGCGTGCACCGGTACCTGGGCATCTGCCACCCAATAAAGACGCTGAGTCTGGTCAAGTCTCGCCATGCTCACCTGGTGTGTGGCGTGGTGTGGGTTGTGGTGACTATCTGCCTGATCCCAAATCTCATCTTCGTCACCACATCGAGGAGGGACAATGATACAATCTGCCATGACACCACAAGTCAGGGGGCGTTTGAGGAGTATGTGGACTACAGCTCTGTTGTCATGGTGCTTCTATTTGGCATCCCTTTCATGGTCATCATGGTGTGTTACTGTTTAATGGCGCGGGCTCTGTGCCGGCCCAAACATGGATTATCTACAAGCCAGCGTGCCGCCGCCTCACGTCAAAAATCCATCAAGCTCATAATTGTTGTACTGGTGGTGTTTGCGGTAAGCTTCGTCCCTTTTCACATCACTCGGACCCTCTACTACACCTCCCGCGTGTTACATATGGATTGCCATTTCCTCAATATCGTCAACTTCACGTACAAGATCACCAGACCATTGGCGAGCATCAACAGCTGCATTGATCCAATCCTGTATTTCTTGGCCGGGGATCACTACAGATCTAAAATGATGTCTGTTTTAACTGGAAAAAGACAGAATACAAGCAGCCTGACAGCTGAGCAGCCGAACAACAACCAAAACATCGCTCTGACCTATAAAAACTCAGCTGCTAAAGAGAGCGGAGAGATCCAGAGATAGCTGGAAGACTAAATTATTCAACATGCATTGATCATTTCTGTTCCAGGCTAAGCTAACCTTCTCATGTTGGATGAAAAACCACTGTTTTAATTTTCCTTTTTTTTGCACTCAGAGATTTCAAAGACTATCGGTGTACTGTATACTTACTCACTGTATGGGTGTACTCCATTAAATCTTCATCATATCTTTGTTTAACAAGCTTGTGTTTTGGTAACCTCACTTTTGTGGTCGTTGTGTTTGAAAGACAAATTTTTCAGCTGGTTTTAACAAAAAAAAATTGCACTGCATTGTTCCTCTTTAATGCAGTAGATTGTGGTTGAAAGTTTATTGCTTCATTTTGACATAACCAGAGCAGCGACTGGGACACAGGTGGTGCTGGCTGGCCTTCAGTTTATTTTGAAAATTTAGTCTGTGAATTAAAGTTGAAGGTAAAAAGCACCGATCTAACCATCAAAAGATACCAAAGCGGACTGACTGTTAGATGAGGCCGTCCTTCCTGTTTAATCCACAATGCCTGAGTGTCCCCTCAGAAACTGCTGCTCCTGACTCCAGCTGTTTATATCCTTCAGTTTCACAGCTGCCTCTTGCTCAACGATGAAGCCAAAAAGACTCGGATCCGAACTAGAGATATCATTTCAAACCACCCACGCTTCACTGGAAGAAGAAAAGAATTTTATTTCCATTTACCTTTGGGACAGTTTCCTGGAAGTTAGAGGTCTATTTTTCTTACTTTTGTATCAGTAATCTAGGCAGAAATCTGTGATAGTATTGCAGGATGTGAAAGCAGTGTTGGAGAGTTGTATGTAAATACTGTTGTGTATTGGTTGCTCCACCTTTGTTTATAATGTCGGTGTAGGAAGCTTTGATGGAGCAGATGTATTATACAGCTCTGTTATATGTTTATCTCATGAGCCCAAACAAGAGCACTGTCTAGGAAGAAGTTTGCGTAATTACAGTCTGATACGAATCACACACTGTGATTGAGACGTACTGCCGCTTTCTGAGTTGGAGTTTATGAACCACTTATGCAACAAATAAGCTGGAAGTATGAGTTGAAACTGAAACTAAGTCAACCTGGTGTGACCTAAATTAAGTCGATACAGATCAGCTAATGTTTGGGAAGTGAAAGGAGGTCGACTCACGCTATACAGCACTAACATGGATTTACAATTCAGACTAGTGACTATTAGGATTTGAGTATTTGGTCAAAACTTAGAGGGCTCCTCTTAAAAAGGATGCCACTTAATTTACAAAGTTATTAACGTGACTAAAATGATAAATTCCAGCAAACAAGATTTGGGTCTTCAATCCTGGTGTTTCCAAAGTTGCATTGAAATCCTAGATCATGCATAATGTCCCCTCTTTTCTGATGTGCTTTTTTCACTAAAAACACAAACTTTTATAGCAATATCCTCAATGTTGTCTAATATTATTCAATCAAGGCTTGCCGTATTGAGTCTTTTGCCAGTTTGAATGGCGCTGTGATGGGGTTAAGCAAAATCTTTCAGGTTACAACAGGGAAATTTACAACTTATTCACATTCATACAAGCTGTATAGGATACTTTTACTCACTTTTTAAAAATTCTGCAGGCATAGAATTGCAGCAAATTATAGACTTGAATTTAAAAGTATGTATTAAAATATAGATATTTACAGCTTTTACCATGAGAGGTTATGTGTAACTCATGATTTCATGTAATATGCATTTTCTGTAAGTATAAAAATGATCATCCTGGTATAATAAGTAACATTTTTAAGTGTTCTTGTGCGACTGATGGAAATCACAGCATTCTTAACCCTGAAGAAAAGTTTGCATGGATGTTAAATCTTACTTTGCAAACTCCAGGAAAAGCTCTTGACCTTGATGGCCTGGCCTGTGCGTCTGTTTTAGGGAAATCTTTACAACATTTTGTTTTTCTATGTGTAAGGTGCATTATGAAGTCAACTTGAGGGCTCTACTGTGTATGATACTCTGCAAATGTCATACATAAAATGCAGACAACTCTCTTTGTCTTGACTCTTTATTTCAGATTTCTACCACTATCTTGATGCTGCTAGCAGGGCTCCTTGTGTGAAGGGTTTTTGAGACTTCCAGCCTCAAACCTCACCCAAACTCAAAGCCTGAGAGCAGAGTCACTTACCACTGTGCCCAAATAACTAAAGGTGGGAAACCTGAAATAATTTACCAAACTGTATTTTTTCAATAAACTGGTGTTGAAAAAAGAGAACAAAACAGTGGCAGAGAAATGAATTTTGTGCATGCAACAATCCAAGTGGGCAAGGGGCCCTGAAGGGGAACTGCGGTTGGATTTCCTTGTGAGAATTGTAGGCTGGACCGCTTCCTCTTCCTCTCATCAGTCAACATTAAAGGCTTTCTGACAAGTTTACTTGAGAAGGATATTCTAATATTTGACGTGTTAGACCACGTCCTCAGAGAAAAGACTTTTCCCTGATTCCTCTAGGACACACAAGAAGAGCTTGTGCAAGGCTGAGAGGTGGATGCTATCATTCAGTCAGAGCAGGTACCTGCTGCGCACATGCAGGGCTGAGGGCCAACATACAGTCAAGGCAGTTGTCTGATTTGAAAGGTGTTAATAAAATAAAGTAAGACTTTATGACATAACTTCAAATAGCTGCAGCTGGATTCATGGTTCAGGTGTGAATGATCATGGATCTTACATAGTCTTTGCCCAGTTCTTCTGCCTCTGCTGATGTGATTTACAGCAAGCATGTGTGAGTGTCAGATAGAGGAGGGACTGCTTTGTCTTAGCCAGCTGCACAGTTTACAAACATGAGCAAAGTTTAAGAGGAAGTGGAAGTCAAACCAGCAAAGAGGGACTAAATTCAGGCAACTTTTGTTTAGCACATTTGGGAAATTTTGATATTTACCTTCAAGGTATTAGCCAAGGGTGACCAGATGTCCTGTTTTCCCAGGACATGTCCTGTTTCTACGCCCTGTCCTGGCAGTCCTGCTTTTTTTTATGAAGTAATGAAAATGTCCTGGTTTCCATTGTTTTTCATTGTGCCACTAAATTGACTGGCACTAGAGCTATTTTTATTAAAGTTGAATTTCTAATATAGCAGAGGTTTTATTGATTTATACCAATACAGAAGAACCATTATTTCTGTCCTTATTTCATTAGTTATTTTTTTTTTTATAGTTTCATGATAAAACATGTTGAGTAACCTCTGAGAAGCCTTTCTGAATTTGTGTCTTTGGTTATATAAAGTACATGGCAATATAAAAATTCTCTATCCATAAAAAGGAGGCATACTTTAAATATATCAAAATCATAAAGCATCATTTGAGTATCTTGTTGTCGAACCGATGGTCCTGCTTTTCAGTGATCAAAATGTGGTCACCCAATATTAGCCCAGCTAATAGTTTAAACCTTGAGGGTATTGGAAGATGAATTGACCATTGACCAACCATTAATAGAGAAGATTCTTTCAACAAGTTGAAGTAGAGCTATGTGAGAAATAAAAGCAATGCCATGCTGAATGACAGGTTTATAGAGGCAAGAGATAGAAAAATTAGGTTCCTGAGTCACAGGATGTCAAACTGACAAACCTTGAACTGGAGTTGGTTCCTTCTCTCCACAAATTGCAACAGTAGCAGCCCGGCCTTCAGAGTTCAGCCTGCCACTTCCACCACCTCTAGCATTCTCAATGCCCACACCATTAGACTGAATTCCACGACCATTACAGCAGACTGATATCACCACTTGACAAAAGGGGTCCCATCCATAGACTGTATATAGAAGTACAGTATATACAGTCTATGGTCCCATCACATTATGGGAAGTCCACACATTCCCAAACAAATTATCTCCTGGCTTTGCTGCCATGGTGAAATATACTTGCATCATTAACAGGCCAAATGTTACTGAGACACAGGCTTCACCCACTCTAACGTTGTAACGTCACTTGCCGTTCCTAAAAGGAAAGGCAAATGATTCACGCAACAGGTTGGTCCAGCCAGGCTACCTGCAGGCCACCTAGATACCATTTCAAGTGCTGTTAAATATTCATCATCAAAGTCTGCATGATAAACAAGCATGTTTAGCATAAAGCGTATTAGAAAACACAAATGCTGCTTGCTAACAATAAATCCATTTCTTCTCGACTTTTGGGCAACTCATTCTGCTGTGTGCCAGATGCCTTCCTTTAAAGCTTTGAATCAAGTAATCCAAGGACACCACAGTGGCGAAGTTCAAACTCTTAATCTTACTCTGATCAGCATGTAAGTTTGACATTTACAAAAAAAACCCAGAAACTGTGAAATATGTGGCACAAGCTCAGACAAATGTTGAACTGGCACCACCAAATTCCGATCTGACGTCATAATTTGCCGGGAATAGCGCTGCAGACATGCCTGCTCTTCGGGAAATGGCTGAAACCCTTTGGGCAAAATAAAACAATATTTAAAAACAGTTAGCAAGAAAGCACATTGTGTGCTTTTTTGGAAATGTGTTCTTATTGCTAAATTTTCACTCCTCCGGCATTTGCACATGCATAAGGTCTCCAAGCACTTTCTGTAAAGGGATGTGGACTTTACAAGCTGAAACTTGCACTGCAGTGGTCCAGTGTGTATACTGGACTTGACCATACTATTCTACAGACTGTTGATGAAATGAATTGCAATAAGAATAACTGTATAACAATTGAATAACTCAATTGTCTGTCGTCTCATTTGTCTAATATTTATAAAAGAGTTTTAAAGTCTGATGGCTGTTGGTACAAAAGATCTTCTGAATCTTTCTGTCCTGCAGCGAAGAGAGAGGAGCCGTCCACCACCATTGGCCCTTTGCTCCATTAAGGTGTTGTGAAGTGGGTGACCCATGTTCTTTAGAATAGTCTCCAGTGTAGATCTCTCCACCACATCCTCCATTGAGTCCAACTTGAATCCAACCAAAGAGGATTCAAGTTGGACCCAGTGGAGGATGTGATATGACTTGTATTATGTTTGCAGGAGTATAAAGTAGGCACGACCTCATCGAACTGGGCCCAGCAGCTGGAATACCTTCGTGTTGTGGAGCCTTGGCTGCTGCAGAAAAAGCTATCAGCTTTAAGGACCATAACGGGTTACAGTTATTTAGTTATACATTCTGTTGCTATGATATTGCAGAAAAAAATCTCTTCTTTCAACTGTAAAATACCAAAGATGCAAAACAATTTGCTTGAAATATTTAAAGTGTCTATGAAAGTGTATTGTTTTGACTCTTCAACTCTTCTCCCAATCCCGTGTGACAGTGATTAACACGATTTTGTTGCTGCCATAGATGAATTTGTTGTTTCAGGGGGGATGTCACTTTTGTTTGAACCCTGTTTTCCAGGCAACAGACACAGACATTCTTCAGAGATATCACTGCACCATATGTCCTTGCTCTATGTCAACAGTGGTCTATGGCGTGGCCTTAGAGAGTTTTTTGAGGAAAACATAGCTGATATCAAGCCGATGTTTTTGGTGGAAGTTCAGATGACCGTCAAGGTCTGCCAGATGTTTTGTTAGTTCCAGCTCTTTGCCAAGTTGTTGCATGGGAAATAAAAACCATGCTTCCAAAAAAGGAATCCCTGCAGACATAAAAATCTGTAGTTCAGATGCTGTCATATTTTGGTTCATTGGCAATGTTGTAATTGGAAACAAAAATTGCAAAATATTTTCAATTTGCATAACTAGAAACAAAAGCAGAGGAGTTTTGGTTCATTAGTCTGCACATCCTTCTTCAAAAACTTATGACAGATTCATCAAATTTCTGGACTAGGTACCTCTGAAGAAAGTACCCCTCTTGACCCTTGGCCCTGACATCTGTGACCTGTGTCCTCCTGTACAGGTAAATTCATGTTTTCACAATTATTTTTTTCTTCTTGTATTTAATTTTCCGATTTCATACAAGAGGGGGCATCCTCGTAGATTTAAAGACTCATTCATCCCCATATCTAAGCTTATTTTGCAAACTCTGAGTTGACCTTGATTGCCTGACCTTTGGGTCTGTTTGAATAGAATAGACCTGAGTAAATCTTACCCAGCGACCACTGTCTAGTGATTGGAGGTGTTTCTCTTCATGTATAATTTGAATTCTGAGCCATGATTGGTGGTCAGTCATGATTGCACTGTGTGATACTTTGTTGACCCATTTGCTACAGCTGCCGAGAACCGCCACTGCTGCAAATAAAAAAGAACACAAAAAAAGAAGCTACAACGGAAGTTACTAATGAAAAAAACTGAAGCCTGCAGAAAATTAAAAAGAGGCGGCACAGATTTTTTAAAAAAAGGCCAAAAATATGAAGCAATGCAAAACAAAACAAAAACAAAAAACACATTACTTACTGTGAAAATAAGAGAATGCAAATTTAAAAAAGCCAGAACGGAAGTGAGCTGCCTGGGATCAATAATAATGATGCATCAGTGTTTTACAATCGGCACAGAAGACGACGGCGAGAAGACTAGCAAGGAAGTTTGTGGAAATGTTATTGTTTAAATTCGCTTCGTGTACTTTTCTATGTGTCATTTGGTCAGGTCATGTTGCACCTGAGTCAATATGAAGTTGAACTGGAGGATGCCGTTGTAGTGTTAGCTTCAGTTCAACTTCATATCAACTTAGGCGCAACATGGCCTAACCAAATGACACATTAAAAAGCACATGAAGCGATATTGATCAATAACCTTCCCACTAACTTCTTTGCTCGTCTTTTCGCCGTCGTCTTCTGTGTCTAGATCGTAAAACACTGGTGCATCATCATTATTGGTCCCCGGCAGCTCATTTCTGTTGTGGCTTTTTTTATTTGCATCCTTTTATTTTTGCAGCAACTAACTTTTTTTTTTCATCCATCAACACTTTTTTGTGTCATTAACTTCTTTATCTGCACCATTTCTTTTTTTATTTGCAGCGGGCTTCGATTCCTTTTTCTTTTAGCATCTATTGCTGGGTCCAAAATGGATCCCTAACCCCCATATAGGTGACTACATGGGGGTTACCGCCATTTTGAGGGGTGTCAGAAACCTCAGTGATCAATTCCAGTGCCCTTTATAGGCAACTCAAAATTTCCCATAGAGCACTGCAAAATGTAGTGACCATCCTTTTAGTGGGCATCCCGTCATGCCATGTAGTGTCTGAAACCTCTGGTAATTGAGTTCACTACATATTTAACTATATAGTAAAATACAATATGGTGGTTAGGGGTTAGGAATGAGTGATTCATATCGGACACAGCCAGTAACTTCTTTTTTGACTTCTATTTTTATTTGCAGCAGTGGCGGTTCTCGGCCACCGTAATTTGAAAAGGTATAAACAAAATACAAAAGCTTTATATTAGAGTCTTGCCTCTGTGTTTTAATTCTTTACCACACAAACAACTTTCATAGTAATCCTAATTTCAGTATTGTTGACAAAAATCTGCTCTTTAAATAACAACATCTCTACACATCAACTACTTGGACTAATAAGGTTTGAAACAGCCTGAAAAGGAGTCCTTCATTGCTGGTTGTGAATGCAGCCCCTCTTCCCCTGCTCTCGAGCGCCCCCGCGTGGCCTAATTAAGACAGGAAGTTGTTACTGGTTTTGGGGGGAAAGCTTCCCAAGCTCGGTATCCAAGTCAAACAAAGTGACTAAATACCTGTATATCTAAGCATATATTTCTTTCACTTTTACAAAAATAATGTGTAATTCTAACGTGTCGTGAAAGAAGTGTAAATTTACAGCACAATTTGAGCTTTCTTTGCCTCTAGAGCTCTCATAGACAAGGAGAGAGCCCTGAACATGTACCCAAACGATTCGGGAAGACGGCAATGTACAATATTCGACCTACAAATGAGCTGTAAACACTCTCTACTCTAATGAGATTAAAAATAGTTTGTGTGCTATCTCAACCTGTAGTTGAGATAGCACACAGGCAAATGTCGACACATGGTTTTACAGTTCACCTGGCTTTTTGGAGATGTAGGCCTGGAGGTATTGGATTTTGGCCTATTTTCCACCAGACTGCTGTAACAGGTGAAATCATCGCTTCAACACAGGTGAGCACGTTAAATTCTGTCTGCTGCCTCTCTTTGTATCACTTCATGCTTTCATCCTGTCCGTAAAATAACCGATTTAATTGATGAACATTAGGCCAGGATTTATAACCTGCCCCACCCGTGTGTTTCTGGTTTGCCTATTCATTTTTGAAGCGTACAAATTATTGCTTTACAAACAACCAAGTGTTAGCTTGTAATTGTATTAATCGTGTTTATTTAATGTCGGATTCCTCCGCTTTGAGTGGCTCTGGGAGGCCATTTAACAAACAGCAACTTTACTACAGAGACAAGCTGTCTGCTTTTGTTTTTTTTAACGTCAGCCCAAGATGATTAAATAGTCAATACTTGTTGGTTTTGTTAATATTGGGGAGATTTCATTCAAGAAAATTGATCAATGCAGTGGTTAGTGTTACAACGCCCAAATCCTGCACCTGCAAGACCGCACTACGGGTATTTTCGCCCTTTGATAAATTGATTCGTATTGATCGTTAACGATCGACTAAATATCGAGGGAAAATAGAGTTATCCTGCAGCTACCGAGTTTTACATTTGAATGTAAAACTGCTATAGGCCAGTCATGAGGAAAAAAACGACGTTCACTAAGTTGGATTTCCTATTTGTTTTGATTTGATCAGTTTACTATGAATATATCGCTCTCACTCTAAATGTGTCCAATAATGAAGCTTAAATGGTTTTCTAACATTACTCCGTTTAGTAAAGTATCGAAAAGATGGGTCAAATAAAATAAATTCATTTTACTAAGAGAACACCGCACAATTGAATATATGTGTGATTTTCTTATTTTAAAAGATAGCCGAGAAAGCTAAAGTCTGTGTCGTGTTTTATGTTATACAGTCTTCTCTCAGAGGATTTCAGTTACTGTCGTCTTGGTTATAAAGAGTGTCAAACTTATTTCTAAATTAAATATAACCCTCCGAGAATACTGCTTCTATTGACAACCTCTGCTGTGTCACTGACCTTATTACTTTGACTAAATTGTTTTCTCGGTGTCTGTCTTCTTCGCGGTCATGCAGGTTTACTTGAATAGAAAGCAGGGTTTCTTCCCGTTACAATCGACCATCATGCACCCACGTCTGAATGAAACACTTGATGTCCTCCTGCAGGGAAGATGTGAGTCTTTGCTCAAGGACACACTGTGGACAGAGAGCTCAATCAACTATCGGATTCAAGACATCTACAAGGTAGAAACAAGTTTTTAAAAAATCTTTTTTTTTTCTTTTTTCTTTTTTCTTTTTAGAAATGTAGAAAAAGGACCTGACTGTGGGCACAATTCAGACTTCTCAGAGGAGTCTACCATTAGACTATAAAATGTGACAAAGTAGACTAGTTGGACTGGACTGACTTTTCATTTTCAAAAAGGTCTTACGTCTTAACTTTATGCACAAACAGTTTGCAGTGAAGTGAATTGAACACTGGTTGATATTTGTGGGTTTCTATTCCAGATGTGAGACTTTATAATATTTGGAATATCGTAAAACCTAAGAGCTTTTTGACTGCCACATGGTTTAGAGTTCAGCCTTTTTACAGCCATGTCAGCATCCTCATCAGAATATATGATAATGTATTTTTAAACCACTTCATCATCATCAAATAAATCGTACAGTATGGAAATATAGAGGATTTGCTTTTAATTAAAAGCTAATACTCCTGTTAGTGTGTATTGATTGTGAGGTACACCCACGCCTCAGCCTAAAGTGATGCATTTGTTGAGCCTTGAACATTTTTTTTTCTGTGTTTTTCTCTTGTTTGGCAAATTATGAGGCAGAGACGAGGGGATCTCAAGGACGGCGTGGACTTCAATTTAATCGAAGAGGCTGAGAGTGGAGTGGAAAGAGTGACACACCGAGGAGAGAAGTTCATTATTCTGCTGAAAAGGAAACCAATGGCTTTCACTGTCGCCATGGCAACGGGCCTTTCTCTCGCCGTCAGACCTATGATAAGGTACTTCACAGCATTAAGCACAATTATCGCAAGGTAAAAAGGGGAAATATTGCTCCCAATGCTAATAGATGTTAGATATTGATTGGCATGGCGATTCATATAGAAGTGCGCCCCGGCGGTTTCACCTCTCTGACTCTTTGCAACCTTTTATTGAAAATTGATGGAGGTGATGCTGGATATGGGCCTCCTTTTTATGGCACTAGGGTCTTCCAGTTCTCTTTACTTTAATATCATAAATACGCTTTACTTGTGTCAGCAAGAAGGTAAAGATAAACTCAGTCATGACAAAATGAGATATATCTCAAAAACTGCAAAAAAAACATGTGCATCGTTTTCAAGAGAGAAAAATCTGCATGTTTTCCCACCGTCTTTGTCATAAAAACTCTCATAACATAAATACTAAATAGCGGCTGCTTCCTGTCATTTGCATGCCATTTTGTTGTCAAGTGACCCCGCTCGCACTCTCGCACAATAGCGGGCCGGCCTTGGCAGCAGCGAGGTCAGCATCAAGCACAAGTCCAGGCTATGGGGGGTGTTTGGTTGGTGACGGCCTGCCCGTTTAGTGAGAGGATGGTGGATTAGCATAGCAGAAAGCACGGGAGCTGCTGTGTGTGTGTGGGGAGGGACACGGCTGGTTGTGGGGGACAGATTGTTTTAACCCCTATTACAGCAACTGCATGGCGCTCCTCTTATCTGGGCCTCTGCAGCCACTCATTAATATTCCGTACATATGGCAGAGCTTTCTGTATCATTGTCTATTAATGGGAGGGATAATCGCTCATTCAATTATCAAGCAGTCAGCAAAAGACCAGCGGCGCCTGCGCACCCCCTGGTTCACACAGTGGCACAGCCCAAAACAGAGGTGTGCTAGCGAGAAGGTGAGAGCGATAGCGGGGGATTACAACGTATTAGCTACTTTAATAAATCAGAAGGCGGGAATAATGGGAGCCAAATAAGGGATCTGCTGGAGAAAAGGAAACATGCCTGAACTTTAGAGCAACAAAGCAGAACATGCTCGAGGAAAAAGTCACAGCCATGATACATGTGAGACTTTCAGAGATGATTTTAATCGCTGATCTCTGCAGGGATGACCTCCAGCTTTGAGAACTGAGAAATAGACTCTGACATGTGTGCAGAAAGAAGCTTGACCCTAATGTCTGCTAGGCCAAAGATCTGGGAACAGATCAAATGTAGCCTTCATCCCCTGTTGATCTGTGCTTTGTGGCCCCAGGACCCCGCACTGTCGGTCCCCCTGCTGCAGGGGTCATGGCCTGGATGTGAGGGGGTTACTGATTATAGTGTGACCCCTGGCTGTTTTGACCTGAGGAGACCTTGTTGAGTCAACAGAAGCACATACACACAGACAGAGGAGAGAGGGAGAGTTAAAGGAAGGTGGTTCAGTTATCCAGAGTTTCTTCAGGAGGTGGAGCAGGAGAAGATGTGGAGTGCAGAGCTGTTGCAGGCGAGGGGGCGGGGGGAGTGTGAACAAGATAGGAGGTGAAATGTTAACAAAATCTTATAAAATCCGTAGTTTGATAAATTTTCGCATCCTGAATGAACCGGAGGCGGCTGTGGCTGCTGTGCTGGAGGGGTCTTTTGTTGGAGGTCCCATTTTCTCTGGCGGAGCAGCACGCTCACAGGGTCAGCGAAGTTACGAAAGTAATTAAAGCTCGGTGATTCACTGCCTGCTGCAGAGAAAAGAAAGCAAGCTGTCATTCTGATTTAGAAAAATAAATTACAATTTTAATAATGGGGGAGGATGGGGGTGCGAGAACGTCTCGAGCCTTGGTTAGTTTTGAGGGGGAGGCGGGGTGGGCATGTTGGCGGGAGGAGGGGTCGAGGGGGTTGCTGGCTGCCTACTTATCAATAGTTGCAATTTTTTTGAAACCGCATCGGTAGTACATTGCGAGAGCACAAGTGCCCTTAAAAAAAGAAAACCCTGGAACATTAACATACTGATTTCATGCGCATGGCAAAGGGCCTGAGCCAATATCAGAGAGGACTCAGCACTCCTATTGTCTGCTGGGACTCTGGTCCCCTCTGATATGAAAATTCAATTATTTTATAACTAGATCTGGCGCTGCGTTTTGACAGTCGACAGTAGCGCCTTGCCAGCTGCATCAGTGTGGGGGACCAGGGGCTCCTGATAGCGGGAGGGAGGCCCTTTCAGACATTGACATGTTTTTGGGGGACAAGATTGCCTAAATGTGTTGCATTTAAGGACTGAAAGTTAATCTAATGCACCACCATTATCTCACTCAGGTAATTCCAATACCATCCTCAATCTATGTTTACGCTGCCGCACGCAGCTGCATACTCACACAGCCATTCATTCACGGGCACTTTGAATCTGATTCCCAGGCTTTCTGCATCCAAACAGGTAATGTATTTATTTATTTCTTGGCTGGGCTGGAAACTATATAACATCCAACTTGTTTTCTCGGAGACATCAGCAGTTTCTAGGTGTTATTTCTGTAAGAGGACAGGAGAAAACATGCAACACAATGTCGTAAAATCCCTTTTAGAGAACAGTTTTCCAAGTTCTTTCTATGTTTGCATTGCCGACTGTAAATAATATACCTATACAATATTCATATTCTAAGTTATACACACGTCGCATGTATAATGTAGACACCTTTACTCCAGTTTTTTAATAATATTCTTGCGTGAAAAAATTCAAATTTCTGCGAGTTTAATACTCTTTTATTATGTTGATTTTAAAAACGTCCTCAATTTAATGTCTAAAACGCAGAGAGGCCAAACTTTGATGAGTTTGGATTAACTTCACTTATAGCTTTAGGGCACATTTCTCTTGGCCTGCATAAATATCTGACTGCAGCAAGAATCAAATTTTAGATAAATCGCTTCTATATTATTTTGAAGTGTGAAGAAATTCCTTTTGAGTACAGAGGCCAAACTTTTTCAAGGTTGCATACTCTTCACAGTGAAATATTAACACCTTGATTCCTGAAGTTCCTGATAAAAGAAAAATATTACTTTCTTTAATGTACAAGTTTAACTTTTACATCTTTTCCATATTTAAAAGAATATCCTCCGTGCTCAAGTTTTATTAGTTCAGACAGCAACATTTTTCAGGGCGCTATCCGCACAGACACATGAGCTGGCCTATTTTCCAGTTTACAGGACGAGTCCTTTCATTACCTCAGCGGCTCATTGTGAGCGTCCTGAGGGGGGTCTGTTAAGATTAGGGAACAGGAAGCAGCCCCCCCGGTAGGCCCTCTCTTCTCAGACCCCTCTGTGTTTCTCTTATTAACCCAGCCTGGGAGAAGACGTACCTGCCTCCCCTCATTAGGGCTGCGCTGGAGTACGCGCTCAGCCTTCTGAAGAATGGAGCATTAATTAGTATTCTCCGCAGGGGGAACTGCCATTAGCACTTAATTAGCAGTAAGAGTACCATTCAGTGAGGCGGCCAGTTAGTGTCTGACACAGTATGTTCTGCGTCTTTTCCCTGTGTGTCATACTGAAACTGATGAAAGACTTGTTTGTGCAGAGTGCTGCTTTCCAACACATGTTGTCATAAATTCGTCCAGTTTCTATTTTCAGTTTTTTTTTTTGCGTATCTTTTCAGACTCAATCTTGCAACCCCTCTGATTGATTCCTCCAGATTTTCCTCCTGAAAGAGCTAAAACTCTTAAATCAGGATTAGACATCTCAAGAAAGACATTTTTTGTGATTATTTTGATTGACTGTGATCGAGCTAAGTCTTACAGCCTAAAGCTGTGCGCCTGCTTCAAGCGCCTGCTTCCTATAGAGTTGAACTCCGCTCTCCCCTCTTACCTCTATTGACCTCCATGAGGGCAAACTCTGTCCTCACTCACCCGCACACCTCAGCCCAGGGTGCTAAAGTGGGCGATTTGGTGGGTGATGAGGTCAACTTTCCCCTGCTGGACTCTTTGATCTGCTGAGTAGGCATTCTTCTCTCTTTTCTCTCTGTTCTCTGTCCAGCACCGTCACCACCGAGCAGGACAAGGGAGGCTGTTAACCCCACCACGGTCCACTACTCGGCCTCCCTGCTCCCTGCCCACCCCGTATCCTCCTCCTTCCCCATCCCACAGCTTTTTGGAGGCTAAGGCGGATGGATAGTGGCGGTAGTACCTTTCTCTTCCCCTGAAATCTGAGAGGCGGAGAGCTGTCATTTGCCAATTTGGCCTGAATGGGGCGGACGGCAGATTAAATGTCGTTTTCCCACCAGGCTGCACCATCCAGACCAGCGGGGGAGGGAGGGGGGAAACAGGGAGCAGGGTGTAATGTTAGAGTAAAATTAGAGCTTTGATGGCAGCTAATAGTGTGTGATGGGTGGTGCTGACGTGGGTTTCCAGTAAAGACGCCACAGGTTTCTCTCTCTCTCTTTCTCTCCCTCTCTCTCTCTCTGTCTCTAAGCCAAGCACTGACACACCTATAAGATTATACGGGCTTGGCCGTCTCTCTGAGCTGTTATTTCTCTCTGACTGGTGTAATTATACAGCTCCAACTTTAAACCTGTCCAGGTTAAGGGACAGACTGCTCCTGTTTCTCTCAGACACACTTGTAATACACATAAAACAAATCCTTTAGCAACAAGACGCTGCTGAAGGTGACTCAGAAATTTGCTGTAATGGTTAAACATTTAACCCCTATTCTCTGTTTAGGGTCCTACACATGCCTTAACCTCTTTCAGGCCTCAAATTACTTCCCTTTTTCATTAGTTTAATACTTAAAAAGTTGTCCTACAATTCAGAAGTTACCTATAAACTTGATTTTGTTAAAGAGAGCGTTAACCTGTTTGTGGTGACAGAAACCCTGACTCTAAAACATCAGAGATCTTATTGACCCCTATCATCAGCCTTACTGGTTTGGTTTGGATGCAAATGAAGCTGCTGTTTTATGCACCAACAGGCTTTATGAAGTGACATTTAATCTACTTTACTTATTTTTCTCCTCGTGCTTCACAACAAAGCAAAGACATTTAAAATAAAACATAAATATAGAAAAAGTTTGAATTATGAAAGACTAACACAAGGTAGGACAAAGATGGTAAAAGAAGAATTAAAAAGCAAACAGTTTGAAGAAAAAACAGTAAAAAAACAAGATAAAATGAAGAAAAATGATAAGACACAATGAATCACAGTAATATAACAGTCAAAAAAAAACTTGTCAAGGCTGTAGGACTTCCCTAAACTAGTACTTTTGGCTTGAAAGCACTCACAGCAACAGGATAACAGTTTGAGATGAATGCAGCGCCATGATGGAAAATAACAGCACTGCGCTTTTGAATTGCATGTTAAATTTTACGAAACTTCTAGACGCCAAAAGTGATCTGTACTTTTTTTTTTTTTACAGAATTAAAGGTTCAGTGTGATGTATTAGTGCTCTGATTGGTGTTCAATCATCTTAATGTAAGAGCTGTTGTGTTTTTATAAACTTGGAATCAGCCTTTGATATCGACACAGGATATCTGCCAAATTATTCAGTGGACAACAGCATCACAAAAGCTGGAGTTACCACAGACTTGTAGATACAACTGAATTGAAGAATCTCACTTGTGTGCTAAATTACTGTGGAAATACTTCCTCTTTACTTCATACAAGAAGCTGTCTCCTGCCTGTAAATCATGGTTTCAGACCACATTGGCGTAGCAGCGCAGTATTTGAGTAACAAACCTAAAAATCAAGATCATTAGATTTATTCCAGTAGATTCAGTCGATTCCCAAATCAAGACATTGAAGAATATTGCTTTATATTTTTCAATAATGGATTTTTTACATATGTTTGAAAATGTGATTGATCACTGAAATTCAGTGTGAATTAATTTAAAAAGAGCTTAACAGAGCGCATTAGTGTTTTAAAGAAGTTTTATGGTCTCATCTTAATTATATATTCAGGTTCAGTTTTTATTAAAGCTCAAACTTTTGGTAACACTTTACGTGACACTTATCTCTATAACGCATTATAAACATATGTATAATGCATAGTAATCACGTTATAGCACTGTATAACTATAGTTATAAACATCATAAATGATCATTTTGCTTTATAGCAATAATCAAAACACATTTTAAAGCATTTTATCATGACTTACAAGGTCAGGTATTATAATGTGTTATAACTGTTAACTACTCACCGACAACGCCCACATAGATAATGCATTATACATATATTTATTATGTTGTAATTTGCTAATAAAGTTGTATAACTGTCATAATAAACACTCATTAATTATCATAAGGCTTTATAGCAGTAAGCATAACATCATACAACCTGACCTTGTAAGTCATGAGAAAATGCTTTATAATACAAATATTTTATACGTATATTTATAATGCGTTAAAGAGATAAAGTAAAGATGAAGTAAGGTGTTGCCAAACTTTTTTACATTGCTGGCTCTAACATGTTGGGAAAACATAAAAAGTATGTATTTAGAGGGAAGAAGCGATTTTATCGAACTAGTATATGAAAGTGGGTGATGTGGGAAAATTAAACTGAGAAAGAAAGAAAACCTAAATTAATAATTTACTGACTCCAATGTTCAAGTGAGGTATTTGTGTTGTTTTCAAGTCTCTCTTTGGGTAATTTGAGGTGTTTTAACTTTAGATAAAGGGCAAATTTAGACAACACCTTGGACAGTTAGTTATATATAGAGCACTTTTACAGGCTTTATAAGGTATTTTAATTGAGACTCAATAGAAGTGCTCTTTTTCGCCTCACTGTATTTTGATAACTCACCAAACAGGTAGAGAGATTAGTGTTGTGTTGGGTGGGGAGGGTCTCAGGTACTGCAGCTGTTTCCTTCAGGGGGAATTAATCACTCCCGGCCCACCTCTCACACCCTTCTTCCCAGAGACACGAGGATGCACGAAACACAACACTGGGACTAGCCTCAGGGCTGTCACACACACATACACACGGACGAGGACACTCTCACACATATACACTACATTAGCTGTTTTGATAGCTTCTGAGGCACGAGCAGCGCTGTGATGCTCTGACATATGGAAGCTTAAAGGCCTCTTAAATGTCCATATCAATCTGCAGGCTTGTCAGCTTGACAATGACGGAAACAGAACACCATTAGCAGCGTCGGACGGTGTGATCCTCATCGGTGCAACATTAGAGGAATAGATGGCTTAGTGCTTGACATTCCTCTGGACGTTAGCCAAGCTTATGCACAGAGAGAGAGGGAATTATAGTTAGGTATTTTTGATGGGATGTTCACCTGTTCTCAAGTTTATTATCTTTATAGCTCAACCAGAGCAGGATGCAGTTTGTTGCCAGGAATATAATATCCTGTTTTAACATGTATCCGATTGCATTGATTTCATTGTCCCAGTCCTTCTTGGTAACGCTTATATGCTTGTGACGGTGCGAAGTGATTGTCCCCTTCTCGCTGCACACAAACCATTGTACTCTTCTCTCCCGGGATGGGCGATGTTTTGTTTTTGGAGCTCTTTCACACAAGCTCTCCCTCTTTTTCTTTTTTCCTTTTTTTTTTATTTTAACACAATAGCTTCTCTCTCCTCTCACCCAGCGTGGCAACCCTTTCAAAACAGGGAAGCTCCAGGTCAGTTTCCCTTGCCAAGTTTTGCAGGCTGCCATGTTGTCTATTCTGCTCAGCTATTTAAAAAATGTTGAATATCAACAATGGCTTTCACTGGTGCATTGTCAACTTTTGTATGAAGCAATCTTGGCTGAATGAGATGGGTCCCAGAGCAGGGAGAGCTCAGCTGCAGTGTGCACCACCACACCACTGACTGCCCGGCTCTTTGGCTCTTTTATATTTCTCCGCAGCGCTGGGAGCTGCTGCTTCTCCCGTCTGAATGGTCGTGTAAGAGGCCCAGGCTCTGGGCTGTGGATGTCTCTGCTATCTTCCGGCGCACGGTGCTGCTCCTGGGCCTGCTGACAGCCAGCTGTTGAAGGTGTGTCTCACAGAGGGGGATCTGGAAGCAGCAGCAGCAGCAGGACCAGTCAGTTGGTGAGTGTCCTCAATTTTGTGGCCAGAGTGGGAGGAGGTTAGGAGGAGAGGAGAGGAAAGGAAAGGAGAGGAGAGGAAATGAGAGGGAGGGGGCATTCAGGGAGATGCTGCAGGGAGCTTTGTGTCCTTTTAAATTGAGCTTACTGACTCTGTGTGTGCAAATAAGTAAGTGATGGGTTCCATATCATTAACTTATGTAACTTCAGAGGAGGTATTTATTTTCTCAGACTCATCATGTCACCTGTTGGGCACACAGTTATTTAGATCAAACACAGTAAAGTAAAAAAAAGAATAAAACTTAAACCATCTCATCTAAAGCTGTTTCTGAAACTTTAAATGTCCAAACAAACTCCTGCAACATCCGTGTTTCTCCTGTCTGATACGCGCACTAATTGCATGGGTGGTTTTATGTGTTTGCACAAACACCCACCTCCATGTATGTTACCGCAGAGAAAGACGAGAGCTTGCTTCCAGATAATAGTAGCTCAGAGTCTTTGTCCGGCTGTCAGGAAGGAGAGGAGTGGGGCTGGAAATCGCTCCAGCACAGCGGCAACATCTTGTATGTTTCATTGACATATCAGTCTGTGGAGCAATGAGCCGTCTCCTCTGCACCTCCTCTGAGTATTGCTTGATGTTTGTGTTGGAGAGCGTGTGTGTCAGAGGATACAAATAGGTGGCACACTTAGGTTTAGATCTTTATTTACCGTTTCAGTAAAAGACAAAAGTTGATTAAAAAGAGTTTAAGAAGTTAATTGTGACAAGTGCACAAAACTGAGCTCACACTTGATACTGCTGTGATTTATAATTTTACATCTATATTTTGGCTTTTAAAGATTTATGTTTTCATTATTTTTTTCCCTTTTATGATTCATTTCACTTATTTTATGGTCAATTATGAATTGTTTTACTCACTTATTCTTTAAAAAGGCAAGAAAAGGAGGCTTTAGATTAAGAAAAAACACTTCAGGGGTCTCAAAGATATTTTTTTTATTTGATAGAAAATTCACTAAATGTCTAAAAATGTGTGTTGCATTTTTCACTGCCTAAAGAAAGCTCTGGAGTGTCTTTTCATTTTGAATTAAACATCTGATCCTGATTTAAAATTGATTTTTTTTCTCAAAAGTTTTCGACTAAAATTGTTTAATATCTATACAACATAAAGCCACGTGTTCCCAATATGCTACTCAGTTTCTAGTTTATAAAAATGACATTATTGTTAAAGGGACCTATCCTATAATAAGGCTGTAAACAGCGCTGAGACCCGTGTTGTCCTCTGTCTCACCTCTTTAGGCTCGAACCACAGCAAGGTGACCACGCTC